TGTGCAAGGATTAAAATGGTGTCGTAGTGCTTTAAACATGCATCATTATAACGTGCGTGGTCTTGTAGCATTATAATAAAACATGCTAACTGTTGGCCAATAAAAACCACTATAGTCCACTGTGAGTAAGGAGTTTCTTGCAAACAGGACATTTTCTTGTTGGAAATGTCGAAATTGGATTGTTTTTTTTCACAACAGCGCCCTCTCGTGTCGTCTGTTATCAAGCCCCCACCCCCACCTTCAGAAGCAGTTATCATTGTAGGCCAATACTTACGGACCATGCAGATGATTCAAGTGTGAAATGTCTCCGCTATTCTCAACCACATCCTGTGACAAAAGAAGTTGACAGTTATTTCATAGTCCGCGAATTCATGCATGTTTTGAAAGACTGCGTGTCACCTACTCTCACAGGTGTTGATACCGAGAAGTGTTGATGCACAGAAAAATGATGATCAACATGTCATCTTTTATTTTATTTTTGATTTTTGGTGGGTTTACCATTGACTTTTAGAGAAATTCTCAGCAAAAGAAGACAACCCCTAAAACGAGCGAGGTTTCCCAAGGCGGAAAAGTACTTAGCCATCTCGAAAAACGATCCCTCCACAACATGGCTAAATACAGTGTAGCTCCACTTTCGGGCCCAATTGCATCCAAAGTGCTCAGAATTGGAAGCCTCAAGTCTGGGCCTGAGGTACATTGCCGTATCACTTCAATTTCCCAATTCTGTTGCTCTCAGAACTCTGTAATAATTATAGAATAATTTGAGTGTATAACTTTTATTCATGAGTTTGGCAGATGGATTTTTGACATATTTACACGTTTGTACCCACAAGGGAACTTGTGACCTCCAAAATTCGCTGGGGTCAGCACTTCCGTGTACGTGCATACGACCAGTGCGCACGACCCGTGCGCAAGAAATGCACTTAGGCCTACATTGTTTATGGCACGTGACCGACCCACAATGCTTTGTGACGCCTGCGTTTCATTTACAAAGAAATTGTGAAATAGCAGGGGCGAAGAGCGAACTAAGTAAAAATCCGCCACAAACTTTTTTCTAAGTGCTTGCTCAGTTGGAAGACCGAACTGGCCAATACCTGTATGTGCGCCTCAAAGTAGGCCTGGAAGAAGCCACCCCGGCGAAGTTGCCCATCCTTGACACCCTCGATCTCAGGGGGGTACCAGGAAGGTTCTTCCTTTTCGGCATGGTACCATATCATAATCAAGCCGTTGATCTCCAGGGAACGATGCGTGTCAACTTTGACGAAGTCTGGCACTGTGGAGTAAAAACCGAGGCAAACGTGCAGTGTTTTTGTTGGGTTTGGTTTTAACCCTCGACGTTTTAAAATGCTATTCCAAGCACGGTTTCAGGACCGTACTACATTACGTCGTGTCCGTACAACAAGGTCGTATCTCCTAAAATGGGCCGTACGTGAAACACGAGTTTCAGAATGTCAAAAGATAACCCGGATGTACACTCAAAGTCAATGGACGTCGAGATACGACCGTGTTGCACGGAGCGCATTCGCGCGAGATACGACTTTTTTTGCAGAATGGAGTGCACTGACGCGACGATTTTGTAGTACACGTTATAAAAGGGGTCCAAATTCACTCAACAATTTGCTGTCTATAACTTAGGTTGTAAAGTGGTCAGAAGACAGCCGTTGCTTGAGCTTGCTGACTAGTCTTGTTGACAGGATGATCGATTATCCACGCCCCGTGGTTAGGCTGGCTAGACTTACTATAACTTTATATAAGGATGTTACTACACAAATACGCGGTTCTTGTAAGAGGGGCTGGGTTTAGCTAGGTTTTTAGGGTCGAAAAGTCATTTCAATGATATACCTTTCTAATAAGTCGAATTTTGTACAGAAATAATGCAATAATTGTATGTATTTTCAAATTCATTCAACATTACTCAACGTTTAGAAGTCGTTACGGAGATACCAATTTCGAACGCCCGACAGAAAAAAAGAGTGCTATATCGGAATCGTGTTTCGTGACCAAGAGGGTGTGAATGGCTTTTCACTGTTTCCCCGTAAGGTGTTATATCTACTGAGCTGAAACTTCAACAGGTTTCAAACATTCCTGTTTGGAATTTGATAGGTGTTATTATTGGAAAATGAACAAAATGCACGAAAAGCAAAATGATCAAATACGATTTTAAGTCTGTTTGAGTGGATTGAGCCTCCCAACATGGCGCCGTATGGCCTCACCTTTCTCTGCGTATGCTATCTTGACGCATTTGCCGTTGTCCCCACGGTAGGTCCAGCCATGGAAGGGGCACTCGATGCACTCCCCCCGCACCTTGCCGCCTATAGCTAGATTGGCCCCCAGGTGCGGGCAGTAGGCGTCCACAATGTACACCTCCCCACTCTCTCCTCGGAAGACAGCAAGACGCAAACCTGATTGTAAAAAGGACATTAATTTAAATGTTTTTTTGGGATTAAAGGAAGCTACGTGCCATTCACAACACTGCGCCATCTATACGTTACCCCAAAAGAAGCAATTTTCGTCTGGTTCCTTCACCAAACGATTTTGGTTATTTTGACGAATCTTTATAGAGACGTCAGGCAATCGACAAGTCAGGGAACAGGACTTTTGAATCTGTGAATTGAATCTGTAAATAGGGATTTTGTTGAGTGCGATTTAATTTCGTTTGTACGAAAACAGCTACGAGGTTTTTTTTTAACATGGCTTCCAAAGGAATACCTTTTCACTTGCCTTGCAAATCTAAAACGTATACAATGAAAGATTTGTTATATGAAAATGTATCTAATAAGTGCTGACTAAGCTGCTTTTTTCATCAACTACTACTACACAAAGAGAAAATTCAAAAATGGTCGGTGATGTCGTTTTCATATAAGACAAAAATCTTGGTATGATAAATTTATTCACTGTGCTGGAGGTGGAGAACCAACAGTTTATTTTACAATCTAGAAGCCTTATGTAGATAGAAAACCTGTACAGAGCGCCCTCCCGTGGTCCAGTTCACTCCAAACCAAACTTTAAAAAAAATCTGGGAAAAAATTAACATACCCAGCGCATGAACAAACTTCGTCTCCTTCTTGCCGAGTTCCTCGGACCTCAAGACCGCGAACCAGCCGTTCGGGTAGACGGGCGGGATGTTGCCGATCCTCCGCGAGCGTTTCATCTCCTCCACGGCGGTCTCCCGGGTCATGCCCGGCGGTTGCCCCCGCTGGAACATGTACGCGTGCCGTGCCTCGTCCGCGTGATACTCGAACAGGCCGAAGATTCCGCGGTAAACGAGTTTGGCCGCGAGCAACAGACCACACAGCAGGCCGGCTGTAGCCAGGGCTGGCCAAGTCGAGAGCTGGCCTACAGCAGCTACAACTGCAAAATAAATATATAATCACATAGAGCAGTTGCATTCAGCAGCCATCTTTAAGTTGTGTTTTATGTTAATTCATTAACGAGGAAGCCATTTCGATCGTGTTCCCGGAATCTATTTTAAATATTGTAAACTGCTGAAGGGGATGGTGCCAGACTATTTTATGATCGGAATGTCTTCCAAGCCTTACGTTAATTTTTTTTTTTTAAATGTGGCTTAGAATAGTAGGATATGTTTAATTACAAATTTTAAATTATTAATCAGAGCAGACTGGTATTAATTTGTAATGAACATTAATATCATTGCTTTCATTTCTAATCGCAAGTTCCACAAATGAAAAGTTTACCTCGCTTTCAAATTAACATGGCCGACTCGTGAATAAAGTCTATAGGCCTTGTTCTCTTTGTACACGACTGACTGACTGACCGATGTCGCTTGTGATTTAGACTTGCTTAAGTCCCATCCTGGCCCAAATGGATAGACAAGGCAAACGCCAATGAATGTCCTAAAGCCATGCAGTCTATAGTGTACACGGTGAATATATGTAAATTATATGCAAGGGGTCGGATCCCCCGAACTTTTTTGGGGGTAAATATTGATAAAAGTTCGATGGACAATTAAAGGGGAACTTTCAAAAGCATGCGCCAATTAAGGCTCGAAAATGCCTTTAGCACAGAAGTAATAAAAGTTGGATAGATCGTTAAAAGGTAGAATATGAACGTCCACACAATGTACCTTAATTGGCAATTTGCTGGTTTCTTGTAATTACCGCGCGAAGAGATTTTGCTATACCACAAATCGAGCATTTCGATCGCTACATGTCATCATTCCAGTCAAGCCAAGCAAACAGGTTTTTTTCCCCCAACACTTTCCCCCAGGAATGCAAGGCAAACATGGGTTGCCTGTGACCCATAGTACCAGACCTATGAAATGACATAAGTAAAGAATTTGAAACATGAAATTGTGGCGAGATCTTGCTGAATGTACAGCAAAAAGGTGGGCAAATTCTTCACAATATTTGGTCAATGTTTACCCGAATTAACCAGAAATAAGGTCAATTCATATCAATATTGGGCTAATAGTAGAATGCCATGGTTCAGTGGTTACGGAACATGGTGTTTGTGCCCTTGGGCAAGACACTTAACTACAATTGCCTCTCTCCATCCAGGAGTATGTATGGGTACCTGTGAGAGTAGAGGACCTTAATGTGCGCTGATATCGGCTGCGGTGTGGTCTCGTGGCCTGATGAACGGGGGAATAATTGTACTGCGCTTTGAATGAGATTGTTGATACGATGGAAAGCGCTATATAAGCGTTACAATTTATAACATTGCCCCACAGTGTTTTCCCCATCTTTGAACAGTGTTCACCTTTAATTCAAAGCCGACACTAATCACTCGCTTTATCGAAGGTCTTGGCCAAAGTCGCGCCAGTCCGTAAACACGATATAATCTCAACTCATTGTATCTATATATAGCCAAAAGCACACCAACAAAGTCTCTATCATTGACAAGTGGGGGAAACAAGTTCAGGGCTCACGTAGACTGTTAACAAAACTTATATATGTTTATATAAGTGTATCCAGGATATATGTTTATTTTAGATTTCGTGTCTAACAATATATTTGTTGCGTATTTTTTTCTTATTTCAGTGAAGAACCCGACGCTTTGGCTATCATCAAGGTAAAATCAGACCACCTACAAAGAATACTTTCGTAAAGTTTATTAGAAGAATTTGTTTAAGAACACCGATATTATTGCACATATTATTCCAGTATAAATGGGACAGCACTATACAGTGGCATATAACTTATGTTTTTTTCTCCCATAGCCCGTAAACGCTAAACGAAACAATTACCCATATTTTTTCATGTAATATTTCACCGTTGGCTCCCCAGAAAGAAATACTGATGCTACAGAGAATTTGAAACTCTCTAAGTTGGCTTTATTTGATTTCAGTAAGCTGTTTCATTTTGGTTGTAACACCTTTTTAAAGTACAAATTTGTCAATTTCATTCTACTGTGATGTGTAACTATAGGCGATACGTGGGGCACTCCCACAACTAGAGTCCAGTGTTTAGATTATGACCACTCCCATTTCAGCGCCCCTCTGGAAAATGAAGATCCCACAAGTACACCTGTCATACAAATTTGACCCTAGTGATACGCCACTGTAATTATATAATTACAGGCTGGTCATCAAATCTTTCTCAGTAATACAGAATAAGAAACAAAAGCAGACAGCCACGCCCCTTTCCACGCCCCTTTTGGTCTTGACCAATAAGACAAAGAGGGTGGTGACACACTTCATGGCAGGCAATACGGGGGGGGGGGGGGAAGGCATCGAACACTTTGTTTATTGCTCTGTTATAGTCATGCATAATTCATATTCTGTCTAGCGTGTAAGGGTTGTTTATATAAAAAAAAAATGACGTGAAAACTCTTTGTCTAGCCTTTCCTGTTTCTAACCGAATCGTCCAATCAGAGGCTAGTTGAGATGGCAAAGGAAAAAGGGGCGGGATAAAATTATGCATTCAAGCTACTGATTGGCCAACTTGCTCACGTCTCTCTCATTTGGTCCAATCAGGAACAAGCAGAGAAGAGGCGCGAGGAAGTGAACAAAGAGCTCCATGAAGCGCGGGAAGAATATCGCCGCATGAAGGAAGAGAAAGAGAAGGAACTGGAGACCCTTCGCGCCAGGAGAGTAAGTCCTTAAACATCGGTCTATTTTTGAGAAAAAAAAATTGGAGGGCCGACGATGCAAAAAAGGAAAAGCATGCAAGACAATGTCATGTGCTCTTACATGTAATGCCAGTCTAGATTTGGCTGATTGCTAGACGAACGTTTTCCCAAGTTGGGCTGCCAAGTTGAGATGAGCCGTGAAAACAAGTAAATAAATAAACAAACAAACAAACAAACAGAAAGAAAAAGATAAAATAAAACAAGAAATAATGAAATAGACAAACAAACAAACAGCCTAACAAACCCTGACAAACAATCAATCCTACAGCCCAGCGCAACAGCCCAACGAACAAACAAACAGACAAAATTTAACTAAAAAATTCCTGTGTGGAAATTACTTCTGAACGATTTTCTATACTCATAAATAACACTATGATTTGCCACTTTATAAAACAACACCTCCGTAGCGACGGGGCTTTTTTGTAAAGCTCATTTCACCAATTATTAGCCAGCTTGGCAAAATACCATTTCTAGCTTTAGGTTTTTGAAAAAAAATGGGGCTGCTTACCATCCATGACTGCGGAAATGCAAGTTAGATACCAATGGGAAACTTTGGACTACACAATGCGATGCAACCTGCAGTTCAAAATCGTAACAGCGTACTGGCCCACTGTCCCAGATTTGCCAGTTTTAAGTACAACCCCTGAACCTTAATCCTACGTTCAAAGTCTGGTCACATTTTTGGGGTAAATAAAATCTCCATGAGGGTTTTCTAGACCTCGGTTTCGTTCCGGCTACCGATTAGAAAAGCCAGAATAAAACCGTGGTTTAGGAAAATTTCGATGTCGCGCACGGAGAGCATAATAGACTTGTCACAAGTCACTCCGTAAGCGTTTTGACTTCGGCTTTTGTATCCGGTTCGTACATGCGCCGTCATTTCGTCACACATAATTCATCCTCGCAACAAACGAAGTATGGCATTGGTATCAACTAAAAGATGTGTACTGTCCGTGCTATATTACTATCTTCTTTCAATTAGTATTTTTTTCTAGCGATAAAACAAGCTGGATCGGAAATATCGACTTATTTGCGCTCGCCAAGAATATAATTCGTGCTCAGTACAGTAGAATTGAGCTCCTTTCAGAATCGATAATGTAGTGTTTGTTCTCCGTTCTTCAAAACTATTTCATAAAGATAACCGTTGGAAAACCTTAAAATCGGCATTTCATTTTTTGTTTGTTTTTCATCTGGGGGATGTTCCAATGACTTAACCACCCCTGGTCAGAAAGTGATTTACGCCCGTGCTCTTCTATAATAATATTGTCCAATTCTTACCGCTCTTCAGGATGAGCGCCGAAAGCAGCAAGCAGAGGAGCGGAAGATGCTGGAGAAGTTCGCGGAGGAGAGACGGGCCAAGGAGAAGGAGGAGATGCGCAAGAGGAAGGAAATGGCTGACATGAGGAAGAAGGAACGCGAGGCCCGAGTGCGGGCTATGCACGACCCTAATGCGTTCAAGGCGGTTATCATTGAGGTAAATCACGGAGTACCATTTAACAAGCTCGATCGGATTTCGGAAGCTGCAAGCCAACAAATTTGTTTTCACCTTATTTTGACCTTTGACCCCATTGCTGTAGGTCAGATCAAGAGGTTACCATGGACGCTTTTAATGTTTGACCAAGGCCATTATGTTGACAGCGCTAATTTTGTCATTAAAGTTTTTTTTGAAATTTGACCTATTTTGACCATAGACCCCATAGCTGCATGTAGGTCAGATCGAGAGGTCACCATGGACATTTTATATATTTTGATCAAGGCCAACATGTTCACAGCGCTACTTTGTCATTTGAGCTTCTTAAAAATCTGACCTATTTTGACCTTTTACCCCATTACTGTAGGTTACTGTTAGACGAAGAGTTCACCATTGACATGTCTTAATGTTGACCAAGGCCAACAAGGCTTATTTGAAATTTGACGTTATTCTCACCTTGAGCCCATGATGGCCTTTGAACCCAGTTTGGTCATGTGACATATTGGGGCTGGGCTACTGATACTTTTGATAAAGTTTGGTTGAAATCGGTCAAAATAATGTAGGAGCAATATGCAATGTCAACGGCGAACTAAGTTACGTACGGACTAGCGGAGAGACATGATGGTTTGTTGAGCTGCTACCCGCAGCTAAAAATCTGGATAGGCCATTAGCTGTTAGAAGTGAATTCACCGAACTACAATCCTGGCCAAATCTCGCTGGGCCCCTAACCCCCGGCCCTCACTCAATGTTGTCTCTCATTGCGCGGTGTGTGCTAGCTCCATCAGCTGGAGAGAACAACATTGACCGGGGGAGCGGGGAAGTGGGTGACGGTGGCAGGCTCAGGAAGTGTCCCAACCGTGGTTTGGCCGGGATTGTGCTCCAGGCTGACTGACTTGCTGGCTGGTTGGTTGGCTGACGAATGTTCGTGATGAACTGTTGCCCCTTTCCTCTCCCCTTAAAAATTCAGACTGTGTTGTAAAATCGCGTTATAGATAGTCTTGTATTATCCGCATTTCTGATTGTTCGTATCAATTCATATCTTCAGAAAGAGAAGCCGCAGAAAGCCCCGAAGAAATCCAAGGAAGAATTGGCCAGTGAGAAGGAGGAAGCGATGAAGGAGCGCATCCAACCTCTGCACATCGGTACGAAGCATGACACTGTAAAAACCCTCTGGTCATATTGACCCGGATTCCGGGTTCCATTTGGCCTAAACCCTTTTCCGGGTCAAAAATGACACTTTCTGGGTCAAAACTGACACTTTCCGGGTAATTTTGACATACAAAAAACTGTTGGCAAAAAGTGTCATTTTGACCCCGGATTCCGAGTCAATCTGACCAGGGAGTGCCCGGGGACGGGGGATACATAATGCAAGTGTTGTAGTCAAGTACTCAAGACCTTTCCCGAGACCTCACAACAAAAAGGTAGGTCCTTGCACTCTAACAAGTCACAGGGCAAAATTGACACGGAATCCGGGAAAGATTTGAAGAGATTCTTTTCCCGGTCAAAAAGACACTTTTCCGCGTCAAAATGACACTTTTCTGAATCGTATTTCAGGGTCATTTGGCCCAGGACACCTTAACAAAGGTATAATTTTGACCCTTACAAATGTAATTTTGACCCTGAAAAGTATCACTTTGACCTTGAAAAGAATCAGGTCAAATCTGACACTGTACTGTCAAAAGTGTAATAAATTGTCAGATACGAGTCAAGTAAAAAGTAAACGAGGACTAAAGACTCACAGCCATTTGGCTTTGAACATGGAAAACAGTATTAAAGGTTTCAAGTTGGATTTAAAATAAACACTATTGGACAATTTCGATCTCAAAAAATTGTCTAGCGAGATATCACGAGACCCTGACTCCGAAAACAATAATGAATTTTACTTGAGTTGAATGATGACTCCAAAATAGAAGAGTAGCCCAACGGCCCGGTATCGGACATTATTGTTTTAGTTTATTATGAGGGTAAGTTTTCAACTTTTTTATTTAATTTTTTTTAGGAGCAAGCACAGCAGAGGATAAGATCCGGGAGATTGCTCGCAACCTCCTGCAGCGTCTTCAGGCCATGTACACGGAGATCTTCGACATGAAAGTGCGCCGCAAACGTCAAGAGTATGACGTAAGTAGAAAAAAAACTTCTTTGGCACAAAATCGCACGTCATGGCGTTTTGGAGATATGTGGAACCCAGACAATATTATTTTCAGATTGAATTGGCCCTTCTGGAATAAGTCATAAGCCCCGCCCACCTCTGGCTTGTGTGCATTTCTCACAATGCTTGTGACAGAGTTTGATCAAACTACCGTGGTCACCTGACCAAAAGTCGTGATCTAATTGGTCAATGCACACTGTTTGATTGGCACGAAAGAAGGGTCCATTCGTGGGTCGTAGGTTCAAATCCCACTCAAGTCAAATTCTTTATTCAAACCTAAAATGATTGATAGTAATATAACTAGTCAGTTTCCGATCGTAGTTGATTTGCTTGTAAAATTATTATTTGATATAACACAAATAACGATTGTTTATGAGTGCAATGGTAGTAAGTTTTTGTTATGAGTTGACAGATAGAATGTTCCATTCCGCGAGGCGAATCAAGTGAAATGGAACATTCCATATTCTTTCCATTGCATAAATGTGAAACATTCATTATTTGTGTCATCCAACATGCCTGGCGTGTTTACATTTTAAAGTCCTACCCCCGCAGCAACCTTTGACCTTAGTTTTCTCAGAATGCTAGGCGAATGTACCGCAGCGTTGGAATAGGCTCAATGTGTGGCTTCCCCGACTGTAAACCCCGTGTATACACGGGGAAGCTAATCGAACGCACCCACACACGACGACGACTTGGGCGTGCTTTGCGTTCGTTCAGCAATTTATATTACAATATTCAATCCCTCATTTGCATAATATCAATATTCATTCTCCCCTCCCAGCACAAGGAGCTGCTCCAGCGCATTAAGGATCTGACGAAGGTTAAGGAGTGAGTAGGCCTATCAATTTAACAAACAAATTATAATGAAACTAATTACAAAACGAAGCAAAACAAAACGAGATACTCAAAATTGAAAATTAATTTCATTTCATGCAAATGGAATACACACATTTAATCAGAGATTATGCACAAATTAAAAAAAAAAGTTGAAGGGCACATTTAATAATTGTTGACTGTTGTGATGTGGGATATGATGTTTTGAACACTCGAGGGTGCTATGCGCCCGAGGGTGTTCAAAACGTCATTTCCCACATCACAGCAGTCAACAATATTATTGTTGTGTTATACCTCTGTCTTGGACTTCTTTAAAAGAGTTTGATGTAAAAATCACGAAAACAACAGCAGTAAACACAACAATCATGACAATCGAACACCAACTCACATGCATGTCGCGTGCTCGAAACAGCTGATCGTCTGCTAGTTCGCTGCTCCCACTCACGTGTGAAAACATGGTGAAAATAGCGCGGGTACCAACGATACAAGCGTTTCACACCGTACGTACAAAGTCACATCACACTCCCTGTGGACCCCACAGGGAGTGTGCCATGACTTTTATTAACTTAATTAACGCGTGATCGTTCTAGGCCAATGAAAAACAGTATTAAAGACAGAGGTATAACAGTATATTTTAGTGAACAGCAATGCATTTACGACGAGGTTACTTCTGATTCTCATTTTTGTTTTAATTTTCCCCCAACAGGCCGGTCGCCGCCGAGTCAGCTGGCACGTACGTATCACGGCGACCATGACATTGGCGATGACGAGGACGCACCTTGTCAATGACGATGACACTGTGATGTGACACAACAGACCTTTATTTTGCTGCATTTACATTTTGTGTCCGGTCAGAGCGAAGAATCATATAGACCAATTCCATCACGAAGGCCCCCTTCAATGGCGAAGTTCAGATAACCCGTCACGGGAAGTGGCTTTGTAAAATAGCATGTACAATAGTTTCTCCATTGAAGGGGGCCTCGTGAATGCAGTGATCAATCAGATCATAGGGCGTCAATCGCTTCTCAAAAGTGTGTGTGGGGAACATACCTCGATCAGAACTAATGCGAGCGCGAAGCGCAAAGCCCTTCCGGCGTTGGGTTCATTCGGGGCCCGCTTAAGGGCCCGGGATTTTTTTTTTTTTTTTTGGATTCTAGACGATCTCTGGTGCAATCTGAGGCAATTTCTGACCACTTGAACCAATTTTTTGAGCAAAAGATCATCATTTAAACATCATTCCCGAGTTTGGAGTCATTAAATCAGCTATTCTGAGCTATAGAATCAAATACAGGCTACAATTTTATTCGGGGACGAAAAAAGTGGGGGGGGGGGGAAATCGTCTGTACATACCAATTTCAACCAAAAACAATCGTATGTCGAAAACACTGAATTTCCAACAAAAAGTTTATTTGAATTTGTTCGACGAGAAGAAGTTTGATTATTCTTCGGAACAATCATTTGTGGGCAGCCAAAAAAAAAAAAATTAAAGGACTGGAACAGTGGCTGAATTCTTTTAGAAAGCAAATGATAATCGATGTTGCCACCACCAAAACTCAATATACTCAATAGCTAATGATTTTCTGTGCCACAAAACAATTTTGAATTTGATAGAAAAGGCATGCGTGAGGGCATCACTGACTTGCCTTGAACAACAAAATGAGCATGTTAAAAATGGTTTGTTTTTATTGTCTTTTTTTCCAGCGTGCACAAATTTAAGGCGGGTGGAGTGTTCAAACCCCAGGTAATTAAATTAAAGATAATTTAAATAAAATAAAATAAATAAATAAGTTAAAGTGAATAAAATTGACGAATAATACTGGTTGTGTGTTATTGACCTTATCCGTCAGAGACAGACTACGATGAATTTCACAAGAGGTAGGTATAACACCACACCAGAAATTTGCTCCTAATTTGCCGAGGGAAGGGGACTGTTGAGCGCTCATAAAACCGGTTTAACCCACAAAAGTCTGGTCCGAAGTCGACAGACCTCGGATCATTATGCCTCTAGACATGAGATTGTCCGCAAGCAAGTGTTATAGTTTTCCCAAAAGTCATCTTCACAGAGATTACATCGGGAAAATATGAATCGTGAATGAAAGGCTCTCAAGATAACTGCGCTGGTGATTTACCAATGAATAATTTTATTCATTTGTATGCGTCTGTAGAAGCATAAATAAATTGTCAGACGCATTGTCATTTTATTTTTAATTAATTCGTTTTAATTTAACCTTTTAAAAACAATGGTCCTTGCCCATAGGATGAGCACGAACAGAACAAGTCCAAAATGGACAGGGAGAAAGAGGCCGGTTCCATTATTTCGTCCGGGGGTGTGGCAGGCCGGATGGGAATGTTCGGTGGGAGCAGCGCGAAGAAAGCCCCCGTGAGTATATTTCCAGATTCTGTATTAACATAAAACTCTGCACAATGTCAACTCTTCATAGCAATAGTTTCTAATTCAAGCACGGCAGTATATCGTACCCGTTTTTTAGCTAATCTTTGTCAAAGCGCATAAAGCAGTAACGATTAGATTTGCTTTCTGGCAAAGCTAAACTGTTGATACTTGAATTGTCCTAGCATGGATTTAGCAAGCAGCAGTAGCTGATAAGATCTGAGTGGAGAACAAATTGAATTTGATGACCCTGGATGACCCATAGTACGCCCTCTCTTGTCCCAAAACAGCCAATCCCACTGAAGCCGCAGTATATAAAAGCATGCAGTTTTGAAAATATAGATTAACAGTACCACATTTAATAGCCACTTCGAGATATGGCGAATACAAAAGAGGGCGCTATTTGGTTTGGGTAAATACCAGAGGAATTGACCCAAACTTGACTTAATAGCGCCTTCTGTAGTGCCCTCCATAATCTCGAAATGGAAAATGTCCGAAACCATACTACCTTTTATTAAATTAAACAACCTAGGTTTACGATGCAATAATGGTAGAAGATGCATGAAAGGCTGTTTACATTATAAATAAGTCACTGAACTTAATTCATAAATTATTGATTCCGTTTGTTGGCTAAAAAAATGGGAACATGTCGAACATGACCCGGGACTGCAATGTCAAACTGGAATGTCAAACATGACCCGGATTCCGGGTCTGGAAAGTCAAACATGACCCAGATTCCGGGTCTGAAATGTCAAATATGATCCGGATTTCGGGTCTGGAATGTCAAATAATTCGGGGTCTGGAATTTCAAACAACACCCGGATTCCGGGTCTGGAATGTCAAACATGACCCGGATTCCGTGTATGGAATGTCAAACATACCCGGATTCCGGGTATGGAATGTCAAACATGACCCAGATTTCGGGTATGGAATGTCAAACATGACCCGGATTCCGGGTCAAATCCGACTCAGTACTTTAAAGAGTGTAGCCTTTGCCAGCGAAAAAAGGCTGTTAGCTTAACAAGCATGTAACCACTCCGCCTGTATTGTTCCATCCCCTGCAGGGCGACGAAGGCTAACACAGATTTTGTAAAAATAATAAATGGCCGGACAGTGAACGCCGGCGAGCCAGAAAGCACGTTGAGAGACTACGGAGTGAAGAACATTGGCGTCAAAATTTGTTTGCATTTTTGTCTCTCAGTGTTTTGATTAGTGCCTGCTGATCGATCTGCATGACATACCAAGTTACTAAATAGAGTCTAGACTACCCCAAATACAGTAGTTTTTTAACGATAGGTAATTATTTATTGAGTTGGAAACGAGATTTTACTGTGTATCGAATTATGATTGTGGAAAAAGACTTAAAATCAAAGTATTACCTTTGTAAACTATATGCCATTAAGCTCTTCCATACTAAAGTGCGATTGCATGCGAGTTTAAGTTTTTGCATTATAGCACTTTCTATTTTCCACTGCACAATTTCTGTTGACTGTTGATTTTCGCCCACCCCACTGCCCCCACTCGTTCAATTTATCCATTGTTGCAGGGCTTGGAACGAGGTCCCACCATTGACCTGACCAAGTAGCCCAGGTCAGCTCAGCATCCACCAATAGGCGGGCTTGGATTGTGTGCCACGTGATGCCGCTTTCATCCAATTAACGCACGATTTTCAGGTCCTCTTGGCAACTTCTGCCAGTGCCGGTTGACAACCTAAAACCTTGGGCCTTTCAATACCTAAGCCAGACAGTGGCCTCAAAAAGACGTCTTGGTATCTATTACAGTTGACGGCGCCAGACTGCATTTTCCTTTCCCCGTAAGTGCAGTTTCGTCTGCTATAAAGCAATTCTTATTGGACAATTTTGCCCACGTGACGCACTCCCTTGCCTGCGCATGCTGTGTAGGCCTATACTATAGGATTATGTGAGATTCTTGATGAATTACATGCTGTAGCGTACGTTTTCAGCTTTTCATTTTTGTGGCTCATATTGCATCGCATTATATAGAAAAAAGAGGTGCACCATAGCATTTAGACTAGATTTCACACATTTTTGATAGGTAAAATATAGAGTGAGCATAATAACGGTTTGCCATTTGGTTTTTAGATCAATCCTTATTCAATGCCCGTTGTCAAACTTCCTAAGTTAATTTAAGAAAGCCATTGTTGTTTGTTTCGAATCGAGGGATGGTATTTTCGCAGATGGTATAAAAGTAAAGTAGCCAGTTATTCGTGTGTCAGCAAACTTTAACCACTAATGAAATAAAGTAAGTGTTGAAAAAAGGAAAACGTTTTTTGACACTTTACACCAGAATGTTAAGCTTTTCAAAAGGCATCGCGCTTGTAATGGTAGGTCTATAGGCTATTTCTTGTGAAACAGGTTGAAATGGTGTTGAACTTTGTCAGGGGCAATATTCACGTTCTCTTTGGCCATTTTGACACAATGGAACACCTGCAGGCCCTGTTTGAATGACATGTCACATTACATATCGTCACCGACGCCACGAAGGAACACCCAAGTCCACTCAATCAGTGTTACTTCGTGAAAACCGTAATGACAAAAACAATTCACGAAGTAACACATGTAGTGTGCCCGCGCACATCGGAAACTGGCGCGAACGATTTTCGTAGAAACACTATTTGGATAAAAACGTTTTAAAACGTTTGACAGGAATCCGTATTCTTGAAGGATTACAGACATTTTAATACAAAGCCTTTAAACTGGTGCAATAAAGATGAGTGTTACCGTACTTCGTGAAAACGAATATGACCGAGTCGGCGCACAGTGTGCATGAGTGTTACTGTGTGAAAACGAAAATCACTCGGTTCTGTAAAATACGCGCGCGTAGCGCGAACTCAAGACCACTTGAGTGTTACTTCGTGGTGTCGCTGACGAGATGTTACATCCAGGATACTTGTGAGTATATAAGACGCCCAAATAGTTGTCTAAATCCTAGATGGCATTTTTGGATCTTTTTGAGAAGCGAGTTCAAGTATCAGAACAGTGGTAGTGATGTCCTCGGTCTCGGTATACATGTACTCTGAAGAAAAAAAACCGCCATGGTCAGATTGACCCGGAATCTGGGTCGTATTTGGCCTGACACTCTTCAGGGTTGAAATTGACACTTAGACGGGTCAGAAAGACACTTTTGCCAACGTTTTTGGGTCGAAATTACCAGGGCAAATAATTCACTTAAGTGTCATTTTGACCCGGAAAATTGTCCATATTGATTCTGAAAGGTGTCAGGCCAAATAGAACGCGACTTCCGGGTCCATCTGATCAGAGATGGAGTGAAGGTGAGCGAGTAGGGGCCTGCCGTGGGGCCCTGGTAAGGGTCTTGGAAGGCGCACGATGGAGAATAGAAAAGTGGGTTGGTGGAAGTGTTGCTCGTTGTTCTTTTTATGAAGATTTAAAAGGAAGACATAAAATCCCCACCAATAGAAAAAAGCATTGCCTCGTGTCTATCATTCTTTCGTGATCATGTCGTTTGTTTATTGGGAGGTCAGAAAATGTTCCATATTTCAAACCTCTTCCCCAGGGCTTACTTTATTTCCAACCTCGTTTTCAATAGTACGCCCTGGATAGGAAACTTTCTTCCTGTATCCTGATTCGATACTGCTAGTAATGGATATATATCGTGTAGTTGGTGTTGTTATTTCCAACGTGCATTATACGTGTTTCACGATTATAGTAATTATAACGTCCTCAAAAATACTACATGTACTTTCCTTTCCAATTTTCTCACATTAAAATGAAATGGATACTGCATATTGGCGGGATAAGATTGTAAGATTTTAACTTCGAAAACAATCGTGTATACGTAACTCACAGCGCGACGAATCGATTCTGTTTTTACCCCAGACGACGCATGCAAAAACAAACGCTAACGTAACGCACAAGCAGGCACCAGACTATTCTTCATTTGCATACGTGTTCAAATTTTTGCACAATTCATGCAAATGATCCAATGGACCTTTATCATGCTGCCACCATTTCAATCATGTTCCCTGTATCCATTAACAGTACTGAATGATAATGTTTTTGTGCAAAAAGGATCCAGACTGTTTTTCCTTTAAGCCTCGCTTTGGTTACGTAAATTTGAATGGGGAAAAAATCAAGATAGCCGCAACATGATAAAGGTCTATACTAGGGTGAGAGAGCAGGTAGTGGTGGGCGCGTACTGCTCGACACCCTGGGGACGAGGTTGGCCACATTTATGTCATATCATTCACAGAAGAGCACTAACCACATCATGTGTTTTTTTTTAAAGGAGGCATGGGTTATGAATGGATTCAGCGTGTTTCAATCCAGCTCCATGTTCACTGATATCTGTATGACTGTTTGCACTGGAGACACGTTTGAGGTGCGCGCTTTTTTATTCCGCAGTGATGCGCATGCGTAGACCTGCTGCGCATTTATAGCTATTGAACTAAATAATCAAACACCTCAAAGATGGCTGCTGAGTGCAAAGGGTCTATACTGACTGAAAACTGTGTAGAGTTCACAGGCTGAAGTAACAAGAGCGCCATGTTGGGGCCAAAAAAGGCACGTCGTGCATGCGTTCTACGCCTGTTTGTATGAAGTGAAAAAATCACACGTCGATGTTTTGTCTAAATGTAGCACACTCCATAGTATCAGTCATCATCAAATTGCCATGTATGGTTAGGTTCAAACTGCAAGCTTAATTTTAAAGGAGTTTAATTTGAACGCAAACAGCTCAGTCTCCAGTCTCCAGTGCTTATCAGGCACTTTTGTTTTTGATGACAGAAACACGATTACGTCAACAGTTTTTTTTATTATTATTTTGCCATAGCAAAAAATAAAATTCCGAAAAAAATCGGCAAATTGACTGATCGTTGTGAATAATAATAATAATAATAATGTTGGGTATTTATAAAGCGCACGTATCCACCAGGTACTGGCGCTCACGGCGCTACATCATTATTACCCCTGCCTACACATTTCACGATTTCTTAATATGACAGCACTGAGCCAGACGGAATAATTCCACGGGGTGTCTAATACCAGTGCGATCTGCAATCCAAGTAAGCTGTTGGATAATGGTTCGGTAGGTTGGTTTAGGGATTGAATAAATGCAAATCATCCTGCTTTTGAGATCGTCTTTTCTCCTGCTTTTCCGACTGTATTCTGAAGGCTACGTACGCAGCTACACAACACGATGAAGCTTGGTCCTTGATTTTGTGAATCATAGTAGCGCCGATAACGATCTTTGTTTCTTCTCTATTGTGCTGTCATTTTCGACATGGCTGCATTTGCCATGGCAACGTCACTCCGAGCCGAACTGAGAGGAAATACAATTTTCCAAACAAAAGCCTTTTAATTTTGGCGCTGGGCGAATATTTTCCGCCAATGGTTTTTTTACAGAAAAGGTTGCCATGGTTTTGCGTGCGTATTTTGGCAACTCGCCTTTTGTAATCGTAATCAGATATTAAACCGTAGGTGTGTGAGGAGACCACCATAATTTTTATCAGGTACTTCGAAGCCGTCTTTGGTTGGGCGTGTTTGTGTAATCCATCCTTTTTCATCAGTATAAATCCTCGCATAATTATACAGATATTTTTTATGGTGGTCCATTTTCAATTTCCCGTCAAAATGAGAGGAATTCTCGGGCCCCTGGCTTTGTTGCTTGCTGCCATATTTGCTTCACCAGAGGGTAAGTTGTAAGTTTGTAAGACTAAAAAATATGTAAGTATTAAACAAAATATAAGTTTTCCCGGCTATTTTAAAACATTTTTCTAACCAATTCACCAACTCTAACATTCAATTTCGTCCGAGAAAAAAATCACACGCTTTCAACAAAACCAATTCAGTCATTTACCATTCAATTTCAAAGTTTGGTCACCCTCTTTAGTCACCGGGTCGAGAATATTCCTCATTACAGATCAGATAAGCTGTTGCCGAATGGCAGTATTCAGAGATGGAATTCGTCTTAAATCAGTTAGACGAATTAGATTTCTGAACAACAAGGTTTGGCGTAGACGAGACGAACTCGAATATTCCGGACGAAAACGTATGCTCATTGTATGAATTTGCTTGAACTGATTTTGATGTTGTCTGACAAAAGACGAAATTAAACATAGGAAGTGCACTAAATCGATGTTGATGGACGAATTTGAATATTAGAAACGGTGAATTCGATTGATAAACGTTTTAAAATAGCTGGAAAAACCTCCACTATATCATTTTTTTATCCCCTGCAAATTCTTTGTGCATCTTGGGGAGACATTTGTTTTTGCAGAAATGTTTATTTGTGGACCAACTACAACAAACAAAATAATTGGTGTATTTTTCTGAATTTGCAACATTCAAAGACCATATGTACATGACAAAAATATACTTGGAAAGTTACGATGAGTGGTTTTTTTTAATTTGCCATAACTCTTTATAGGCCTAATGACCTCTAATTTTTAAAATATTTTCTTGAGAGGCCTCCAAAAAACTTTGAAGGACCGTTGTAAGCAGTGGCGTAGCCAGGAATTTTTCAGTGGGGGGGGGGGGGGGGGGGGCGCTTGGGGGGCTGGAACATTTCATGGGGGGGGGGGGGGCTCATGTAGGGGCGTCAATCGCTTCTCAAAAGTGGGGGGGGGGACATACCTTGATCAGAACTGATGCGAGCGCGAAGCGTGAAGCCCTTACGGCGTGGGTGTTAGGGGCCCGCTTAAGGGCCCCGAAAAAAATTGGATTCTAGATGTTCTGTGGTGTGATCAGGTGTAAAAGATAATTTTTTGAACATCGTTTTCGAGGTTGGAGTCATTGAATCAGCTATCGGTATTCTGAGCTATAGGCGTGGGGTTCGGGCCCGCTTAAGGGCCCGACAAAAATTGGATTCTCGATGCTCAGTGGTGTGATCCGAGGCAATTTCTTACTACTTTAACCAATAATTATCTTGGCACAAAAGATAATAATTTAAACATAATTTTCGAGGTTTTCTCAGCTAAAGGCATAAGAAATTTTTTTGAACATTGTTTTCGAGGTTAGAGTCATTGAATCAGCTACCAGAAATTCCGAGTTATAGGCGTGGGGTTCGGGGCCCGCTTAAGGGCCCCGAAAAAAAATTTGGATTCTAAATGCTCTGTGGTGCTATCTGAGGCAATTTCTGACCACTTTAACCAATATTTTCTAAGCAAAAGATACATTGTAGTACATAATAGGGCCCTGTAAATGAGACACGAGTTCAAAAATCTGGGGGGGGGGGGGACATTTGATATTGTGCCCCCCACCCTTCAAAAAGTGGGGGGGGGGGGGGGGACCAGTCCCCCTGTCCCCCCAGGATTGACGCCCATGGCGTCATGTAGATCAATGATAATTTTTTTTTAGAAACTCAAAATCTCAGTGGGGGGAGGCGACAAGGTTTCATGGGGGGGGGGGCTGTCGCCCGACCCCCGTGGCTACGCCACTGATTGCAAGGAATTTTAATTGGTCCATTTATATTATTATTTAGCTTATATGAATGGAGGAAAAAGTTTGTGCGTGGCCGATTCGCGTGATATCGCTGACTGAAACTGTGTGACCCACGGACCACCTGTCTATAATACGTGTTCCGTGGTGTGAGCGAGCAGTGCAGTGGGTGTTAATCATTTTAGATTATCATTATGCGCTATGTCACGCCGGTTGTCAGCTTACTGGTCCACGGTCGCCGGTCGAAGGGTCGTTTCTCAGTGGTCATCATGTGTATCATTCGCGACTATTTAGATTTAGATCAATGATATTTTTTTTAGAAACTCAAAATCTCAAGGGGGGGGGGGGGCGACAAGGTTTCATGGGGGGTCGCCCCCCCACGCCCCCCCCCCCCCCCCGGTGGCTACGCCACTGGTTGTAACTAAGGAAATAAAAATACTACTGCATTATTTTTTTAATCCTGCTAATTGCTGTTGAGGAATTGGATTCTGTTATTACTTATTTCAGGGATGATTATTAGTGGAACATCAAAACACGAAACAAAAACATCAGATGTGTTTATTTTCTGAACCTGGCAACAATGAAAGGCCATATTTCAAAACTTGTTTTGAGAAGCCTCAACAACATACTGAATGACCGTGTGCTTCGCTCAGATGTGAGCGTCAACGTTGATGTTTTAAAGACGTGTAATATAATTTGTTTTTCATGCATTTTATGCCTTTCTACTTATAACTCCACGCAAAATTCAAAGAATTCGAAACCAAACCTGATGAAGTTTCAGCTTAGTGGATATTCGAGAAAACAGTGAAAAAGCATGCGACGTCCATTAGGGATGTTAATTTTCACGTTTCAGGCTTACATTTTATATCAGATTGTACAAAATCTTTTTCTTAATACAGTCGGTGCTCGCGTGTGCTACAAAGGCCAACAACCCCATCCTAATGCCCCGGAGCAGTACAGCTGGGTTACCCCCGACAAAAACCCCGCGGAATGCGCTCAGATGCTGCTTGGAGGCGTGAACACGGGGCGGTACGCGGCGGTGGAGAGCGGCCGTGACACGGTGATGTTGAGCAGGGAGAGCGCGTCGACGGAGCCGGCTAGAGTCTGCAAGCAAGGTAAGCTGAAATTGAGAGCAATTTAATGGTGATGGATACATATTTCTTTACTTATTTGCATGTATTTGTTTAGGGGTCCTAGGGCTCCCTTGCCCTCCCCCACCCCCCCCCCCCCGGGGGGGGGGGGGACAGACGGCCTGCCGGCCGTTGCAAATGCGAAATGCGGGGGTTGATCTTAAGTTCCTCTTTTTTACAAATACATAGGGAGAAATGAGATGAGTAGCATCGATTTAAAAAAAAAACCCGCTCGTCTTCGTTTGTTATTTTTTTTTTTTGGGGGGGGGGGGGGAGTGGTTGCCCCTGTTGTCCAATGGGTTCTTAAACAATACAAAGCTCATTTGTGCCTTTCCCGACTTCTGAAATGGGAGGGGGAACATGCCTCAAACAGGGGGGGGGCGTGCCGATCGATCCCTCGCCTTTGTTACGCCACTTCGAATTCACTACTCAGTCCTTCGACTTAATTTATAACATTTAGCGCAAGAAAATCGACAATGGAAATATTCTGCTCTGACCATGTCTTCCATTACTAACTATAATAGGGCCTAAGCTCCAACCAACATTTACATATTTGTATATGTCAGGTGGTCATGCAGTCGCTTTTTACAGGAATGACCGCATTTTACCATATTTGCATGTCTTTACTGATTTAATTTGTTCAGAGAAAACATCCGAATCCGATGCGGGAACTACGTGTGAAATGTCGATTCAGAGCTATAGGTTAACGTCGCGCCATTTTGAGGCACCAGTAGAGCGATTGGAATTTGCTTTCAGTACCGTTGCACCACTCGCTACATTGCATCTGAAGAATGCCGATGGCCTGCAGCTGTACACAATCGGTGAGTATAATGTGTCTCTTGGCCTTCAGAAGTAGTCCGAAAATATATAAATCTTTAGAAAAAAATGCAGTTGCACACGTCACGATAGCTCACATTAAAGCTATAGTCCATCATTTGTAATTTGTGCTAATGAAGGATACTGAACAACTAACCTGATGAACTTTCAGCTAAGCTTCAGCTGTACATATCGAGAAAAACAGCATTCTAAGATCTCAATTTCAAATCAAAAGTTACCGAATCATGTTTTGAATTGTTTTGAATTGCAGCCATACACGACGTAGCGCACTGATCCGACGAATTATAACAACCGCGCGCGCGTGTGCGTCGTTCCAATACTTGTGCGCGCTGCGCTGAATAACAAAACGAACTACTAATTTAAATTTTCCTACGGTGCTTCTTAAGAATCACCGTTGGAAATGCCTTCTTTCGTTGATTACTTCAAAATGACAGCTTCCCAGAAGGAATGATTTCACAGGGAGTTTAGTTCCCTTACTATCTTTCAACCAAGTTTGTTTTTCAACAATAATTACGCCAGTTACTTTTCGGATGGCTGCAAATGATGGACTATAGCTTTAAAGCCTGACTACTTCTCAATCCACTCGTTTTACCCCATTCCATTTGGGTCCCTAGATCCAGAAATGCAATAAATAAATAAATAAAAGGGTGTACATTTAATTGGACCACTCTCACCTGGACATGCTGAATCTGGGTTATGCATTGAATAGGCATTGAAGTTGCCGACATCACAGGTGAGAGTGGCCCAAGTAAAATTTACACCCTTTCACCTAATGATTGTATTTCTGAGTCAAGCGACCCAAATAGAATGGGGTACAAAAATTTATTTATTTATTTTTTAAATTTTTTTAAAATTAATTTTCCTTTCTGCATGGGGGAGACGTCGTCATCGTTTCGATGGACACCCATAACTAATTTCATTAAAGAAAAAACATTAAACAGTTTTAATTATTTGTTTAACGAATGCTGCACTTTTTTTTACACACTCTGTATATATAGTACCAAAACATTATTCCGCGGCTGAACAGAGGCGGGGGGAGTGGGCAGGAGGTTTGCACCCCATCCCCCCCCCCCCTCCTCACCGCCAATATAATATTGCAAAGCTTGCTCGCTTGATTCCTTACCATCTCGGTGAGTCAAAGAAACTGTTATCAATGATAACATGTCGGCCGCGTTCGACACTGTCGACCATGACATTCTGCTGCAGAGACTAGACAACCAATTTGGTATTCGTGGCACTGTCAAGTCTTAGTTTAGCACCTTCCTCAAAGACCGATCAACCACGGTTTCTATCAAGGCGATTTTTTTCAGAAAACACACACTCACTTACTCTTTACCACAGGGTTCCATAATAGGACCCCTTGGTTTTATCATATACACAACACCGGTTGGGGAAATATTTCTTGAATTTGATATCTGGTTCCACGCATGATGCCGACGATATTGAGCTATACTGCCAAATGGATGATTCACAACATGTTGTGATTAACCAGGACAAAACTGAATTCTTTGTTTGCCAACAGCCGTATTTTTCCTACATTCTCTGACCTTGAGCTGAAATTAGGCAGTCTTACTATTCCTGTTTCCAAGTCCAATGAAGAACTTAGGTGTCACCCTGGATGATTTTCTGAGTATGTCCCAGCAAGTTAATTTTCTTTGCAAGACCATTAACCTCCACATACGCAATCTCTGGCGCATTCGCCGATTCATCACACAAGATGCCTGCCATCAGGCCGTCAGAGGTCTTGTCCTGTCCCGTCTAGACTACGCCAACTCCCTCTTGTTCGGTGCACGCGATTCAGACCTTAAGCGTTTGCAGCGCCTTCAAAATAAAGCTGCTCGGCTAGTCTTTGCGTGTGGACGGGACCAGCCCTCTGCTGGCCTGTTGGCAGAGCTTCGCTGGCTCCCTGTCAAGCAACGGATCTCCTTTAAAATCACCCTCATGTACAAGTACCTTCAAGCTCTATCCCCATCCTACTTGACCAACCTTATACAGTTACTCAATGCTTCAGCTTCCCACATACACCGACTCCGCTCATCTTCTGATCATACCCGGCTTTCTCTCCCAAAAACTAATAAGAGAGCCGGGGATAACTCTTTCAAGGTAACAGCGCCGCGTCTCTAGAATGAGCTTCCTGTTGATCCGAGAGGCGGATTCTGTGTCAACTTTCAAGCGTTCTTTTAACGACTTTCCTTTTTCCAGATCTCTCTTAAATTGCCTGTTTCCCCTTGAATGTTGTTATTGTTAGTTGCTCTCTGTTGTCCCGACCTCTCTGTGTTTTCCCCATTTTGTTAGGCGCTGTGATCTTGGTATAGCGCGGTATAAATGTTCTGTATTATCATTATTTATTATTATATGTTGGTCAGTCGTAAAGACGAATCATGGTTAACAATCGAACTTAATTTGTGATTAGAAAAGTCCACGTTTTGGCGGCATAATATCAATACATGTTTTTGGTTACAGAGCTGCACCCCAATACAGGGACTTTACAACTGTCGAACCATGATGGCAGCGCCGATGACTTTGAGCAAATCGTGGGAGAGGACGGAAACTTCCCACCTCGCCTCTGGGTGACGTACAATAACTGCGAGATCAAGGTGGGCGTCCACAGAAGCAGCGACCCGAGGGTGAGCCTTCAGCAGGATGCCGCGAGTGAACCTCGTGAAATCTGGATCATTGACCTCTCCGCGGATGTATATTGGCAGATCTTCAAGCCATGTCCCAGTTTCAACATTCCACCACGGTAAAAGCCACATTTTGCATATCACGCTCCCATTGATGGATTTCGTCAGCACAAAATTTGATGTTGAATATTTTAGGACAAAAGGGAACTTAATTTCCCCTGGGCCCTATCCTAACAAAGTGTCAAAGCTATCGCTGAACTGTTGCCTTAAGTAAACTAGTCCAGTCCAATGTTTTAGGCCTGCACCATTATGTGCGAATGGGGGCGCTACTACGACAACATTGGGAAGGCGCAAACAGTAAAATATCAGCTTATTAATGCAATTTTGCAGAAATCTGATTTAGGGCCTACAGTGCAGGCGTTGCATGAAGACTAGCGTATCAGTGAAGGAACATTTTCAGTGAGGTACATTTTAGATTAATACGCGTCAAAACTGCAACACGGCAAAAGCGCCTCAGTTTTGAGGAAGCAGCAGTATGGCTTTTGTTAATACAAAAGGGCACTTATAAAAGCGTTTAAACCTAAATATGGTGTCTTATTATTTTCACAAGTAAGGAAGAACGGATCCGTTTTATTATTTTAAGAGAAAAATCCATGGCATAGTCGAAACAATGACACATGTAAGCTCATATATAATGTAAGCATGGTCGCGTTTGAACATTTTTTGTATTCGTGCGTATGCGATAAACTTCGTGCACAGATATAAGTGTTTCGACGAGACATATCGTGAAATATTTATTTCTCGTGCACAAATAAAAAACAAGTTATGTCCCTTAAGGGGCTCCTTAGGCTGGTGAGGTTTTGCTTTTATTCAATTTACTACGTGTGTAGATTAGGACAAAACCTGAATATTGAAGTAAATTATTTCCAAGTGTAAGTGACTGTGGCCTAAAGTACAGTGTTCTTTTGCGTACATTTTGTCTTATAGCAATAACAAATCAGACGTTTAGGGCGGACCCCCTCAAAGGGATGTTCGCGCTTTTTCTAATTCGAAATAATTTATGTCGTGCACAAAGATAATCTCGAAATCATTAATACGTGGGCACGAATTAAAAAAAGAAGAAGTTTAATGTCTCTTTAGGGGCTCAGTAGACCCTTTTGATTCTTTTAAATTGAATTATTTTTAGTACGTAATTTTTTATTTTCAAAGGTGAATGTTTATTTGAATGTTTAAAAAAAGTGAGGTTTACGTGGCTTAAATTATTTCTGGCGCACACTTTTGAAAGAAAATTGTCAGGGGCTCCGTGCACTGGCGAGTTTCTTTTGGTTTTCCGTTATTAGATTCGATAATGTGTTAGACCTAAAGAAACAGCAAATTCACTGAGACAAAGTTGGGCGCGGCGGGGTCAAGTCGAACATAAACGTTTGTAGATTAAGAAATTCTCTTTACAATGAGTTTTTTACCCGTAGCGAATAGAATTCTTGTCAGTTCTGGGGGAGTTAGAAACACGGTATAGCAAGTGTCGTTGGATATTCCATCGGTAATTACTGAATTTTCAAAGTAAAGATTAATTATAATAAAATAATGTAAGAATTTACTTTCTTTTAAGAAGGCCTTTAGAAATTTTGGTTCCCAGACCAAAATATTCTTTGGAGTGCAGACCAGTAAATAGGCCCAAAGTGCCTACGCCGGCCAAACCACGATTTGTACGCCCTCAAATTAATCGATATTACGGCAATTTGTGGGCCATAATCTTGGTGATTTGTTTTTAAAAAAAGCTTGTTTTTCTGTGATTTGTGGATGAAATTGGGCACAAAAAGCGCTCTATTTTTCAGTGGAGTGTACGCATCGTTTTTTCCAATTGGCGGTTGGCTTCAGGACTATTTTTACGGGTGATCATCTTTGGATTTCTCCCAAAAGTCATGGGATTACCCCCAAAAAATTAATTAAAAAATAAAAGATGATGAAATAAGCTTTAATTTGATGCGTGTCTCGAACACCTTGGAAAATTGTGAATATTTTTGCTGAAACTCTGTGGTGGCGGCATTCATTGTTGGGGTCTTTGGCAGTTTATTTACTGGTCTGCACACTCAGACTATTCTGACGAATCAACGATCTGTTATTGCTTGACTTCAGGATTGTCTGGCCCAGCTCCACCCCACCCCCCTTATTTACACCACTGATCATTCAAACACACATTTCTACAGACTTGCCTTAATTCTATGCATTTTTTTTTGGGGGGGGCGGATATTTCGACGTTGATGGTGCCATTGGCACCCCTATTTTACTACTCGAAAATAGGCCACATACATATTCACCACGGTCAAATCATGGGACTAAAAAATGACACCAAAAAAACAAAAATTGACAACGTCTTTTGGGGAGAGGGCTCAAGCCGCCCACCCCTGTGGAATTCTGTGGATTCTGTGGATTTTATTTTTTCTGTGGATTTTTAACTTTTAGGTCTGATTTTATTATTTTTAATCTTTTTTTCAAAGTAAAACTGATTGTTTGGCTTTACGCAAATTAAGTACTTTTTTCGAAGTATGGAATGTATTTTGATTAAAAGCCTCGTTGAAGTGGTCGTTAAAAATTACAAAACGTATTTTTTCCGAGTCTGAATTTCAGAGCTGTGGATTCAGCGTAAACCTTGACCGAGTCTTTCAAAGGCATGTCCAGTTTCCTGCACCTGTCCTTACGCTTTACCCAGTGGCCACAACACAGCCTAGTTTTGCCCTTCATCAAAAGACAAAATAATTTAATTAGAGTATCACAGACACTGACCTATATCTTCTTTTGTTTTCATGCATTTTTGTCTTTTATAACATGCCGCATTGCCATGGTTGCGCCACTCCGAGCGAAAAACTGACAGGACAAGAACATTTTCCGAACAAAGGTGTTTGGATATTGGCGCTGGACGAATATTTTCCGCCCGTGGTTTTCTACAAAATAAATTGTTGCCATGGATTTGCGTGCGTAAGTTAGAACGGAAAAAATTAATTAGATATAGGGCCTATGCAAACCCATGAGTGTGAGGATACTACCATAATTTTGTATCTTGCATTTCGAATCCGTCTTTGGTTGGAGGTGTTTGTATTTAAGACTCCGCTATATAAGACCCGGTATTAGTAACATTTCAGGGGTCGTCTTTTTTTGATGAGAGTTTCTCAAAAAGTCGTAGGTCAAAGAGTCAAAGTAGGCGCGTTTGTCTTGGTGCCGGTGCGAGACCACTAATTTTATTTAGCGCGTCTTTCTCGAAAGAAACTTTCAGTTGTTCTTTGACGGTTTCTCAACCATTTGAATCTCCTTTTGTAACCATCAAGACCGATCACTGACGGAACTTAGTATAATACCGGTCAAAAATCCGTCCGCCGAGCTCATGAATAAAAGTTATTCCCTCAAATCTGTTAACATTAGAGGCTTCTGAGAGCCATGGAAGCGGGTAATTGAAGCGATATGGCAATACACCTCTTGTCCGGACTTGGGGCTTCCAATTCCGAGTATTTTGAAACCAATCGGGCCTGAAAGTGGCGCAATTTAGCCATGTTGTGGAGGGATCCGTTTTCAAGATGGCTGCTTGCACTCAGTTGGGAAACATCACTCGTTTCAGGGGTCGTCTTCTTCGGGTGAGAATTTCTCGAAAAGTCATCGGTCTACCCACCAAAAATTGTAAAAAAAAATAAAATAAAAGATAACATGTTGATCCTTATTTTTTGTGCAGCCTGAACACCTGTGAGAGTTTTGTGTATTTTCTAAGAATTTTGGAGTATGGGCATTTATCGCTATTGTCTATGGGCCTTATTCACGAGTCGGCCATCTTGAATTGTAAGTGAGGTAAAATCGTCAATTTTGGAACTTGCGAAGAGAAAACAAGTTAATATATAATAATTGAAATCTGCTTCAATGAATAATATTCAAAATTTATAATTAAACATTCCTTAATGTTTAATATAACGCCGTATTTAAAAAACTAAACAAAAACATGACAGTATAATAAGGCTGCATTGTGCCTGCATAAATAATCTGGTGCCATCCCATTCAACAGTTAACAGTTAATAAAATACATTCAGGGAACTCGACAAAAATGAACAACTCGTGAATAATGTATTTGATCGGGTACACCCGGCCTAGTGGTCTCGATCTCGCTCCATTGTCTACTTTTTTTCCCTTTCAATTGAGGGCGCGCCACATAAATAGTGGTCTCGATCTCCCGTGCACCAAACTCGTTTTGGGGGCAACAACTCAAGAAATACAAGATGTGAAAAATTGAATTTTTGACCACTGATTTGTCGTTACCAGAAAATTACCAGATTTAATTTCATAAGAAACCGACCAACAATAAAGCTATTATGACCATATAACCATACCGTGTTTTACGCAATCCGAATGAGAGTCAACGTGGATTTTTCGCGTGTAAAACACTACATTGTTACGATCATATTGTTTTTATTGCTCAACGGTTTCTCGTCATATTCAATACACCTATGTTACACATGGTGGAAAATCAGTGCTCGAAATTTCAATTGAACACGTCTCTTATTTCTTGAGTAGTTCATCGAAAACGAGTATGTTCATTTTGTTCAATAGTGCAGCGTCCGTGCTGTTGCTTTGTGGAGACCACTAGTTATGTGGCGCGCCCTCTATTGAACAAATCTTAAATATAAAGCAGGCGCGTTTGTCTTGGTGCCGGTGCCAGAAGTTTTATTTAGCGAGCCTTTCTCGAAAGAAACTTTCAGTTGTTCTTTGATAGTTTCTCACCTATTTGAATCTCCTTTTGTAACCATCAAGACCGATCACTGGCCGACCTCAGTATAATACCGGTCAAAAAACCGTCCGCCGAGCTCATGAATAAAAGTTATACCCTCAAATCTGTTTTCTATTAGAGGCTTCTGAGAGCCATGGAAGCGGGTAATTGAAGCGATATGGCAGTACACCTCTTGTCCGGACTTGGGGCTTCCAATTCAGAGTATTTTGGACGCAATTGGGCCTGAAAGTGGCGCTATTTAGCCATGTTGTGGAAGGATCCGTTTTCAAGATGGCTGCTTGCACTCAGTTGGGAAACATCACTCGTTTCAGGGGTCGTCTTCTTTGGGCGAGAATTTCTCGAAAATCCGACTGTCAACCCACCAAAAATTGTAAAGAAAATGAAAGATGACATGTTGATCATCATTTTTTTGTGCAGTCTGAACTTGTGTGAGATTTTGAGTAAATTAATTCGCGTGAGGGAGCAGGACTATTTTTAAAGGTCGGTTTTCCATACCGATTGAGGCCGGGGCCGGTGTCACATGAAAATCCAACTCCGTTTGAAAATCGGACCCTCAAGTTTTCCCCTATTATGGGATAATCCCTCACATGTAACAGGTCACGCTCCCGAAACGATCCTAAAAATAGCATAGTATGGTACCTCACGCGTGCTCTCTTCATGGAGTCGGATATTCACACTACACCTGGGCCGCACCGTGACCATACAAGCCGGGCACAAAATTGTGCTTTTGTTCGAGGAGCAGTTTTTCACCTCGAGAAGTCACGCGTGTGGGCGCTTGTGTTTTTGAGGGGCAGTTTTGAAAGCTGGGAGACCATTTTATTTGAAGCGTGATCATAATGCTTTTTTAGAGGCAGTTTTGTTTTTATCTCGATGGGGCACATTTATAACATTGAGAGGAAAGAGGAACCGTCCCTCTGCCCCCCCCACACTAAACTATTGAGGGCGCTCCCGAACAATTAGTGATATGATCATCGTACTTCCAGTTCCATGGAAGAATAAGAACTTTGTTCCTCCATGGTACTTCCGTACCCGCCGTATACATCTAGTCCATATCTAGCGAAAAGTAAGTACATCTGGATGTCTGATATTAAATTTCTATAGGCCTATGGATGGGTAAATTATATTAATATAATGATTAATAATGCAAAAAAAATTGGCACATTTCTGCACAATATTGCAGAATAGCCCCCGCCACTCAATCTATCCACCTCGTACTGTACTGTAGCCGGCTACGGAGTCACGGTTGATGCTCAATAAACCATGCTGCACTGCACTCCCACTCCGTATCCGCGTAGCCGCCAACAGGGTGGTTGGTTTGGACTAAAAAAAAATTTTTCAGCAACTTCCATTCCTAGTCCAGCGGATGTGTGAAAAAATTTGTGCACTTTTGCATAAAAGCGTGAAACTTGGCACAGATGTTTATATTCATGCGAGAAAATATTTTAGATGTGGAGCCATCGCAAATTTACCCTTTTAGGGGCGTGGCATCCATGTAAAAAAAAGGGGGCGGGACTTGTCGTGCCCGCAGTAAAAATGGTTTTCCCCACTTGTTACAAAAGCAGGAAACTTCACAAAGACATAATTATATAGATTATTAGTGTTTCCCAGATTCGGAGCCACCACAAAAGTACCTTTTTAGGGGCGTGGCAGCCATTAAAAGAAAAGGGGGGGTTTAATTATTATGCCCACTTTGGAAAACATTGTGCCCATATTTCATAAACGAATAAAACGTCCCACAGACGTTTATATTCATGAGAAAAAAAATTCCGGATGTGGAGCCATCTCGAACACACCCTTTTAGGGGCGTGGCAACCATATAGGGAAAAAAAGGGGGCGGGGTTTTCATTATGCCAACCCTGGAAATATTGTTCCCACATTCATAGAGAAATGGAACTTTTCACAGACATTGACATTCATGATAAAAACAATTCCAGATGTAGAGCCATCGCGAACACACCCTTTTAGGGGCGTGGCAGCCATATTGAAAAAAAGGGGGCGGGGTTCTCATTATGCCCAACATGGGAAAAATGTGCCCACATCTCATAAACGAATGAAGCTAATTTCCACAGACATTAATACTCACGAGATAAAAATCACACGTAGAGCCATCGTAAACACACCCTTTTAGGGGCGTGGCAGCCATAATATGTGCATATTGAGAACCCCCCCCCTTTAAAAATGGATGCCGCACCTCTAAAAGGGTAGGTTTGTGATGGCCTCACATTAAAAAAAAAAGATTTTTATGAATGTACTGTCCGAGTGGAATTTAATCCATTTATGAAAGGTAGGCACAACTTTCTTTTATAGGGGCATCATGACTACCCCCCCCCCCCCATTTTATTATGGCTGCCACGCCCCTAAAAGGGTGTGTTTACGATCGCTCCACGTCTGATTTTTATCTCGTGAGTATTAATGTCTGTGGAAATTAGCTTCATTCGTTTATGAGATGTGGGCACATTTTTCCCATGTTGGGCATAATGAGAACCCCGCCCCCCCTTTTTTTCAATATGGCTGCCACGCCCCTAAAAGGGTGTGTTCGCGATGGCTCTACATCTGGAATTGTTTTTATCATGAATGTCAATGTCTGTGAAAAGTTCCATTTCTCTATGAATGTGGGAACAATATTTCCAGGGTGGGCATAATGAAAACCCCGCCCCCCCCCTTTTCTGATATGGTTGCCACGCCCCTAAAAGGGTGTGTTCGAGATGGCTCCACATCTGAAATTTATTTTCTCATGAATGTCAATGTTTGTGGAAAGTTCCATTTCTCTATGAGTGTGGGAACAATATTTCCAGGGTGGGCATAATGAAAACCCCGCCCCCCTTTTTTTCCTATATGGTTGCCACGCCCCTAAAAGGGTGTGTTCGAGATGGCTCCACATCTGGAATTTTTTTTCATGAATATATACACGTCTGTGGGACGTTTTATTCGTTCATGAAATATGGGCACAATGTTTTCCAAAGTGGGCATAATAATTAACCCCCCCCCTTTTCTTTTAATGGCTGCCACACCCCTAAAAAGTTACTTTTGTGGTGGCTCCGAATCTGGAAAACACTAATAATCCATATAATTATGTCTTTGTGAAGTTTCCTGCTTTTGTAACAAGTGGAAAAAAACAATTTTACTGCGGGCACGACAAGTCCCGCCCCCCTTTTTTTAAATGGATGCCACGCCCCTAAAAGGGTAAATTTGCGATGGCTCCACATCTAGAACATCTGTGCCAAGTTTCACGCTTTTATGCAAAAGTGCACAATTCATCGATATTTTGTCACATATCTGCTGGACTATCCTTGTGTGTTGCTTCGTTCTCAAATAATGGACCCCCACTCAGTATCCGCGTAGCTGGCAATGGACTCGAATTGTTTCTTTTCCAGTGATTCCAACCACGTAGCCAGAGATTTTAGGGGTGCATTTCTAAGTGGCGGGGTATTCTGCAATTCCTGCAATTTGCAAGACCTGGATCCAATGCTGGAGTTTTTGGAGTTATTGCAAAATTGAAAATACCCGGCCCGCCACTCGAAAATTAAACCCGCTACCTAGACATCTGAAAAAGGCTCCTTACATTCAAAATGGCTGCCATCAACAGACAATTTTCGAGCGCATATGGGCTCAAGAAAAATTAAAAAATTTCTTGGAAAATTGGATATTATTAGGCTACACCTAAGCATCCTAGAAGTGAACAGCTGAGACATAAAAGATGTATTCTTCGTAAGAAACTCGTGAAATTTCATGTTTAAATTTTGATACGCAAACATGTGCAAACGAATCTGGAAATTTCGCGAAAAATAGACATCTGAAAAAGGCAGCACTTTCTGATCAGGTTATAAAGAGGGTGAGTATGCTTCTAAAGCAACAATAAACTACAAACTAAGCCTAAAATGTGAAAATAAAAATTTGACAAAGTTCGACATGTTTTTGTACATGGTGGAAGTGTGGCCTTTATTTATGGAGGTAGTCCAGTAAATTGGCCACATTTATGGGGCTAGGTGGGATGTAGCCCAGGTTGGACGAAATGTAACGTAGGGAGGAAAGGGACTCCACCTGGGCTAGGTGGGACGCCGTATTATTGCCGTACTTAACACGTTTCTTGATCGGGATAGAGATTGTCCACAAACCTTGCAATATCATACAAGGTCAATGGATAATGGCAGTCTGGGTGACCGTTTTAGCCGATTTTTGGCTAACCTTGACAGATTTTTTGGTAAAAAAAATCAGTTTGACAGACTTGTGAGGACTTGACTACAACTGTTCACGTTTTTGCCAAGAAAACGACTGACGTATTTTCTTTCATTCCATCAATCCAGCACCCAGGTGTATTGATTATTTCAAGATGTATCGTCTGAGCATCAGAGACCTCCTAGATGGATTCAGTGATGGCACCTTGTCATGCGAGGCCTACACACGACGAGTCATCCAACGGGCTCAGGATCTGAAAGTCTTTAACCACTTTGTCTCCATGGATACGGATCGGATGCTGAAGAATGCCCAGGAGGCGGATGCCAGGTACAAGAGCAAGACCAACCGGCCTCTAGAAGGCATCCTTATTGCCATGAAGGATAACATCGACATCCAAGGGCAGGTGACAGGAGCTGGCACGCCTGGTCTCGCCGGCCTAAAGGCCAAGCACACCGCCGAGGTCGCTAGGAGGCTCTTCGATGCCGGGGCCATCCCTGCCGGGCGGACTGTCATGCACGAGTTGGCCCGCGGATCATCCACCACTAACCCCTACACGGGAGACAGCCACAACTTCCACAACTTTGACTACACCTGTGGGGGAAGCAGCGGGGGAAGCGCTGGAGCAGTTGCCGCTGATATCGTTCCCGCTGCTCTTGGAACCGATACCGCAGGATCCATCCGCATTCCTGCTTCCTACAGTGGGGTGTATGGACTGCGTCCGACCAGCAAGCGTTGGCCTTCAAATTACGGTCTGAAGTTTACGCATTTGAGGGACTCTGTAGGACCTCTGGCGAGGAGCCTCGAGGACATTGCCATCTTAGATCAGGTGATGACGGGAGAGGAAGCTCACCCTGAGCTCTTGCCAACAGAGATCCGAATCGGTGTTCCCAGGTCCCACTTCTGGGAGGGTCTTGACCCCGAGGTGAAGGAATGTGCCGAGCAATTCTTAGTCTCTGTCAAGGAGAAAGGGTTTGTGGTCATCGAGCAGGGAGGGATTCCGGGACTTGCTGAGATCTTCCGGGATTACCTCCACCCGTCCATTAACCATGAGATTGTCGCAATATTGCAAGAATACATCCAATACCACGGCCATAACGTGACCATGGCAGACATTGCTGAAAAGATAGCCACCCCAGTGGTCAAAGAGGGATTTGGGAAAGCCATGAATAACCCTCCGAGTGAGGAAGTGGTGCAGTCGGCCATGGAAGCAAGGGACAAACTCATCCATGATGTCCAGAAGTACTTTCAGGACCACCGTCTTGACTGCATCCTGATGCCGGCCAGCAAGATCCCTGCCCCAACCCTCAGTGCCTTCAAGTCGGAGAAAGCAGGAGAGCTCCTGGTCATCGTGGAGAATCATGACTGCGCCAATGTGTGCAACAACCCTTCCCTGGTCATCCCGGGAGGGTATTCCAGAGCTAGCGGAGTTCCCTTCGGCATGCAGATTGAAGGTCTTAGTGGAAGCGATAGCCGGCTGATAGCAGTAGCTAGAGCAATTCAGAATGCCTTACAGTTGTAACTATTTGATTAATACCCAACGGTGGCAGAAGCTTCGAGTAACATGCACCATGTGCTCAGTGCTCCAACTGTTTACAAATCCTGATAGATCCTGAATTTAGTATTTTGCAACTCATTTTTGCATCTCCCAAGCTTACTTCACGCATGTATAGATCTGTCTATCTTTGTGTACATTTATAGCATCTGCAATTCGAACACCGCCACCAACTGTCCATTGTTTCCGCCTTATTTTTCAAAGTATTTACTCGGCGCAAAAGTTCCAGCTACACTTAATGAAAAAGCTGTGGACATATAGTTAGTTAGAAATGTTCAGATAGTATCAGTGGCGGTTGGGGGGGGGGGGATTTCCCACCATTTGTCTTCTTTGCACCCCCCAAGTCCCCCCCCCCCCCACCGAAAATCAAACAAAAGAGAAAAAAAACCATTAAGGTGAAAGTAAAGGAAAACAGAAAAGAGACTCAAAGTCGATAATTTACTGTGCGCTGAATGTATATTGACTAAAAACCCCTGGAAATGCCCTTAAAATGCGGCTATTTGGACATAAATACATGTACGTACATGAATATGGTTGTCAACAGCACCCCCAGCGTCAAATAATGACCAATCCCCCCCCCCCACCCACACACATTTTTTTCGATTTTTCCATGGCCTGTGATTTTTTTCTATGTTGTCCCCCAAATTATATTTTGACCCCTCACTTTCCCCTCCCCCCAAAAAATTGTAAAGTCTGGCGCCGCCACTGTGTATCAGTATTGAATAAAATTTTTGCAAAATATGCGAAGAACAGAATGATCAAAGGCAAAAATAGTAGCTGCAGCCTTTAATAAATTAACTACATATACACCACCTCTATAAACAGTTTGTAGAAATTTATCCAAAATGAGAGGAAAAGTATTTTTTATAGTTTACTAAAAAAAGAATTTGTGTTATACAATTGTACATCTGAAATTATTATTATTTTTTTTTGCAGCTGACAAGAAATGTTTTATTTAGAAAAAAAAATCTGTCAAATCGGGACCTATGCAATTAAGGTTTCAGAATTTGTCATTTTGTTGATTCCATGTTGTTACCAATATGGTTGTATGTCATTATCATAGATAATGGTGAAATTATAGTACATGTATAGAAATATTGACTGCTTTGAGTGGTGTGGTAAAACTAGCCTCTTGATAATGGTGAAATTAGGCCCCAAAAAATAAGTCTCCGGTTTCTGGTATGGAGCTTGCCCAAAATGTGGTGCAGCGACACGGCTTTTTTTTTTTTACCTGTTTTTTTGGCTTCAAATGTCGGCTGATGACTGCAAATGGTGCCCGACTAAACTTCGTGCAAACATATAAGAGTCCAGAGAGGCCACATAAAGCTTATTCTCGATCATAACCCAATCTAAAAACACGTTAAAATTGTGCAGCAGCAGGATTCCAGTCAAACCAGTGAGTTTGGCGGTTTGAGACATCATCTTTCATTGAAAAAAAAACAGCTTTTTCATTTTGCCGACGCACATGGCTACGGCGACGCACGCGCATACCAGAAACCGGAGACTTTTTTTTTTGGCCTTATAGTACATGCATAGAAATATTGACTGCTTCGATCGGTGTAGTAAAACTAGCCTCTCGAGGTGATTCCTGGACCATTCTATTTTTCTCCCACAGATTCTGCTTGATTTTATGGGATAACTTATTATTTTCATCTAATACAATTAAAATGTACTTCAATACAAACACGAAATTATTTGATAAAAAATTTACCTGCTCTTTTTCAAACTACCCCTTCAAGAAATGTTTGAACCGAGCTCTGTAGTGCTAGCGGAACAATATGCGCAACGCGCACGTATATGCATTAATTTTGCACTCACAAAAAACGGTTCTTATTCGTTGCTACGGGAATAGTACTATGGTTGCTACGGGTATAGCACGTTTGGCAGTCACCCCTGGCAAGATAGCAAAAAATAGCGAATGCCATGTGACTTGCTCTTGGCCAATCAAGATACAGAATAGCTAGCACAATGCTTTCACCATTGAAGGGGGCCATAGCGTGCCTGGATTGGTCTATAGTATTAAGCCTATTTTCAAATGCAAGTACATTTTAAATGCAATAAAGTCAACTCCCATGTTTGCAGTATTGTTGTCGATATCCTGTAAATTTTTACCAGCAATCCTGGGCCCAATTTCATAGCGCTGCTTATAGCCAATTTTGTGCTTACCGAGCCTCCATAGAGACTGTAAGCAGTAAGCACAGCAAAAGCACGCTTAACCAAGTGGAAATGTAGCTTAAAATCAGTGTCGTATCAATAGAAATGTCCATGCGTGCTTAACCGTTAGCACATCTACGCCATGAAATAGTGCTTAAGCAGCAGCATGATTTTCTGCTACACACGGGCGTTGCTAGACCATTTTGAATGGGGGGGGGGGGGTGCCATCATGAAATTTGCCAACGGACCGTCATGCAAAATGAGTGAAATTGATAATTTCCGCCCAAAATGATCCTTTTAACTCCATTTCTAATTTCCTCCACAAATAATTATATGAATGGTTGATTATGTTAAATACTTTGAATGGATTTAATTTTTCAGTGGGAAAAATTCAACTTCAAAAGTAAATCGTCAAAATGTTGCCCTATCATATTGAAAAGTTTTGGACATTTGCTCGTCGCAAAACTGCATGTACAAGCTCAGTACGTGTGCGCATACCTTGTTCAGGCCTGTTCCCTGATCCCAGACTGGAGGGGGTCTTTAAATCCTTAAGTGGAACTTTTTATATGTGAGCGCGGAGCCCTAAAGGCATGGGGTGACATTGGTTTCTAGATGCTCTGTTGTGCAATCCGAGGCATTTCCTGACCACTTTCCCCTGACTTTTTGAATGAAATGTGTTCGTTTTTAGTGAGATGGGGGGTGGGTCATCAAAGTTGATATATTACATCACAAACACCACATCAAAACTGTAGCTTGACTCTCCTTTGAGATTTGCCCTCTTTAGCTTGATCCATGATGTTGAGAATCAGCTCAATTCGTAACTGTCTGCGAGCGAGCACGTGCTTGTGTTTTGCACAGCTGTAGCTGTCAACCCCCGTTTATGAAGCGACTTCGCGCGGCAGCTTGTGCCGACATGACAGAATGTACAATCTTTTGCCATGGGTTACAGAACCGGATTTTAGCTTCGCTGGGTTTTGGGCAGCAGTGTTTATTAGTTGCATTCTCCATTTTTTTCTTCTTCCCTCTTCCTTTCCCCTTCCTTTCCCCTTCTTTCCTCTTCCTTTCCCCTTCTTTCGGCATTCATCAGTTTCTATTTTGCCGACAGCATCATGATTTTGCCGGCAAAACTGACTAATGTTTTTTTTTTACCCCCCCCCAACAACGCCTGTGCTGCTACAATAAGCACAACTTTTCTGCTAACTGTTAAGCAGCGCTATGAAATTGGGCCCAGCTTGTAGAGATAGTCTGGAAAGTCCAAGGTTCGAATCCAACTTGAGCGTACTGCTTTAACACACTTTACAGCAGTCTGTGAACTACATGTATTCCAGTTGTGGTCAGTTACCAGGCTTCCATCTTGGCAGTGCATGGTTCGAATGCAATTTGGATGTCTTCTCAGTTGAAATTTAATGGGGTTACTTCATGGAGAAGCATTTCAGCAGTGGCTTCACCAAGTTCCCATTCTGGCGGTCCATGATTCGAATCCAACTTGGGTGTCTGCTCAATTGAAAATAAATAAAGCACCTCACGATGTAGAAGTACTTTCAGTTGTGCATGGTCAATGACCAGGCTTCCACCCTGGCGGTCCATGGTTCGAGTCCCATTTGGGTGTCAATGCAACGTTATCGTAATCAAAGTCTGCATCCAACGAAAAGGGCTGCACTTCATCACTGGAATCCTGCGGGAAATGTTGGGGGGAAAAAATCATTACCCATAATCAGTTAAAAGCATGTAAAATGTTAGCTGGCCTAAAAATGTGACAAATGAACAACAAATATCATTTTAATGGTGACAACTCGACTCTCTCATACTTCAAAATGTAATCCCCCTGGGAAAGTTTATTACCGGTTGAACACCCACAATCAGCAGGAAGCAATTAGTATCACTTGACTGAATGCCTTGTTAGGTTTGCCTGAACCCTTGCCAAGTGGCCTAAACGCACCCATATTTTCAATAAATATATTATAGTGCAACATTTGTTTATGCCCAGAAATGAAACCATCTTTCCTTTTTTTTTTGATCGTTGAAATTGGTACACAAAACTGGAAATCCTGAATTATGGGGTTGTACATTTACATATGTGGCCTGTGCGTGTGAGTTTGTTTATGGTGTAAGTCGAGGACACACACTTGCAAGATCATCAGTGAATCCAGGACAGGAACCACATTGAGGACGACCTCGATTAGAAAACGTGTACGAAACCAATGAGAGCTCTTGCGAAAAAGTTTACGTACAAACAAAGGTAAAGGGAAGAGGAACAAAAGAAAATCCTCAATTTACACCATAAACAAACCTGTCTGAGTTTGTGTGTTTCCAGAGAGGATGGCCTGAACTGTCCACCTCAGGTTTGGCAAACTGCCTGAAGGGATTAACCAGATAATATTACAGTGGGCTGAGTAAAAGACAAACAACGAAATTCTGGTATGAAAAAGACCCTGGCTTTTTAAAAGGCAAAATCACCGCATGACTACTAACGCACAGACTGCATACCTCTAATCTTGTTTCTGATTGTGGGTCGTCTTCTGTGGCGACAGCCTCTGGACATCTCGTTGACATCTCAAGTTCTGTCCGATGGACTGCATCATCTGAGAGAGATAAGACTCCTTGCCCATCCTCCTCCTCCTCTGCCTCTCCGGGAAGCGTTCGCATCTCGCATCCTCCTCCGAATTCCGGATGAGCTTGCGATATCTCATCTTTGTTGTCATTTCCTTCATCTTCTTCTATCCTCTCGACGAGTTGTCTGGTGAGCTTCAAGGCCGAGGAGGCGGGGGAGCTGTCGACGATTCCGAAGGACGACTCGTATCGACAGGATGCAAATTCCTCGTCATTGTCAAGATCGTCTTCAAGGAGCTCGGCATCATCGACAAAGTTGTCCATCTGTTATGAGAAAAGCCAGAGTTGTAGATGAGTTAATCTTGAGTCAAATTTCAAGTCAAAATAAGTGGATCGTTCTATAAATTTAGGGTCCAAAATGTGACATTTTCTGTCCCGTTTCCTTGGTACCTTGTTTGCCATTCAGGTATTAAGAATGACTTCAACTGATGGGAAGGTAGTTTAGATGACTGCATTAAAGAGTACATCAGAATTATAAACTGACATACATGTCAGATGTAATGTAACAGAGACAGGAAAAAAAGTGGACCCCAAATTTATAGAATGACCCAAACCCCTTTGTCAGTTGACCTGTCCCTGCAAGTCCCTGCAAGTCCATCACAAGCCCATCACATGTCCATCACAAGTCCATCACAAGCCCATCACATGTCCATCACAAGTCCATCACAAGTCCATCACAAGTCCATCACATGGCCATCACAAGTCCGTCACAAGTCCGTCACATGTCCATCACAAGTCCATCACAAGTCCATCACAAGTCCATCACAAGTCCATCACAAGTCCATCACAAGTCCATCACAAGTCCATCACAAGTCCATCACAAGTCCAACACAAGTCCATCACATCTCCATCACAAGTCCATCGCAAGTCCATCGCAAGTCCATCGCAAGTCCATCGCAAGTCCATCGCAAGTCCATCGCAAGTCCATCGCAAGTCCATCGCAAGTCCATCACAAGTCCATCACAAGTCCGTCACAAGTCCGTCACATGTCTGTCACAAGTCTGTCACAAGTCCATCACAAGTCCGTCACAAGTCCGTCACAAATCCATCACAAGTCCATCACAAGTCCATCACATGTCTCTCACAAGTCCATCACAAGTCCCTGCAAGTCCATCGCAAGTCCATCGCAAGTCCATCGCAAGTCCATCGCAAGTCCATTACAAGTCCATCACAAGTCCATCACAAGTCCGTCACATGTCTGTCACAAGTCTGTCACAAGTCCATCACAAGTCCATCACAAGTCCGTCACAAGTCCGTCACAAATCCATCACAAGTCCATCACAAGTCCATCACATGTCTCTCACAAGTCCATCACAAGTCCCTGCAAGTCCATCACATGTCTCTCACAAGTCCATCACAAGTCCCTGCCAGTCCATTACAAGTCCATCACATGTCTGTCACAAGTCCGTCACAAGTCTATCACAAGTCCATCACAAGTCTATCACAAGTCCATCACAAGTCCATCACATGTCCGTCACATGTCCATCACAAGTCCTCCAGTCTCAAGTCAAATTACTAGCTATAGTCAGATGAACTGGTATTAAAAAGAGAATTCCTTTGTCATTGTTCATCCAGTTACATATGACTGGCTGAATGAAAGGACTTGTGAAAGGACATATGAAAGGGCTTGACCACAACACTGATGCCTTGTGATTGACGTGAAGACTGGAGTACATTCCACAACTAATATTCTGAAAAGAGAGAGCTCCTACCTGAACAAATCTGGGACCTGCAGGTAAATCTGCTGACTGACGTGTTGGTGCATAGTGGCCCTCGTCTAGTTCCTGCTTGCAGAGTAAACAAAAAAAATATAATTAAATTAATATTCATCGCTAAAAGGGCTGAAAAACACAAAAAGCATCCCTTCATTGAATAACAGGTAACACTGCACATAATCGGCTAAATTTATTTTGGCTCTGTTACATTCGCACACAAAAAAGTTTCAAATAAAACACAAAGGGAAACTGACGAGGTGCATTATAAAACTTCAAAGTTGGACAAAGAAATTCATGAGTGGAGCGGGATTTGAACCAGCGACCTTTGGATTGTGTTCCGGCGCTCTACCAACTGAGCTATGCAGACCTATGTTGGCGGTACCCCATTTTGTCAGTGTCTTTGTTCAAGGGCTGCTAGTCAGAGCTATAAACCCGCATATGCTGTGAAGCCAGGGAAAGTCACGAAGCTTGCAACATTAGCAATACTGCAAAGCTGGTGGAAAAAAAAGGGCGGGGGTAGTTCATCTTGCCTCGGTTTCAATGTCATCCTTTTTGCTGCCGTGCTCTATTAGTTTTAGATCTCCAATCGGGTTCATTACCCCGTGTGACCTTTGACCTTCAGCCATGTCGTTCTGCTGCCTCAGCATCTTCTGCAGCTGTTGAGCTTGGTGCTCCACAACATCCTCTGTGTGAAAAGGACGAGAGTTTGGATCAAGTCATCCAAGCTGTTCAGCCAATCAAAGCTGTCACATTTATCAGAAATCATCGTATGCCAATCAGAGGTCATTGCATGTCAATCACAAGTCCTCATAAGTCATAACAACTCAATCACAAGTCATCACAAGCCAACCATAAGTAAACTATATGTCAATCACAAATCATCACAAGTCAATCACAACTAAACAACATTAAGTCAATTACAAGTCAATCACAAGTCAATCACAAGTTATCACGAGTCAATCACAAGTCATTTCAACTCAATCACAAGTCATAACAAGTCAGTCATAAGTAAACCATAAGTCAATCACAAGTCAATCACAACTAAACAACATTAAGTCAATCACAAGTCTTCACAAGTCAATCACAATTAAGTCATCACAAGTCAATTACAAGTCATCACAGGTCAATCATAAGTAAACTATAAGTCAATCACAAGTAAACCACAAGTAAACCACAAGTCAATCACAAGTCAATCACAGGTCATCACAAGTCAGTCACAAGTAAACCATAAGTCAGACACAAGTCATCACAAGTAACTCAGAAGTAAACAATAAGTCAATCACAAATCATCACAAGTCAATCATAAGGTCAAGTGACAAGGTATTCTAATGAGCTGTGACACAGGCATTCCTCTGTCAATATTTATCATCTGTGACCTGTGATATGACATGTGATTTTACTTGCGATTGTCACTGACTTATGATTGATGTGGTTGTTCCCAATCCTAGTAGTAACCAATCGCAGAGATTAAAACTTCAAAAATCAGCTCTGGATGCCACCTTTTCTGAGACTGGTGAAGCAGCTCATGAAGTCCTCGTAGCTCTGCTCCGTCTTTCCAAGGACGGTCTCTATGGCGCTCCTCATGTGCTCCTCAGTCAGAGTGTTGGTTCGGTTGTCCTGTTCCTGATTTCCAGCAGCCATATTTTGGGCGATCGTGTATCTACGGGTCTGGTTCCTATAAGGGAACAAAAATCCACTTTTTAATTATCTGACGTGGTGACATTAAGAACATGCAGGTATGTCATAGATAAAGGGCAGGGTTTTGAATTTTTGAGGGAAATTTGGGGGGAAAATGATGATGACAATGACAAAACGCAACAGCAAAATAAAGATCATCGCGCGATGTACATGATGTACCGTGAATGCACAAGGCACGCTAAATCGCATTTAGTCCCATAAATGTGGCTGAAATACTGGAATACCTCCGTATTTTATACTAGTCCAGTATTTCAGCCACATTTATGGGACTATGTTTTTATTTATCGTGTTTATGGGGAAAATTATGGGGTAAAAGGATGACAGTGCCTGAACTGCTGTGGCTCACATGTAGTCTTAACAGGTAAGAAGAAAGTTACATTTTACAAAAGTACCAAAAAAAGTAACAAAAATAATCTAAACGCAGTGGCTATCGTTACGGCAGCCGTAACGCATTTCCCATTTTCTATCGTTACGGTAGTAGGCCTACTGCAACTTTTATAAAAACATGAGAAGAAAATATAAAATTAGAAGGAAAAAAGTGAATTTGAACGTTATGAAATTCGGACTTTATTTCCCTTTTAAAAAAAATCCTCCAAAGCCTCAGGTTAAAAGAAAAAAAGATTCAAGTGCAAAACGGAGATGCGAACCCGCAACCTCGCGGTGCAAATTCCTAGTTCCTACCCTCTATCGACTAAGCTGTCGCACTGCTCGCTGCGTGCGTATCAAAAAAGTATTGTAGAGGGCGCTAAAAAACGGCTGCCGTAACGATAGCCACTTCGAAATCTAAATTACAAAAAGAAGACTGCTTGCTTGGTCATGTTGGTGAACGTAATGCTGCCAAAGTCATTTTATAAACGCAGTGGCTATTGTTACGGCAGCCGTAACGCATTTCCCATTTTCTATCGTTACGGTAGACTGCAACTTTTATAAAAACATGACAAGAAAATATAAAATTAGAAGGAAAAAAGTGAATTTGAACGTTATGAAATTCGGACTTTATTTCCCTTTTAAAAAAAATCCTCCAAAGCCTCAGGTTAGAAAAGGAAAAAAATTCGAGTGCAAAACTGAGTTTCGAACCTACAACCTCGCGGTGCAAAATCCTACCCTCTATCACCTGAGCTGCCGCACTGCTTGCTAAAACATGTGGAAACAAATAATTATATACCTGCGTGCGTATCAAAAAAGTATCGTAGAGGGCGCTAAACAACGACTGCCGTAACGATAGCCACTTCGTATATAAAAGTACTTGAAAAGTTGAAGACAGTCCCTTGCAAGAGTCATTTTTGAACAAAAAAGGGAGCCCCAAAGCACGCCAAATATAATATGCCCCATACATACATCAATTAAGAATGGTGAGGTAATTGTGGTGTAATTAAACCATAGTTTTTAGGGTGAAATGTTAACGCACCGTCAGCACATAGCACTGTTGTCAACATTCAAGGGTACATGGAGGTCGCCATGTTGTAGCCTCGTTCCTAAATAAAAATGCAAAATAAATAAAAAAACAAATCATGAATGTTTATAAATATAAAACTATGGATCAATAATATTATTTTATAATTTTTAATATATTTTTATAAGTTTGATTTGTAAAAACTTTAATAAATTTGTCCCAATAACTTTTGACGAATAACTAATTTTAGAAGAAGTGGCATTTACGCATGCGTAATTCAATTTGCCATGCAACGAAGCGACGCTAGCTGTAGGTCATGTACAGTACAGGTACGTGTTAGATTGGGGGTTGTGCACCTGTTCATCAGAACTGAGAACTAGTCTCAGGGAGTCTCATTTAAAAAGTGAAGCACATGCGCGAAGGAAGTTCCTCCATGGCACATGTTGTAAATACTAAATGACAAAAACAAGTTTATATTTACAGGTTTTGTGGCATATTTACTAAGTTTTATTTATGGAAAGAATGTAGTATCGAGATGCCAGCGCCGGTTGTGTACAAAGTCTATGGAGAGTCTATAGTGAGCGGAGCCTCATAGTTCTAGGACTAGGAGTATCTATAGACCCCATGGGGCCGGGGCGCTAACTCCTTATTTGACCTTTGGGATTTGGTCTGTGGTACTAGCGCCCTACGACAGACACAATCTCAATTTGAGAATTCTCAGTGTTCACCACAATGTTGCCAAAAATCACGCAAATACTTTCCTAACAAAATTAGAAATGTTTCTCAGTCCCAGATTCATGTCTTTTCAACTTTTTTTTGCAATGGCTGACCTTTATATGATATTGATATATATGAAGAAAAAAGTTGCGTCAGGTTGCAACATTCTTCCTATGATGATTTTGTAACTTTAAATGTCTTCCTTTATCGTGGTGATACTATACTTAAGGACAGGAAACAATTGCAAGTTGGCCATGCATGCCACGGCAGAGCAAGCTGGCTAGGGCATGCACTAAACTGTTTGATAAAACAGGGAAAGATTCCCATATCTGGCAATCACTATTTTTTTCCCTTCAGTGACATATCAGCCATCAGAAAGTGATAATATGCCCTAAAAAGTAAAATTTAGCTGGGGAAAAAGTTTTACTAAGAAAACACTTAGACATTTTTAGACTAGTCCCATAGGGTTTGTGCACAGGGTGACAAGTGATGGCCAGATATGGGAATCTTTCCTAAAACAGTCACAGTAAAAATTGACCATTCGTTCCCATGATTCAGTGATGTTTAACTTCCCTTTTTCTGGTGACAATTTCAGCTCACTGTCGGAAAGCAATGGAGCAAAACATGAAACAGAGACAACAATGACAAGACAGTCGGGCACCACCCTGCAACTGACTGGTGGACACCGCCTCTTACACATAAGCAGTCAGGGTATCTGACCAAGATGGCCGACCTTGAGGGAAATGTCACCACTGATCTGTTCCTACTACACTTCAGTTGTCTTCCATAAACAAGAAGTTCTAACGAACAAATTTATTCCCCAGTGTTTTGACTGCAGCTAGATTTTTATAAAGTGGAATTAGGCTGACAAAAAAAAGCTGAAGAAAAAAAATTCTTGAGGCTAAAATGTTCCTGTTGGTCGTGAACAAAACTCGAATGACAGCTGAAACTTTTAATTCTAAGCTTTTCAAATAAGACTTGTCAAAATTAAACCTTGTATTCTTCAGATTGCTTCGTGAATGAAAACGGTCTGACGTCACCATGTCGTTGCGGACAAAGATCAACGGCTTCACGTCGTGGGTGAACCTACGGCTGAAGCCCTATAACATGCTGATGAACAATGTCATCATGGACCTGCTGAAAGGAACCAACCTCAAGATGTTGCTGCACAGTAAGTTCTTAAAATTGACAGATTTTGATTTTGTCCAAAGCTGTACTGTCTAGGTCATCACCCTGCTAAATGCAACAGAAAGCAATAATGGTAAAAAATTGTTGCATTTACTGTTGCACTGTTCTGCATCTTGTTGCATTTAGCAGGGTAACTGCATCTGGCCAAGGCTAACAGTGAAACAACAGAATCTACTATTGCAGTTTGTTGCATTTAGCAGGGTACCTGCTTGGTGCCAAGGCTGGCGTATACTAGGTTCACTGCATAATGCAACAGAATCTACTGTTGCAGTTTGTTGCATTTAGCAGGGTACCTGCTTGGTGCCAAGGCTGGCGTATACTGAGTTCACTGTACAATGCAACAGAATCTACTGTTGCAGTTTGTTGCATTTAGCAGGGTAACTGCTTGGTGCCAAGGCTGGCGTATACTAGGTTCACTGCATAATGCAACAGAATCTACTGTTGCAGTTTGTTGCATTTAGCAGGGTACCTGCTTAGTGCCAAGGCTGGCGTATACTAGGTTCACTGCATAATGCAACAGAATCTACTGTTGCATCTTGTTGCATTTAGCAGGGTAACTGCTTGGTGCCAAGGCTGGCGTATACTAGGTTCACTGCACAATGCAACAGAATCTACTGTTGCAGTTTGTTGCATTTAGCAGGGTACCTGCTTGGTGCCAAGGCTGGCGTATACTAGGTTCACTGCATAATGCAACAGAATCTACTGTTGCAGTTTGTTGCATTTAGCAGGGTAACTGCTTGGTGCCAAGGCTGGCGTATACTGGGTTCACTGCACAATGCAACAGAATCTACTGTTGCAGTTTGCTGCATTTAGCAGGGTAACTGCTTGGTGCCAAGGCTGGCGTATACTAGGTTCACTGCACAATGCAACAGAATCTACTGTTGCAGTTTGTTGCATTTAGCAGGGTACCTGCTTGGTGCCAAGGCTGGCGTATACTAGGTTCACTGCACAATGCAACAGAATCTACTGTTGCAGTTTGTTGCATTTAGCAGGGTAACTGCTTGGTGCCAAGGCTGGCGTATACTAGGTTCACTGTACAATGCAACAGAATTTACTGTTGCAGTTTGTTGCATTTAGCAGGGTAACTGCTCGGTGCCAAGGCTGGTTTGTCATGTGGTATAGCCTGCTATTTTATGGGAAACTAGGGGGGCTAATGTTGGTCAATTTCCAGTGCGTGATTTTCGTGTGACACGGCGGCCAGGGCTTTAGCTCAATCGTTTCATGCAAGACATTTATGCAAGGCGGCCAGAGCTTATTGTGTACCCGCACTTGTTTTTGTGAATATTTGTTTCTTTTTAATAATACTAGGTATTTTTCATCCTAGTTTTTTGATGAAATTTAGATGTCCCCCCCCCATTGTTTTTACAGGCATGACTGGCATTGACAACAAGAAATTGCAGAACTTTGACGGGATGACACAGCAACAGAAAACCACGAGGGTAGAGTGGGTCGTCAAGGAGCTGAAAGAGTCGTGAGTATCCATTGATTGCAATGGTAAACCATTTGACATCGTGATAATGACAAATATCGTCATATCGTCAAGTATTAGAGTGGAAAGATCTATATTTCAACAATACTTAAAAACTTGAAGCTTGTATACTTAGCAATCTAATTTAATAGAAATTGTTGCAAAGGAAAAAAATGCTCTTTATGCTTTGCTGTATTGCAGGGAGGTCGTACCTGATGATCTCTTTGTGGATTGTCGGCTGTTTGCCATGAGACATGCTGACCATGTGAGTAGTCTCGGAATCCTTTTTTCCTGCAAAACAAGTCTTGTAGAAAATGGAGTAAAATTGGGCTAAACTTTGTTTTATTAATACATTAAAAAAAAAAAAACGAACATATTTATCAATCATTAACCCTAATCCTCCACAATCCTTTTTGCAAAATGCAGGGTTTTGCAGGATTGCGGCTATGTGCAGGGGTGTGAAATCTCAGCTTTAAAGCTGATTTCAGCTTTTTTTTGTTTTGGATTTCAGCTTTTTTTCAGCTTTTTCCCTCACTTGCCGTGTACAAAAGTATAGGAGATTTCCAAAGTTCAGCTTTTTTACACCTTTTTCAGCTGTTTTCAGCTATTTTTATCAGTGGTCACTCACACCCCTGTATGTGGCAAAAACGTGTGGCTGATTTTGGAGGATGCACTGTGTCAAGGTCTTGGGCCGGACCTTGTGTTTATTACATGTATATATGCTCAGCTGTGCATAGATTTAGGCCTACATTTTACTTGAAAGTCTCCCAACTGCTCCAGCATGTCACTGGCTCTGCCTCAAAGTATTGACAGTGATTGCTGGAGGAGTTAGCAGGATTGAGGCAGTGGTCACCCCTCCAAGGACCACATTCAAGAAATAACGGAGTGATTTGGGAGGACTGAGGCTGTGTGCAATTTTTACATGGAGGCAGTTGGAGGATTTTGCAGGATTGAGGTTGCATCCTAGCAAAAAGTGTCTAGTGAGTTTGAGTTAAGTGTTAGTTGGTCTCATTATAAGCTGGCTTTACTTCTCTTTGCCTGAAGGTCTTTGAGTTGCTATGGCGACTCTCCACCCACGACATCTGGTTCACTTGGGAGCGGCTGGAATTCCTGATGCATAACGACGATAAGATTCTGTGCGAGGTGCCCTTTGAGGTCGGTCCATTTCTGACAACTGTCTTGCACAAACAGTTTTATTTCTCAGTTTTAAAGGCATATAGGATCATTTGCTTTGTATGCATTTTGATTGTTTCTAAGAATAATACTGTTCAAAGTCCAAAGAAAAATGTTCAAAAGCAGACCTGTTGAAGGTTCAGATCGATGGATATTACACTTTTCGAGGGAAAAAACTGTGAAAAACGATGCACAACCTTTTGATCACGAAACACGATTTCATTAATAACACTCTTGATTTCCAAAAATCAGTCAATTGCCTGGTTGCTGGAAATTACCTACATTTCTTGATGTCTTCTAAATGACAGCCAGCCAGACGGAATAATTTCACGGGGTGTTTAGTACCAGTACGACCTTTTATCCAAGAAAGACTTTTGAAAATAATTTGGTAGATTAGTTTGGGATAGATTCAAATGATCTCAAACTTCCACCTTATTGTTTACGGTTTGGTCACACTTGTCGTTTTTGTTGTTGTTTGTTGTTGTTTTTGTTCTCAGTGGACCCCAAGACCACCTCCAGAGAAGAAGAAAAAGAAGAAAGTCAAATACAACAAGTCGCTTCTGTCTGGATTCGGAGGGGCCTCGCTTGTCGCCGAAAAGCTTCCATCATCCCCAGTGAGTGCGAAATTTATCTTTAACACTATCGTTGCTCGTTTTATAATGTCAGCACCCTCGATATATCTATATTACTCAATTATTAGATATTTTTTTGATATCGATATCAACGATAGCAATTTTTTAATCATATTGAAATATCACAATTTTCAATATAAAGGAATAATATCAAAAGTGTGTCTGATTGTCTTCAAAATAAATCTCCCATTTGTGCTTTTACTTCGTGTTTTACGTTTGCTGTATAATGAAATGAAACTTGTGACTCAATATAAAAACATCGCGAAATGCCAAGCGGCGTCGCGTTGTGCTCTGTGTTTGCTGGAATTCGCAGTCTCCCAATGTAAAACCTCAAAAGAAACCGCCCGTTCTGGACAAATTTTCAGTGCTGAGATTTGTTTTAAAAAGTTTGAATTTTAAAAAGTCCAGAGAAAGCCGTAGAAAATTGGGACTTAACATTATTTTTCTAAATCAAAGAGTCATCTTTATGGTCTTTAACTTTCACATTGGATAATCGATATATTAAAAAAGCTTGATATTGGATTTCTGATATATCGATTATTGAAAATTATGAAATTGATGGTGCTTAATGTAATGTCTGTGACAGAGCTTTAAGAGCTTACTGAATAAACCTGAAAATGTGTTTTTTAAATCTTATGTATCCATCATCTACTAATGGTCAAGGAGATTACAGACTAGGAGTTTTGGATCATTTCTCTGAATCATTCATTAGATATCATGGTTAATTGGCTCTGTCACGGACATTACACTTCCCTTCATAACACTGAAATTGCCAATACCAAACTTCAAAAAGTGGCAATCTTTAGAGGCCAAGACAGAACGTTAACCCAACCTCCCCAACTCCGTCAAAATTCATCCCCCTATTTTGGTGGATTTTAAGGACTTGGTCCTGCAGGCCTGGTTTGACTAAATGCTGATGGAGTATGATGGACTTGGGCCTGGAGGCTTAAATTTCAAAGCATGCATTGGAAGCAGTGTGATTGATGGATTTTGGCAGACTTGGTCCAGTAATTAGTGAAAGACAATAATAATAATAATGGGTTCTTATATAGCGCTTTTAACTAAGATCCAAGCGCTTGTACATTATTATAACCCCAGATCATTGGGCCAATTAAACATTCCAAATACCATCTCAGCTCCCTGGGGAGTATACAGCTCGATGCAGCCTGTTAGGGGCAAGGAAGCTAATTCAATCGCAATAACCATCTCTGCCCTCACAGGTACCCATTTACTCCTGGGTGGGGAGAAGCAATGAGCGACAAAGTGCCTTGCCCAAGGGCACACGCACCATGACCCCAGGCTGGACTTGAACCCACAACCTGCAGCTTTAACCACAGACCACGAATCCAATGCCCTTAATTACCACGAGGCCACAGCACTCCACTAGGGAGTGCAGTAGGGAGTTAAGGTTAAGAAAGTTTTTTTCTTCAATGTTTCTGTCAATTTGTTTTAAGGAGCCAGCAGAGCCGTTGGTCAAGCAGCCCTCTCACGTCAAATACCCCGGCGAGGATTTCTGCAAGAAGTTCAAGCCCAGCAAGAAGTCTTGGCCCGTGCCAAGGCCCGAGGATTGCATCGTGGAGATAATCAACACGCTCTTGAAGGTTTGTGTCGCGCTTTGATAGTAAAAAGTGGAAAATGTGTCAGACCTCGACAAATGCACAGGGATAAAAAGCGTTGCCAGGGATAAATATCATGCCTTGGATACTGTTATTTCATCTGTCTGGAACAGCCACGTGTCCATTCTATAAAAATTACTGTTGCCTTTACACACATAGTGTTGCATATATAAATTATCTCATACACATTGCATATATTGCGCCTGCATGACGCGCGCCTCGCAACAGAGAACTGCAACCTCTCAGCCTCTTGTCTGGGTGGAAAGCTCACGGTAATGAAAAGGTCACACTGCAGTGATTTCATTTATTTCTTGAATAGCGAGTTTAAATCCTTTATCTTTTCGACTTTATATTAGCACGATATAACAAAAACATTGTTGACTGCTGTGATGCAGGAAATGTCGTTTTTAATCCCATGGGGTGTATGGGCTCCGTGCGCGAACGAAAGAGGGCGCCCTTTTACCTAGCAACGACGTCCCATGGGTGGGACATTTAGCTGGTTGACGCGCACCGTTCCTTGTGTGTGACGCACGTACACCAGGGGATTTGTACTATGTGCACGCAGTGGTACATGGTACGGCCGCGCGTCGCGGCAAAATTGCAGTCAGGCAAGATGGCGTCGGCCGGTCACCCCCAACTGTGCTTTCTTTGCCGATGAGGGGGGTACTTGTGAACGGAGCGGATAGTTCGCCTCGGGTGCTGTGCGCCACTCGGGTGTTAAAAAGCGCCATATCCCACATCACAGCAGTCAACAATTGTTAAATGTCCAACTGTAACATTCGAAAACATTGGTCAAAGATGAATGACACACAAACATTAGTGAACATAAAACACGCTAGAGACCATAACAATTGCATTTATAAATATCTTTAAGGATTTCCAAGCAATTTGGACCTGATTATTATTAATTTTTTTGCTCATTTGCAGACATCGAGAGAAGGAAGCAAGCTGAATGTGGAGGTATTAAAAAAAATGCAGTTTTTCTTTTGATAATGTTTTTTTTATCAGGGTTTTATTGCCTGGACCTTTTCCCCCACCCCAAATAAAAAAACAAACATGTAAGACCACTGGTGTCAACAGAAATGATTGATTTCCTACACAACATGTTAATAATGTATATTAACATTAGAAGTAAAGTCTGTCACGAGCCAATGTGGCCCATCAGACCAGCGTTTATCTCCGGTTTCCTTTGCTTGAAACAACTGAGAAAATTTCTGCTCCCCCTGGATGGGATGCTAGTCCATCGCTGGTTACTCCCCAGATAATGTCGGTACCCATTTATACTCCTGGGTGGAGAGAGGCAAATGGGGGTGAAGTGGCTTGCCCAAGGACACAACATATGACCAGCAGCTGGATTTGAACCCCTGACCCTCTGATCATGAGTCATGAACCCTAACTACTGGGCCACACTCCCAAATTTTGTTCTCACATTAACGCTGAGTTCTACCCTATGAATGTTCACAGAGTCTAGATGACCTAGTGGACAGTCGTGTCCTGTGTGCCTTGGTCAATGCCTTCGTCCCAGGGACTTTTACCACTGAGGTCATGCTGAATGACCGTTGGACGATCAACCTTGCTCTCAGGACCTTTGACAAATTGGTGCGCATCGGCACGCCCGTCGATTCCCAAGATCTGGTTGAGGTAGGTAGGGACTAGAAAAATGTACTATTTTTTCGGAGTGTCCTAGTAGAGTCAAATATCAAAATCAGTTACAAGTTAAGTCACAAGTTGTGTCACTAGTCAATCACAAGTCAGTTACAAGTCAATCCAAGTCAATCGCAAGTCAATCGCAAGTCAATTGCAAGTCAAATCGCAAGTCAATCCAAGTCAGTCACAAGTCAATCCAAGTCATTCGCAAGTCAATCGCAAGTCAATCGCAAGCCAATCGCAAGCCAATCACAAGTCAATCACAAGCCAATCACAAGTCAAGCACAAGTCAATCAATAGTCAACCAAAAGTCTATCACTAGTCAATCGAATGTCCATCACAAGTCCATTGCAAGTTCATCACATGCAATCACAAGTCAATTGCAACTTAGTCATAAGTCAGTTGTAAGGCAATCACGAGTCCATTGTAATTCAGTCACAAGTCAATCACAAGTCAGTTTCAGAGGTTGTTAGTTCATAAATTGTAGGTTCAAATCATAGAGCTATATTAAATTACCAGAGCGCTAACTCCTCATTCTTGCGTGCAGAGACGCTTTGAAGCCGCTCTGGGCGCAGACATTTTGAATTCATGTGTGTGTTTGTAGAACACAGTCAAAATAGATGGATTGAATTATAAAAGTGTACTCTAAATGCAACGCACAAGTAGAAGATACGCAAACAACTTAAGCGCATCATGATGGTTCAAAAAACGTCACGGCGAAAAGCATCTGCAGTGGAGGGACGCGCACACGTTGCGCTGTTTGCATAGAGCAAAATGAAACGCTCACTTGCTGATCGTGCATTTCGGTTTTGGGCGTATCGGCTTCGATGACGCATCGGTATGGAATACAAATGCAGATTTGCAAATAGCCGTACAAAAGCCGTGCAAAATTCCGAGTTTTCCATAGGTTTGTGCACAAACATGGATGCGCCCATCAGGCATTACTTTGTACATCAAGTTTAGCGCTCTAGTAATTTAATATAGCTCTATGGTTCAAATACAGCCCAAATAAGTTTCTTCTTTTTTTGTTACTCTCTATAGGCTGATACAATGGCTGTATGCACATACATGGCAGTCTTCTTCATGTGCGGATTCAAACTGCGACAGTCTAAAGCTGTGCTGGGCAGGCTGGTAGGCAATTATTTTTAAAATTTAATGAGAAACAATGACAAATTTCTTTTAACAACGGCAACTCAAACCACATTGGTTTAATGAGAGTTCAGGGCCCCACTCACAAAAAAAGTAGCACCAGGGATTGGGTAGTTACCACTATAATTGATTAAAGATAGAAAAAAAAATATGGTTACATTTGATAATCATGACGGAACACTGCTAATGTCAATTACCACTTTGCTTTTTTGTGCATGTGTATAAGGTGAGACGTAAGATTCATTAGCGTAGTATTTCAGTGTATGCCAGACACCAGACTCAGATTTAGGATGTAGCTAAATTTTCCCAAGGTTTGTGTTCAACTTTTTAGGCATGTACCTGTTTTTGTCAAGTAAATATTTTACTGTGATGAGCAAAGTTCAGTGCTTATTAAATTTTGTATGCTTACCAGGTCCATGAAATGTTCTCCCCTTGTTTTATGTAGAAAGAGTTGGAGCATTTGACCCGGGCCGCTAAGCACGAACTGGACGCTCTGCCCGAGATTCTCAGCGACATGGACATGATCCAGAAGCGTAAGACACTCAACGAAAGGCTGCAGAGCTACAACACAGGTGAGTGATCAGCCGAACACAGCCCCGGCTGGACAGTATTGTGGACTACATGCAGAAGAAATCCCCTTAACCCTAACTCCCTAGGCCTTTTTGCTAGGATGTAGCCTCAATCCTGCAAAATCCTACCAATTGGCCTCATGGAAAAATAGCATATAGCCTCAATCCTGCAAATTCCTCCATTATTTCTTGAATATGGTCCATGGAGGGGTGACCACTGGCTGAATCCTGCAAACTCCTGCGGCAGTGACTTGTCAATATGTTGAGGCTTGGCCAGTGACATCCTGGAGCAGTACGGAGCAGGCCTGTATTATATGCATGGCTGAGCAAAAACAACACAAGGTCTGGCCTAAGTCCTTGGCAAAGTGCATCCTACGAAATCAGTAACGCACTTTGCCATGTAACTTCAATCCTCCAAATTCCTCCACTTTGGAAAAGAGGACTTTAAAAGATTCAGGGCGGTTAGGGTTAAAAAGCATAAAGGATAATTTGTATATATCTCAAAAGTAACCTCGTGAATTATTATCCATAAGCTTACCGGGGGCAAGTTCGTTTAACAACCATTAGTCTACCAATGGTTGGTTGGTGTCAAACAGTGCACATGCGCTGTAACATTAAAGTGCGAATGACTAGTCAAACCATTGTCAACATATGGCCGTCACAAGTATGTTTGGATTGTTTACGTTCTTTGACCTGTTGAATGAACTGGAACATATCTCCGAGGCCAACCAGGGGGTAGTTCAACTCGCTATGTTTAAACTCGTGTCAATGGTTCCCTCTGCACTTAAGTAACGAACCGAGGCTATGGATAACCAGCGATGCTGCCGGACACAGTAGGCTGGTTCCAAATAGTTGACTAGCGTAGTACAACCATCGTCGAAGTAAATATGAATTAGCCTGGATTTAAGTTGAAATTTCTAAGTAGCTACACAGTCCACCGCGAGCGCGTTTTCCTTTACAACTGCATCATACGTCCGCCATTTTGTTTAACTGTTTTTTACAAAACTTTTCAAGAGGAGATCTATGTTGTACTATAAATACACCTACGATGCGTGGCACTTACGACGTGTTTTGTGAAATGAATCGCAGAATGAGTCGCAGCTGCGACGCATCGTAGGAGTACGACGCGTCGCAGTTCTGCGACGCATCGTAAGTTACGAAGAGTTTCATGAAATTGGGTGCTGGTCTGAGTCCAAACTGAGTAAAACCCTGATGTTTTTTCTCAAAGTCCTTGGACGGCACCAAGTATACCGTGCTCCTGAAAGTATGTTGGTGAAGCGCAAAACCCAATAAACCTATCGCGGTATAATCGCATCAACGCAGCTTGTGAAATTTTGTCCAATCCCATGATATAGAAATGGACACGGAACGCGCAAAATCTGAGACAAACAAAACTTAACGTACAAAATGTCCATAGGGTTGGCTAAGGGGCGTGGCTAACTCGCAAACGGCGAAAGGTCAGTACATTAATATGGCTTGGTTTTTTTTATCAGAGGTGACCAAAATTAAGAGCAAGTTTGACGTCAAGGCGTGTGAGGATTGGAAGAAGCACATCGTCGATATACAGGCCGAGGTAGGAAGCACACTTTCACCACTCATAAACCGAGTTGTACAGGGTGAATTTTAAAAAAGCGGAACCCAAACCCCCACGATTATATTTCATATTTAAAAAAATATGTACCACCAAATATAATAATGACTGGAAAGCCAATTTCATCAGCTACTTTTAGATGAAAAAATTACTGAAATTGCTCAATCCGTTCAAGGAATATCACCATTTAAACACAATGACCCAAAAACCTCTTTCGTCCAAAAAATGCGATTTCAAGAATCGTCGTCACAATTGTCTTTAAGAATCACCAGCGATAAAACCTCAGTTTAAAGGGTAAAAATATGCAACAAAGTCCTTTTGAAAGCCCATCTTTTAAAAAAAAGTGGATTTTATAAATCATATTGTTTGCCTAACCAGAGATGTAAATAAAGATTTTGTGGACTACGGTTGTTGACAGTTGTGAAATAACAAGTATTCTGTGTCATTTTCTTTGGACGAAACAGGTTTAAGGGTCATTGCATTTAAATTGTGATATTCTTTGAACGGATTTAACACTTTCAGTATTTTTTCATCTAGGAGTAGCTCATGAAATTGGCTTTCCAGTCATTATTATTTTTGATGCTACTTATTTTGTTAAATTTATGAAATACATGTATACGTTTTGGGGTCTGGGTTCCGCTTTTTTTTTAACTCACCCTGTGCTAAAATAAGAGAGTTTGCTAACTTAAAGGTAGAGTAGACCATTTGCAGCTATCCAAAAAGTAACTGACAAAATTATTGTTGAAAAGCATACTTGGTTTAATGATTGTAATGCTAATAAACTCCCTGTGAAATTATTCCTCCTGGCATACTGTCGTTTTGAAGAAAACAATAAAAGAAGGTCATTTCCAAACATACATACATACAAACATAGAGAATTCCACCAGGAAACTTCATTCCTAATTCGGCATAGACTCGAGTCGTAAGTCTGTGAATTGCAAAGATGCGTCTAAAGATGCGTCTAAAGACACATTTTTGGAAATTTCCGTTAGTAGTTTGTTTTTAATTCGGCGAAGTCATAAATGGGTGTGCACAAGCATTGACACGACGCATACGCGCGCGCCGTTGCTATAATTCGTCAGTTCAGTGTGCGACATTGCGTAGCTGCAATCGGCTGATGAGAACGTGTCCTGGGCGCTGATTTTGTGTGCAATTTAAAACATGATCCCGGCAACTTTTGAATTGAAATCGAGATCCCAGAACATACAGCATTCACTGAGCTAAAACTTCATCAGGTTAGTTGTTCAGCACCCTTCTTTAGATTTTGAGCACTTTTGTTACTTCAAACGAAACAAATGCACAAATGACAAATGATCTACTCTACCTTTAATAGGCTGCATTTGTTTAAAGCATACACACACAGGTGTTAACTTTTGGTACATAAAGCTTTGAACAAGCTTTCATAATCTTTGTACATAATTATCAAAACAATTTCCGACTTCCAGTTTTCTCATATTCCAAGCAAATACTGTGTCCAAAACTCAAAAATGACTTGAAAGTGAGAAGTATTGGAATGTTTCTGAATTTCTATCTTGTTCCGGAAAGTGAAGACTTTTCGAAATTTATTTTTATTTATCTTTTTTTTCTGTTCAGACCCGAGAGATTGTTTCCAAGAAAATGAGGGACCGATTCGACACGCTAACAATACCAAGGTGAGATGAAAACTATTGAAAAAAAAAAACCCTCACATCAACTACTTCCATTTTCTGCATATTTGTGAGGCGTTCTGGCAAAGTGAGACAGAACTGAGCAGAGGTTGAAATGAGGGTTTGCGGGTATTAGGAAAGAGAATAAAATACTCCTCACAATACTGTTTGTTGAACTTCAATCAGACATTCCATTGACAAGTTATGGCTGTTTAAAGTTTGCACTTATCGACATGTTAAAAAGTCATATGCTGAGGAAAGGGGCTTTAAAGTTTCGAGTTTTGTAGTCATGCAAACGAAAGATACCACTTGGTTTTCCTTTAACACGCTTTTTCCCCATTATTTTATACCATTTCTTATAAAATATGAGTGGTAGAGCTTTCTAAACGGTTATAAATATCAATAAATCTAAACATAAAACAGATCAACCCTTTTCAGTTTTTTGCATTTTTTTCCACTCTGGCCTGTGCCCAGTTCCATCTCATTTTGCAAGAATGCCTCACAAATTTGCATGAGTACTAAATGCGTAATCAATGAAGTGTAATGCAACTTCACACTTCATCGATAATGCATAGAACTTCAGTGCTTACTTTCTTAGAGTTTAGACACTCTCCTGAAGACGGTCAGAGCATACTGACCGGAACTGAAGTTTATACCTCTGTTTCTTTTCAGAACCATTCTTTTAGTTTGAGATATTATACCCACATGGTGTTTCCGCAAACCTTTCATTCATTAGTATCACCACCATGCAAAGCCTCAAATCTTACTTAGCCATTTTGTTCTTTCTTATCAACAGGGGAGTCACCATCGGCGATCTCTGCTTATCCCTCGTCGTCAATCTCAACCTGACCAACGGCTCGGGCTTTTACCTGTCCAGGGGGAGGGAGATGGTCACGCCCGATCGTCGTATCGTCCTCCGTGATCTCAGCACGGGGGAGTTCATCGACGATTTCACCCACGGCAAAGGCGTCAGTAAATGTAAGATCTGAAGAATGGATGTTAGTTGTCAGTATTAAATCGAACCCGTTGACAGCTAGTATTTCTTTGACCCAGGTCGCCTACACAAGACGCAAAACACAGTAAACGACCCAATGCTAAAAAAAAAATTGCCCTCACTTTAATGGCTTTTTCATACTAAAAAAAGAAATCAAATTTTGATTTTACAAATTTGTGATGTCGTGGCATCTTTTTGTCAGGGAATCTACACCAGTTAAACACATTCCATATTCGGCAAATTTCTCAGTGGTTCATGCATTCGTATCGACGTTAACTATAACATGTAAGATCTGAAGAATGGATTGTTAGATCTCAATAAATCGAACCCATTGACAGCTAGTATTTCTTTGACCCAGGTCGCCTACGCAAGACGCAAAACACAGTGAACGGCCCACCAATGCTTAACAATTTTGCCCTGACTTTAGTGGCTTGGTCGTACTCAACAGGAAAGCAAATTTTGAATTTACAAATTTGTGATGTCGTGGCGTCTTTTCGTCCTGAAATCTACACCAGTTAAACACATTCCATTTCCAGCAAATTTCGTAGCGGTTCATGACTTTTAATTCGCATGGGCGTTGACTATAAATTGACCTCAGCATCCCTAGACTTGTTCTTCATGTGAATCAGCATACAGATTTTAATCAGCATACAGATTTTAATCAGCATACAGATTTTAATCAGCATACAGATTTTAATCAGCATACAGAGTTAAACCAACTGGTTCTTCTCAGAACCACACAACTCACTATTAAGAAATATATCTTTCATTTACATGGTGTTACCGCAAACCTCCCATCCATTGATACAGATTCTACCTACGAAAAAGCCTAGAGCAGTTGTAGTTGAAATAGACAAAGCAAAAAATTCTGTCAATTTGTGGACATAATTTTTATCTAGATATTTAACAAAATCACCATTGGGTTTTTTTGGGAGAGAACACAACAGTAATTTTGAGGAGTACACAGATACTCACATTTCTTTTTTCTTTTTTTTTTCTCTTCAATTTCTTTTTTAGTTAACATCCGGAAAATGCTGGGTGTTGCCACGTTTGATGTCGTTGAGATAAATCCAAGTGATCACCCCCAGTTTGAGGTAATTGACAGAATCCTCAATGTATCCCTTACATTAAAATTGAATTTATCTACATTTTGTACAGGGTGAGTAAAAAAAAAAACCGAAACCCAAATGTCGGGACCATTTTTTTTTAGTGAAGTTCTGCATGTAGCACTTTCAAAATCTAGGATATGAAAGCCGAATTCCTATTAGCTTTCTTTTAGTACAAGAATCATTCAAATCGCTCATGTACTTTTCAAGGTACGGAATTTTAAACACAAACACCATTTTAAAGTTCTGTCCACGGATCACAAAAAAAGGTAACTGTTCTTTCAGCAAAACGAAAACAACTTTCATTCATCCCTATTCGAATTGTTTTCATATTGCTGAAAGAACACTTACCTTTTTTGTGATCCATGGACAGAACTTTAATTAATTTAAAACTGTGTCTGTGTTTAAAATTCTGTTACTTGACAAGTACATAAGTGATTTGAATGATTCTTGTTCTAAAAGAAAGCTTATGAATTGGGCTTTCGTATCCTAGATTTTGAAAGTGCTACATGCAGAACTTCACTAAAATCATGGTCCCGACATTTGGGTTTCTTTTCTTTTTTGGACTCACTGTATGTCATTCTATGCTTGCGTCCTATCAGACATACTTTATCGCCTTCTCTTTTTTCTTTTCTTTTTTATAGATTTTCCTAGAGAGTCCCTCAAAGAACAAACTTCTCAAGACAGGAGCAGTGTAAGTTAGCAATCTACTTTTTTCTCTGTTGCCATAACACATAAGAATGAAAATGACTTGCAAGTCATGTTAGGGCCCGTCTCACTTCATATCTGGGGACGAGTTCCGGACAAGTTGTGGGTAGAATCATTCCCTTTAAGTCCGGAAGAAGCTCTGCATTTTCCCAGACATGTTTAGGGAAAATTTTCATTAGCAACTGCTTGACTCATAAATAATGATAACTTCACTGCGGGAAGATTGCGGGGAAGTTGTTCAGAATCCTGCAACTTTTACCTAATACAATGTCCGCAACTTGTCCGGAGCTCGTCCCAGATATGAATTAATAATGTGGTGTTTATATAACACATAAAAAGGTTTCAAAGCGCTTCACAATTATTCCCCCTGTTCATCAGGCCATGAGACCAGTTTTTTCAGCAGCTCGAGATCAGCGCATTCTGGTCTCTACCTTCACAGGTACCCATTTATACTCCTGGGTGGTGAGAGGCAATTGTTGTAGAGTGTCTTGCCCAAGAACACAAGCACATGGGCACACGAGTCGAAGACTATAACCATTGGACCACAGCGCTCGACAAAGCTATTTGTGGAGTGCTGTGGTCCAATACTTACGGTGTTTCTTGGCCGATGTTTGCTAAGCGCGCAAGTTTACTCAGGAAGGAAATAAAGTATAACACCTGTCCCAACTTTTAACTGCCATCTTTTGTCATCTCTTAGTTTCTTGTATCAGGTCTTTCCCGGCAACTTCTCCCAGTGGGAGCAGCTGTTCTTCAAATCCTGCAAAGTCGGGGAGCTAGACATCGTCCAGAAGATGGTCGTCTTCTTCCGAGACAAGCGGCCGGGGTTCATCAACGCCAAGGAGAAGAAGACTGGAAACACGGCGCTGCACATGGCTGCCAGGAACGGACACTATGTAAAGAACTTTTTAAAAATCTTGAGCAAGATCTATCAAGAACCATGATTTTTGAGTTGAACAAAGAAATTTACTGGAGCGGGGTTTGAACCTCTGACATCCGGATTGTCGTTCCTGCGCTCTACCAACTGAGCTATCCAGTTAGCGGTTCCCCATTTTGTCAGTGTCTTTGGTTAAGGGGCACTAGTCAGAAGCCATAAGCTGGTATATGCCATGTAGCCAGGGACCATGCCCAAACTCACGATGCTAGCAACATCAGCGATTTTGCAAACCTGGGAAATAGCAAACTGGGATCACTCAGAGATGCACCTTTTTATTACAATTTATTAAATATTAACCATAATGGACAACTATGAAAAAGTTGTCTGCCCCTAGCCAACATATCACATCAGGTTAATCTTTAGTTTCCTTGGCGTGAAATGACTGAGAATACTTCTATTATTGTTATTATTATTATTTATTCGGCCAAATTAAAAGATACAACAAGCAATCCACAAAAATAAACAAAACTATACAAAAACAGTCCAATCCAAGCTGGGCAGGATTAATAAAAGTATAATAAAACACTGTGACTCGAAAGCCTGTCAATCCTAACTTGAATGGTACATGTAACATACAAAATATATTAAAAAATAGATACAAAGTTCACTGAAAAATAAAACTTAAAAAGATAATTAGATTCAAAGGATTAACAGTCAAAACACTGACAAAAGTTTTCAGAGATAATAAACAATCAAGTGAAAATTCCCGGATGTTTCAACTTTTTTAAGCTTCGATATTTTGTGTGTGAATTACCCAGGATATTCTCCTGTTTCTGCTGGAGAATGGCGCTCACATCGATGCCAGGAACGGAAACCTGGCGACTGCTTTCTTCAATGCTGTGGAGGGCTTGAACAGAGGAATAAGTCAGGTATAGTCAACTGCCTCTAGAATCGATCAGTTGCCGTAAAACTGCTTCCAAATTACTTGGCTAGGGATAGCTTTAACACACGTGTCTATGGAGAGTTGCCTCTGCCCCTTCCGTTTGCAGTTACAAGCCATTTATCGCAATAAACCAGCTCGGTATTCCAAAAATAGTCTGGTGCACAGCAACAACAATTTTTTTTTTTCAGAATAACCGTGGCAGATAAATGCACGCAAGGCTAAGGGGACGTGGTAACCAAATCTGCATTCTGTGTAATTTTTCGTGCAATCCAAAAGAGATGGAACTTTCGTTTGCACAAAAGTTTTGACACCCAAGACCACTAAAAACACTTTGCTGTCCAAAGTTTTTTGCAAAACGTTATACTTCAGAACGCGATGATCTCTTCAATTTTGATGGAACCCCGCTATGCTTTTACACGCATACGATGAAATTTTTATCCTGAAAAAAAAATAAGCAAATCTTGATGTGCACAAGCACAGTTGGAATACCGAACTCGCTTATTGCAAGAAATGTATCTACCCACATTGCAACTTCAGGTCAATGAAATCGACTTTAAGGCAGACACTTGTGTTTCAAGGCCAATGGACTATAAAGCAAAAGCTTGTTACAGAAGAAGATTTACAAATGTACTGTGCATCCAGAAAACTTTACTGAGAAAGTAGATCAAGTAAAATGTTGGAATAATTGGAGCAAAGTGCCTTGCTGAGGGACACAAGCTAATTCCCCCCGGCTGGGCTTCAATACAGACTTGGACGAAAACTAATGTCAGGATATGTTTCATTGTATTGAAGCCATTGAATCACATTTCTGATGAAAGTATTGAAGCAAAGTATCCTGCCCGGGGACACAAAAACAACCTGTGGCTGATTCGAACCCATGCTGGAAAGGGATATTGTCAGGAAACGTGGATCATATTGAATGTCATGTATTGATATTACATATTCTGGATATTTGAATTTGTGTATTGTTTTATTGATTTTTCTTTGGCAAGTCATTGCATTTAATGCCAAATCGTTCACTTCTGCTTCCCCCGCTGTGAATTCCCCGCCCCCCTTTTGCTTTGCAGCTTTACCGAGTTAGTGATGGGACAGGGAATGCAGTCTACGCTCGCAGCATGGTACCTATGCTTAGCATGCACACCTACCCACACCCAGGAACCTTACATTAACACTATCCCTACCCCTACCCCTAACCCTACCCCTACCCCAACCCATAACTGTTGCCCCAAATATATTGCATAGCATGCACACCTACCCACAATCATCAACCCTTAAATTAACCCTACACCTACCCCTAACCGTAATCCTGATCCAGACCCTATGCCAAAACCATAAACCCTAACCCTATACCCTAACCCTAACCTTAACCCTGACCCAAAGTCCAAGCCCAACCCAATGTCATCCCAACCCTAAAATATGAGTTTTACATTCAGTTTTCATCATTATAACACCCATCATCATCATCATCATCATCATCATCATCATCTCGTTCGAGCCTCAAGCATTGCATCTTTAGCGTAATCTTCTGCTCTATTGATAACACAAACTCTTCAGGAAACTATGAATAACTAATTGTCTACTAGGGAAAAGAACTTGTATCTATTAACTTATAACAATTGCCATTGTATGATATTATACAAATAATGAATGCTTATGAGTGCAGTGGTAAGAATCATTTAATGAGGTGACAGATGGAATGTTCCATTCCATGAGAAGAAGCTGTCTGTGAGTGCAATGGAACATTCCATCCGTCACTGAATAAAAATTCTTACCAGTGCACGAATGTGACACATTCATAATCATTTGTTTTAAACAATGCCTGAATAAATCCTCGTCATCATCTGCCATTGTGTCATCGTCCACTGCTCTGTGAATGAATGTGCAGCATCATAACCATATCAGAGCGCTGTTACAGCGCCACCAATAGTGTGGCCGTGCAATTGAACTTCTATTCACCATGGAATAGAACTCCTGTTCTCGCGATGCGGCTTGGCTGTGGATTGTTGGGACGAATGATTTAACAACACGTGATCAACGACCCACCAATCAGATGACAGGGATTTATTCAGGCGTACCACTTTTTAATTGAGTGGGAATTTCTACCCATTAACCCATTAGCACTTGTACTACATTGTGTTACCATTGTATTTATTCACTGAAGAATCAATAAAACCATAGAGTGGTTGGGTGGTTTTGGGCGCTACAGGGAGTAATAGGCAGGACGGTTTCGGGTACTACAGGGAGTATTCAGGAAGGGCGTTTACGGGCGCTACAGTGACTGCGTTAACCTATTAACACCTGTATAACATTGTACTACAGTGTATTTACTCCATGATGAATTCATAAAACCATCGAGTGCTGGGGCTGTTTGGGGTGGTATAAGGAGTATCAGGCGGGGCGGTACAGGGGCGGATGGGTTAATTTGTTTACACCATAATTAGGTACATGTGGAATCTAACATCATTTGCCTTGTTAAATCAATGGTTTCTCTGCATTTACACATATTCGTGTGGTGTGTCTTCGACTAACTAACTCCAAACATGATATGCTTATAGATTGATTGCATTAAGCAGCCATGTTTGAGGTGTGTTTTGTTATGTTAGTCAATTAACAATGAATGCACAAGAGGTTTACTCATGCGTATCCCCGTTGAACAAAAGAACACACATACTGAAATGTGTATCCTTGTGGAGACATTTCTTTGTTCTCGTGTACTTAAGTTTTCGTGTTTGAAAGTACAGTTTCAAAATGCTCTAATTTTAACCACAATTAAATTCCTTGGCTGAAATTCAGACTTAATATCCCTTTTCTAAAACTCTACCATTTGCGACACATCAACATACCTTGGAGATTCCTAGTGTTTGAGTAAAATCCATATATCTATTTCGTGAAAACCTTGTGGAGACGTATTCATCTATAGAAATTGCCCCGTGGAGACGTATACAATCTTTTGTTCCCTATTCTGTGCATGTCTCCAGAGGGCACTGTGTATCAGATCACCTCAAAGATGGCTGCTGTGCAAACAATCTATACATGTTGGTGTTCATGTGGCTATACTAACATTTTTTTATCATTTTGTAGTAGCTGTGCGATTTCCCTACTTTTCTTCTTTCCTGCTGTCGTGGGCAACACCTCTTTTTGTGTGACTGGCCACATTCTGAACCTCACTGGTATGCATACTAAACCACAACATGCTGCTCCAACAAACAGAGGATTTGTGCCAGATTATTGGATAATTAAAATTGTTTTTGGAATGACTGTATTTTTGGTGTTGACATCCTGGGCATTTTTAATAATTTGCACGTAAAAGGTCCGATTCAAATTTTTGGGCAAATATTAGAACACTAACATGAATTTGACGACCCAAGCCAACATTCCCATTGCAAAATTTGTAAAAACTTGAACACATCTGAACAATGGCAAATTTAACCCTCAGTCTTTTATGACATCAAATTTTGAAGTCACAAGCAAGTATTCACACTTCAACATTTGCAACAAATTGAACACATTTGAACTCCAGTGAATTTCACCAGAAATGTTTTATGAGACATCGAAAAAACTTTGCATTAGCATTCTTGCAAAGTAATAAACAGCCTTGTTACTCCTGGCATTTGGTACATACTCATGGGCGTAGCGAGGAGGGGGCAAGGGGGGGCACTTGCCCCCCCCCCCCCCCCCCACTGGAAAAGCCAAAAAAAAAAAAAAGAAGAAGAAGAAGAAGAAAAAAGAGAAAAAAGAAAAGAAAAAGAGGGGCGAAGACAAAGTGGTGTAAATTTAATGTTGGGGGGGGGGGGGGCAACATGTCCCTGCCCCCCTCTAAAACTGATAAATCGAGAATATGTTGAGAAATGCAAGCATTTTTGGCAACATTTTTTTTTTGCCCTCCTCTAGAAAAAATCCTGGCGACGCCCATGATGTCGGCTGATGACTGCAAAAGGTTGCCCGACTAAACTTAGTTCAAATATATGGGAGTCCAGAGAGGCCACATAAAGCTTATTCTCGATCATAACCCCATCTTAAAACACGTTAAAATTGTGCAGCAGCAGGATTCCAGTCAAACCAGTGAGTTTGGCGGTTTTGAGACATCATCTTTCATTGAAAAAAAAACAATCATTTTGCCCACGCGCATGGCTACGGCGACCCGCGCGCATACCAGAAACCGGAGACTTTTTTTTTGGCCTTATCGCCTATTTTACACACCTCAGGGCAAAGTCTCCGCGGGCTGGGGGGAGGGCTGCAGAGTGGCAAATTGCAACCGGCCACAGCTTTTAAGAATGGGTGTCGCGAGGGGGGGGGGGGGGCAAGGGGGGCACTTGCCTCCCCCTGGAAAAGCCACACACACACACACACACACACACACAAAAAACAGAGGCGCGAAGTCATAGTGGTGTAAATTTAATGAGTTTGGGGGGGAGGGGGGCAAAATGTCCCTGCCCCCTCTAAAACTGATAAATCAAAAATTTGTTGAGAAATACAAGAATTTTTTTGGAAAAATAAATACGTTTTGCCCCCCTCTAGAAAAAATCCTGGCGACGCCCATGTACATACTGTATGTAATAGGTACAAATTGATACTCTACAAAGCCTGAAATGAATGCATCTTTTAATTTAGCATATTGTTCTAACTTACTTCGTCATGTTACTAACAATTCACTTGTGGACTGTTATTGGTTGTGGTGTTGATCGGTAAACTAAACTCTTGGAAAATTGATCACCATATTCTTGGATTTGATTTTGGACAGTATAGGCTTGCCAGGCCTATGCAGTTTGGTGAAATTGACCTTGATGCAATTTTGTCTCTCTTTTCCCTTCGTTTTCATTGTCGTGGCCAGGGACATCACAATAATGCAGCTGAGGTGAGCCACTCTAAAGAAATGTTTGTGTTCCGTAGGGCTGTGTCCCCTTGTCTGTGTTTGGAGAATAGCCTTGTAAATGTCGTTTCTTCTGTGAACGTAATATGCACCGTTATGGTTTTGTGATTGTCATCTGTGTATATAGCCCTCTTCATAGTCTTGTGTTCTGTTGGTTTTTGAATAATTTTTTTGTTCTGTTTGTAGTAAATGGCGTTTGGAGAACCTTTTGTTGCATTCCTCGTTTAAGGTTGTATTTACTAAACTGGTCACTATGTGTAGCCTGTCGGCTCCGTTCACAAGTACCCCCTCACCGGCAAGGAAAGTACAGTTGGGGGTGACCGACCGACGCCATCTTGCCTGACTGCAGTTTTGCCGCGACACGCGGCCGTACCACTGTGTGTACATTGTACAAATCCCCTGGTGTACGTGTGTCACACACAAGGAACGGTGCGCGTCAACCAGCTAAATGTCCCGCCCATGGGACGTCGTTGCTAGGTAAAAGGGCGCCCTCTTTCGTTGGCGCACAAAGCCTCTAGACAAATCCTGCGGCAGCCATTTTCTGTGGTGGCGCAAGGATCGCACGAGTCCGACTCAGGTAGTACACACGCACTCCGGGCTCCTTCCACCAATAGGAAAACCAAAATGTGCGTGCGCCTCGTCTTTATGAACGCGTGCAGGATGCACGTGCACGTGACACCGTCTCGGTAAAAGCTTAGAATTCTGGTCGCCGGATTCCACTATAACCACAAGGACAAGCGAAGGACAGCTGACATCACTGGTTCACATGTGCTGTTCAGCCAATTACATTAGGGTAGGAACCAGTGTGGAAAAATGAGAACAGGGCTGCGTTTTTGCGCTGTGACCGTAAACATGTTTCTGGTTTAGGACCGTTTTGGCACTTCGGTTACACTGAAATGACGTCATTGTTCCGACCAAAGTTTATCGAGACTTGTTTCAAGATGGCCGAAAGGTAAACAAGTTTTAGCAGACGATGTTACTTTGTTACCACAAAAGGAATTTTAACAGTGGGTTTGTACCGTCGGTTGGGTAAAGTTGATACACAACAATTACTCTGTCGATGGAAAATATTGGAAAAGTAAGTGCCCGACTTTAGCTTGTAAATCGTGTAAAATTGACCAAAACATTTGTCTTTCCATGGTGGTCATGATGGTCTGCTCACCGCCATGTTTGTTTTCAAAGTGACGTCAAGAAAAAAAATGTTGGTCAGGCATTTTCGCGGTGCACTGGAAACATGTTTATGTCATGGCTGTGACGTCAGAAACATTTTCCAGTTCAAGGGCCGCCAAAATGCGACCCAGATTGTGCTATAAATAGTTTGTGCATGAACAGTACTTACCATTTTCCATCTGAATGTTCACAAATGCATGGCTTCTTCATGTGAAGCAGGCGCACAATGGCATGACTTCATATACTAAAACCACTTTTGCATTTGTCTCTGAATCCAGCTAGGAGCAAAACGTAAGGCTCTCTCTATCTCAAGTACATCTTTCTGTCAAAAAGTTGCTCATTTAGGTATGAAAAGTGGTCCAACTTCATGGCTTCCTGTAGTTACATGTGCATTGCATTGCTTATGTGGCCTTTACCATTCAATTTAGGGTTTTGTGTTTTACAGGTTTTGCAGAATTTTTGCACTAGCACTGTAAGTAGTCAGAAAAAAACATGTGGAATGTGTGAAGGAAACGTCTCATAAGTCAGAAAATTCTGTTGCCTATGGAATTTTTTTTGTTGGGAACACTAACTGTGTGTTCCCATCGAGAACGCCCTGTTTCCCGTTGGAACGTTCCAAGCATTCTGACTTTTGAGACATTCCCTAAACAAACTGTAAACTACAAGGTACTGATAATAATGAATTCAAGGTTTTTTTGGCCATTGTTTGTGTGTTTCACAGCTTTTGGTGGAGTGGGGTACCAATATTTACATGAAGAACAAGCAGAGCAGGACAGCATTTGACGTGGTGCGCAGTGACGAACAGAAGAACAGCATCGTCGGTAAGTGTGCAGTGTGGACAAGTGGAAGTTATAATTTAAAGTTGTGATCATGTAGTTGTTGCCTACCCTGCTGCTGTGGCGCACCCAGGATTTTGCTTTGTGGGGGGGGGGGTCTCACAATTGTTTTTGAAATTTTTTAGAAGTAAAAGTTTTTAAAAACAAATTTGCCCAAATTTTTTGGCCGCAGAAAACATTGGGTTTTTTTTTTTTTTTTTTTTGGGGGGGGGACTGTTTTGACGATGGTGGCGCCACTTACACCCCTATTATACTACTCGAAAATAGGCCACATACATATCACCAAAGGGCAAATCGTGGGCCAAAAAAAAATTGACAACCTCTTGAGCCCTGCCCCCCCCCCCTGATGTACCACTAACCTGCTGCCCTGATGGCTGTCATGGTTTAAAGGCATGTAGAATCATTTACATTTATCCCAAAAGTAACCTACCAATTTATTATCAAAACTTACTTGGATTAAAGATTGTAGTGGTACTAAACACCCTGTGAAATCAGTCCATCTGACTTGCCGTCATGTAGGAGAAATAAAAAAAAAGTAGGTGATTTCCAATGATCAGTCAACTGACTGATTTTTGGAAATAAAGTGTGCTACGGACCAAGTCGTGTTTTGTTTAAACAAGGTTGTGTGTGGTGTTTCACTAGCTTTTTGTCTCTAAAAGTATAATGCACTGAGCTGAAATTTTAAGCTGGTTAGGTTTTGAACATTCTAATTTAGATTTTGAGTGGTATTATTATTATTGGAAACGAACAAACTGCATGAAAAGCAAATGATCCTATGTGCCTTTCTTTTATTTGCTGATTCCCTTATGATTGGTCTTTGTTATTTTCTCAGAGTACTATGACCACCTTCAGGCCTGCATACCCAAGCTGATGAGAGGAGACACCCAGCTGCTCAAGAAGCTAGTGGAGGACCACGTGTCGGGGGTCATGGGATTCGCAAGCCTGAGGAGCAGGTAAGACCATTGTGACTTGTGATTGACTTGTGATGGACTTGTGATTGACTTGTGGTTGACTTGTGATTGACTTGTGATTGACTTGTGATTGATATGTGATTGACTTGTGATTGACTTGTGATTGGCTTGTGATTGACTTGAGATTGACTTGCGATTGACTTGCGATTGACTTGTTATTGACTTGTGATTGACTTGTGGTTGACATGGGATTGAGTTGTGATTGACTTGTGATTAACTTGTGATTGACTTGTGATTGAGTTGTGATTGACTTGCGACCAACTTGTGATTGACAGTGGATTGACTTGTGATTGACTTGTGGTTGATTTGGGATTGACTAGGGATTGACTTGGGATTGACTTGCGATTGACCCGTGATTGACTTGTGATTGATTTGCGATTGACTTGTGATTGACTTGTGATTGACTTGTGATGGACTTGTGATTGACTTGTGATTGACTTGTGATTGACTTGTGATTGACTTGTGATTGACTTGTGATTGACTGGTGATTGACTGGCGATTGACTTGCGATTGACTTGCGATTGACTTGCGATTGACTTGCGATTGACTTGCGATTGACTTGCGATTGACTTGCGATTGACTTGTGATTGACTGGTGATTGACTTGCGTTTGACATGTGATTGGCTTGTGATTGAGTTGCGATTGACTCGCGATTGACTTGTTATTGACTTGTGATTGACTTGTGATTGACTTGTGATTGACTTGTGATTGACTTGTGATTGACTTGTGACTGAGTTGTGATTGACTTGTGATTGACTTGTGATTGACTTGTGATTGACTTGTGACTGAGTTGTGATTAACTTGCGATTGACTTGCGTTTGACTTGTGATTGACAAGTGATTGACGTGTGATTGACTTGTGATTGACGTGTGATTGGCTTACGATTGACTTGTGATTGAGTTGCGATTGGCTAACGATTGACTTGTGATTGACTGAGGCTTGACTTGTGATTGACATGGTATCGACTTGTGATTGACTTGTAATTTACTTGTAATTTACTTGTGATCGATGTGTGATGACTTATGATGATTTAAGGAGGCTTGATTACAGCTCAGCGAAATTCTAGAATATTTGCTATCAAAATATGTAACAAGGCATCAGTCAAAATACCCACAGTCCAAAAATTAAGTTGATTTTTACCTGGAGTGATCCCTGTACCTTGCGCCCATATACCAGGTGCATCAACGGCAGCACCTTGCTGCACACAGCGGCCTACTTTGGAGTCATCCCTGTCATCAAGGAACTGCTTAAAGAGAGAGTGGAAGTCAACCTTCTGGACTACAAAGGTGCCACGCCACTCCACAGGGCACGGGATCAAAAGACTATCAGGGTGGGTTGCACCTTTAACCTACTGACTTTTGATTGTGGAAATTATTGAAATATGAAATTATTTTTGTTATGTTATATAATCCTCCAATATTTTTATCATGTGTAAGTACCGGAATTTCAATCTAATGCCCAATGTCTCTCTAAGGTACCATTTGGTGGTATTCTCTGAAACTGTTTATTTTTGTTTCCTTATTACTATCATTATTGTTGTTTTAAATTGTTTAGCTTTTACTGGAGAGTGGTGCTGAACTGAATGCAATAGACTCGGAGGGCAACACGCCACTGCACGTCAAGTGCTACGGCGAGGCAGGCAAAGCTACACCCATCGACTGCGTCAAAGAACTGGTGAGACCAACAAAGTTGTTTTCTGACCCCCATCTCAATCATTTCCCCCCTCTCCCCAAAAATAATATGAATGCAGTTATTCCCCTGTTCTTCTTTGTGCAATGTATACGTGATTTTGTTGCGTGATAAATGTTGCGCGCACAAATCAATGAGCGCCTTTACATTTATGCGACTTACCGCGCAATTTTTTCAAATCAAATTTGTTCACACACGCGTGTGTGCGACATTGCCACGCGCGTGTGCGACATAGTCATTGCGACAAAATCACGTATGTGTAAAAAGGCCTTGTAAACTGTTGAATTGGATGATGCCAGACTATTTATGCGTTCCAAGCCTCACTTTTAATTTGTTTTAAATGTGGCTTGAAACATTATGGTATGTTCAATCACAAATTTTAAGTTATTCATCAGAGCACACTGGTATTTAATTAAGTTTATTTCATTACTTTCAATTCTATTCGCAACTTTACCTCGCTTTCAATTTAATATGGCCGACTCGTGAATAAGCCCCATACCTCAACACACAAAAATGTATTGACATCATATGTAAACCCCCCCCCCCCCCAAAAAGATGAAAACTCCCCCCCCCACCCCCCAAAAAAGGTGATTCCTTTGTGCAAATGGAATACCGTTTTACATTCAGATCTTTATTATAAAAAAAAAAATGCTTCTCTATCCACGGTGAACTCTGATTTTGCATGAGATTTTGCACTTGATTTTGCATTGCACGTGCACTTTAGTAAGGATAGATTGACTAAAGATTGATCTTAAATATAGGGTTTTGCCTTTTGCCGACGTATTTCTTATAAACATGGTATACTCAGTGTTGTCTGAGGGCTTGCAAGAAGAAATTCACAAGATTACTCGGGTGGGACTGGAACCCACGACCTCCTGCTTACTAGTGCAGACGTCTTACCGCTTGACCACCAAACCTACCAGGATCACAGCCAGCTGAATGGAGTCTGATGTAGCAGCAGATACCGCAACCAAACTTTTTCATAAGATGGAATTTACGTCAGGGAGATGTAAATTTTATAGATTATTTTTACATTTTGAACTTGCTTCCTAGCTCGCTGAGAATATCAACCTCGTCCACCGCAACAACAAGGAGCTGCTAGCCATCCACTGCTGTGCCATGCAGGGCCGCGTGGACGCCATCCAGCTCCTGCTAGACTCAGACCCCACAGGCACCATCCGGGACTGCCTGGAGAAAGAGGACCCCAAGTCCCCTCCCAGTCTGCTGCACCTGGCCCTAGCCAACGACTTCCTGGACTGCGGGGTGTGGCTGGTGGAGCAAGGCTTCAACTTCAAGGAGCACGAGCAGGACATACTGGTGCATAGGATACTGACCGAGCAGATTAAGAGGTTAGGCCATAATTAATCCCTCAGCCGAGAGGGTTGCCCTTAGGAGTAGGCAAGTTGGGATTAGTTTTGAGGTCAAAAGGTCAAAGGTCAAGGTCACCGTGGTGAGTTAGGCGAGCCATCAGATAACAGACCGTTCGGGTACCGGGTCCGGTATGCTAATTTCTTTCACCCCAATCGGTACAAAGCCAGAAGCCACCCGGTCACTGAAGCGTGACGCCCCAATCGGTCCAAACTGGTTACTCAGGGTTTCACAATAGGCAACATAAATTGAAGTCTGGCCATTGTTGGAGGATTATTCGGCCCACTGGGATTACCAGCGGCAACTTCTATGAAGCTCATCACAGTCATTGTTGACTACTGGAGGATTAGCGCGTCGCAAGTTGGTTCCTTTGTGATGAGCCAGAGCCATGGTGCAGAAGCCTGGTGGAGTTAATCCAGGCCGATCGGTTCGATGCCAGGTCCCAATCCCTTCAACATACTGGGCGGGCTCAACCCCGAACGGTCCGGGGAGGGATTCTAATTTGAGGGCTCGCCTTAAAGGTAAATGGTTTCCGGATGATAACTTGAGTTAGAAATGAGATTTTGGTGTCTAACTTTGGTAGGGGGTTGCCCTTGGGAGTAGGCAAGTTGGGATTGGTTTTGAGGTCAAAAGGTCAAAGGTCAAGGTCACCGTGGTGAGTTAAAGGTAAATGGTTTCCGGATGATAACTTGAGTTAGAAATGAGATTTTGGTGTCTAACTTTGGTAGGGGGTTGCCCTTGGGAGTAGGCAAGTTGGGATTGGTCAAGAGGTCAAAAGGTCAAGGTCACCGTGGTGAGTTAAAGGTAAATGGTTTCCGGATGATAACTTGACTCTGGCTGAGGGGTTTCAACAGCAACGCTGTTATGTTTTGTTATACAGTGAAACCTTGATAAGTCAAAATCTGATAACTCAAAACAACTGTTTAATCAAACAAAGACTCCATTCCCTTCAGTAGTATAACAATGATATACAACCCTGCTTAACTCAAAACTCTGCTTAAGTCAAATTTTGAACCTGTTCCCTTGAGGTTTGACTTAACAAGATTTCACTTTTGTAACTTGGATTACAGAATTGTCACCCAAAAGAAGTGGATTTTGCAGAAAACAAAACAAAACATTACCGCCCAAAAAAATAGCACTTATGATGACATCCCCCCCCCCCAAAAAAAATTGTGCATTCCGAGTAATATACACAAGCTTTTGATTCACTTTTAAACACGCAATCCTGGCGTTGGACCAACAGTTGAGAAAGGAATTATTGTGCGTTACGTAAAGCCGTTTCACATGCTCGTTTCTCGATTGTATGTTCTGTGTGTTTGTGCCACTCAGTGCACTGGGTGCATTGGCGTCAATCCTGGGGGAGGGGGGGTGGGGACAGGGAGAAATATCAATATCAAATGTCCCCCCCCTAGATTTGTGAACTTGTTATTCATTTACAGGGCCTTATTATGTACTACGATGTATCTTTTGCTAAGAAAATATTGGTTAAAGCGGGCAGAAATTACCTCGATTGCACCACAGAGCATCTAGAATCCAACTTTGTTCGGGGCCCTTAAGCGGGCTCTGAACCCCACGTTGTAAGGGCATCGTGCTCGCAATAGTTCTGATCAAGGTTAGCCCCCCCCCCCCCCCCCCACTTTTGAAAAGCAATTCACGCCCCTGACTGGGTGTAATGGTACCTGTAAAATACCCTGGGCAGAACACAAGAACAGAGAGAATCCAGCGGTACCAATGTCACGTCGACCGATTGAAGCTCACGTGCTTATCAAACCTTGGTTATCAAATATTAAAGAAAAAAATGACAAGATAGAAAAGAATGCTGAAATCTATAATTCTCATGTGCTTACAGCAAGCAGCGACTGGACATGATGAGGTTCTTGTTTGAGCACGGAGCAGACTTGGACCAGAGATACACAGGCGGCAACACGTGAGTAAAACAACAAAATCATCAATATTGAGTACTTGCCCCTCGGCAATATTATTTCTTAAGCGCTGCATACTCAGTGCTGTCCGAGAGCGTGCGAGAAAAGAATCACAAGCTTGCTCTGGTGGGACTTGAACCCACGACCTCCTGCGTACCAGTGCAGACGTCTTACCACTGTGCCAATGAGCTTGTCGTGGTTGGTTGAACAGTGGAACGCTGCTTTAACGAATATCGCGGGATCCACAGAAAGTACTCGGTACAGCGATTTTGATTCGCCGGTACCCTCTTTTGACCGATAGTGAACTGGTATTTCTCACATCCCGTGGTCGCACCAGGAGTCGCCACGAAACTTGAGCAACAGGTGGTTTTCCCTTCTATTCCTTGGTAAAATAATAGCCACCTTACACTCCTCAACATTCAAACACGATATAACCATGGGTCGTTTGATGTTCGGGAATTTAAAAGTGGCCCAAATAGCGTTTAATACAACCATTGGATTTTTTTGTTAAATCTGTTGACTTTCTTCCACAACACTGTTTGATACATTTTGTACATTAAAACCGGGAGCCAAGGATGATGTTCGGTATAGCCGAATGTTCAGCACAGCGGTGTTCGGCATAGCGGCGTTCCACTGTACCATCTCACATTTCAATATATTTGTCGGTCGGACTCGGGGGGGGGGGGGGGGGGGGGGGGGGGAAGAAGAACTTGCTTACTACAACACTGCAGTTTGTAACCAAAAGGCAAAACAACAAGTGCAATGACTTTATCTTCTCTCCTTCTCCCCCCCCCCCCCCCCCCCCAGGCCCCTGCACTACGCTGCAGGCATGACAGGACCCACGGACATCCTGGAGCTGTTGATTGAGTACGGCGCCGACGTGGACGCTGCTAACGAGGACATCTGCTCGCCGCTGTTCTTTGCCACGCAGGCCAACAACTACTTCGGGGCCAGCATGCTGCTGCAAGCAGGTGGGCAAGTCGCAATTTAGGCTTCAATATCAGGTTTTGCCTATTCACCGATGTATTTTTATAAATACCGATTGATTGTGAGAAAAACAAATTCACAACTTGCTCAGGTGAGACCCGAACCTATGACCTCCTGCTTACTAGTGCAGACGTCTTACCACTCGACCACCGAGCGTGCAGGGATCGGCTGGCTGGTTCGAATCTGATATAGCAGTGGGTACTGCAATGAAACTATTCATTAGATGGAATTTTGTGTGTCTTTTTATAGACAATGTATACTCCGTTATACAGGGTGAGCAAAAAAAAAAAAAAAACGAAACCCAAATTATGGGACTATTGTTTTAGTGAAGTTCTTTACGTACCACTTTCAAAATTTAGGATATTAAAGCCCAATTCATAAGCTTTCTTTTAGTAAGAATCATTCAAATCACTCACATACTTTTCAAGATACGGAATTTTAAACACAACCACCGTTTTAAAGTTCTGTCCACGGATCACAGAAAAGGTGTGCATTCTTTCAGCAAAACGATAACAATTCACACACATCCCTATGTGATTTGTTTTCATTTTGCTGAAAGAACACTTACCTTTTTGTGATCCGTGGACAGAACTTTAAAAAGGTGGTTGTGTTTAAATTTCTGTAACTTGAAAAGTACATAAGTGATTTGAATGATTCTTGTACTAAAAGAAAGCTTATGAATTGGGCTTTCATATCCGAGATTTTGAAGGTGCTACATGCAGAACTTTGCTAAAACAATGGTCCCAACATTTGGGTTTCTTTTATTTTACTCACCAATGTAACGACATTGAGGACAAGAGCTCAATCTCATGTAAGCTTGCGGCAAGCTTAATGAGCTTTTTGCAAGCAAGTAATCAGCTTGCTTGCAAGCTTACTTTTCTACAAGTGATGTCTACCTTCACTGGTACCCTCTACCTTCAATGGTACCCTCTGGTGCCAGATAAAGAGCCCCTCCCCCCCCCCAAAAAAAAGTTTCATAAATCTCTAATGGTAGAATAAATTCAGGAAAATACATTTTGTGGGGCTTGAGGCCCAATCCAGAACGTTCATTTTGAAATGTTGTCTTTTATTGCTTGCCCAGGAGCCAACGTGAGACACAAGAACCTGCAAGGCCTGACAGCGTTTGACTGTATCCTGGACTTTGATGAGTGGTTGGAGTGCGGCTTCTTCACCGACGAAATCAAAGCGCGACTCAAAGGTAAAGAAAACATGGGACAGCTAAATTTTCTTGCTAAGCGAAAACCAGCTGGGGACCAGTCGCAAGCAGTATACATCACCTGATGTTTTAGCTGGTAACCAGACATTTTATCGCTTAGTAAATTTGTATACTTAGCGGCTCCGTGAAGTTAAAGGCCCATGTAAAGGATTTGTTTTTTTTTTAATGCAATCCTTGAAGTCTACTTTTGTGGTCCGTCTAACTTGATTTGTTATCTTCACGTTACCATTTTAATGGCATTTTGGAGCTTTTGGGGGTTTTATGCTAATGCAAATTTCCATATTCATGAGCAAATTTGTGATGTCATTCAAGGCAGAAACCTCAGTTTCACACAAGCATAAAAAGTCACCAGAATTTTAGGGGTTTGCTGTGGTTATTTTTCTGCTTTCAACGGCTCATTGTTGTTTAAGTACATGACAGTAAGACAATGAGAAACCTTTATGCACAAATGTTTTCAGTAAGCAGAATTTTGGGTTTACAATTTGAAGAGAAAACCCTAAGCCGGAGAATGTGTTCCTTAAGTGACATCACAGCAACAGCGCCCTCAGTTGTCAGGAAAAACATGAAACAAAAGCCTCGTTGTAAATAGACTCCTAAGATGCCAAATCAGTGCAGGAATTGGTCATGGAAAGCTCTAATTTTTTCCTGGAAATGTCATGGAAGTTCGTTTTAAGATTTCTGTGGAAACCCTGAAATTTCTTAACCAGTTTACGCCGGGATTATTTTGACAAGAACGGAACGAGGCGTGGGATAACTTTTCACTCGACCTCAAGCCAGGCGGGTTGAAGCCATCACCCTCGGGCAGCACACTCATATTTCTGGCCTCGCTCGCTGTGAGCCGGTCGTTGACAGATATTTCTGGTCTCGCTCCCTGCCTGTTTATCTGTCATCTGTTCCGAATACTGCAAAACTTGTGTGTGTAAACACGGCCTCCGGCGCGAACTGGTTAAGTGGCCTATCTAACAGGTCCAGGAATGTTGCCCAAGATGCGGACATCTTTCCCATCTTCCCATGCAGATGAACTTTTATCTAAATAAGTCTGTTTTTTTGCCCCTACAGCCTACAGTCTGAAGCATGCCCGAGACCTTGTCCGCGCCATCACACAGAAGGTCAAAGGTAACCACGGAAAGGGTCTATATGCACAGGTCTCCGCCCTGTCTCTGGGTGGGGCAGGAGGAGGAGGAGGGGCCTCCCGTCAACGAAACCCCGCCCTCTCTGCCTCGATGAGACAACGGAAGCTCAACAACAGTCCCAGTTCCCAGATGATGAGGGGTGGCAGCATAGGGACACTCCCACCGTTGAGACCCAGAGGATTCCTGACCAAATGAGATACAAAAGAAGCCACGCCCTTATGCAAAAACCGTGCCTTTAAAAGCCACACCCTCTTTGAACTGTCAGGCAGTGAAATAAACTCAACAGCCCCTGCTCCCAGATGATGAGGGGTGGCAGCATTGGGACACTCCCACCCTTGAGACCTAGAGGATTCCTGACCAACTGAGATGTAACAATAAGTCACACCCTTTTACAAAGCCGCGCCCCTCATAAAAAACCACACCTCTTTTCATTGTGTGACAAAGGAAGCTCAGTAACAGTCTCAGCTCCCCGACAATGAGGTGTGATAGCAACGGGACACTCCCACCCCTGAGCCCTGGAGAATTCCTGACCAAACGAGCAACCAAAAAATGCCACGCCCTCTGATGAAGCCACACCCCTTTTTCATTACGAGACAAAGAAAGTTCAACAGTCCCAGCTCCCAGATGACACTCCCACCCTTGAGGCCTACAGTCTTCCTGAACAAATGAGCTATAACAATAGGCCACGCCCTTTAAACAAAGCCACGCCTCTTAACGAAAGCCACGCCCTTTTATGAGACAAAGAAAACTCAATAACAGTTGCATCTCCCTGAAAATGAGATGGAAACATCAAAACAATCGTCCCCTACACTAGATAGCAGTGCTGTCTTTGCAATATTCCTACTGTCGTCACTTTTCAATAATTTCAAGATTTGTTTGAAGCTTAATGTACTTATTCTATATTTTGTAAATTTTGTTGGCATCAATTTTTATTTATATATAATTTTTTTATGATGAATAAAGTCTGTATTCCAGAGTGTGACTACTTTTTTGTCTTTCTAAGGGTCAAATGAACAAAACCTATAATAGATGTGAAGTAAGATTTGAGGCTTTGCATGGTGGAGATACTAATAAATGAAAGGTTTGTGGAAACACCATGCGCGAATAATTTCTCAACTAAAGAGAATGGTTCTGAAAAGAAGCAGAGGTATAAACTCGACGTTCCGGTCAGTATGCTCTGACCGTCTTCAGGAGAGTGCCTAAACTCTAAGAAAGTAAACACTTGGGTAGTAAAAGCGAAATTGATGAAGTGTGAAGTTGCATCCTAGTGGATTCACCTACAATTTTTGCAAACATGGTTTTTTTTGTTTTTTTTATATTTTCGGCATTTGTCCGAGAGCTGAACTGCACCATATTCCAAAATTTTAGTCTCTTTTAGTTCTTAAATTTATATTTTCTTAAAATATTTATAAGCTAATTTCAAGCCGAGAACAAAACAGAGTTTTATGACTTTTGCATTGTGTGGAAATGATGTATCTGTAAATAGCTACATGTAGTGCTATTTAAAGTCGGGTTGATATTCTTGATTACTAAATGGACTATTTCAATCTTTTGTTCGTACTCTTTTTTATTTAAAAGGTTTTTAATTATTACATTGAGGCTGTGTGATTGCACATGCAGTGCTAAACAACGTATTTTGTATTATTTCACAGATTTGTAAATATTTATCTCTAAAGATTGTGTTCATTTCAAAGGCAAACAAAATATGTGCTTGGCCAGTTTTAAACAAGTATCTGGCTCTGGCCTGGAGGTAAAGGCCATTATCCCTGACCAGGCTCCTGGTCAGTTTTAATTGTACATTGTACTTGTTTAAAGGGAATGTTCAACATTTGCTTTTGCTGCAATTATCAGAAATAAATGGATTTGGAGGATTAGAATATTATAACAAATATTGCTATTAAACGGACTTGTTTCATGTTTTGGGCCTGTAGATGCTGGGGAAAAAACAAGAAAACCGATCATGTTCTTGTATAGTCTGGTTCCTTGACCCCACTTAAGATGAAACGGAGCAATTTGTACACTTTGGGGAATTGTAAGGTCAGGGAATCAGTCTGGCAGGCTTGTACCTCTTCACAGGTGTGTAATCAATTGCAAAGAAAATGCAGAATAACTAAATATGAAAAATTAGGAGCAATTTTTGAAAATAAGCCAGTTTTCTCCAACGCTGGTCGGCCGACCAGCACTGGAAAAATACCATTTTTCTTGAAAGTGTCAGCACACCAAGAGCCACGGTTTTACAGGATGCTTTACACTATTATTCCCTAACAATCCAGTAAGGTATTTCGTGATAATTTGATCATTTCGTTTTTGATGTTTGCAAATGTTGTATCTTCCCTTTAATACCAACCAAGTACATATTTATTCACATTCATAAATACCTTTCGGTCAGAAAGGCAAAACAGGTAAAAGTACAAATTTCCAACGATTTTGTTTCAATTTTACTTCATGTTTTAGAAACATCCCTCTAGCTATTTTTATGTTATGTATCTCGCACGTGGTACTAATTAGACTCTCCTTATATGGAGATTGATGTGGCACAGAATGCAGTGGTGCCGAAAAAAAAGTGTTTAAAACCAGTTGATGTTTTCTCAACCGTTTAAAACCACCCATGTGATGGGCTCTCGACCAATAGGAATGGGTAAACAGTATTAAGTATTTGGTGAATTTGATTTAATATCCACATTTGCATTCGTGTGACTGAGTAGGAAAATAAAAACCTTAATTATCCTGAAACTGAATGAAATAGTGCTTCTCAGATTTTCAATGTATTTATTCTGTCAAGGTGTACATAGTAAAAGCCCGTCTCCCCCCCCCCCCCCACCATTTATGTGGTTATATAACCCCACAGCCTTGCTAAGACTTAAAAATAACAGTTGAATAAAACAAATAAAAATTAAGAAATCAGTATTTCAAAAAGGTGAACATTTTCGTGAAATATAAGGATAGAAATCATCAAATGGGTCTGTATCGTTTCAAATTCCACGAATTTCCCCTAAAAAAAAACACCAAAAAGTTTATTTTTCAAAAGCATCTTTTTTGGGGTGAAAATGTATGTATCCAAAGACACCATTAAAATAACATTATTTTGGAGGGGGCTTTCATATTGTGAGGATTTTGTAAATCATATGTAGTCATGAGAAACCACAATGTGGACCCCCCCCCCCCCAACCCCCGTCCCGCGCCGCGCCCCCGCATGCAGATCATCAACAGAAAACACTGATGCGAGGGACTTTTGCAAGTCTACCATTATCTAATACACCGGCCATTGTTATTTTTTTTTTTGAGAACGAATGATCCAGCTGAAGGAAAAGTAAATAATATGCCTACAACCGTTTGCTGACGAATGCCAGTTTTGTGAGTGTAAGAAAGGAACATATCTGGAATGAGGTACAGTTAGTGAAATATGTGTATTTTTAAAGATCATTTATTAATAACAGTACCGGCTTTTAGCTGTTGGCCAGCAACGCAACGCAATGAATGCGTGAACTGACTCATGCGTGTATGTCATTGTATGTACAGTACTGCTGGCATGTTGTTATGTTGTGTATGCACCCATGCACCTGTTTTTTAGCTGCGCTACCTCATAATTGATTTCACCTGTAACATTAAAGGTCCTAAATTAATCTCAATGAAATTCATTCATTCAAAAATGATAAGACATGAATCTGGCACTGAGAATATTTCCAGTTTTGTTAGGAACTATTTAGAAAATAGAAAATGTTCTTGACTCTCCATAGACTTTGTACACAGGGTGTCAATTTGCAACATTTTTTCCCATTCGGACAAGGTCGGGCGATAGTAGTAGAGTCCAAGATCGATAGCCGCATTGCGTTTACTAATTGTTTTTTTTTTAAACATTTTTACTCATACCCCCAATCAAAATCTTCGGATTTTACCCCCAAAACAGTCTTTAAAGGGAAAATACAACATTTGCAAACATCAAAAAATAAAACTACCAAATCATTTTGAAATACCTTGCTGGACTGTTAGTGAATGACAGTGTAAAGCATCCTGTAAAATCATGGCACCTGGTATACTGTCATTTTCAAGAAAAGTGCTATTTTTGTATCAATTTCCAACGCTGATCGGCCGACCAGCGTTGGAAAAAAAACTGGCTTTTTTTCAAATACTGGCCCCAGTTGACCATCGCACTTGTTTGCAATCGATTACACACCTATGAACGGGTACAAACCAGCTAGACTGGTTCCCTGACCTTACAATTCCCCAATGTATGTAAACTGCTCTGTTTCTTCTTAAATGGAGTCAGGGAGCCAGACTACAGGAAAATGATTGTTTTTCTTGGTTTTTATAGCTTTTTCGAACCCAAAACCTCAAAAAAGTCAGTGTAACTATATTTGCTATATATTTCCAACCCCCCAATTCCATCCATTTCTGAAAATTACAGCAAAAGCAAATGATGTATATTCCCTTTAAAGGGAAAATACAACATTTGCAAACATCAAAAAATAAAACTGGCAAATCATTTTGAAATACCTTGCTGGACTGTTAGTGAATGACAGTGTAAAGCATCCTGTAAAATCATGGCACCTGGTATACTGTCATTTTCAAGAAAAGTGGTATTTTTGTATCAATTTCCAACGCTGGTCGGCCGACCAGCGTTGGAAAAAAAATGGCTTTTTTTCAAATACTGGCCCAATTGACCATCGCACTTGTTTGCAATCGATTACACACCTATGAATGGGTACAAGCCAGCTAGACTGGTTCCCTGAGCTTACAATTCCCCAGTGTATGTAAACTGCTCTGTTTCTTCTTATATGGAGTCAGGGAACCAGACTCCAGGAAAATGATTGTTTTTCTTGGTTTTTATAGCATTTTCGAACCCAAAACCTCAAAAAAGTCAGTGTAACTATATTTGCTATATATTTCCAACCCCCCAATTCCATCCATTTCTGAAAATTACAGCAAAAGCAAATGATGTATTCCCTTTAAACTGCCTTATGGGCCACTGTTGGCTTCAGTGGAAATTGAAAATACAAGTGGTGGTGGTTAGGTTCACATACCTTTGTGGGAAGAAAAGAGAAATTTCACCTTCAGTTCAGGAAACATCCTCGTCACACACGCCATGTTTGAGGCTACTATTTTTAATTCAGGAAAGATTGACTTGTGCATGGCTCTGGCTAGCCCCATAAATGTGGCCTATTTACTGGACTGCTTCCGTAAACATAGGCCACACATCCACATGTACAAAAACGTGTCGCACTTTGCCGAATTTTGATTTTCACATTTAGGCTTAGTTTGTAGGGGTTTTTTTGCTTTAGAAGCATACTCACCCTCTTTATAGGCTAATCAGAAAGTGCTGCCTTTTTCAGATGGCTAATTTTTGTGAAATTTCCAGATTCATTTGCACACGTTTGCGTATCAAAATTTCAACACGAAATTTCACAAAAATTAGCCATCTGAAAAAGGCAGCACTTTCTGATTAGCCTATAAAGAGGGTGAGTATGCTTCTAAAGCAAAAAAAACCCTACAAACTAAGCCTAAATGTGAAAATCAAAATTCGGCAAAGTGCGACACGTTTTTGTACATGTGGATGTGTGGCCTATGTTTACGGAGGCAGTCCAGTAAATAGGCCACATTTATGGGGCTAGGCTCTGGCTAGACTGTTTCCAGCGAGACTGAAGTTGTACCTTGTACTTGTAGTTGTACACTTACCCACGCATCCATTATCCAAAACTTGGTTCAATTTCAGTTCCATTTCATTACAATTTTGTGTTCAGGAGCAAAAGTGGACCTCAGAAACGGAGCTAGTGTCTCAAAAAAGATGGACCAAAAACTCACAAACTGGAGTTTGAAGCAAAAGGAACAAAGCTTATCAACTTATCATTACTATAACCACGTGACACAAATTTGGTATTATTTTTACCCCACGTGTACTCTGCAGGTATCTCTGACAGTGTGTATCAGGGTGTTTGCTCCGTCCTCTTGACCCCACCGTACCTGTCTGGCCATGGAGAGTTTTCCCAAGCTACGGAAGCTGTCCACCGACTACGGAATGGAGAATTCCGACTTTTTTGGGTAAGGCCTAGTCACAGGCAATAGAGGGTATGCACGGTCGTTTTCCCACAGTAAACTTATGCGAGATGTTACCTCTGTGAGGTCAATTTGTGCATCTCTCTATAGCCTCTGATGATGTCATATGCATGGACCTTATTCCCTTTAAGATCTTGTAGAAATTTTCATCCAGAAAATAGCTGCACAGTTGTTTCAAGGATGTTTTTCAAATTGTCTCGAGCCAGTAAGCTTGGCTAATTCTTACAGAACATTCTGAGCACACCTACATGTATTTAATACTGCACATTCACGAAGGCCCCTTTCAAAGACGGTGAAAGCATCGTGCCAATTCTCGCAAGTGAAATCACTCGGGTGAGACTCGAACCCACGACCTCCTGCTTAATTTCTAGTGCAGATGTCTTACCACTCGACCAACGAGTTTGCCGGAACCGGCTGGGTGGTTTGAATGTAGCAGCGAGTACCGCAATAAGCTATATTCATAAGATAGAATTTGCATCTGGGTAATGTAAATTCAGTATTACCTTTTGCCCGTCACCCATATAAACACTGTAGGGCCTAACACTCAGTGTGTTACCTCCCGAGTGAAAGTTAGGAAACGCATTTATATTAGCAATAAACCCAGTGTGTGCTTCAATCTGTTTTCTTCTTCATTCTTTTGGTAGAGAGGAAAGTGACGAAGACGCCAGCAATGACAGATACACATCAGAAGAAGACAAAAGGTGGGCGTGGTTTGAGGAACATAAACAGGGAGGAAGACTTGTAGCTTAAATAATCCTAACTCCAAGTGATATCAAATAATTGGGTCACATGATCTTAGCATCATTCTGATTTAATTTTGAAAAGTGATCATTATAAGATGGAATATTTGCGTCGGGGTAATATAAATCAAATTAGGTTTTGCCCTTCACCGACGTTGTTTTAAACACTGTATACTCAGTGTGTTACCTCCTGAGTGAAAGTAGGTAAAAATCACTCGGGTGGGACTCGAACCCACGACCTCCTGCTTTCTAGTGCAGATGTCTTACCACTCGACCACCAAGCTAACGGGATCAGTTGGCCGGTTCGAAAAGTGATCATAAAAGATTTTTACTGTAGCTGTTGGATGTTGTTAAACTTATAAGTGCCATTTTTTTGTTTGAAGAGGATTAAAGTGACAAATGCAAACTTAAATCCCTTTGTTGATATTGTATTTATTATTTCTTTATTTCTTAACCACTTTGCGCCGGGTTTATTTTTACCGGAAATTTTGAAATTTTCAAAAGGCAAAATTTCCCAGCCAACTTTTGATATACAGCCAAACACCACCGATTCACAAGAGGGATTTCAACAGTATTTGCACGATATTTCTTGTCAATACTCTGAGGTGTGCACTGGAGCGTAAATTAGACAACAATAGGCCGTGCACAACGGCCCACACAACGATCAGCACATGGTCTGCCTCCACAGACAACACAGACTTTGTGTGTGTATACAAAAGGCACAAGGGATTAGTGTGTTTGAACGTCACCCGGAGGCGAGTGCAGGCAATCTTGACGTCTTAACCCGTCAGTTGTACCTGTGCACAAAAACAGGCAGTTGTTATCACGGCCTCCTGCGTGAACTGGTTAAAAAATAAATCCAGGTTGATTTATTGTTTTGGTTCTTCAATTTATTTAAATTATTTTTCCTTGGCAGGCAAAACCACAGTGAGATTGAGAAGCGTCGTCGAGAGAAGATGAATACCTACATCCAGGAGCTGTGCGCTTTGGTGCCCACCTGCAACTCCATGAAGGCCAAACTGGACAAGCTGACCATCCTCAGGATGGCCGTCCAGCACGTCAAGTCACTAAGAGGTCAGGCACAAGATATTATAATGGCACTTTGAGAGGGCACTTTGTTATACCATTTTCGAGAGCTCCATGCATGGGACACACTGCTTGCATGTACTGTTGCACTGTTGTATAGGGTGAAGTTCACTCGACTTATTTTATTCTGCATGTGCACAAAACCTTAGCGTTCTTCCCGTGAGCGTCAGGCGTCGTCGGCAATGCGTTTGAATGTCTCTCTCAGTGGTCTCCCCGAATCTCCGTACGGTCCCTCCCCCTTCCCCCCCCCTCCCCCGACCACTTGAAATTTGTGTGACTTCGAACACACCAGCCACCCCCCCCCCCCCCACCCACCCAGCCTTTGGAAAATCCTGTTCAAGTCTTCCACCGTATTTTCATCTATGTGCTCCGTGCGCCAATGAAAGAGGGCGCCCTTATACCTAGCAATGATGTCCCATGGGCGGGACATTTCGCTGGTTGACACGCACTGTTCCTTGTGTGTGACGCACGTACACCAGGGGATTTGTTATATGTACACCCAGTGGCCTCGCTTTGCGACAAATGCAAGATGGCATCGGTCTGTCACCTCTAAATGTACTTTCTTTGCTGGTGAGGGGGTACTTGTAAACGGAGCAGATAACACTTAAAAACTCTTCCAAGTTTCACCTCCACGCATTTGTCCATAGTGTATGTGAGCACACACAGTATACAAAATTCTTTGAATTAGCATTCCGTACTTCAAAACACTTCACGAGTCTTTTGTCATTTTTGACGCTGTCATACGTCACTGCGCTCCACATGTGCTCTGGTTTAGGCAACGAAACTCTGTATTAAGGCAGTTATTTAACACTTCATAACCCTCCATATATGGGAAAAACTGAATGGTTTTACATATTGCTCTCAATTTTGTACCAGAATCTGCAACGTCAGTGCTATTTCTATTTTTTCACTTAAAATGTCAGTGTTTTTTCCCTATTTTCTGACTTTTTATTATCACAGGATCTGTGAGTTCAATCCACGAGACCAACATGAAGCCAGCATTCCTAGCAGATGATGAATTGAAAAGGCTCATATTAGAGGTAAAAAGCTGGTTCCTTATCCTCTCCATTATATTCAAAGGACTAAACAGATGAGGGGGAAGGAACCAGTCTGAAGAGAAAACTCAAAATCACTTGTTTCGTTTTAGCTGTGAATCCTGTGATCCCTGGTTTAAGAATTGTTGCATACCGCAGTTACAAGTACTGCATTATGGGGCTTTTGAAAATCTAGGTTTTGTCCACAGCATTGGCTCCAGACTTCAGCTCCATGATTATACACCCCCTTTAGTTGAGAACCTCTGGCTCAATGTAACTACAGTCCGAGATGTACCCAAAGCTGGAGTCAAAACCCAAATTTGAAAAACTTGTCACTGTTCTAAAATTTATGAACGTTTTATTTGTCCTATTTCAGGCTGCAGAGGGGTTCCTGTTTGTAGTAAGCTGCGATCGGGGTCGGATGAATTACGTTTCAGAGTCGGTCAGCCACATCCTTCATATAAGCAGGGTAATATTGTCCAGAAATCTTAGGAAGAGCTGTTTTAACAGTTCTTTTCCAATAATAACACCACTCAAAATCCAAAGATGAATGTTAAAAACCTAACCTGTTGAAGTTTCAGCTCAGTGGATATTACACTTTTTGAGAAAACGGTGAAAAATCACGCACAACCTTTTGAACATGAAACACAATTTTGTCAACAGCAATCTTCATTTCCAAAAATCAGTCAACTGGCTGATCGTCAGAAATCACCTACACTTCTTGGTTTCTTCTAAATGACAGCAAGCCAGACGAAATAATTTCACTGGATGTTTAGTACCAGTACGATCTTTAATTCAAGTATAGCAATTTGATAATTATTTGGTAGGTTACTTTTGGGATAAATGCAAATGATCCTATATGCCGTTAAGATATACTAAAGAAAATCTCTGTTGTCATCTTTCAAGTCACTCATTTTACTTTTGAGCAATTCCACAGATCTATAAACCTCAATGCCAAAACATTTTTAAAAATCCAAATGCCACAAATAAAACACGTACATCATTTTGAAGCTGATCATCTGTATTTTATGGAAATTTGATTTATTTCTAACAATATTCAAACTACTGTTTCAATTTTATAGGAGCATCTGATTGGCCAGAGCCTGTTTGACCTCATGCACCCAAAGGACGTGTCAAAGGTCAAAGAGCAACTCTCCTCCTCCGACCTTGTTCCCAGAGAAAGATACATTGATGCAAAAAGTAAGTACGGGTAATGTAGAAAGGTTGTTTTTGTATTTGTTTCTGACAAACTGGCCTATAACAATACCAGAACCAAGTAGGAAGTATCAATTGACTGTGTGCTTAGTACTTGTTTGGTTCTTCTCGTTAGGACTCCGTAAGGAAGTTTTAACAGGAGGCCAGAAACACCGGGGCAAACCCCTTCTCTTTATATAGCGATAAGTGTCACTGGGTTCTTTTACGTGCATTGCATTACACAACACACGGGACCTAGTACGGCTTTACGTCCCATCCGAAGGACGAAGCAATGATGGTTAGGTGCCTTGCTTAAGGGCACAAGTGTCCAGACCTAGTCTTCAAACCCACATTCTGCCGCCTCTGAAACACCAGAGCATGAGTCCGGTGCTCTTAACCGAAGGCAACGACACTCCATGTAGAAAAGGTCGTTTTGTATTTTTTTTCTGACAAACTGGTCTATTACAATACCAGTACCTATAGGAAATATTAATTGACTGATTTGATTGGTGTGGCAAAATTAGCCTCCTGAGGTGATCGGTGGAGCGTTCTGTTTTCCCGAGGCGTAGCTGTGGGGAAATGGAATGATCCGTGGGGCACTGAAAATTGACTTACACGTTTGCAAACTACCCCTTCATGAATGTAGGGGTAGTTAACGTAAAGTACTTTTTTAAACTGAGGCAGCCGTTGTATAGTCTTTTGGTGGTGCACAGCAAGATAGTAAAAATAGTGAATGTCATGTGACTCACTCTCAACCAATCAAGATACAGAATCACTAGGTGAGGTGTTATAATGGGAAATACATGACGTTATATCAAGATTTTGGTGTAATCATTGTGTGATGTTCTGAAAGGTTATTTTGAGGTCTGTACCTAGATGTATGAATCGGTGCGTCCCCTTGGGTATGATTTTGAAGGTGGAATCACAATTGCTACGAAATGTGCATTGTTCAGTGTTGGGTTTTTGCCGACTTCATTTTCAGATATGTGCATTAAAAGTACTGTAAAGCATGGTGCGTACGAAAGATTTCATGTAGTTTGACAATTTACTTCATTCTGCAAGCATGCTGCAAATAATTTATCCAAAGGAAGAAATTGTCAAACCTTCGTGTGTGCACGCCAACTAACTGGCTTTTGAATTTTCAATGATGTTATCTTTTCTTGCCATCTCGTTGCCATGGTAGCGGGTCTTCCTCTCAAGTCGGACGTGGTGCCCTCCCCGCCTCAGCTGCTCTCCGGTGCGCGTCGCTCCTTCTTCTGCCGGATGAAGATCTTCAACCAAGTCTTGATGGCCAAGCTGGAGGACGATCGGATGTGCAGCAAGAAACGCCTCAAGCAGGGCTCAGGTTAGTGCTGGGACTTTAATATTGAAATTTATAAAGTTTAATTAAAGTTTTTTTTTTTTGCCAAATAATAATAATCGGCATTTTAGAACGCTCTTATTAGTAAACTAAATCACAGCGCTCACAGTATTATTATTACCCCTGATCATTGGGCCAATTAAACATTCCAAATACCATCTCATCTCCCTGGGGAGTATACAGCTCGATGCTGCCTGTTAGGCGCAAGGAAGCTAATTCAATCACAATAACCATCTCTGCCCTCACAGGTACCCATTAACTCCTGGGTGGAGAGAAGCAATGAGTGACAAAGTGCCTTTCCCAAGAGCACACGCACCATAACCCCAGGATGGACTCGAACCCACAACCTGCAGAATTACCCGCAGACCACAATTTCAATGCCCTTAACCATGAGGCCAGGGCACTCCCAAAGGCCCACATACCAACCAACTGTGGCCCTGCACAGGGTTCTCAGTCACTCTGGAAATCAGGGGAAACCTTGAAAAATGAGTTTACATTTCTCCAGTCGGGGAAAACTCAGGGGTGCGTTTTGGCGGTCATAACCAAGAATTGGTTCGGTGGTTTCGTGTCGGTGAATTTCTTCAGCAATTTTAATTGGGTTAGAATTACGCATGATCATGTAGTACTCAAATCCCCAAAACAATTGTCAAAGAGAAACCACCGAACCAATTCTTGGTTATGACCGCCAAAACGCATCCCAGGGTAATTTGGGAAGAACACAAGAAATTAACAGGGAAAACTCAGGGAATTTTACAGTGACCCAGAAGGGAAAGGTTTTCCCCAGCTTGGCGTATGTGCGTCTTGTGCCATGTGTCCAAGTTGTGTTCATTGACTGACTGGCTATGGTGGCTTTTGAGTGTTTATGCAGTGTGAATATCACACACCTCCCCAGACAATAACAATTGGCTGTGCTACATCGACCTCTTGACTTCCCAGCAACCTCATTGAAATGAAAGTATTTCTCATCAAAGTTTGGAAATTTCGCAGGGAAATATCAGATAAAACTTGGGTTGTTTTGTTTTTATAATTTGCTGGGAACCTTGTGTATAAGCATACCAAATTTCATAAAAAAAATTGTCATTGCATTACTGAGATCTGAAGGGGGAGTGGCCAGAACCCCTCCCCCAATAAACAGTGATCTTAATAGGGTTAAACTTTTGTGTTAATCTTTTAATTTTTTCTTGGTTTTTTTTTTTTACCCAAAGACCGGAAGACCTATGTCACCATCCACTGCACAGGGTACCTCAAGAGTTGGCCCTCTGCCAACTTTGGCAGCAGCATGGACAACGAGAACGAGAACGACGGCTGCAATCTCAGCTGCCTGGTTGCCATAGCGAGGGTGGGTAGCTATCCTCACTGTTGTCATGACAACATGGGCATGTCCAACCTTCCACTCAAATGAGCACTTGCGTCCGAAATGCGCCATTTTGGAGTCTAAAAAAAATTTCCAAGGAAGGTATAATGGTTTGAAAGCTTATAAAAAGTAGAACACAAAAACTGCACAAAAGTGTACCTTGAAAGGTGCAGGTTCTGGAATAATTATTGGGCGAAGGAGTTTCAGGGTACAAAATGTTGGTTGTCAAAAAACTGAGCTGTTTCAAAGCCAGTGGTTGATTTGAGAGATCCCCGATTGCCATTTTATGTTAAAAAGCAAAGTTTGCCACATTTTTAAGTACTATTAGGCCAAAAAAAAATATATTCGGTCTCTGGTCAGACCAAAGTTCCGGAATTGACGCGGCCACGCGGCTTTTTTTTTTTTTTTTGCTTTTTTTTTTTTTCCTTCAAGCTTCGATTGTACAGACAAGGTAGGTACTATTTTGCTTTTTTGGTGTCCTCATGTACATTGGTGTCCACCATAATTTGCCTTGGTGCTTTCGATCATTTGCCTTGGTGCAATTTCCCATTCCTTGGTGCTCTTTGGTAAAAAAAATTGAGGAGGTGCGGAAATAGAGGGCGCTGTCGGAGCTACCGCGGAACATTTTGGAAAAAAAAAAGATTGACGCGCATGATTAAAATCGACGCGCGCGCTGACCAGAGACCGACTTTTTTTTTTTTTGGCCTTACTAACATTGTGACATAGCATTACGGGCTTAGGGCTTCCAACTCGCGCCCATTGATCCAGAAGTTATTGACAAACTGGGAGACTTCGAACATAGGTCTAGATAACTCAGTTAATAGAGTGTCGGATCGGAAATCCGATCCTGTCGATTTCTTTGATCTACCTCGCAGTGAGTTGCCCTTTGGCTTATTTGAAAATTTGTTATGGAAGAAGCTTGATCGGATCTCAGAAGCTGTGGGCCAACGAATTTGTGTTCATGCATGAGTCACGTGATTGTGCCATGTGATTTCTGGAAGGAGTAGTGTTTTGAGTAGAAACCGGGTTTTTGACCCCAGTGATCCCATGATGACCTTTGACCCCAGTTTGGTCATGTGACATGTTGGGGTTGGGCTACTAATACTTTTGACAAAGTTTGGCTAAAATCGGTCAAAATATGTAGGAACAATTGTAACATTTGTTACTAACAAATCAACGGTTGTTACTTAGTATCTAACTAACGGAGAGACATGATGACTTGTTCAGCTGCTATCCCACCGCTTAAAACGCATTTCTGTGAGTTATTCAGTTACCATTTTCCTATTTTCGAAATAGCTCATGCACATATGGGTTTATGGCTTCTGACTAGCTGCTCCCTTCAACAGATACATTTTAAAAGTTGCTCAAATGTTGGTAAGATGGGCCCCATTCAAGCATTGCTTTAAACTGCTTGCTTCTGTACCTTTGTATGTAACGTTTTCCTGTCTTTCTTGTATTTTTTTTCATGGACAGCCTATTCAAATGCCCCATTCGTCCAACAAGGAGAGCAGCACAATCCAGCCGGCAGAGTTTGTGTCGAGGCACGCCGTGGACGGCAAATACACTTTCGTGGACCAAAGGTAGGTCTGGGAAAAAACTTCACAAGGGTGAAAAAGCTGTCCTTAATACTCATTTTGTGGGATCCAGTCACATTTCATCCTTTACTGTGCTGTGTCTTGGAGATTGTCATTTCAGTGGTCTGGATTGGTCACGTCTCTAGTCTCTGGTACTTGTGTGACTGGTAACCATGCCACTTGTACCCACACTCTTTTCAGTGGAGCCCTGTGGTCCAATGGTTACGGTGTTCGACTCACTTGCCGCGGTACGTGGGTTCGAACCCGGACAGGGAACATGGTGCTTGTGTTCTTGGGCAAGACACTTTACCACAATTGCCTCTCTCCACCCAGGAGCATAAATGGGTACCTGTGAAGGCAGAGACCCGAATGCGCTGATCTCGAGCTGCTGCAAAAACTGGTCTCATGGCCTGATGAACAGGGGTAATAATTGTGAAGCGCTTTGAGACCTTTGGTATAAAGCGCTATATAAGCACTATATGTTATATTATATATTTTCACCAGTTGTTCAACTATATTTCCGAGAGTGTGGCCTTTTTCGCTTAGGGTGTAGGACTCATGATCCTGCTGCTGACCATTATTTTGTGTCCTTGGGCATTCCACTTTATCCCCATTTGTCCCCATTGCTATCCCATCCAAGAAAACTGGAAAGAACAGCAGCTGAGACAACCCATATTGACCTGAGACAGGCCCCACTTTTACCTACTGTTGCAATCGGAGCAAAGTTGTCGGAGAGCAGTGAACGGCAAGACGAAAATTGGCACGGAAGCTGTAAAAACATTTTTCATTTCTTTTTTTGTAGGGCTACAGCAGTGCTAGGTTACCTACCTCAAGAGCTCCTAGGCACATCGTGCTACGAGTACTTCCACTCAGAAGACATCCATCACATGGCAGAGAGCCACAAAGCTGGTACGATTTCTGACGTCAAAACAAAATCATTGAATGTATACTTAAGGCCAAAAAAATAAGTCTCCGGTTTCTGGTATGGAGCTTGCCCCTGTTTTTTTTGCTTCAAATGTCGGCTGAGGACTGCAATTGGTGCCCGACTAAACTTAGTGAAAATATATGGGAGTCCAGAGAGGCCACATAAAGCTTATTCTCGATCATATCCCCATCTAAAAACACGTTAAAATTGTGCAGCAGCAGGATTCCAGTCAAACCAGTGAGTTTGGCAGTTTTGAGACATCATCTTTTATTGAAAAAAAAAACTTTTTCATTTTGCCGACGCGCATGGCTATGGCGACGCGCGCGCATACCAGAAACCGGAGACTTATTTTTTTTGGCCTAAGCACTCAGCATGGTGGATTGAGGTACCCCTGTGATGTCAGTGCGGCGATCGCAGTTTAGGTGGCATTGCACTCATAGGCACGTCGCACACATTCTTCACTCGAGCACGGATACTCTACACAAGGATAAACAACTCATCTGAGCTTGTGTATAAAATGTGCGGAATGGTTTGTCTACATGCATGATATGCCGCGTCGTGCGCGCGCCATGATCGCCGACAGCAGGCGTCTCGTGCACGTGCACGCACGATGTGCAAGTGCCATATCATGCATCTAACCAGAAGTTTGGGGAAGTCGTTTTATCCTTAGAGCGAGCCTTTTGTGATCAGTTGTATGAATTTTATCAATGAACATGATCTAATGCATCCCAATCAGTCAGGATTTCGCCCAATGCACTCCACAACCACAATTCTTGCCAAACTGGTCAATCAATGGAGCGGAAATGTTGAACGTGGCGACCTGACAGGAGTGGCTTTCACAGACCTCAGAAAATCTTTCAATACCGTCAACCGAAATTAATCAGAAATAAATAAATCTTTGTGTAGAGAATCCATGATTTGAGACTAACAGCGTGTAATAAAAAGCCTTATCCGCCAACTTGGGAAGGGGGGCAGAAAAAAACCTGCCTCTTTTATTTTTCAAAAAGTCAGACGAGAATCTATATTTTTATTTACTCTGCCTTTAATACAGAATGTGGAAAAAATCTTACAACCTGACGCCACTTTTTTCTTCATATATCATCTCAATGAAGGTCAGTCATTGCAAAAATGATGATAAGACATGAATCTGGACCTGGGAAATGTTTCTAAATACTTAAAAAATTGTCTTGACTCTCCATTGACTTTGTACACAATCGCGGAAGTGGCGTCAGGTTGCAACATTTTTTCCCCAGAATGTTTTTCCAATCTTTCCAACCACTGTTCCAACCCTTAAATTTGTTCTCTCTGAACATTTTTCTCCCCGTTTTTGACCCCTCTCTCAATCTACCAGTTTTGCTTGCCAAGGAGAAGATTTTAACCAACGTCTATCGACTGCGGGCAAAGAACGGCGTCTTTGTCCAGCTCCAGACCAGAATGTTCTGCTTCCGCAACCCATGGACTAAAGATGTGGAGTACATTGTCTGCACCAACACGGTGGTCAGGTAAGTCATTTTTTTGTACCAATTGGTCGAGTAGCTATTTGTGTATTAAAATTTTCAACACAATAAGCCTTGAAGGCATGTAGGATCAAATTATAGGTTTTGCCCTTCACCGACGTTTAAACACTGTATACTCAGTGTGTTACCTCCCGAGTGAAAGTTTGAAAAAATCACTCGGGTAGCTTGGTGGTCGAGTGGTAAGACATCTGCACTAGAAAGCAGGAGATCGTGGGTTTGAGTCCCACCCGAGTGATTTTTTCAAACTTTCACTCGGGAGGTAACACACTGAGTATACAGTGTTTAAACGTCGGTGAAGGGCAAAACCTAATTTGATTTTATATATCACCCCGACGCAAAATTCCATCTTATAATAGCATGTAGGATCATTTGCTTTTCATGCATTTTGTTTGATTCCCGATAATAACACCACTCAAAATCCAAAGAAGAATGTTCAAAGCCTAGCATGTTGAAGTTTCAGCTCAGTGGATATTACACTTTTTGAGAAAACAGTGGAAAACCATGTACAACCTTTTGATCATGAAAAACCATTTTTTAAAAATCAGTCAATTGTTAAACTGATCGTAGCTGTATATTTATTTTCTGTACAGACCAGATACAGTTATTGAGACATCAGATGTGGGAAGTAAAAGTGACCGTGTTGACAAAATCATCTGTGAAGTTGGTAAGTTGAGCATCTAAAGACAATTATAAGGCAATGAAATCACAGCTCCAACACAATTCAAATCACAAGTCAATCACAAGTCAATCACAACTCAAATTACAAGTGAATCACAAGACAATCACAAGTCAAGTACTAGACGATCACAAGTCATATCACAAGTCAATCGCTAGTCAATCACAAGTTAATCACTAGTTAATTAATCACAAGTCAATTACAAGTCAATCACAGGTCAAATCACAAAGAAATCACAAGTCAATCACGACTCAAATTACAAGTTAATCACAAGACAATCACAAGTCAATCACTAGACAATCACAAGTCAATCACTAGCCAATCACAAGTCAATCACAAGTCAATCACTAGTCAATCACTAGTCAATCACAAGTTAATCGCTAGTTAATTAATCACAAATCAATTACAAGTCAATCAGAGGTCAAATCACAAAGCAATCACAAGTCAATCACAGGTGAATCACTGGTCAATCAAAAAGCAATCACACGTCCATCACACATCAAATCACAAGTCATCACAAGTCAATGCGCTGACTTGTGATGACCCTTTATTGACTTGTAATTTGAATTGTGCTTGACTTATGATAACTTTTGATGACTTCCGATGACTTGTGATTGACTTGTGACTGACTTGTGATTGACTTGTGATGACTTGTGATTGACTTGTGATTTGAATTTTGAACACTAATGATGGCTCCTGATTGACTTGCGATGACTTGTGATTTGAATTGTGATTGACTTATGATAACTTCTGATGACTTTGTGATGACTTCTGATTGACTTCTGATTGACTTGTAATTTGAATTTTGAACACTCATGATGGCTCCTGATTGACTTGCAATGACTTGTGATTTGAATTGTGATTGACTTATGATAACTTGTGATGACTTTGTGATGACTTGTGATTGACTTGTGATGACTTGTGATTGACTTGTGATTTGAATTTTGAACGCTCATGATGGCTCCTGATTGATTTGCGATGACTTGTGATTTGAATTGTGATTGATTTATGATAACTTTTGATGACTTTGTGATGACGTCTGATTGACTTGTGATTGACTTGCAATGACTTGTGATTTGAATTTTTGATCACTCATGATAACTCCCGATTGACTTTATGCTCCTGATTGTCTTGTGATTGACTTGTGATTGACTTGTGATTGACTTGTGATTGACTTGTGATTGACTTGTGATTTTAATTTTGATGACTCATGATGACGCCTGATTGTCTTGTGATGCCTTTGTGATGACTCCTTAGGGACTTGTGATGATCTGCGATTTGAATTGTGATTGACTTTTGATGACTCCACTCCGACTCTAGGAATGGGCACGGAGTTGTGAATTCCTGACAAGACTACTTTGCTTTTTCTCCCTGTTGTAGATTCATCCAAATCTGTGTCTGTTCCCGGTGTGCCCCTCAACACCCACCTAGGGGCGGGCAGGATCGGACGCATGATTGCTGAGGAGATTCTGGAAAATGAAAAGTGAGTGTTCAGCCGTGTCCATATTTCTTTATGGCTATGGCTAGCAATAGCACATGTCTATGGGAAGCGGCTGCAGCCACTTGCCATAGACATGTGTTTTACTGCCAGTATTGAATCTCTTCAGGGTTTGCGATTTTTTTTGTACATTTTAAAAGTTTACAAGAGTGATTTTACAACTTGTTATAGCGCAGTTCCACGGTGTTTGACATACAGTTTGGACAATTCGACAGTGTGCATATTACAAGTTATTATCGCGAAGTGAATTTTAATCATCAATACATGTGTTAGGTTTTGCCCTTCATGTCGGTAAAAGGGCAAAACCTAATATTGATTTACATCGCCCCAACGCAAATTCCATCTTATGAATAGTTTCATTGCGGTACCCGCTGCCACATCAGATTCGAACCAGCCAACCGATCCCACAAGCTGGGTGGTCGAGTGGTAAGAAATCCGCACTAGAAAGCAGGAGGTCGTGGGTTCGAGTCCCACCCGAGTGATTTTTCCAACTTTCACTTGGGAGGTAACACACTGAGTATACAGTGTTTAAACGTCGGTGAAGGACAAAACCTAATATTGATTTACATCACCCCGACGTACATGAATGTTAATCATGATAAAAGTATCAGCTACCAAATACTACAGTGATTTAAAAACAAAGTTATTTGTCCACCTTTTTTTGTTGTAGAAGAAATCAGCTTAAAACACCATGGTGTCAGACGTGCTCAAACAAATTTTTTTTTGGTGTGTACTTATTATGCATTTACTTATGTTGCAGATCAATGCAAATTTGATTTTAATCTGCTCTTGGTCCTATTTTAAAAAAAAATGTTTGTATCCATTTGCAGGAACGATCCTTCGTACGGTATGAACAGCCCCAGCGATGTCATGCTGAACGGGTCCCGAGCACCGACGCCTAGAGCCGAGAAGGCCGTGGAGACAGTACAAGGTATGAGGCCAGTAAACAAAATGTAGAATTGAATTGTAGAAATGAAAACCAATATAGCAACTTCAACTGCTTGTGTAAAGAAAACTGCATACAATATCTCCCAATAGACCTTAAAGGGAATATACAACATTTGCAAACATCGAAAAATAAAACTACCAAGTTTTTACGAAATACCTTACTAGGATGTTGGTAAATGACAGTCTAAAGCATCCTGTCAAATTATGGCACCTGGTGTGAAGTCAGTTTCAAGAAAATTGTATTTTTGTATAAATTTCCAACGGTGGTCAGCCGACCACCGTTGGAAAAACCTAACTATTTTCAACTACTGCTCCAAATTTACCATTTTTTTTTCAGTCCAAATTTTGTTTGCTGTTGGTTACTTGTTCATGAATGGGTGCAGGCCAGCTAGACTGGTTCCCTTACCTTACAATTTTCCGGCATCTATAAATTGATCCATTATGTCTTTAGTGGAGTCAGGGAACCAGACTACTCCACCATTTGTGTTTTTCTTGGTTTTTCCAGCATTTTCGAACACAAAACTTCAAATATGTCAGTGTAACATTATTTGATCTATATCATAGTAACCCCTCAAATAGTTCATTTCTGAAAATTACAGCAAAAGCCAATGATGTATATTCCCTTTAAACGTAGCAGCCATGTTAGAGGGCAACGCCTTTGTTTTGCTGGGATATGCATAAGTGAACCTTTTGTGTGTTAATTGTTACTGAATTAAAATAACAAAAAATGACCTTTATGATGGCTGCTACAAATAAGGTTTATCCCTTGTCAGACAGTGCTGAAGGAATACTGTTTGGTAATATGGACTTTTTCTTATGATACACCTTTGGGTAAAGCAGAAATTTTGCCGCCAGCTTTTTCTGTAATTGGGAATTGCTTGTATTTGGACCTGTACCATTTTTTCATTACCTGCTTAAATAGTGTCCCCCTCCCCTCCCCAAGCAGTAGTCTCACCAGGCTTCCCTAAGCGGAGGAGCTTCCCACAATGCTGATTAGAAAACAAATTGAGAAAAAAATTTACAACTCTCTCAAAACCATTCTTACTTCCCCACCTTGACAAAAAAAAGATGCCCCGCCATTAACTTTGTCTAGAGCCACCAATTCAAATTTCCCCCTTCTTGACTAAATAGATGTGCCACTGTCATCTCTGCCCGTCCTTTTTTCAAACATCAATTCAGAATCCTTTATTGTTTGAATGTTTAGCCCAACAAGCTGAGAAAGTCAGCTTCTTTGGTTCGGCCTCGTCCGGCCAACCCCTGCTCCCCAACGCCTCGCTGACCCCCTCCGACAACCCCGGCCTCCTAGGCCAGATGTCCTCCCTACTGGCCATGACGTCAACCAGCGCTGCGGGAAACGTCCCCGCAGCCAACAGCAACGGCAACAACGGCGACAGCAACGGCGGGGGGAATAATAACAATGGGGGCGGGGATAGCGTAGGCCCGCCCCCTCCTGCGGGCGGTGACGACGAGGCTATGATGGCGTTCATCATGAGCTTGCTGCAGGCCGACGCCGGGCTGGGCGGCTCGGTGGACCTCACCGACCTACCCTGGCCGTTATGAGGTTAGAGTTACTGAGAGGTTATTCAACAGGACCCAGTGTATATTTACAGCGAAATTAAGGTGCTTATCATGTGTGTGTGACATTACTGAAACAAAACCAAAATATATATTGTAACCTCTAGAAATTGAATCAAAAATATATAGACCAAAGTTTGTAAGATGTAGTGGAAGTTTGCAAGCCAAAAGCCGAGATTTCTGGAGGGGGGGATGTGTTAATAAAATCTTGAAATATAAAATTTGTAATTTGTAATGTCCTAAAATATCCGTACAAAAAAAAACAATAGAAAATTTCCTATACCAAAGGTGGGGTGGGAAGGCTGGACACCATGTGACAATCGGTGGCGCTGTTTATAATAGAAACTTGTATATGGGTACATGCTACGCATTTTTTGGTGATATCCAAATGGTTTCTACTGTTCACCATTCACCGTTTTATTGTTAAGTCAAACTGAAGTAGAGCTTTGGGTAAATTTTGGTAAGAATAGGATGTGAGAAAAAGAAACAGCATGTTTGCATTAAGGGCCGTTTATTTACATGACATCCTTCTCCCATTTTGGCTTCGTGCTTAGAGCTTTGTCAAGTACATGTCACAGTTGTTTGTCTGCAACCGTGACAGTGTCTGGGTCGTCGTGTTTCGTGTCGCACGTCTTGTCATATGCAATCACTGAGTTGGGCAGTATTTTAATATAAGTGAACTGCACAATTTATGTACTTATTACACGCGCGTGCAACCAAAAAAAAAAAAAAAAATGTCAAACACTGTACTGCCTGTTATAGATTTGGCTAGATTAAATTTTAAAAAGTTGAAAAAGTGCCATTAGTAGCATTGGATTTGTATAAGTAGCCCACCGGTTTAAGTTAATTTCTGTGAAGTGATGTATAGTGTGTACGTCTTGTCGTTTGGTAAAACTAGAGTTGTTATCGTGTCAAGTCACTTGTCAGGTCCGAAGTAGCAAGTGATGAAAATTTAACAAAGGAATGCCTATGTCACAGATCAGTTTAATACAGGGTGACTACAAAAAAACAGAACCCTCAAGCGTCCTCTTTTTCACAGCTTTTTTTTTTTTTAAATGCATCACAAATATCTATACATATTTAGAGAGTAAAGTCCATTAGGCCAAAAAAAAGGCTCCTGTTTCTGGTATGAAGCTTGCCCCAAAAGTGGTGCGGCGACGTGGCTTTTATTTGGGGGGGGGGGGGGGACTTTTTTTTTCTTCAAATGTCGGCTGATGACTGCAAATGGTGCCAAACTAAATTTAGTGCAAAATATATGGGAGTCCAGAGAGGCCACATAAAGCTTATACTCGATCGTAACCCCATCTAATAAAAACATGTTAAAATTGTGCAGCAGTAGGAGTCCAGCCAAACCAGTGAGTTTGGCAGTTTTGAGACATTATCTTACATTGAAAAAAATAAAAAAATAAAATTTCATTTTGCCGACGCGCATGGCTACGGCGACGCGCGCGCATACTGGAAACCGGAGACTTTTTTTGTTTGGCCTTAGCTTTTCAACAACAAAAAAGTCCTTCCAATCGGGTCAATATTTTAATATTGAATTGCGGCCAATTCAAAAGAAGCGCCTGTTTTTTCAATCTGTCCACTGTCTCAATTGTCATTTGTTAAGAATGGATTTGAGGCTAGGGTAGTTTTGCTTTCCGAGTTTAACGTTTTGATCTTTCTTTATTTGTACATTTTATTTTTTATTTTTGCAACAATGGTCATTCATCCTTTGGAAGTAATGGTAGTCCTGACAAGGACTGTTTGGTCAACTTCTTAGATGTTTATTTTGCTGCTATGTCTCTGCCCTCTACTTGGTAGCCTTTTTTCACAAATGCAAGTTTCGGCCCGTGTTCTTATTGCGGCAGTCAAAATATCAGTCGCCGTGGACAAAATGAAAAAGCAGTTCTTGTTTTCAATTGGCCATAACTCAATAAATATTTACCCAATTGGAAAAGCGACGATACTCTCTAAATATGTATAGATACTTGCAATGTATTTTTTTAACAGCTGTAAAAAAGAGGACGCATTGAGGGTTCCTTTTTTTTATGAGGCTCTTGTGACTTGATTACAAATAATCCCAGAGACTAGGTACTTTTTAACATTGGTGCTTTCAAAATGCTATGCCATATATTTTTGGCAAATTCAGAAAAAAAAATGGGTATAACTATATTTATAAAGATTTTCAAAAGTATATTTGAAGTTGTAGCTCTCAGACTTGTTTTGTATTCGTCAGACATTCCTGTCCGATTTCCTCCAAACACAGGGTTCGGTTTTTGCTAGAAAACTTAACAGGGTTTCATGAATATATTTTTGTGACGTTGCGCACACAGCTTTAATTGTATAAACAAGAGCAGTATTATTAAAGGAATTTTAAAAAAATATTTCAAAGTATTTTTCAAAGGCAATGGTATATATCGATATTGACTTTTTTGTAATTATTGGTCCAAAGATTTACATGTAAGTTGGAGATCAAATAGGGGGCGGAGCTATTTTATTGAGGGGTGGGAAACATGGCCTCTATAGTAACTGGTTACAAAAGATAATGGTGTCCATCGTAACTCGTACTGAACTTGATGTATTGTCATGAAACTTGGTATAGGTACATTGTAACGTGTTTGTGGAATCCGGCTATTGAATTTGGGGGCTTTGGGTCAAAGGTCAAGGTCAATATGGCTTTTACAGCAGCAATGGCGTATTCACAAAACATTTTAGGTGACTCTATATATATTGTCATAAATCTTGAGATTAGGTAGATTGTACATGAAAAAGGGTATTGGATTTGGACTGCGGCTATAAGCCAGGCACTTCGTGCATGATGTCACAACGCTGCAAAGCTGGCTGCATATCTGGAACACAATTACAGACGCCCGGATAAAAATGCACACACAACATAATAACACTCGTGTGCGCGGCTCCGTTATCTACTGTGTAAAGTCGTACGTTTTGTAAACGAGAATGGACCCCAAAATGCATAGGAAATCAGTCTTTGCTGGATGTACGTACATGATGTATGGCAGATGCGAAATAATACAAAGTAAGTACAACCCTCGTCATGCTTGAGCTTTTCAATCCATTAATCCAATGTGAAAATCACATACATGACAACATGTATCATGTAGGCCTACGTACTGTGTAAAACCATGGAGGTAGAATTAGCGGCGATCATGTAGTTTTAATCAAATTAGAGTCATGTTGTTTTTTTTTCATCATTCAAAAATGACTTTTTCAATCTAAAGCAGACTTCTCTTGATTATAATGTATTTCTAATGACAATTTTTTTTTTAAATTTTAAACAATTTCTTGGGCTAGAATTAATAATTTTCTTTTGCAGTTTACAGTGGTACACCGTGCCCTTCAGATGGACCGGGAAGCAGTCTAGGTCTCCCCCGACTTTCTTTTTCTTGCCGTTGAAGGAGAACTTATGCATGGAACCATGATGTCAGGAGCCTCCTTTCCTAGAAGTGGTATTAACCCACTGCATTTCCAGGAATGAGTTCTGTGATGTGAGTAGTAATAATATGTACGTGTATTTACATTATTTATAAAGTGATTTCAGCAAACTCCTTCACACACATCAACTGCTTATTCATTTTAAACATTTTTCAACCTGCCGCTAGAGGGTGCTCTAACATGCTATGACGTCACCTGTAATTTTTTTGTGAAGTACAACCTAGCCAGAGACCAACATAGTTGAAAGCAAATTCACATCTTTTTCCAATTTTAAATTAAATTGGCTGGTAACCTGCATTTTATAAGCCAGACTTTTTTGTGCTAAGCAAATTTGTGTGCTTAGCAGCTCTTTGAAATTGGCCCCGGCTCACCACAATGCCACTTCTTGACGTAAGGAACTAGTTTGGATCAGGATTAATTTTAGGCCCGTCTGACCAACGAGAGCTCAAAGAAATTGGGGGACACCTTGAGAAGCCCTTGACATTGTGTTTGGGTGATACCTGTAGCTAACAAAAAAAAGGAAAATTGCAACTGGAAACCTGGGGTGATGGGTAGGAGCGAACTCTTGCAGGTGGTTTTGCAGTGGATCATAATTAAACCTGTCTTGTTTCACTTCCTGAAATTTGTTTTATTCATACTATAGTCCATTGAAATTCCGTCAATCCTAAAATATTTTGGTGATTTGTTTTCGACGTTCTGTATTTGTTTTGTTTTCTTGTCAAGGTTACATTAAAGAAAGAAAGCTGGAGCCCTGACGGACGTTCAAGGTTGAGAAAGAAAAACAAGTACAAGAAGCTGATCTCTGGGAAGGAGGTTGATGGCACAAGGCAGCAGGTTGAAGATGACAATTTAAAGAGGTTGTTGATTGCTGGAAGTAATGTGCATCATCAGGATTAAGTGTATTTAGCTTCAAGTATATTCAAATATAACAATATGCAAACGTTTCTCATATAAAACGATCCTAACATGTTTGGAATCTTTTGTTCCTTTTTAATTGTTGCACCATCTATGCACAATCACTCTATTTGCCTAAACATCATCATTTGTCAAAAAGAAATTGTTTCGCAGACACTGTATGGAACAGACACTACAAAAAACAGGCACTACAAAACAAACAGGCACTACCAAAAAAAAGCCTACCAAAAAAAAAGCACTACAAAAAAAACCCAGGTACTACCAAAAAAAATACAAGCCGCTATAAAAAAAAAAGCACTATCAACCCCCCCCCCCCCCTAAAAACCAAGCACTATAAAAACTTACAGGCACTACAAAAAAACAGGCTCTACAAAACAAAACAGGCATTACTAAAAACACAGGCACTCGAAAAAAAACTTACCCCCCAAAAAGCACTACAAAAAATTAGCAGGCATTAAAAAAATGTGCTACAAAAAAAACCAGACACTACCAAAAATAATTAGGCACTAAACAAAAAAAACAGGCTCTACAAAACAAACAGGCACTATAAACAAAAAAGCACTAAAAAAAACAAGCACTATACCGGTAGTTATACAAAAACAGCTACTACAAAAAAAATGCGTCATTTTGTTATTTAGTCATTCTCTAAAATGAAAACAATGCGTCCCAAAATATTACTGGGCAATCAGCAACCTCTTTATATAAAGGTAGGTGTTCTTACATCTGCATGCTAATGGCTTAAAAAGAAAACGACTTGAAAGCAAACGGTCGCTCGCCAAAAAAAAGACCAATTTGTGGAGTACAGTGGACATGAAAAGGAAATGACTTTTAATGGGGATTTTTTTTTTCACAGGATAAGCTTGTAATATTTTGGTTACAAATTCAAAGTTGATATAGTAGTAAGCTGCATTCTGTATGAGTTTTCTCCATTTTTTTTTACAAAACAAATGCTCGAGATGGTTTAATAATCCTTAAAATGATTTCGCAATAGTTTGGTAGAATTATTCACATTAATATATATTATTTGAAAACTGGTGAAAGGTGTACATCTATTTATATGTGCACGTATTTTATTGTATTTCTTTAAATATATGGAAAGAAAGGAGTTTATATTAAAGGGACAATGCGATAGATATAATTTAATGAGATTTTAACCATTTCCATTAATTGCATGAACATTGTGCATCACCTGTTCAGGTTCAAATGTATTATAAGTGCACATTTCGGCATTATATTAAAAACTAATTCTCTCAACTGAAGGCGCTGTTGCTGTCAGTTAGTTTTAGGCAATTAAGCACTACACCGTTTTTAGCAGCGTTTTTAGCAGCGCTTTTAGCATTTTCTTCAATTTTATGAACCCAAAATATAACTTTATACTGAAAATATCTGTTAATAATGCTAGCCCTATACGTTTACAGGCTTTCTAATAATCCCAGAAACACCTCAACCAAATTATCACAGCAGAAAACCAAATATTATCATTTGGTATTGATAGTGGAAACACCGATTGTATCGTGTTTATGGAAATTAAACGAGCATCAAATCAAAAAAGATCTCGAAACATCCCGAAAAATGATAAAAAGAAATGCAACTCACAATTCAAAAAAAAAGTGCATTTTACGGATTCTTTTCAAAACAAAATGTCTATCGCATGGTCCCTTTAAATTTATTGAAAGCTGTTCTTTCTGTAACTTTTTTTTAACACCCTACAAATATTTCTTTTAAAATCTGTTGCTATTTGTCGAGCAATACAAGGGTTTTTACTTTTATTCGATCGGGAAAATCGGCCACGTTATTTATTGAAATATTTGCGGCGCGAATTCTTGTGGCATTAGTGGCCCGAAAAGTACCAAGACGTAAAAGTCATTTTTTAAGAGGGTTTCAGAATCCAAAAACAGACAAATGTAGTTTATTAAAAAGTTTAATCGTTAAAAAATATAAAAAAAATACCGGTAACTTGAAAAGTCCGTTAAAAAAAATCTTATTGTTGAGTTCCGTACACGGGAAGAGCGACTTCACATTTCAATTTTAACGGACAATTTAATACGAGAGAATATCAATACATGGCTGTGATGCGGCTTGTGCCGAAATCTAGCGCAGCACACGACAATTTTGGTTACCCGTTTTCCGTGGTAAAGTTGGAAAGGAAATTATTGAATTAATGTTCACGCCAAATGTACCAGGCAGAAATTGCAGTAGTTGCAATGCCTCTTGATTTTCGTATCTATCTACGCCAGTTTAGCGGCTTTTAAATTCACTTTGAACATAGCTTTAATAAGCGTATAGTTTGGCCTTAAATTAAATTTTCGAAAACGCGCCTTCCGTTCTCACACAGTAACATAAACGAACGTTGTTGAAAATCGTTCTTTATAATGCCACTTTTGCTTGGTTTTAGAAAGAAGGAACTAACACTTTCAATCTCTCGTTTTATAACATCTCATTATAACGGCTCAGTCTAAATATGGTGTGAATAAATGTGGCCATACTAAGACAAATCACAATTCTGATCTCCTTGTATTTTTGTTTCCCGTAGTTAATACTTCTGTTTAATCAGCGTATTTACCAAAAAAAGTGTTATGCCCCGACTTGGCCATTTATCAAGATCACTTTGATTAGAAGAGCGCATGCGCGCTAACTTGCACTACAAACAATTTCTACCTATGTACTGCGTACAAACAACTTTGGTAAATAGCGCATGCGCGCCAACGTAATTTTTTTTTTTATTGCGCAAATCCGATCCGAAGCTTTATATTTTAAATCCAACTATTTTAAATAGGAAGAGCGCAATAGCCTAGTGGTAGGCACCCTAGCGCTCAACCGAAAGGTTGCGGGTTCGAATCCCAGCGAGGTCCCAGCAGCGCCTTTTATTTATTTTTACTTTATACCTATTTAATTTAAAAAGAGTAAAATTCGATTTTATTTTATTTTATTTTATATAGTTGGGGTAGACGAGCGATACAGAACTCGGACCAGCCGCAGGTTTCCCTGCAGCCAGTCCGAGTTGCTGCGGCCGGGACTCGAACCAGGGGCGCCGGCTTACCGATCGGCACCTCTACCGGGTTCGCTACCTGGGTCCCCCAGTGAAAATGACACTTCCTATAATTAAAACCCTTAGAATCAATTAATTTGGAATGAAAATAAATACCGCCCTCTTGATTCAAATGGGGAAAATTCTGTACACTCGCCCGGCTTTCTAATTGGGCGTCGTTTTGGACTTAGTTATAAATCTTTGATTGGAACTCGGACTCGAGTCTATGTACTTTAGGCTTGTGACAGACAGATATTCCACGACGGCACTATGAATTGGATATTTAAATAATTATATGACTTTAGGTAACTCCGTAGTATCGTTGTTAGGAAAATATAAAACGGGCAGTAATGGAACGTGTGATAAGTCGGCCGCATGATGAGGCAAATATCTATCCAGTTTGATTATTTCCCTTTCGTGCACGGTCAGCCTGAGCTACAAGCTGAGCTAAAAAGATTCACTAGCCAATGAAAGCTCATGATTCTTGTTTATCGGATTTTTAAAAATGGGAACAAACGCCAGCAGGTTTAAGAAGATGTGCACAAATATCTTAAAATCACGTGTATTGCGCCATGAAATTTGTGTTCCCGATTGCAGCAGCTTTGCGTTGTGACGTCATGCAAGGAGTGCCTGGCTCATTATAGCCGCAGTGTGGGGTCTGGAGGTGAAAGTCAATATGGCAACAACAAATAACAGGGAAAATGGAACAACTTATTTTGTCCTTAATTGACAACAGCAATTTACAGAATACAAAACCATTGATACATTTTCTTGTTTTTTTTTATCAAATTGTTAATTTTTTTATTATTGAACATGGTGTGCCACATTTGCATTTCACTACAATTTTAAAGGGGCATAACGGCCTGAAATCGCTAAAAAAAATCCATGTTTTTGGATTGTATTTAGGTATGATATTTCAAAGGTCTGGTTGAAAGAAAACTAACTTGTCTCAACCGTTCCCGAGAACAGACGAAAAAAAGATGGTTGTTTACCGTGGACATACGCATACATATTTCCAGTTGTCTACATTAAACATACAATAAACGTTTTGCTTTTGTGTCACACAATACACAGTACCAATATCCAAATGTTGTTTACACATCCGCAGAATGCGATCCACTGTGCGTAATAGATTTACAACTAGCACCAACAGCTCGATTTTTTGTTGACCCCCCAAAATTCGTTCTCGCATGGTTCTTGCAAGAATATTACTCAAAAACACCCAGTTTTTAAAGGATGGTTGTGTAGACCTTTATATTCTACTCTGTTTAAAATGCCTTTTGTAGCCCGATTGGGCACATTTTAGGCCGTAATGCCCTTTTAGTTTAACCTGTGTGTGACTACATTTTTAAACTAGATTACAGCTTTCAGAGTAAGAAGGTGCCTTACGTTAATGGCTTAACCTTGACTTATTTACATTTTTCCTCTTTTTATAATCCTGCGTTTTTTGGTTGTACACTCCAATTATGTCGTATTCACAACTTCGTTTTACCCTTTTGTATTTGACAAGTTGGTACATTCTGCGTTTTTTGTTTGTACTCTCCAATTTTGCTGTACTCTCAACTTCGTTTTACCCCCTTGTATTTGACACGTGGGTACATTGTTGAAGTTTATCTTGATTAATGAAATTAACGTGACAGTTACTACCAGTACCACCTTTAACTGTATTTTAACCCGAAACGGTCTGGCGTGTACAATTTCGTATGAAGCAGTTGTGCATTTAGTATTTAAGAGTCCACTGACTTCCATTTTAGTTGGATATTCCACTACCTGCGATGTTTACCATGTACATGTATAAGAATAAACAAATTAAAATGTGCCCTAAACACAGTGCCACGTACATACACTACATAACACTGTGTCAGTGCAACAAGGTCGTAACTCCATTCTGCAACAAAGTCGTATCTTGCGCGAATACGCTCCGTTCAACAAGGTCGTATCTCGACGTCCATTGACTTTGTGTGTTACATCCGGGTTATTTTAAGTGAGATACGACCTTTTGACATTCTGAAACTCACATTTTGCATACGGCCCATTTTAGGAGATACGACCTTGTTGCACGGACACGACGATAAGATACAACTCAGTGTGAGAGGCAGTTACCTAAATTAACTCTTTGACGACAGAATGGATTGCCTTCATTAGAGGGAATTATTCAACAATGCACGTTGATCCTCAATCAGATATATCCACTGGCCTCTATACTAGCTGGACTGGCCGACAATGCCCAAGCACTGAAGCTGCCGCTATCTTGGGTCACGCACGCGCAGCAAACCACAATTTTTTTGTTTTTAACAGATAGTTCAGGCAGCAAAAATAAAAATTGTAACCTCTGACAGGATTTTGAGATTTAAGCAACCCTATTCCTGGGACTGGCCAAAATCCAAAGATTCATTTATCATTAGCGGAGTTGTTTTTTAGTGTGGAAATAAACCAACAACTGCTGGAAGATATTTATGTATATCTGGGGAAGACATTTGAGGGATCCAACATGGCGGATCAGTTGCTTCAAGGCGCATTAGCCAATTAGCATGTGACAGCAAGTCCAGTGGATATATCGGCTCACTGTTCAATGAAAGCTTAATGTAAAAACAGAGAATTCAATAAGCTTTTTTTTTAACCAAACGTAAAAAAAATCCAATGACACATGAATTTACAAAAGTGCAAAGACGACTTCTGTGGAGAAATGTTTCTTTGTTTTAGTTTGAAAAAAAACAAAACACATTTTTACAGCTTCTGAAACATTCACTGATCTTTCTTGCACGTTCAGGGGAATAATTGCCTACTGTATTCTGAGGCCCTAGATAACAAAAATATTCAGAACATTAGGGAAATATTTAAACTTTAAAAGAGAATTGTATTTTAAAAGTGGTATTTAAACGCACAAATGTCTTTAAAAAAAAATGTCTTTCACTATGTAAACATGACCAAAGATTGTCTTTTGTGGTGTTGATGTCAAATAAATAGTGATGTTTTGTTGATGCTTAAGAGTACAGATGTTCAAATTTGGCTGATTTTAATGGGGGTTTCTAGTCGCTTTCATCATCACTCACTCCACCCTCTTTCTCTGAGGCCCCTCCTCCTGACTCTGCCTCCTCCCCGGCTGACTCCGCCTCTTCACCTGACCCCGCCTCTTCACCACCAGACCCCTCCCCTTCCCCGCCAGACTCTGCCACCTCACTTCCTGACTGCGCATCTTCTGAACCTCTGTCTCCTTCCAAATCTGACTCCTCCCCTTCACCACCAGAGCCAGCTTCTTCACCACCAGACTCTCCCCCTTCACCACCAGACTCTGCCCCTTCACCACCAGACTCCGCCCCTTCACCACCAGACTCCGCCCCTTCACCACCAGACTCTGCCTCTTCACCACCAGACTCCGCCCCTTCACCACCAGACTCTGCCTCTTCACCACCAGACTGCCCCCCTTCATCACCAGACTGCCCCCCTTCATCACCAGACTCCACCCTTTCACCACCGGACTCCGCCCCTTCGCTGCCTGACTCCGCCCCTTCACCGCCAGACTCCGCCCTTTCGCTGCCTGACTCCGCCCTTTCACCACCTGATTCTGCTCCTTCCTCTCCCGAGCCCGCCTCTTCGTTCTCGGACTCAGACTTCTGGCCCTCGCTACCAGACTTCTGATGCTCGCTACCTGACCCTTTTCCTTCAGACTCCTCATCGCTATCCGACTGGAGCGCTTTGCGTTTCCTGGGCCTCCGCTCGGCCTCGGACTCCGATTCAGATGCTTGATCATTCGCCTCAGCCTCGGAGCCCTGTCGGTCGGATCGATTGTCGTCTGAGTCCGAATCCGAGTCGGAGTCGATGCGACGGATGCGACTGCGGCTTTTGAAAGGAGCAGGTTTGCTTTTTCTAGGTTCCTCCTTGTCACTGTAGAAAGCATACAACATAGACAATGTAAATACTTCTGTCAGAGGAACCAAAATGATACCAGAATTTTGGCTTGTGCAAATCTGTACATCCGATAACTAAGGATTCTGTGCTTAAATAAAAAAAAACATGTTTAGCGTCCCCGTCCACTTGCTTTTTAGAGACCGCCTTTTTTTTTTTTTTTTTAAACTGTTTCAAATGATACATTTGAAACAGTGACATCATTTTGGCCTCTTTGTCTGTTGCATCTAGCCCATATAAAGCTGGTATGTCATTTCCTGAGTCCAATGGCGGCCATTTAAAAAACAATTTGTCGGCCATCTTGAAAAATAGCCCGGTCGTGTGGCCATTTTGGAGGGGGGAAAAAAGGGCCTCTCGTTTCCTGCTAGCGCAGTTAGTACAAAATGGTGACCGTAAGCACGGAATTCTGTGGTAAGCACAGCCATGAAATTGGGCCGTAATTTGTAATTGACTTGTGATTCAACTTGTGATTCGACTTCTGACTGAATAACGATTGACTTGATTAAAAGTTGCCTTTCTTATTGGATTTTGTCCTTCGCCGACGTATGTTATAAAAACTGTATACTCAGTGTTGTCGGCGGGCTCGCGAAAAAAATATTCACAATCTCACTTCGGTGGGACTTGAACCCAGGACCTTCTGCTAGCTAGTGATACTCTCACCGAAGTCAGCTTGTGAATTTTTTCGCAAGCCCTCGGACAACACCGAGTATACTGTGTTTATCAAAAATACATCGGCGAAGGGCCAAAAAAACAATGTAAAATTCACATCTCTTCCGCAAATTCCATGTTTCACAACTTGACATACCTGGCGTCGTCGATGCGCAGTCTCTCTCCGTCTGAGTCCGACTCGCTGGACGAGACGATGGCCTTGGATTTGAACTTGCCCGGTTTCTCCTCAATCTTGGCTTCGCTGTAGAAGTGTCGTCGCTTCTTGGGGCCGCCCTCGTCTTGCTTGCGCTCCCTGCGCTTGCGGGGTGCCTCCCCTTCGCCCTTCTTGCGAGATCTGGTTTTGTAGGATCACAAAAAAAAAACACCGGTCAGAATTACAAAAGAATGCAAAATTAAACATGCGGTAAGGGAGGAATGCAAAATTGCAAAATTAAACAAGGGGTAACTGGAGGTTTTACCCTGAGGTACCCCACAAAAAACCATTAAACCTCATAAAACCTCCAGGTTAACCTTGAGTTACCGCCTGTTGAATTTTGCATTCTGCCCTAACTCAGTGTTTTACCCCAAGGTACCTAGTAAAACCCTGTTAAACCTTGTTAAGCCTCGAGGTAAACCTCAAGTTACTGCCCGTTTAACCCTTTCCTTACCATGGGCGACTTTTGTCGACCAGGAAACCACACACAGAACACCCTCAACACAGATTGTTTACTACTTTTCAGAAAGGCATGGCATGTTGATATGTTTGGCTGCCCATACATCAACCATATACCAGCTGAAAGAGTGTTTTCAGATCGTTCTAATGGTGTAGTTTATTTATAGTTTTACCATTACAAAAAAATGAAAAAAATGCTTCAGAAGTATCCACGCACAATTTGAGGTATGGAGCATTTGGTCATGTGGTGAGATGGCTTGCAGTTTGATAAATGGGACCATTTGGACAAAAAGGCATAACATTCTTATATTTGCACGTATGGACTTCATATTTACATCACATAAAAGAGAAAAAGAGTAAAGTTCAAGGAACAAACTTTACACACAACACCTATGATTTTAATCACTCCTTGGCAGTGAAAATCTGGGTTGAAAAAATGAGTTCTCGACTTGTGGTCATTTTTTTCACGCTCTAGTGATTTCCGCATGACTGAGCAAACAATTTGGTCCTGGGGAGAACAAGTCAATAAACAATGTGGTAATGAAAGGGTCAACTTTGGATTCTTCCGTAACTCAGGGTTTAACCCTAAGGTACATAGTAAAACCCTGGAAAACCTCATAAAACCTCCAGGTAAACCTTGAGTTACCACCTGTTTAATTTTGCATTCTCCCCTAACTCAGAGTTTAACCCAAAGGTACCCAGTAATACCCTTGAAAACCTTGTGAAAACTTGAAGTAAACCTCAAATTATGGCCTGTTTAAGTTCAAATTTTCCCCTTAAAACAATTGACCATTCCAAATCTTGCTATAAACCACCCCCATCTTCGGTTTGTGAGCAATTCTCCAAGTGCTCATGACCAAGTTTGACCAAACTACTGTGGTCAGGCTTCTCACTATAAAAGGTCGGGCAGGACTGTACACAAAAAAACCTGATGGTACTATTAACACCCTGTGAAATTATTCCGTCGTTTAGAAAAAAACAAGAAATGTAGGTGATTTCCAATGATCACTCAACTGATTTTTGGATTGGCATTGATGAAATCATATTTAGTGATCAAAATGTTCTGCATGGTTTCTCACTGTTGTCTCCAAAAGTGTAATATCCACTGAGCTGAAACTTCAAAAGGTTTGGCTTTGAACATTCTTCTATGGATTTTCAGTGGTGTTATTATTGGAAACGAACAAGATGCATGAAAAGCAAAAGATCCTGCATGGCTTTATTAAAAACAAGAGAGTTTTGTTGGCTACTCCTTGACTGACCTTCGTCTCTTGGCTTTCGGTCTGCCCTCGCTATCGCCTTCCTCGTCGCTGCGTTGCTTCCTGCGTTTCTTCTTGGGTTTGCCTTCTCCTGTTTCCATCTCGCTGTCGCTGCCCTCGCTGGAAACCTCTGCTCGCGTTTTCTGGGTTGAAGGGAAACAAAAGAGACAACCAAATAAAAGTCAGAAATGGAATTTTTTGGTTTTAATAAGTGTTGTCGAGGTACTTACGACGGATTCAGGGATGTAGTCGAGTCCACTACAAGTCCATCACAAGTCCATCACAAGTCCTCCAGTCCCAATTCAAAACACAAAGCATTCAAATGAGCTTTGACAAAGGCATTCCTTTGTAATAGCTCATCCACTGTTTCTTGTAACTGGACTTGTGAATGGACTTATGATTTACTCATGACTGGACTTGTGATTTACTCATGACTGGACTTGCGATTTACTTGTGACTGGACTTGCGATTTACTTGTGACTGGACTTGCGATTTACTTGTGACTGGACTTGTGACTGGGCTTGAGATTTACTTGAGACTGGACTTGTGATTTACTTCTGACTAGGCTTGTGATTTACTTGTGACTGGACTTGTGACTGGGCTTGAGATTTAGTTGAGACTGGACTTGTGATTTACTTCTGACTAGGCTTGTGATTTACTTGTGACTGGACTGTGATTTACATGTGACTGGACTTATGATTTACTTGTGACTGGACTTGTGATTTACTTGTGACTGGGGCTTGAGATTTACTTGAGACTGGACTTGTGATTTACTTCTGACTAGGCTTGTGATTTACTTGTGACTGGACTTGTGATTTACTTGTGACTATACTTGTGATGGACTAGACTACATCCCTGTAAATCACAAATCCACTCACCTTTCCACTCACAATTAAAACAGGGGATACACAATGACAAAGGAACGTCTTTGTCAAAAGATCATTATGAATAGCTTATGAGTTGACTTGGGACTGGACGTCAAGTACCTGGACTACAGTACCGCTTTTCAAACAAAGGTGTGCCATCGGACTGAGATCACTGGATCATTCACAGCAAAAAATCAGGTCAATGTTTCAATCAGAAAATGTTACCAACCAAACTTAGCTGAATTGGTGAGGGTTTCCTATTATGACTAACCTTTCTTCGGCCACCGCCACCAGATTTTCGGGAGGGTTCCGGCTCATTGCTGACCACCAAGATGCTCTTGGTCTTCTCAATGAACTGAGCCCGCTTCTCCATCAGTGCTTTGCTGCGCTCCTCCACCGCCTGTTGCTTAGCGAGCTGAATATAAAGAGTAGCGAGAGGAACAAGTTTTAGGATGCAATTTTGGGATGGTCACGACGATACTGATCTCTATCGCAGTAAAGAACCTTGCCTAGGGACACCTGGACACCACAAAGCCCTAACCACACTGTGCCTCTAGCCGTTTCTGCACTTACTTCCACCCAGGCTATGTTCTATTTGTAAAACTGCACTACACTTAACTCCTTGTTCGATGACAGCAAATTGCAGTAAAGACCCTTGCTCAGGAACATAATGGAATTACTGAATGAAACAGTGATGAAACGTCTGTGATGTGTGCATGCATGTCCAAGAAGGGAATGAGATATGTCCCAACGTTGGTAACATGTACTTCAGATTCGAACACCCCATTGACAGCAAATTGCAGTAAAAAAAACCTTGCTAATGGACATAATGGCATTACTGAATGAAAAAACCATGGCAAAGTACCTGTTCCTCTAGTTGTTTCTGACAGCAAATTGCAGTAAAGAACCTTGCTAAGGGACATAATGACATTAATGAATGAAACAACCATGGCAAAGTACCTGTTCCTCTAGTTGTTTCTGACAACAAATTGCAATAAAGTACCTTGCTAAGGGACATAATGACATTACTGAATGAAACAACCATGGCAAAGTACCTGTTCCTCTAGTTGTTTCTGACAACAAATTGCAATAAAGTACCTTGCTAAGGGACATAATGACATTACTGAATGAAACAACCACGGCAAAGTACCTGTTCCTCTAGTTGTTTCTGACAGCAAATTGCAGTAAAGAACCTTGCCAATGGACATAATGGCATTACTGAATGAAACAACCATGGCAAAGTACCTATTCCTCTAGTTGTTTCTGACAGCAAATTGCAGTAAAAAACCTTGCCAATGGGCATAATGGCATTACTGAATGAAAAAACCATGGCAAAGTACCTATTCCTCTAGTTGTTTCTGACAGCAAATTGCAGTAAAGAACCTTGCTAAGGGACATAATAGCATTACTGAATGAAACAACCATGGACAAGTACCTGTTCCTCTAGTTGTTTCTGACAGCAAATTGCAGTAAAGAACCTTGCTCAGGGACATAATGTCATTACTGAATGAAACAACTATGGCAAAGTATCGATTCTTCTAGTTGTTTCTGACAGCAAATTGCAGTAAAGAACCTTGCCAATGGACAAAATGACATTACTGAATGAAACAACCCTGGACAATTACCTGTTCGTCAAGTTGTTTCTGCCGAAGTGTGTCTCTCTCTTGGTCTTGGCGTTGTCTTAGCATTCGTTCCTCTTCGTCCTGTCTCCGCGCTCTGGCCACGTGGTACTGAGCCTGGCTCAGCAAGTCAGAGCATTGCCTACAAAACAATAAAAGCCAAAGAGATGATGGCGTCTGGTTTAAGGGCCTGTGCCACAGAATTGCTTGTTTTAGGAGTCAACTCAACAACAGTCCTGGAAAAGTATTTGAGGCCATCAAACACTGGTGACTGGTGGGCTGGAGTGTTGCATTACATTATGGAAAGCTCAGTTGTCGGTTGGTGGTTTTGAAATGTTTTGAAAAATAAGTAGTCTATAGTATTCTCCTCCAGCTCTTAAAATCTGCATATGATTGACAATTTCAAAATAGGGAATTCTTCCTTTTTTGGGGGGGAGGGGCTGTGGGGTTTAACAGAAAATAAGATCAGCATGATGTACAAGATGTACAAAAGGTACACAAGTGATGCAACATATCAAAACTTAAGCTGCCCGGGAAAAGTAGGAAAGCATTGAGTTTGGTATCATTTTAAGCTGATGACGTGGAGTGTCATGGCCTGGCGGTTAAGAGCACCAGACTCATGCTCTGGTGTTTCAGAGGCAACGGTGACGTGAGTTCAAGCCCGGGCCTGGACACTTGTGCCTTTAAGCATGGCACTTAACCATTATTGCTTCGTCCTTCGGATGGGACGTTAAGCCGGAGGTCCCATGTGTTGTATAAGGCCTAACGCATGTAAAAGAACCCAGTAACACTTATCACTAAGAGAAGGGGTTTGCTCCCTTGAGGAAGTCCTTAGGAGAAGAACCAACCAAGTAGCAAGTACGTACTCTACCCAAATATGCATTGATCTAAAAGCGTGATACATTCAACAATTTAAATCACAGTTTTCGCCTTTGGCTCACCTAGCCTCAGCTACGGCCTGGGCCAGATCGAATCGCATCCTGTCTCCATGCTTGCTGAGGTAAGTGAAGTACCGCTGCGCCGTCTCCAGCTCCGAGACGGCGCTCAAGACTGTCTTGAGATTGCTCTTCTCATCTTTCAGCACCGCCATGGCGATACGCTGCAGCACGAGGGCGATGTTGTACAGGATCAACGAGTCATGGGGCGCCACTCGTCGAGCCTGTGAAATTAAGAGGGGAAAACATGAAAATGAATGAAACTGCTACAAAACTGCTTTTATACTGACTGGGGAGTCAGGTTGGTGTAGCGGTACTTTCCTCGCCTTCCACCGCTGTGACCCGGGTTCGAATCCCGCCTGGGCCAATATGTGGATTGGGTTTTCAGTCCCGGCCTGATTCCGTGGGTTTTCCCCAGAATGCTCTTCTGGGCTTTTCCTCCCACCTCTAAAAACTGTAATTTCTACTCATTGTCTCCTTTCTACAGGTTTCTTCAGGCTTTCGGGCTACAGTGCTTAGGGCACTTTTGAGGGATCCTTGGTTTCATTACCAGACTGAAGAAATAAAGATTCACCTGAAATGTCCAATCAACAAAATAAGCTGGCCTAGTGTTTCTATACTTGGGCAGGATCTTTTTCATCGGCAAAAGATCCTGTTTAGGATCGAACGTTAGAGAAAAAAATATATATCTTGGGGGAAAAATATAGACACTTTATTACTGTCGACATCGGTTGGTCTATTCTCCAGTAAAACCAGGATCAAATCCCACCCAGCTGACATTTCAATTGGGTTTTCAGTCTCTGCCTAAAGTTTATGGGGTTTTTCCCTCAGAATGTTCATCCGGGTGTTTTTATTTTCCTTTAAAATGTCTACAACTGAACATTTCTCAATTGTCTGTTCAGGTTTCTTCAGGTGTGCAAGACTTGGGCACTTTTTAGGAATCCTCGGTTTCTTTACCATGAAAAAAAAAAAATCGAGAAAAATATCAAGCAGGTATAAAGTTGTCGAAAAAAAATGTGTGTCATGGAGGCTCTCAAATCATGCATGTAAAATGACTGTCCACAAAAAAATTGGTATTTGATAAACAATAAACCACACAACTTTAATAATATAAATAAAAATTACATCACCTACACATTCAGCTCCTGTTTTTCAAATACTCTATTTGGTAAAATTCTAATCGGATATTCGGAGGATGATCGGAAATATTCGGGTATTTTCGAATATTCGGCACAACCCTAATTTGTGTACTTTCTATCAGTTTTGAATTGATACTCCAGGTCATTTTCTTGGTGCAGTAATTTGGTTTTAGACGATTCTTTTCCATTACTATTTATAAGATGGAATTATTTTTGCGTTAGGGTGATGTAAATCAATATTAGGTTTTTTGCCCTTCACTGACGTATAAACACTGTATACTCAGTGTGTTACCTCCCGAGTGAAAGTTGGAAAAAATCACTCGGGTGGGACTCGAACCCACGACCTACTGGTTTCTAGTGCAGATGTCTTACCACTCGACCACCGAGCTAACGGGATTGATAAGCTGGTTCAAATCTGATGTACTTAGCAGCGGGTACTGCATTTAACTATTCAAAAGATGTTTTTTTTTTCCCATTAGCAAAATTTCTCTGACTTTTCCTAATCTCTAGAACTGGTTCTAGGCCTTCCCGTACTTTCATGATTTTTTTCAGGCCATGCAAGAATTTGGGATACGAGTTTTGTTTCCTTTACCTTGAGCAGACACTGCTTGCATTCCTTGAGTTTACCGGCCTTGAGGTAGGCCCTGGCTAGGTAGGTCAGCACCTCCGTGTTGTGATGCTTGAAAAACTTCTTGATGCAGTTCTCGTACTGTGATTTCAATAATACAAAAAAAGGAGAATCAATTAATTTTCCCGTCATTTTCATCAATTGTGACCCAACCCAACAAAATGAGTCACAAGACCAAGAGCTACTTTTCAGTGTTATGCCTTTGAATGTTATACAATGATAAACATGATACCTGTATATACATTAAGACGAGGCTTTGCCTTGGCCACTTTGCTGGGTATGCGGCGAAATGCGGGCAATCGACTCATGAACGATCAACTCATGAACACTCATTCGTACTACACAATTATGTCTGTGGATAAGGCATTGTGTTTCCCTTTGTTCCTATAGCATACCACTATCCCATAGACTACAGGGTGAGTCAGAATTATCTGGAACCAAGTTGACCATTTTTTTGTATGGCTAATAGAGTATATTGAGAAAAAAAATTTCAACTAAGTGGCTGAAAGTTGAGTCAAACCATAAAACATAGATAAAATATTCACTAGCTTTTAGTCAAAACTAAACCTTACATACAGAATTATCGTACAAGGAAAACAAAAGGTCTCTAGGGAGCCCAGCTCCAGTAGTATTACCAATGAATCGAACATATGTCAGTTAGTTTGTGTACATGTACAGGCATATCTCCAGAGACGTCGGCCTTCTCTCTCCACAGACCACCTTTCAAGTTTGGTTGAGATTGATGACTGAACTTTTATGAACTGCCACACACACACCCACCCAAGTGTGTATTTTCCTGCATCTCGGGGACCCCCTATTGTCCCTCTTTTGTTTGTACTTTTTAGTACAAACAAAACTGCATCTTTCACATTACTGGAAGAAATTTGAGCGTTTGCTTTGGAAATACTTTGAACTTATTTTGAATGCACGCTGCATATATAAGGCCAAACAGGTGCGCACGCATTACACAACCAGTACGAATTGGCCTAGATGTTGTTCCGACGGTTCGTGGGTGATATTGGTTGGTCATGATAGTGCTCTCTCGCGCCGATGGGTTATCCCTGCAGAGGGTTATCGCGTATCAAACCATAACAACGTCTAGCCCCTAGACTAGCCACAACCACAAAAATGTCTTCTAATTTTGTTCGGCGAATTCCAGTATAGGTGCTTACATTGAAAGAAGAACAATTCCAGAACTATCAACAAGTAATAATCAAATTTGAATTCATGAGATGTGACGATGCCCTTTTTCGTTGATCTCAATAAGTGCTTGCCGCAATCCGTTCTATATTTTAAACATGACTGCATCTTACCATTTGGATGGCACTGATGTACTGCCTCTGTTCTACGTAGATGTGGGCCAGGTTCAGCCACACGTCACACATGTCTGCTGTGGCTTCACGAACCTGCATTAAACAAAAAACAAATCACGTTCTGTTCATTATGCAAACAAAAATCCACAAGCAATAGACACAGGATCATTCCTGCAGAGTAATCCAACGCCCAAACGTAGAAGCACTCATGTGCAAGTGGTAAGTGTGCACTCGGAGCTCTTTTGACCAATAGGGGTTTTAAAGGCATATAGGATCATTTGCATTTATCCCTAAAGTAACTTACCAAATGATTTTCAAAAAGGATTATCAAAATTTGGATTGAAGATCGTACTGGCACTGAACACCCTGTGAAACGATTTCGTCTGGCTTGCTGTCACTTAGAAGAATCAAGAAATGTAGGTGACTTCCAAGGATCAGTCAGTTGACTGATCATTGGAATTCAAGAGTGATATTAACAAAATTGTGTTTCGTGATCAAAAGTTGCGCATGTTTTTCACTGTTTTCTCAAAAAGGGTAATATCCACTGAGCTGAAACTTCAACAGGTTAGGTTTTGAGCTTTTTCTTTGGATTCTGAGTGGTAATATTATTATTGGGAACGGAAAATATGCATGAATAGCAAACGATCCTATAATGCCCTTAAAATTAAACATGCACTACAAAGAACATATCCGTTATGCGTGGCACCACATCGCCATACTTGTCTCAGCCAAGCCTGCACCCAAGGGCGTAAATCCTGGGGATTGGGCGTATACAGGGGCAACCAAGGTGAAGCCAGTCTAGCCCCATGGTTAGCTCTCATAAAAAGGTACAATACAGCGCCCTCAATTTTGTCGCGCGGAAGCTATAACACCAACCCACCTGCGAGAAGACGTCCCTGGACTCCCTGATGTAGCCCTTCATGGCCAAGATGGCCCCGATGCCGTTGGCTGCGTACAGGTTGCGACCGTCGTTGCGCAGGACCTGCTTGTACATGGCCAGGGCCCGGTCCTGGTGACGCTTTTCCTGATAAAAGAATATGACAAAATAAAATTTGGATACAAAGCCCCTAATGGGAGCTCCAATGGGGAAGACACAACATGTGCGCACACTGATTTGGAAACGTAAAGGATCCCTTCATGAACCCAACTGCATCCCTTCATAAAAGCAGCTTTATCTTTCCATATACCCACCAACACCCCTCACACACCCAGTTGTACCCCTCCATGCACATGGCTGCACCCTCCATATACTCCCACTGCCCAGTAACAGCAAGGAGTAGGAGTCATACCCCTCCATACACCCAGCTGTACCATAGCTGCCAACTTTTCAAAATCCCAATTAGTAATCAACCCGCGCGGTCATTTTCAACTGCTCGTTTTATCAAAAGCTTTACCAACATCGAGTACAGGTACATGGTTTACATGTACACATACATGTGCATACCCTTCTTGTTGTGAATAATAATGTACTGTAGGCCAAAAGATAATAAAAATAAAAAAAATATAAAAAATAAATAATTTTTTTTTGATTTTTTTATTTTTTATTAATTTTGTTTTAATGTCTGTATTTGTTTGTTGAAGTCAAATAAATAATAACAATAATAACGTGCGCATATTTTTTTTTGAGATGCATGCTATCGATGTGGAGTTTTGAGTTCGTATCATGTTTTTACACACAATGATTTAGGGCCACCGTCATGACCGTATGCAATAGAAATATCCCGCAAACATACTTTGCTAACGCATGCTGATTTATCTTTTCTGGGCGTTGTGACAAACTCAAACTCTATTACCAATTATTCCAACCATACTCTTAGTAAATTCCATGATTAAAATCTCGCACTGATGGGTCTCATCCCGGCAATAAGCGACCAAATGTGCTCACGATCGTCACTGAAAAGTACTCACGTACAGTACACACAACCACACATCCACGAGATGCACAAATGACACACCATTGAAAAATATTTTTAGTCTGGTCCTCAAGTACTCCACTGCGCACACTGCATTGATGTCTATCAGGTGCTTGACTGCATTCTTATTAGACTTGTCACCAGTCCATCCATTATCGCGACATTTCGCCAGAAGTTTCTGGTCAAAAACGATACTTTACAAGTATTTTCTTTTTGTTAGGTAGAAAATGGGAAATTCGTAATGTTATAGTAGCAAATCGTATTTTCATAATTTAACAAACAATTCGTAATAATTACGAAAAATTTGTAATAGTTGGCAGCTATGCTGTACCCCTCCTTGCACCCAGTTGCACCCCCTGATATACCCACCAAAACCCCTATCATACACCCAGTTATACCCTACCACCCACCTTGTCTTTATATCCCAAGTGGCAAAAGCAAGAGGTAGGAGTCCAACCCCTAAATGTACCAACCTGCACCCCTCCATATACCCACCTGCACCCCTCCATATACCCATCCACCCCCTCAAACCACCCAGTTGTACCCTTTCCCACCCACCTTCTCTTTGTCCCTTGTGGGTTGATACAGCGTCTGCAGCCACACGTTGCCCAGCGACAGCAAGGAGTAGGAGTCGTTCTGGGTGGCCGGCTGCTTCAGGATCCTCTCAAACTTCTTCTGGCCGGGCCCCCACTCCTGTTTGGCCAGATGGAGGTTGCCGATCAGGGACCAGGCATCAGGATGGTCCTAAAGAACAGAAAAGGAAAAAAAAATATTCAAATTCTTGTAATTATTAACCCTAACGTACCTGAATCCATCAAAATCCACAACCCTTTTTTGGAGGATTTCGGCAGATTCAGGATACCTCCATATTGGAAAAGTTGGGGGGTTTTGATGGATTCAGGACAGTAAGCCTAGCGGTACTGCAGGATTTTGATGGATTCAGGATACTTCCATATTGAGCTGTTCAGGGACTTTGATGGATTCAGGATCTCAACAGTTTAACCTTTGATATATGTTTGGTGTGTAGTAAACTGGTGGATTCTGATGGACTCACTGGTGGATTCTGATGGACTCAGGACACCAACATTTTTTTGCATGACAAAATTGGTGGATTTTCTAGTAAAAGTGCTCAAGGGGTTAGCGTTAAATAGTCATGGCAAACAAAAAGGTCAGTTATGGCAAAATTGTTTTAGTGTATATTGATCAACATGTGTCTCTTGATGTACTGAACTGCATCCGTGCATGTACCCAGCTGCAACCCTGCATGTAGCCAGGACATAGGATTTGAACCTGCAACCATTTGAACACGGTTCCAGTGTACTACCTACCGAGCTATCAAGCCCTATGTTTAAAGTTGCTAATTTTCCTATGGGATGTGGTCAGAACCTACGAAACTGCCAACATCGGGCTCGATTACTCAGTAAGTAATACATGATGGCGCCCCCCCCCCAAAAAAATATGGAACGGGGTAAATCCGCTAACCTGAGACTCAAACAACCTATACCAATGCATGGGGAATTCTGTTAAAAGAAAAATGATACCAAGATCGGTCCAGTAGTTTTTGTTCTAGAGCCTTTTTGTGAAACAAAGTTGGGAGTCATTTTGTCTCAATGAATTACTAAAGCGCACCTGCGAATTTGACTTTTAATTGGATAGAGGGATTAATTGTTATGTAATAACACCCACATGAAAGATTTGTGCTTCACAAAATAGGCTCTGCAGCAAAAACTACTGGACCGAATCGGGAGATCTTGGTGTCATGTTCTTAAAATTCTCCATCCATTGATACAGGTGGTTTGAGTCTCAAGGTAGTGGAAGTATGCTGTTCCGTATTTTATTAGGGGGGGGGGGGCCACCCTGTATAGTGTGCACTGGACACTGATACTGTATTGCAAAGATCGCAGGTTCGAATCCCCCGATTGTGGACGTTTTCAAGAGAGCTGGGATTTACCTGATTGATCTGCAGAGCTTCCTTGAACCAATCCGAGGCTTCATAGATCTGGCCCCGGTCACGTGCCATGCATCCAAGCCGAAGATAACCTGTGTAAAAAATACACAACATATCAAAAACTGAGCCATGAAAATTGTACCCCAAAATGGAAAAAACATTGCCACTGCCATCAAGCACGCTATGACTTAAGTTACGTGATAAACCTCTTATTCAGTAGCTACACTATAAATGTGGGGGAGTATGGCCTAGTGGTTAGGGTTCTTGACTCATGATCAGAGGTTCAGGGGTTCGAATTCAGCTGCTGGCCATATGTTGTGTCCTTGGGCAAGCTACTTCACCTCCACTTGCCTCTCTCCACCCAGGAGTATAAATGGGTACCGGCATTAGCTGGGGAGTAACCTGCAGTGGACTAGCATCCCATCCAGGGGGCATACCGCCGGTAGTAGTACATGTATTCACATTCTACTGTTGACCATATTTTATGCATTTTCAGTTTATTCGCTAAAGCTCTGTCACGGACATTACATAATGCTAGAATTGTCCACATTTCCAGATCTTTCCATCATTCATGCAGGTCAGTTGTTGACAGCCCCATCCTCAAGAAAAAAATTTACCCCTTAGCTCCCCCCCCCTTCCCCCTCCAAGTTACTTACAGTCCACATAGTTCGGATGTTCCCTGAGCACGTCCTTGTACAGTTTCTCGGCCTTGTCAAACTGGAACATGCTCTCGTAGAGACGGGCCAGGTTGTAGGAGACCGAGACCGAGATGGCACCGTAGTATGTCTCGTCGTGCTCGGCTTCCGACTTGGAATGGAGGAGGGAGGCTTCGTAGTAACGCTGAGAGAGAAAGGGATTCGTAAAGTTGAAGGGTTTTGAAATATCCATTGGACTGCTAGACTATCTAGTGCTAGTGCTCCATAGTCAAACTAAATGAATTATATAGTGCTTTTTACACAAGTAATGATGATGTTTCCAAGCTGCGGGCATGAAACTGGGAAGCCCATACCAGTTTTAAATCACAGTGCTATCCCCGGATCTTTTTGCAGGTTGTAACAAGCATGGAAAAAACATCATGACATTCCAATGGCTACCTGGATATCCAGAAAAATATCTGATTAATAAATGAAAAATGTAATGGAAAGGGAAACAAAGAAAACTAAGAATCTTTCTCAAAGACTAAAAGGATAAGCAAATAGATGAAGTTGTTCTCCCCTGTGTTTTTTTCAATTTCATTCCAAAATTCCCAAAAAAGAGATTTTTTTAAAAAAAAATTTTTTTCTAGCAATACAGAAGTTATTCATTTTTGAAGGAGACAGTTAGTTATGGAATATTCACGTACAATTTTGAATTTTTTGCAGCTGACACTATTTCAGGTGTATTCTTTTTTTGCGATATGGGTGCAAGCGCAATCAAAAATAAAAGCATATTTTCAGAGGGTTGAAAATGTAAAAACAACATAAATCGTAGCTTTTTTTCTGTCAAAGTAAAACAAACAAACTGACAATTTGTTAGGAGAAAAAAATTGAATATGTTGAAGAGCACGGGTAGAACTACTTCAATAACTCAAAAAAAAGAAGCAAATAGCGTCCTCTTCTGACCTTTGCGTCTTCTTGGTTTCCAAGACGGAAATGCAGAGCGCCGACGTTGTTGAGAATCTCCGGCGGCACGTCTGCCTGCACCTTCTCCTTGAGGATACGGGTGGCTGTTCCATAAGCTGCCAGTGCCCCCTGGAATTAATCAATGAACGGTTTAAAATGTTGGAGGGGTAGGATTATACAGAAATGTTAATCCAATTTTAACCCTAACCACCCCAACTCAATCAAAATTCATCCCCCCATTTTGGTGGATTTTGGGGGACTTGGTCCAGAAGGCCTGGCGTGACTAAACATTGATGGAGTATGATGGACTTGGGCCTAATGGCCTCAAGCAGTGCTACTGTACTGCTATTGTGATAAAAGCCATGTGTAGCAAGTCCATGAATGTCAACCAGTGCGTCAGTGGTGGATTCCATTATGTCATGTACAGTTTTGTATTGGACGCACAGTGATTGATGGATTTCGATGGATTTGTTACAGTTCCTAGTAAAAGACGCTAGGGAGTTAGGGTTAAAACACACTTTCCCTTTTTAAAAGCAACCCATTGAGTGCTAGGATACCACTGCATTGACAGCTGATAACATCCCAGGAAGTTGATTTATGGGCAATTCCACACAAAAGTGGACACGGCTGAAATGTTGAAATCAAATCTTCAGAACTACAAGTATCACAACCTTAAAGTGGTATCAATTAAAGGGGACATTTTGTTGGTCAAAACATTTCATATTTTCGCAAGTTCCTCATTCAAACATAGCCAAGTAAAGTGGTGAGAGCCCCTTTAATCAGAGTTGAAATATTGACCCTGAAAATTCTAGCCAAACCCTAGACCCTCAGACAAGAACCGCATGTTTGTCTAATAAAATCAATACAGTGAGTCTAGCCGGGCTCGCCACAGGGCATGGATAATCAATCATTCTATCAACAAGACCAGTCAGCAAAGTCAAGTAACGGCTGTTTGCAGTCGTCCGACCACTATACAACCCAAATTTGATAGACAGCAAATAGTTGAATGAATTTGAAACCCTTTTGTAACGTCTACTGCAAACTCCGGTAGGGAACCGTTCATGGATACTGCCGTACTAACAGGAAGGGTTAAGAAAACTTTACCTGTACGTCTGTGAGTTCTAGGATCTGAGCGAGCTCGATCCACGCTTCCACATCGTCGGGAAACTCATCAACGACTTTCTGGAGGTGACCTTTGGCCGTTTCTCTCTTGGTCTCGTCCAGGGAGGTGGCGTAGAGAGAGCCCAGGATCTTCATGGTCTCATAGTTGCCTGGCTGGGCCTTCAGGACCTTCTCAAAGCATTGGGCAGCCTGCGGATATTAGGGGGAGAAGGGGGAGGGCAAAATGGCAATAGTCATCACTCAATAAGTCACTCTGGCCAAGGCTTCTGAAATTTCGTTATTTGGAATGCAAGTGCTGAGGTACTCACGTTTTCGCTGTCGCCGCGGTGTATGTACATCTGTCCCAGGCCAAAGTGCGGCAGCACAAAGGCAGTGGATGCAAACTGGGTAGCCTGGTAGTAGTACTGAAAAGCCTGGTCATAATCGTTCTAAATGGAGGAAAAGACAGGTGAAGGATAACAAAGGCTATAATTCAGATTGGTGTCTAGTCTTGAATAGGGATACAAGTTCACGGTGCGTCCACACACTATATTTAACAATCTGGATGAAACAATTATTGAAGGTTTTTTTTCTTCAGATTGAACGTTTTTTTCTTTTGTTCCTACCATTCTCGCAGTCCAAAGACTGAATGTGATGGTTTACAATTTACAATTTACCAGAAATCATTTTAAAAGGACCATTTATACATATGTAATTATAGGTACATGTGTATAACAACACAGTCCTATTTATTTGTTACGCTCCAATTGGAGAAGGAACATGAGCTTCAAGCACAGCCAGATTAGTAAATCAAGAGGGGAAAATTATGGTAAAACATCAGGCATTTTCTTACCAGCCTGTATGGCTTCATGATCAGTGTCATGGAAGGCATGCAGGGCAAGATGCCGCACCCTGTACCCCCTACACCCACCCTGCCCCTCCCCCAGCAAACAGGTCTACATGAAGTAACAGCTTACTGTACCTGCACATGGAATGCCCTAGCCAGCTGGTAGCAGCTCTCAGCCTGTATGGCTTCATTGTCTGTGCCGTGGAAGGCGTGCAGGGCCAGATGCTGAACCTTGGTGTAATCCTGAGGAAGCAAAAACAAGATCAAAATATTTGACTTGTTCGATTAGACCTATGCTTGTTCAAACCGGTGTGTACCATCCACGGGGCTCCGGAAAGTGGTCCAAGAGCACCTTTTCTTGTGTGCACACGGAGACCACAGAGTGAGCCGCTGTTTTTTTTTTTATTTTACCTTTTTGAAGAAGAAATGGTTGGCCAGATGGTTGAGCACCATAGGGTTGCTGGAGTCGATCGTGTAGGCCTTGGACAGGAGTTGCACCCCGGTCCGGATGGAGTCGGCGGCCTTGCTGTTGATCTCCAGGATGGCCAGGCCCACGATGGCTCCGACGCACTTGGGGTCCAGCTCCAGGGCCCGCTCGAACGCCAGCCGGGCCTTCTCTGGCCGGTTCAGCTTATTGAAGCAGTGACCCATGCCTAGACGGACGGCCGCTGAAAAGTATAAGAGACGGACAGTTTGGGACAGTTTAAAACCCTGCAATGGAATAATAACCTCTGTCCGAAATTGAAAGCAAGTCTGCATTGAGTCAAACGTGTCAATCACCAGTGCTTGTGTGTCAAGTTAAGGTTTTTTTCAAATTCACACAGTTGTTCAAATGAACTGTGAGAAAGGTATTCCCTGCTACTTGTGATGAACTTGTGATCTGTCTTAATAATAATAATAATATCGGAGTCTTATATAGCGCACGTATCTACCAACTATTAGGTACTCAAGGCGCTGGAGATATGTCTATTATTAAAGAGAGATGAGTTTATGAGAAATATGAGACCCATTATGTAGCACCTTATAATGGTTTACAAGATGCTGCGGCGCATATTGCAGCCACTGCCAGAAACACAGGGGCAAACCCCTTCTCATAGCGATAAGTGTTACTGGGTTCTTTAACGTGCATTACACAACACACGGGACCTACGGATTTACGTCCCATCCGAAGGACCAAGCAATAATGGTAAAGTGCCTTGCTCAAGAGCACAAGCACCATGTTCCCACGGTCAGGATTCGAACCCATGTACCACGGCACACGAGTCGAACACCGTAACCATTGGACCACAGCACCCCAGACTTGACTCCAACTTTTCATGAGTGGACATCCATTAACCCTAACTCCCTAGGCATTTTTGCTGAGATGCAATCTCAATCCTGCAAAAACTGCCTCCATGTAAAAACTGCATACAGCCTCAATCCTCCAAAATCCTCTGTTATTTCTTGCATGTGGTCCTTGGAGGGCTGACCACTGCCTCAATCCTGCAAAATCCTCCAGCAATCACTGTCAATATGTTGAGACAGAGCCAGTGACAAAGTGGAGCAGTATGGAGGATTTCAAGTACATGTACACTGTATAATCTAGGCCTAAACAGGGGTTTTCCTTAGCGGTCGCCCGCTCGTCAAATGCGAGTGAAAACAGCGGCGGGCGAGTCAAAACCCTCCTCTCAGTAGTCCGACGGGCGAGTCAAAAAACTGTTTAAAAAAAATAAAAATAACAAAGTTTTCCCTACAGTATTTTTCAATCAATCAAAATAAAAAGTTAAGGGTGATACAACACATGAATACTTTTGCCACGCCGACCGAAATAAAAACATCGGTAGTTCGAATTCGTATCACTCCATGTATATTCGCAGTGCGCTGTGCATTGAATTCCCAACGACGAACATGAGGCGAATCAACGTGTATAATAAATATTACACATTGTGCACACATGCAGCGCACGTGATTTACTTGTCTGCAGTCCACACGGTACGGATGTACGTACGTTAACATCGTATTCGTATCATACAACGTGGTGAGGAGAAAACTTTCATGACAGTTTCACTGCCAGTGCCAAAACTTGTGCCCGAACGGATTCTTGGAATGATTTCTTGAACACTATCAAACGAATGTACCGAAAAGATGAGGACAATATGAGATTCGAGGGGCCTATTTTGAATGTAAAGACTAGTGAATGTAAAGTGGACCGTGCTCCGGAAAACGTTATGGATTGACGTGACCAGCGTAAGTTCGTGGGTCGCCCGCCCACAGCGCTTCTTGGCTAGGCACGCTGATTGCACCATTCTTCGCTAGAAATGCATGGCGCGCGCGAGAGATTTTTTTTGAAAATACTGGCCTTCTCACTCATTTTCAACTAAGTTAAAACAGTTCAGTTACTAACTTGGTAAACTCCCATTAATACCACGACTGTGTGCAATGATTTCTTGTTCCTCAAGATAACGCTTTTTTAGTTCGTGTTTTATCAAAACATGTCGGAAATAGAACACCTAAAGCCTTAAGTTCGGAACGAAGCACACTGCATAAATTTTGATTATAACTTCTCCCCCTATTTGATTCCTGTTAATTAAAGCCTTGCTCTATGTTAAAGCATGGACGATTAAAGAAACATTGACATCACTTAAAAAGGAACTACATGCAATATTATGTACATGATTAAGCTAATTGCCGATTGTATTCATATTGCATAATTTATTATCAAAAATGTTATCAAAAATGCTTATGGTGATTTGATTGAAAGTTACTATTAAAACATGTGGGCTAGTGAAAAAGGTTGCGGGCCAGTGAAAACTCTGGTTTACTGGCCCGGCCAGCCAGTAAAGGAAAAAGTTAAGGGAAACCCCTGCTAAATTTATGCTGGCTGAGCATAAACAACACAAGGTCCGGCCTAAGACCTTGATGCCATTAATTAAACAGGGTGATTCCTACAGGGTGGTAAAAAAAAAGTTTACAATTTTTCAGACGCAGATTTCTCAAAAGTGGGGAGACATGTTAAAATTGTTTTAAAATATTCCTTAACTACAGCATCTCCGTGGTATATGGTAAAAACAGCGCTGAAAATAAAGCCTAAATTAAGAAATGGTGATGGTCAAAAACCAGTTTGTCCACACGCAAGCCTATGAGATACGTTCAACACAATAGCACTGCGTGCAACAAGAACTGCAATAATGTTAATTAGGTCTACATGACTACCACAGACTTGGACAAACTCTTTTTGACCATTTTTCTGTAAATGGGCGCTATTTCTTAACTTTACCCTTATTTTCAACTCCATTTTCACCATATACATTGTGTACCACCAATATCTTGTAGTTTACGAATATCTTAAAAACAATTTCAACATGTCTCCCCAAATTTGAGAAATCTGTCTCTGAAAAAGTGTACACTTTTAGTTGGACCTCCCTGTAGTTTATGGAGTTAGGGTTCTTATGAACTGATTATTACCTGGGCAGCCTGGGTTGGTTCGGAGTGCCTTCTTGTAGAATGCCAGGGCACCGCGATAGTCTTTCTTGTTGAAGGATATGCAGGCTTTCCCTATAAACCAAGTCAAATAAGTCAGTACTTAAACATTACTGTGATGTTGGTAGGTTTTATAAGAGGCCATAAATCTTTCTTCCTAGTGAGACTTACATCCTAACGAAAAAAAGCAAAAGGCTAATGGCCTGTTATCAACTTACAAATGTTGAATGCCTCGGACTAAATGTAAGTCAAAAGAGATTATGATTTCGATGCAAGAAGCGCAGACAACAATTTAAGTCATTTTATGCAAGTCCAACATTACAAATTCCTGCTTTTGTTTTTAATCATTGGCTGAATAAATCAATCTTAATCTTAACTGGTGAGAAAGTGATGCAGTAGTTTCCAAAAGAGGGTTTTGGAGATGCCCTCCCCACACCCTATAACATGTTCCCACAAATTTTTTGGTATCCATCATTAAAAAAAAAAATCATCCAAATCACATTTTAACAAACATTAAAGTGGATACCCAATCTTCTTTGATGAAGAATTAAGAAAAACAGTGCCATGAAAAGGCGTGAATGCGAATTTAACTGCTTGAAGCGCCCTCTATGTGTTTGAAAAAGCATCTCTGTTCGTGAGCACCGCCCGCACTTGCAAATAATGCATCTTGCTATTTTAGCTCTGCTAAATCTGCAGCAATGCAGCTTACCCAGTAACGCAGGGATGTTGTTCTGCGATTGGTTGAGGACGAAGTTGAACTGGGCGTCGGCCTGGTCCATCTTGTCGCCCTCCAGCAGGCAGAAACAGGCTCTACCAAGCAAGTGGTTCTGAGCAAAGAAAAATTATTCCAGACATAATCCTCCTATTAAAAACCCTGCAACTGTCTATAGACCTTTGGGGAATTTTGTTAGCTACATTTTGATATCCCGTTTACTACCAAACCGTAAATCGTCCAAGATTGACAACGGCTTGTGAAAAATGATGAAGTCGGCACTCTCGGACCCAAGAATTTGTGACGACTTACGCGAATGCCGACTTACATGAATTGAATCATGGAGGCAAAAATACATGTAGATTGAATGGCCTATACACATCTGGATCTCTATCAATACTACAAACATATCTCCCATGATTATGAGATCACATAGGATTCATTGCACCAATTCAAAGGCTTCGGTTTACCCTGGTTTATTTCTTCATCCATGGTTGATTCCAGCGAATTTATCCTCAATGTTTATCATCACATACATGCATGGGTATTGATCACACAAAAAAACTGATCACATTGGGACCGAAAGTAACACGCCGAAGCTTAGGCGAAATGGCGACTTATAAAGGCCAACTTAGAGATAAACATTTCAATGGAACTGCATTAGAGACGATCGGGACTTTTGTCAGATGGCTGATTTAAGCGATATGACGAGTTATACAATGTCGACTTAGCCGGAGTTTACTGTATTATTTTCTGCTTCCTGTGCGTAGGGTTTCTTATATGATCATAAGCATCACTGTAATAAATCGCCAACTAGGAGCCAATCAAAGAGCAGTCTGAAGTGAATTAAGACTCCTGTGAAGTCCGAAGATTGCCATCTTCAGCGAGCCTCCCATCCTCCTTAACTTGTGGACGATCTCCTACTCTGACTAATACAGCAAGGCCGCCCACTACAGTAAACCTGGCATCACCAGCTCAAAAGCGAGTGAAACGAAAGCCTCACCTGGTCGTACATGATGATCTTGTCGGCCATGGTGTACAGCAACGTGGCCTGGGTGAACAGGTCCTTCTTGGAGTCCTTGTTCTTCTCCTTGCGCGCCTGCTGGACGTAGTATGCCGCCAGTGTGTCCAAGGCCGTCATCTGGTCCTTCTCGTTGCCCCCGTAGTCCAGGTTGGCGTCCGACTGCCAGGAGGCGAAGATCTTGATGAAGTCGTCCACCTGGTTCTGCTTGTAGTACTCCAGCTAAGGGAAACAGGTCATGTTTAACGTAAAGGGGTATAGGATTATAAGAATTTATTTCAAAAAGTAACCCACCAAATTAACATCAAAAAGCTGACTTGGATTTACCCTAAACTCCCTAGGCAGTTTTGCTAGGATGCAATCGCAATCCTGCAAAATTTGCCAACTGCCTCCAAAATTGCATGAGCCTCAATCCTGGAAAATCCTCCGTTATTTCTTGCATGTGGTCCTTGGAGGGGTGACCACTGCCTCAATCCTGCACAATCCTCCAGCAATCACTGTCAATATGTTGAGGCAGAGCCAGTGACATCCTGGAGCAGTGCGGAGGATTTCAAATATAATCTAGGCCTAAATGTATTTTTTTGAAAAGTGTAATATCCACTGTCTGAGCTGAAACCTCAGTAGTGCTATTATTGGAAACGAACAAAATTCACGAAAGGCAAACGATCCTACGTGTATATGCCTGAAAGGCAAACAATCCTATATGCCTTTAAGACCTCTTTTTTAACCCTAACCGCCCTGAATCCTCCAAAATCCTTTTTGCAAATTGGAGGAATTTTCAGGATTGAGGTTACATGGCAAAAGTGCGTTGCTGATTTCGGAGTACGCACTGTGTCAAGGTCTTGGGCCGGACTTTGTGTTGTTTATGCTCAGCCGTGCACAAATTTAGTCCTTGATTATACTTGAAATCCTCCGCACTGCTCCAAGATGTCACTGCCTCTGCCTCAGCCTATTGACAGACATAGCCGGAGGATTTTGCAGGATTCAGGCAGTGGTCACCCCTCCATGGACCATATTCAAGAAATAACGGAGGAATTTGCAGGATTGAGGATATATGCTATTTTTCCATGAGCCCAATTGGAGGATTTTGCAGGATTGAGGCTACATCCTAGCAAAAAGGCCTAGGGAGTTAGGGTTAACATACAGCCTAAAATCCTCCAAACTTCTCCAAGACAGTCTGGTTGAATTTGTAGAGGACTGAGAAGGGTATCTTACCCCGAGGGCCAGCCATGTGTGTAGCGGGGCATTCTCCTGCTTCAGGATACTCAGTACCTCTTCCCCCTCTGGTAGCTGGTCCAAATCCAACTCAATCACCTACAGAACAAAAACATGTCAAATGCAGGCATGAGCTTTACTGGAGAGAATGTTGCAAACTGACCATGTTGCAACCTGGAGAGAATGCTGCAACCTACGGAACAAAAACACGTCAAAGGCAGGCATGAGCTTTACTGGAGAGAATGTTGCAAACTGACCATGTTGCAACCTGGAGAGAAAGGTTGCAACCTACGGAACAAAAACACGTCAAATGCAGGCATGAGCTTTACTGGAGAGAATGTTGCAACCTGACCATGTTGCAACCTGGAGAGAATGTTGCAACCTACGGAACAAAAACACGTCAAATGCAGGCATGAGCTTCACTGGAGAGAATGTTGCAACCTGACGCCACTTCAGTGGTTGTGTACAAAGTCTATGGAGAGTCAAGACAATTTTGTTAAGTATTTCCTAACAAAATTGGAAATGTTTCTCAGTCCCAGATTCATGTCTTATCATCATATTTGCAATGACTGACCTTCTCTGAGATGATACATGAAGAAAAAGTGGCATCAGGTTGCAACATTTTTTCCCTTTACTTTTAATACAGGCTTTACTTGTCAAGTGTAATTTTAAGTTATTATTTATTTTTTTTTAAATAATTTTGGCAATTGTGTAGTTATGGGCCCCTCTTTCGTTTTTGTCCTTTGAGTGTTTTTATCATTACAAAAAGACTTCTGCAACCTTAAGCAGTCTTCTTTTATTTCTAATGACCTTACTTTTTTTTTCATTTTGAACTGTATCTTTGGGTAAAAAAATGGGATTTTCTTATCCATTTTTTCTGTTGATGCCATGCGAATCAGCACGGTTTTTCTGCATTCAAGGTGCATCACCACTGTAATATTTTGTGTTGCGTTTTGTCATCTTCATCGTGGTTTTAGAGCAAAGTTTACACACACACAAAAAATCACAACCGTGCCCTCTATACACATCATTCCAATGGGTTGTAAGTATCACTAGGGGTGAGTGTAATAAGTTTGTGAATAAAAGCCCATCCTATCCAGTTTCAGTTTGTTCTGCTCTTTCTCTTTTTTTTTAGTTTGTCTTAAGCCCCATAAATGTGGCCTATTTACTGGACTGCCTCCGTAAACATAGGCCACACATCCACATGTACAAAAAAGTGTCGCACTTTGCCAAATTTTGATTTTCACATTTAGGCTTACTTTGTAGGTTTGTTTTGCTTTAGAAGCATTCTCACCCTCTTTAAAGGCTAATCAGAAAGTGCTGCCTTTTTCAGATGTCTAATATTTGTGAAATTTCATGTTGAAATTTTGATACGCAAACGTGTGCAAATGTATCTGGAAATTTCACGAAAAATGGACATCTGAAAAAGGCAGCACTTTCTGATTAGCCTATAAAGAGGGTGAGTATGCTTCTAAAGCAAAAAAAACCTACAAAGTAAGCCTAAATGTGAAAATCAAAGTTTGGCAAAGTGCGACACGTTTTTGTACATGTGGATGTGTGGCCTATGTTTACGGAGGCAGTCCAGTAAATAGGCCACATTTATGGGGCTTGTTTGTCTTTAGCTTATGGACCTATTTGATGATGATGATGTCGTACAAATCACAAGTGCACAAGTAAATGCACCATTTTCTTGACCAATCGGGTTAAAATGGATCAAAATATCGACAATGACGACCAAACAAAACATGAAAATGAAGATGGCGATCACGCCGGAGAGACTGCTGCATCCTGACGCCATTTTTGTCATCATACATTATCTTAATAAAACGGGTCCTACTAAAGCGCGTCAACAAGCGTCAACAAGCCTCAACAAGCCTCAACGGTCGTCAACGAGCGTCAACAAATTTTGTATAGGCTTTTGAACATTAAAAACAGCTTTATATTGTAGAAAAAGCATTAAAGAACATCTTCTGAATATCAATTAAAGTTAAAATTATTCTAAAACTTGTTTTTTTTACGCGAAATGTACGACGAATTTGTCGATAATTTGGCCGCCATCTTGTTTATGTGTAGCTAGCCGTACTACGCATGCGTGAAGTGTACAGAGCCATACTACGCATGCGCGAAGTCTACAGCGCCATCCAAACAAGATGGCGGCCAACTTTTATCGACAAATTCATCGTACATTTCGCGTTCAAAAAACCAAGTTTTAAAATAATTTTAACTTTAATTGATATGCAGAAGATGTTCTTTATTGCTTTTTCTACCATATAAAGCTGTTTTTAATGTTCAAAAGCCTATACAAAATTTGTTGACGCTCGTTGACGACCATTGAGGCTTGTTGACGCTTGTTGACGCTTGTTGACGCGCTTTAGTAGGACCGAATAAAACTAGACAATCATTGCAAAAATGTTGAAAAGACATGAATCTGGGACTGAAAAACATTTCCAATTTTGTTAGAAAATACTTTGAAAATGCATTTGACCCTTCACAGACGTCATTGACTTTGTGAATAGAAATTAGAATTCCGAGACTTTGTACACCTGTACACAATCAACATAATCAAAGAAGAGGCGCACATGCTGGGTACTACATTCTTTCCAAAAAGGGCTTGGAACGAAGCAAAAGTGGGCTCCTTTACTAAAGGAGCCCACTTTTGCTTTTTCAGGTTGTCCGCCCGCTACCCTGGTTTCTGTCCCGGTTTCTGGCCCGATTGGGGTAGAAGTGAACTAAAGCGAAGCAGGTCGTTTCGTACCCAAGTCGTTTCGTACCCAAGTCGTTTCGTACCCAGTCAATTATGATGCACAAAGGAGATTAAGCCAGTCATGCAAACACGGAAAATACATACACAGACAAGCTAGATCAAATCGGTGAATTAACTTGCAAAAATGTTCTTTCTCCATCGGTGTTTTCTTGGCATTTTTACGATGTCTTTCTCAGCATTTTTACGATGTCGAATCCGACCAGTTGACAGAGCGCTGAGCACGTGCCTGCGCCTGCATAGCCATGCTAGCGCTATCGATCGCATAGCTGTGCACAGACTAGTTACCGCATTTCATCATTGGCCCCTGCGCGGCGCGGCGGGAACCAGTCGTCGCCGCATTGCGCTTATTACGCACGTGATTATAGACATCGAATTGCGAAGTACATGTAGTTGAATCGCGCAGTGAATTTGTAAAAATAACGGAGTTTTCTTTTGAAAAAAACAGCGAATGTAAGTAAGAAAACAATAAATACAAGCATTTTTTGATGCAAAAGGGTTGTTGAGAGGTACTTTGTAAAGACAGACAAGACATAAGATTTTTATTTTTATTTATTCAATCATTTTTTATTTATTTTTTTTGGAATTGCCGATACAATTTTTATGGTCGCAGCCTAAAAATAGGGTCGGTCGGGTAACCGGAAGCAGAACTATTCTTTTTTTTTTGGCCTAATTATAAAAAGTACAATTCGAAAAACTGAAAAGCAACCAAAGAAAATCACGTAGAAGACAAACATGAATCCTGTGTGCGAAACGACCTGGGTACGAAACGACCTGGGTACGAAACAACCTGGGTACGAAACGACTTGGGTACGAAACGACCGACATTCAACTAAAGGCTTTAGTTCACTTCTACCCCAATCGGGCCAGAAACCGGGACAGAAACCAGGGTAGCGGGCGGACAACCTGAAAAAGTAGCCAGGCACGGCCTAACGAGAAACGTCATTATTTATTGTCCGGAAATTGGGCAAATGTCAGTGTTTTGTTTTTGGACGAATTTCATTAATTAAAACCAAATTCAGGAGTCAGAGAATAATAAGGTAGCAGCACTTCTTGTATCCCGGCTCTAAATTACTTCTTTACATGGCTCAGTTAAAAGCAGAAATGGTACAAACCTCGTCCGTATCACGGAGGGGGATCTCCACAAATCGATTCATCCCCGCGGCCGCCATCTTTGCAGTGCTGGTGAAGCGTGCAATCTATCGAGGTCAAGAGAGGGCAGCATCACAGTTACAAAGGAGCCTGCCACTTATTATGTCATAGTACTAGACAAGTGTCGTAAGGGGGGGGGGGGGGGGGGGGGGGTTGACAAGGGGGGGTGCCACCCCCCTCCCAGCGGAGGCCCGTGCCCCCCCCCCCCCCCCCGGTGCTTCCCCATTTGAAATCTTGAACTGCACACAAACATTAACCTGGCTTCAGAACCTTCAGAAATGTATACTGTATGAAAACGCCTGGAGGGGCTTTCTAAACATGCAGTTTACATTGCCCCCTTCAATTTGGTGCACGCACCATTATGTGCCCCCACAGCAGCTTTACCTTCAAGTACGCCGCTGAGGCTGAGCCAAAGAAAGAAACGCAACTTAGTTTAAAAAGTAGCTTTCAAGATAGTTTTTCTTGTGATACACAAAACTGCCTGAAACCTCACAGGCAGTTGATCCCTGTAGTCACGCCTCAGTGACTCCCATTGAGAAGCGTTAATTGCTGAAAACAATCAACAGGGTCTCCTACTCCTGAATTCATTTACGTTTCAGTATGTTTTACAATAAAGTTGCGGGTTTCCCCCTGCCCTTTTTTTTTTTGCTTGAATAAAATACCTCCTACAACCATAGAGCTTTATGTTGTAACCATCGTCGGGATTTGAGTCTCTTGCCGACGTCGACTGTTGGAATACGCTTCTCCGACAAGTCTTAAAGTGGCAGACGGCTGCGTATTTCTCGGTTGTCCTATAAAACTTCATAATTCGGCTTAAACATCAACTACACGTTCAAAATAAAAAATCAACTATACCTTCTAAATAAAAATATCAACATATTTTTTTTTTAAGTTGAACTATAAGACATTGACTGGAGCGGGTTTTGAACCTGCGACCTCCGGGATGCCTTTCTGCGCTCAGCTCTACCAACTACACCCTAAGCTAGGAGAGAGAGACTGGCTGTCCAATGATTGAACGGGCCCACTTTTAATTATAGTGAATTAAAAAAGAAATTTCAAAGTGAAATTTTGCACACACAAGATCGTACTACGAGAAAGAGTACACACATCTTAGCCTCAGTGGTAATCATCGGAGGTCATCTTGAGGATGATGACGTCATTGGGTATCTGCGTATCGATCCGAACTCCCAGATCAGTCGATAAAATCTTCCTCCTACAATACCCCGCGATCGATTAGGTAGCCCACCGTCGTACCGCAACGCCCCAACACGGGTATGTGTTACTAATAAATACTTCACTACTTTGTGGTGTTTTATATTTAGAACCGGGGCCATCGTGTTTAAACGTAGAATGATATGGAGAAAATGTTGTAGACGTGTTGCCTCTCTAGCTCTGGAAATGTTGTTCGCACAACTTTTGGTGAGCGAATTGCCACACGGACTTAACGATGCGTTTCCAAGCCTGTATTTCAACTAAGATCATCATGGTGAGTTGTCTATAATCGCATTTAGTATTGCACATAGGTTATGTTCAATCCTGACAAGCTTTCGCAGCTGTAACATGTCTGATCGAGACTTTATTGGTACATGTACAAGTTTTGTGTTTGTACGAATTTGTAAAATTGGCGAACTTCACCAGGACAAAAATCAGCACAGGGGTTTCTCAGATAGGCCTATCAACCAACCACGTCATCAAGTCAAGTGACAATCTATTTTTCAAATGAACTGTGAAAAACAAAGAAAATTTCTTGTCGATTACTTATTAGACCAAGTTAAAAAAGAAGAAGCAGTTTTTCGTCCCCGCCCGCTTCCTTTTTCCCTGGCCGCCTCCCTTTTATTTTTACCTTTCTACTTTTTCCCAATCATACTTTTGCAATAAATTTAAATTAGTCTTTTCATGCTTCCAGCAATAATTGTAGCTATATATCTTGAGAAAGTCCAGCTGCAATGCTCATGTGGAATTCGACATGTAGAGATGGAGGTCAATCTACTTCGTAGCCGGCGGTCGAAAAATGGCGGAGGCCGTGATAAATGGCCGCCGAACAGCCACGGAAATCATCATTTTTTAATGTTTTTTTTCAGTCTGTAAAGTTCTGTTTCAAGTCGACTATTTCTGCTTCGTGAATGATTGCTGCATGGCATGAAGTAGGTTTAATCTCATCTGGGTCTGGATGTTATAGGGGGAAAGGACCATTTTAGAGGAGACCAAATTTCACGGCCTCCGCCATATTTCGACCGCTGCGCTGGCTACAAAGTAGATTGACTGAGCTCTAAATGTCGAATTCCCGTTGAGCTTCGGAGCTGGAGTTTCTCAAGCTACTATGCCAATTTATATAATATTACGGTGGAAAGGGTGACGGCTCCCCTGGACAGAAAAGAGTCGAGAAAATTAATGCAAGAATCCATTTCGAGAAATCAGCTATCTTGGAAAATTGCCGGTGTGGGGTAAGGAACTTGCCCTGTTCTTTGACATTTTGCCTTTTTGTATTAAGTGTCATCTCTTCAAAACGATAACGAGCCCTCCCTTTTGGGGGGGGGGGGTAATAATTATTATGCATGTAAGGTGCATGCAAAAAAATGTTTCGGGGACACTATATCGGTATTTACTGTGTGCAGATTTTTCTTGAAGATTTTTTTTCAACCCAACTTGTGTTTTTTTGTCTTCGTCTTCAGGCATCTGAATCCCATATTCTACTCTGAAGACCGACCCGTTCACGGCACCGATGGGGAAGGTAGACTACTCCAAAGCCGTGTCTTTCTCCTACAATCCCAGCGCCGGAAGCACAGCCGACGACGAGGAAGATGAAGACTTGGTCAAGGAGAGAGAGCGCCGAGAGGAGTCGCTACGGAGAGCCGCCATAAAGGCCGCCGAGGACCGGCGGAAGAGAGCCGCCAGAGGTCGAGGCAGGGGTCGAGGGAGGGGGCGAGGAGGAAGCCAGGGGAGCCGTCCACCTCCTCCCAGGCAGCAGCAGGCACAGCCCTTAGAGAGCATCGAAGAACTGCGCGAGACACCAGCAGTCAGTGAGAGGATGACCTCAGCAGCAAGCGTGGTTCCGTCAGCCAGGGGTCGAGGCAGGGGTCGGGGCAGAGGGAGGGGCAGGGGCAGAATCGAACGCCCTCCCACCGTGCAGTCGACTAGGCCCATCACGTCGCAGTCGAATCGATCCGTCACATCGCAGTCGAACCGGCCGGTGACGTCCCAGTCGAACCGGCCGGAGACATCGCAGCGTCCAGGAACAACTAAGTCTGTCCGGCCGGTCACCCCACAGAGAGAGGAAAGGCCGCCCAGCGTCAAACCGGAAAAGCCCAAAGAAGAAGAAAAACCAAAGGAGAAGGAACCCGAGAAAGAAAAAACAGAGGAGGAACAAAAACCAGCAGAACCAGCAGAACCCAAGAAACAGTTGAAGTTCACAACTGCGGTGAAGGTCCGGATGTTCATGAAGTCCTTCTTCAAGAAGAAACAAGAACAAGCTGCTCCGGAACCAGAGCCTGAAAAGAAGGAAGAGGAGGACAATAAAGAGGAAGAGCCGAAAGCCGAGGACAAACCGGCAGAAGAGGTGGATGAGCAACCGGCAGTAGCGGCAAAAGAGGAAGAAAAGGAAGATGAAAAAGAAGAACAGAAAGAAGAAGAACCAAAAGTTGAGGAAACGAAAGAGGAGGAAAACGAAGACGCCAATAAGTCTCCATCACCCACGAAAGATGAAGAGGTGAAACAACCGGAACCAGAGGAGAAGACTCCGACGCCGGAACCAGAACCAGAACCAGAACCAGAACCAGAACCAAAAGCGTCATCCCCGGCCCAAAACAAAGAAGAAGAAGAGGATGGAGCGGCTGCAACAGCAAGACCTGAGAGTGTCAAGGAAGAGCCAAAAGAAGAACCAAAAGAAGAGCCGAAGGAAGAAGAAAAAGAAGAGAAACCTGAGCCAGAGAAAGAGCCGGAATTGACCGAGGAGGAGAAGGAGAAGGCGCGGAACGTGCTGGGAACTTTATTCGGCCGCCGTGCCCCGGCGGTACAGGTTCCCTCCGAGTCCATGCGAGCTTCTCGTGTCAGTCTCCGGAGCAACTCCACCGTCGATGAAGAGGAGAAACCCAAAAAGGGCTTCTTCGGGAAGCTCTTCGGGAAGAAGAAACCCAATGACGACGCGGCTATGAGGGCGTCCCGGGTGAGCCTGATGAGCAATAGTAGCCCGAGAGAGGCCAGCAGCAGCATGAGCAAGAGCGTGATTTCCGTCAAACAGGCCGAGGAAACTGGGGCTGCTCCGCCAGAGAAAAAGGAAACAGTGACCCCTCCTAAGGCGAAGAGTCCCACGCCCTCACCTCCAGAGGAAACCCCGAGAAAGGAGCCGCAACAGGCCGCTAAACCGGACCCAGACACCGGCTCGAACCGACCGGTGATTATCATCAACGCGAGTGCCAATGACGGGTCACTGCAGCGGTCCATTGTTCAGGCTCTCACAGGGAAACCTCTCCCGGAAACCGAGGAACAGCATCCACAGCCGCCACAGCAGCAGCAGCAACAGCAGCAGCAACAGCAGCAGCCGGCGGTACCGCAACCTCCCGCATTTCCTCCAAACACGGCATATACCGGTCTTTCCCCGCAGATGGTGCCCTATCCCATGTTCCAGCCACCACCGTTTTACGGTCCGCCCAACCCGTATTTTTACCCGCAAATGCCGCCCGCGTACGGCGGTTATCCACCGTATACAATGCCCATGTCCATGCCACCAGTAAATAACCCGGTGATTCCCTACCAGCAAAATCCAACCTTCCAGCAACCAGCACCGCCTCATCAGCAGCCGGCACCGCCTCAGCAGCCAGTAATCCAACCAACCAATCAGAATGCGTATCCGCAAAATTATAACAATCAGCCAATAGCCAGCCAGAACGTGCGCGCTCACGCGGTCCAACCGCAACCGGTGGGCCAATCATCGCTCGGCATTGTTGAAAAACTTGACGCTGCTCTCAAAGAGGAAAGACGGCGCCCGCCAGTGTCAGAGAATTTATTCGACGACTCAGACTCGGACGATAACTTTTACAACACAGAGCAAAGGAAGATAAGGAGGAGAAAACGTACTGGGAAAGAGCAAAAGAGGCTGGAAAGGGAGAGAAAATTACTGGAGGAAGAAGAGAGGGAGAAAGAAGAGGAAGCAAGACGGAAAGCCAAGCCCAAAACACCGGTACCAGAGGTGGACCTGGCCGGTTTGCTTTCGCTGATAGAGACCGGTGAAGAACCGCCGGAGCCGGTGGAAAACGAACCGGCCGGAGCCGGTGATGAATCGCGACCGGAGAGTAGAACCAGTGTGTCTGATCGGGGAACAGTAACCCCCAACGCGGGTAATGGCGATGACGACGAACTCAACCGCTTATTAGCTCAACTCGGAGGCGCCCCCAGCACCTCACCCAAAGACAATCCTCGCAAGAGTGCTAAAAAGCGGAAAAAATCCGCCGCGAAACCGGAACCAGATTTGGCCAGGGAAAGCACACTCCTTGCCTTGCTGAAAGACGAACAAAGGCAGCAGCAGAACAACTCTGCCGGTAAAAATCGCCGGAGATCCATTGCCGGTTTTGCGAGTCCGACGAGACTGGACACCGACAAGCGGAACTCGGTGCCGAATTTGGGCCTGCAGCCCATGGGCAGACCGGGCGAGGTGGCCGGGTTGCCTCGTCCACTTGGACAACCCTCGGACGTGAATGGGAATCCCGTTCCGGTGAACACTAGGTCTGCGGAGAGGCTGCTCCACGAGGCTCAGAAACAGTTGATGTCCCTCAAACAATCGCTGCACTGACCAACGGGAAATGATTGGTAACCAGACTCAAAACGCGAGTATGAAATGCGATATGTCATTGGTCAATATTGTGCGTGGATGGGGCCGGCATAATATGCAAATAGAAATCGCGAGATGTGATGATTGGTTGGATTGTTTACGACTCATGTCGAATGCTTTACGTCATTGGTCAGTGGTGTGTGTGTGCCGCGGCCGCCATATAGGGAAATTAAGTGGCAAAAAAGGTGGTGTGCTATTGACTGGAACTACTTCAAAATGAACGATTATTTCATAATTAAGCTGTGTGTTGAGCAGGCTTATGGGAGTACAGGGTGAGTAAAAAAAACCCCGAAACCCAAAAATGTCGGGACCATTGTGTTAGGGAAGTTCTGCATGTAGCACTTTCAAAATCTAGGATATGAAAGCCCAATTCATAAGCTTTCTTTTAGTACTAGAATCATTCAAATCACTTCTGTACTTTTCAAGTTACGGAATTTTAAACACAACCACCGTTTTTAGGTTCTGTCCACCGATCACAAAATAGGTGTGCGTTCTTTCAGCAAAACGAAAACAATTCACACACATCCCTATGTGATTTCTTTTCGTTTTGCTGAAAGAACACTGAACTTTTCTGTGATCCGTGGACAGAACCTTAAAACGGTGGTTGTGTTTAAAATTCTGTAACTTGTAAAGTACATGAGTGATTTGAATGATCCCTGTACTAAAAGGAAGCTTATGAATTGGGCTTTCATATCCTAGAATTCGAAAATGCTACATGCAGAACTTCCCTAAAACAATGGTCCCATCATTTGGGTTTCGTTGTTTTTTTACTCACCCTGTACACGGTGACCAAACAAACGCAACCCTGAAACATTTGCTTTTATTATGTTTTGAATATATCAGATTAAGTTGAGAGCTTTTTCTTTACAAATACTGAAAAATCATGAAAACAGCACATTGGGTTGTTGAAAATTTTTTAAATAAGTCATTTTTCATTCTTTCCAAAGGTGCTTCAAACAGTGAAACATGTTACTGTAAGCGCACTGCGCAATTGTCTTTCATTTGTGCAATTTCTTTGATATTTTGACATATTTATGATGCTGAAAAGGTTTAAGATAGAACTAAAAAGAATTAGATACCTGTTCAGGTGGAAAATAAAAGGTATTTCCATCAAATTCATTTGGACTCTTGTCATATTATGTGCCGTGTTGTTTGTAAGGATTAGGACACAATGCGCTACATGCATTTCATGCACAAATAGTTACTGTGTAAACCAGTAACTGAGGTAACAGTGCCATTGGAATGGACCAAAAATGAGTTGTGTTACATAATTGGCATTTTCTCAGCAACACTCAACTGATGTTGTTCAGTATTTGAAATAAAAAGCTCTCAGCTTTAATCTGATATCCCAAACATAAAATTAACAGATCACGTTTTTGAAAAAAAGGCAAATTTTTCAGAGTTGCATTTTTTTTTGGTCACCCTGTACAGTAAAACATGAAAAGATGGTGTACCGATAGTGCAAACTATTACAGTATATACATGTACTAATTTTAAAACAGAAGCTAGGCCAGAAAAAGACCAAATTCACGCAGATTTTAAACAAAAAGCTTTTTTATTTCAAATGCAGGCCACTTTATAAGTGAATCTTACTTTCTTTTTAGACACGAAGACTTTAAATCCTTTTTGTGAGCAAACTTTCATTTCACATAGAAAAACAAAACCTACTACGTGTACTGTATATGGCACAATGTAAAAGCAATGAACTATCTTTGAAGTCATTCGTTCTATTTGAACAAATCATAGCTTTATATTTCTCTTTTACTTTCACAAAATAAATATTATTTTCTTTTTTAATTACACTACTGCTCAAATTTCAGGCAAATTAAGTAAAGAAACACACACGAGCCCTTTAAATAACCAACTTAATTTTCAAGATGCAACTTAAACTTCAAAACAATGTCTCAAACTGTTCAGTGGATACAAGTATTACAGTCCATACACTTATTTGTTATATCGTGTCTTGAATTTTCATTGGTCTACAACAGTCATGTGTCCAGTCTATAATAAAGACTGTTACTTCATATACACTGCGTTGCGTATAAATTACCTCATATACACCGCGTTACATATAAATTATCTGATATACACTGTGTGGCATATATTGCGCGCAGGTGAAGGGTGCGCGTGTAGTGCCTGCGCGCCTCGCAACAGAGAAGTGCAACCTCTCAATCTCAGGTCTGGATTTTGAAAATCCTAGATTTTGAAAATGCTACATACAGAACTTCCCTAAAATAATGGTCCCAACATTTGGGTTTCGTGGGGGTTTTTTTACTCACCCTGTACACGATGACAAAACAAATCCAACCCTGAAACATTATGTTCTGGATATATCAGATTGAAGTTGAGACCTTCTTTTTTCAAATACTGAAAAACTCATGTAAACAGCACAATGGGTTGTTAAAAAAAATGTAAAATAAGTCATTTTCCATCCTTTCCAAACAGTGAAACGTGTTACTGTAAGCGCACTGCACAATTGTCTTTCATTTGTGCAATTTCTTTGATATTTGACATATTTATGATGCTGAAAAAGTTTAAGATAGAACTAAAAAGGATAAGATACCTGTTCAGGTGGAAAATAAAAGGTATTTCCATCAGATTCATTTGAACTCGTCATATTATGTTAAGGATTAGGACACAATGCGTTACATGCACAAATAGTAACAGTGTAAACCAACAACTGTGGTAATGCCATTGGAATGGACCAAAAATGAGTTGTGTTACATAATTGGCTTTTTACCCTCAACTGGTTTTCTTCAGTATTTGAAATAAGAAGCTCTCAGTTTTAAAGGGAATGTACATCATTTGCTTTTGCTGTAATTTTCAGAAATGGATGGAATTGGGGGGTTGGAAATATATAGCAAATATAGTTACACTGACTTTTTTGAGGTTTTGGGTTCGAAATGCTATAAAAACCAAGAAAAACAATCATTTTCCTGTAGTCTGATTCCCTGACTCCATATAAGAAGAAACGGAGCAGTTTACATACATTGGGGAATTGTAAGGTCAGGGAACCAGTCTAGCTGGCTTGTACCCGTTCATAGGTGTGTAATCGATTGCAAACAAGTGCGATGGTCAATTGGGGCCAGTATTTGAAAAAAAGCTTGTTTTTTTTCCAATGCTGGTCGGTCGACCAGCGTTGGAAATTGATACAAAAATACCACTTTTCTTGAAAATGACAGTATACCAGGTGCAATGAATTTACAGGATGCTTTACACTGTCATTCACTAACAGTCCAGCAAGGTATTTCAAAATGATTTGGTAGTTTTATTTTTTGATGTTTGCAAATGTTGTATTTTCCCTTTAATCTGATATCCCTGACATAAAAATTAACAGATCACGTTTTTGAAAAAAAGGCAAATGTTTCAGAGTTGCAATTTTTTTTTGGTCACCCTGTACAGTAAAACATGAAAAGATGGTGTACCGATAGTGCAAACTAAAGAGAATATACATGTACTAATTTTAAAATTGAAGCTTGGCCAGAAAAAAAGACCAAATTCACACAGATTTTAAACAAAGAGCTCTTTTATTTCAAATGCAGCCCACTTTATAAGTGATTCTTACTTTCTTTTTAGACACGAAGACTTTAAATCCTTTTCGTGAGCAAACTTTCATTTCACATAGAAAAACAAAACCTACTACATGTACTGTATATGGCACAATGTAAATGCAATGAACTATCTTTGAAGTCATTTGTTCCATTTGAACAAATCATAGCTTTATATTTCTCTTTTACTTTCACAAAATAAATATAATTTTCTTTTTTAATTACACTACTGCTCAAATTTCAGGCAAATTAAGTAAAGAAACACACACGAGCCCTTTAAATAACCAACTTAATTTTCAAGACGCAACTTAAACTTCACAACAATGTCTCAAACTATTCAGTGGATACAAGTATAACAGTCGATAAACGTATTTGTTATATCGTGTCTTGTAATTTCATTGGTCTACAACAGTCATGTGTCCAGTCTATAATAAAGACTGTTACTTCATATACACTGCGTTGCGTATAAATTACCTCATATACACCGCGTTACATATAAATTATCTGATATACACTGCGTGGCATATATTGCGCGCAGGTGAAGGGTGCGCGTGTAGTGCCCGCGCGCCTCGCAACAGAGAAGTGCAACCTCTCAATCTCAGGTCTGGCCGGAGAGCTCACAGTAATCCAAAGATTATACTGCAGTTATTTCATTTATTTCATGTTTAAAACCTTTATTTTTTTACTTATTTGTACGCTATAACAAAACAATTGTTGACTGCTGTGATGTAAGTGGGATATGTTATTTTAAGGGCCCTCCTCGGGTGTTAGAAACCCCATATCCCACATTACGTGGCAAGTTCGGGAGTGCTGTATAGTTAACCATGGTACGACTACTGATATCTATATAAAGACTGGATAGCGGATATTCATACACCAGTCACACAGTAGACTTTGCATATTGACCAATTCGCCCCCGGTCTCACGAAGATGGCCACGTATATTACGAACGTTCTACGTGTATATACAGCGCGCGCTGTATCAAGAGTTGACGCGCATTTTGGTTACATAACACCTATTATGATGATGTAAAAAGGACACATTTCCGTAGTGATTATTTTTCCAAAACACCGAAAAAGTGAACTGCGGCATTAAACAAAAAGTAAACCACGACGTTAGAAAAATAGTAAACCTTGGTCAGTGGTGGTGGTCAAAATATAAGTCAAGTGAACCGCGATGTTACAAAAGTAATCATGCTGTCTATAAAGATGGCAACTTATCCTTTGTAGATCACCAGCCGGTTTCACCAATATGGCGTCAAATTCATTCATTGTGCGGCTCTTTATCCGCTATCCAGTCTTTATATAGAGATCAGTGGGTACGACTAATGAAGGATGGTTGGACTACTCTAGTCGAGTATTTGGAACCGGAGCATTAGGCACAGTTCCATGACTGGTTACCAAGAGCCACGCGCATTATACAGCACAACGGGGAACCAGGACTTTTGAACAGCGTTTGACTAGAGGCGTCCGCGCGTTGCTATTAGTGCGCAGGCGTAAGTGACGTCACAAATCAACCACTCGTCGACTACTGGTCCTCGCCCGAACTTGCCCACAGCAGTCAACGACTCTTGAATCTACACAACACAGTACCAAGTATTTCAGAACGTTACGAGTTACAGGCCTATTAATATTGCAACTTTATTAAGAAGGCAAATAAGAAGGTGTCTGATTTTGATACCTTCTCTTTCCCTTTATCATATTTTAAAAGCCACTACTGTTCTAGCCAGGGCGCATTTTTTCCCAAACAGGATCCAATAATATAGAAAGAGGGTGCCCTCTCCGTAATATGCATATTCATAGATGTCCTGGGCTTTAGAGAATTAGTTATATAAAGGCTGACCCCCAAAAAAGGTGTGCAAGCGGACATCTTTAAATTTCTCAAAAAGTATCCAACATCGGCATTTCATGTGGATGGAGTATATACTTTGTACTCTTGTGTATAATCCATTCAAGCAAACTGGAGATACAACAGATTATAAATGGCAATGTGTTTGTCACCGGTTCCAATGTGATTTACACAGTTAATGAAAAGACCCATTGCAGAGTGCCGGTTGAGCGATTTCCAATGCAATGTGTAATTCCCATTGGAATGGTTGAAAAATGCATATCCTTTTATAATCTGTTACAGCTCTGGTATGCATGGATGGGTTTCAATGACATTTTCACTGATATAAACAAGAGTATAATTAATATGTTCCATTCAAAATGAAAACCTCAAGTTAGGTACTTTTTTGAGAAATTTAATGATATCTGCTTGCACAACTGTTTTTGAGTCAGCCTGTATAATAAGGAATAATGGTGTTTAAATCACCGTCGCTAAGGCAGCGGATTCGTGAACTGGTTGGAAGTAGTCCTGACTTCTACTCAGGTGATCTGAGTTCAAATTTAAGTGAGTCGTTTTTCGCTGCTTCTCATTTGATCTTGTAAATAACATTCAGTGAGGACCGAACACTTCTTACCAGCTTACACGCTGTGTTGTCGAGAACAAGGCATTATGCATGTAATGTACCAATCACAAGATGGGAAACCCCATTCGTTTGGGAAAAGAAAATTCGCAGCCAGGACACCAAATAATAAAAAAAAAAATTAATAAAAAAAAAAAAATCTAACAAGGAATTACAATCACACCTTGTTTTATGATTAGGCATTACAAACAAAAAATTGCTGTTGTCGGACAGTGTCATAAAGGGCGAGTCAAATAAAGCGGAACCAAAACCCCCAAAAATATATTTCATATTTTAAAAAATATGTAGCACCAAAATTAATAATAACTGAAAAGCTAATTTCATAAGCTACTTTAGCATATCACCATTTATTACGCAATGACCCTAAAAACCAGTTTCGTCCATAAAAAGCAATTTACTGTGTATTATGACTGTTTGGAACAAAGAAGAAAATGACACAGAATACTTGTTTCAACAACTGTCAACATCTGTAGTACATAATATCTTTATCAACAACCCTGGTTAGGCAATATAATTTATAAATCCACTTTTTAAAAGACGGGCCTTCAAAAGGACTTTGTTGAATATTTTTAACTTTGAAACTGAAGTTTTATCGCTGGTGATGTTTGAAGACAATTGTGACGGCGATTCTTGAAATCGCATTCATGGACGAAAGAGGTTTTAGGTTTATTGTGTTTAAATGGTGATATTCTTTGAACGGATTGTTCAATTTCAGTAACTTTTTCATCTTAAAGTAGCTAATGAAATTGGCTTTCCAGTCATTATTATTTTTGGTGCTACATATTTTTTTAAATATGAAATATAATTTTTGGGGCTTAGGTTCTGCTGTTTTGACTCCCCCTGTGGTACAAAACAAATGGTACTCTTGGTGATACGTTGTGCTGTGAATCGATCAGATCGGCTGCAAAAGGAGCTCACACCCATTTTGCCGCGGCAATGCCGTCATAGCAGCTCAGCCCGGTATGCATCCACTGTAGTCGTTGTCGATGGCAAAGAAGTACAAGGATAGGAGCATGAAGTACACGATGCACAGCATGGATCCTAAGGAGAAAACAGATGGGGAAAAAAATCATATTGTGTGGGACTAGAAGTGTGTGTTAATAATTGGTGCTTATATAGTGCTTTACACCAAAGGTCTCAATTATTTCCCCTGTTAATCAGACCATAAGACCAGTTTTTCTGCAGCAGCTCGAGATCAGTGCATTCTGGTCTTTACCTTCACTGGTACCCATTCATACTCCTGGGTGGAGTGAGGCAATTGTAGTAAAGTTTCTTGCCCAAGAGCACAAGCACCATGTTCCCTGTCAGGGTTCAAACCCACGTACCATGGCAAGTGAGTCGAACACTGTAACCATTTGACCACGGCGCTCCGCAAGTTGATGGCCACATTGGCACAGTAGTACTTGAAACAAACGAGATGGTTTTTCCCATGGAAACCTTGAAGTGGAGCCACGTTTTTTACACACTCCTCAAGGTGGCTTGAGGAGTAAACTTAAACACAGATAACACAAAGTTTGAAGGTTCTTACCTTGGAAATAATTGCTCTTTCCGTCGATGAAGATGTAGTTCATGATGATGGCGCTGATGATGACCGACCACATGTGAACGTCAGAGAAGATCATGTAGAAATGCAGAGGCTGTTTGGAGATGAAAATTACAACATTTCTTGAGCCTTTAACGTAGCTTTTTCTTCTGGAATGCGCCTTTTCGAGTTCTAAAACACATTTCCCATTAAAATGATAATTTTGTCGGTAAACTATCTAAAACACTAAAGTATGGATAAATGTGCATCTTTTAAAACAGTTGATGATTGAGCAAAGTGACGCTTTTCTGTTCAAGACCAAATGGTAGAATGTAATTTTATCACGCTTATAAAACACATTAATGTTACTCTAGATTAAATTGAGGTAATGTGCCCTGCTTAGGGACACAACCAATGGAAATACTTACATGAATAGCATAAGGTTAAATTGAGGTAATGTGCCCTGCTTAGGGACACAACCAGGACACAGCCAATGGGAATACTAAGGTTAAATTGAGGTAATGTGCCCTGCTTAGGGACACAACAAATCAGAATACTTACATAAATAGCATCAGCCAAGATCAGGATGGGCACCTGGAGAAGAGTGACCTGAACGGCTACTGAACTGCCGATCTCAATGCTGAAATATAGGAGGAAAAAGTAGAAACCATTTAAGGGATGAAAACAAAGAAACCTAGACCTGAGTTGGGTTTGAACCTGCGACCTCTCGAACACTTGCACCGGTGCGCTACCAACTGCGTATCGGTGCTCAACCAATTGGGAGACTGCCAATTTACAAGTCCTTCAGTACTTTAAAAAAGGGTTTATATTGTTTTTTGGAATTTTTTTTCTGGTCCTTTGCCAATGTAAGTTTATAAACACTGTATGCTCAGTATTGTCCTGGGACTCGCAAGAAAAAATTCACAAGCTTACTTTGGTAAGACTCGAATCCACGACCCCCTGCTTACTAGTGCAGACGTCTTACCAATAACAACACTGAGTATAAAGTGTTTATAAAATATGTCGGCGAACGGCAAAAAAACCAAACCAATAGTAAAATTGCATCTCCCCGAAGCAAATTCCATCTCTTAAAAAAAAGGTTGTAACACCAACCTGAGATTGACGTTGTTCTTCAGGGCAAATTGGACTCCGTTGATTAGCTCTGGTATATCTGGCACGATGGCGAGGAGCGTGACCCCAAAGAATACCTGGGGGAGAAATAAAAAGACTCAACTCTCAAAAAAAAAAAAAAAGTGAAAAACAATTTTTGTGACTGATGAGATTGAAAACTACTGGAAGACTCTTTGTCAGAGTTGTAGTGACTTGAGTCAATGACTCGACTCCAGTCCGACTCGCGTCACAATTTTTGGTTACTTGACTCGACTCGAAACCCTACTGTCCATAACTAGTTGCCAACCTACTTCCACGTTTTGCTTATGTGCACACTTGGGAAACCAGACTATTATTTACTACGCCCAATTTGGCTCTTTTACTTTGAGTGATGTCTTTTTTGTGCACACACTACATGTTGGCGCTCTTTTATGCGCTGAAAATCACACACCCTATAGTCTGATACCAAACTCCCATTTTATTAATACGCGCTTTGCAAAAACAGGAGTCAAGATTCTACATGTATAGTACAAATTGTGCACACGTTATTTTATTCACGTAAAATCTTGGAAAATCGTAGAAAATCATGTAAGGATCGTACAATCGTAAGCGGGGTGACTAAATCGTATAAATTACGCCTAAATCGTAAATATTGGCATCTCGGACTGTAAATTGTAAACAATTCCCAAGCAGGAGAATTCCGAATAAGAAATTTGACTGAAATATGACACTATTGACAACTGAAGAAAAATCCTGTGTACAGAAATTGGCCAAGCTTCCTGGCCAGTTTGTTCGTGACTTACATCTGGTAGAGTGGTGCTTTTCAGCACCGGCTCAATGTTCTGAACCACAACCTCAGCACACAACGACATCATGACGACGGCACACAGCAGGATGACGGTGCTCTTGATACGACCCCAGTGCATCATGGCGTGCTCCTGGGAACCGGCTACGGGGAACCAACCACGAGCAATAGTCAGAAATATGTGAACATCTTTGGTGAAAAAAACAGGGGAGTCAGGTTGGCACAGTGGTTCTTTTCTCGCTTTCCCCCTCTATGGCCCGGGTTCGATTCCTGCCCTGGTCCACATGTGGATAGGGTTTTCAGTCTCGACCTGAGATTTCTGGGTTTTCCCCCAGAATATTCTTCTGGGGTTTTCCTCCCACCTCTAAAACTGTAATTTCTTCTCATTGTCTTCTCTTCTTCAGGCTTGCAAGATGCAGTGCCTAGGGCGCTTTTGAGGAATCCTTGGACTCATTACCAGAAATATATAATAATAAGACGTACAACAAAGACACTCCTATTGATATGCATATGTGTATCACTGTATTAATCATCATGTACGTCACTCACATGCACTCCGACTGATATGTATGTACAAGCATTACATTCACTGTGTGGACTTCCGAACAAAAGAGGTCCACATAAACCAGGTAGAGGCAACGTTGTGTGGACGTGGGCAAGTCCACACAATGTTTCCCCATTTCTGGAAAACAGGGTTAGAGGCATTTTGTGGGTTAGGTTTATCTGCGGCAAAATGAAGAGAAACACTAAAGGGAATCATAGAAATAAATTTGGGTTGAAAGAGTTTTCACAAGCGAGAGTAAAATGATTTTTTTCACAGGTTTTTCTTAACTACACGAAAACAAAAGAATGTCCACACTACATATGTTTATCATGTATGTATGCATTATCACCATGCGTAGGTATCACCATGTACAGTAAACTCCGGCTAAACCGACATCGTATAAACCATTATACCGCTTAAATCGGCCGTCTGACGAAAGTCCCGATTGTCTCTAATGCATTTCCATTGACATTTTCATTTCTAAGCCAGCCTTTGTAAGCCGCCATTTCGCCTATATCGGCGTGTTACTTTCAGTCCCATTTCCTCAAAACCACACAAATTCCTCTGTATAAGTCGGCATCGTGCTCTGCGGTTTGCGAGAAGTGTCGAGAGAAAAGTCCCACACACTGCTAACTGACATCTGTTTATCAATGGCACGGCCCGTGATTGATGCATTGGCCAGCAAGTGTACACTAATCGCACGTGTACACTGTTTCATGCACAGTCTGTACATTGTGTGCATCGTTCGGGTTTTCCCGATAGCACATGCAATACCAGTACCCCCTCTCGACTGCAAGCATGCACTCTGTTCATTTTGGGGTCCCCTTATTGTGCCAGTACCATGCACACATTTAATTCGTGACTGTACACGTACGTACGTGCACAATGTACACTACATGCACATACAGTATGCAAGCGATCTGTACATGTATATCGTACCACTGTTAATGCTTGCCGGCCGCGCTGTCCTTGCTTTGTACGTACGTACATGTACATGCATGACTTTCTGTGATCAATACCACAGTCTGTTTGCGATGATAAACATTGAGGATATATTTGCTGGAATCAACCATGGATGTAGAAATAAACCAGGGTAAATCAAAGCCTTTGAATTTTAGCCATGAATCTTGTTTGCATGATCCAGATACAGATGCGCATAGGCCATTAATTCAATCTACATTTTTGTTTTTTCACTCCGTGATTCAATTTGTGTATTTGTGTAAGTCCGCAAAATGACGACTTGCAGCAGAAGCCGACATTCGCGTAAGCCGTCACAAATTCTCTGGTCCCGAGAATGCCGTCTTATCTGGAGTTTACTGTATGTCACAATGATACCCAAGCATCTGTCAGTGTATCTATCACCATGTGTGTCACTCACCCGGCAGATGCATCTGCTCTTGCAGGATGTGGGAGTGTGTCTTGAGGGTGAAGATCAGCCCCACCACGTAGGCCAGAAGCTGCAACGTGGCGCAGATGTAGACAATCGGAAGGATTTTGTCCATGTAGAAACTCGATTCTGGGTTAAACTGGAGGGGAAAAACCATTTCACTCTCAAAATGAGTGATCCGCGTACATCAACTGTTTATGCGGTCGTTCCCTGCATGTTTTGCGTTCTTAAAAAAAGTCAAACTTTGTGCTTTTTTAAACGACCTCAACTGAACCCTAGCTAACCTTTGACCTTTGGAAGAGTTGTGATGAATCCCCACCCAAGGATCACTCCATCCAAGTGACATTAAAATCCATCAAATTCTGTAGACAAAGAAACATTTGAAGCCTATTTGAACAATGACCTCTAATGACCCCTACATGACCTTTGACCTCAGTAATCCCATGAAGAATAGTGTCTTCCCACCCAAGGGTCACTGCATGCAACTTTTGTCAAAATCCATGAAAGCATGTAAAAGTTATAAAAAAAATTCAAAAACTGAACTGAAACTTTAACATACCGGTACGGGGCTACGGGTCTATGCCATACAGAGATAGGACTGGTAACTGTCTCCAAAAACTTAATTTAGGCGACACAAAAATGCACTCTCCCAAAGCTGCTGGGGGCTAGAAACTTGCTCAGAAAAAAAAATACTGAACTACAACAGGGTAATGGTCAAAATTTCACTATTATTGTGGAATGCCTATGACCAGCACTTTAGAAGCAATAGTAACTGCTCTCTCGCCGGCTTTGTGAAATGTGGTTCTGGTCAACACATAGTTTACCCATGAACGGTTTGTTACATAAAAACGCTAATTGGTGTACACCAGGGGCTGATTTCATGAAACTCGTCTTATCTTGCGACTCATCTTAGGACCTAAGAAGAGGACCTACATTGTAAGATCAATCTTAGCTAAGACGCCTCTTAAGACCGATTTAACTAAACCCATCTTAAGCAAGACGCATTAAAACTACCAATTTGATGGCTGTTTCATGTTTGTTTTTACCACTTGACGAAACAGTTGTTGAAAAGAAACGTGCAAAACAAACGTCCCGTGCGTGTGCATAGAATATGAAGTTTTGCCAGAAAAATTACTCTAGTCAATACATTTTACACGCAAGGTACTTCTTCACATGATACGATAGAGTCATTCTTGCTCCCCGTTTCATCTATCTATTTTAAAAAGTCGTCTAGGTGTTGGCGTATAAAGAAATTTTGTAAATAAGCTATATACATTCAAACTACCCACTTATCAGAAATCTTTTCAAATTTGATTTTACAGTAGTTTTCTTCCTCGAAACTATAACTTAAGACAACACTCATCTTTAACGGCAATGATTTCCAGACGATATACAAATTAACGCATGCATTAATGACATAAGATGACCGTCAGACCGATCTTTAAGTTAAGACGAGTTCAGCCGCGTTGCTAAGGAAGTTAGGACGTGTTGAACGCGTCTTAACGTTTTGTGAAATCGGCCCCACGTGGGTCAATCTCTGTTCATAAAAACAATGAAACAATGAAGAAACATTTCTTACTGTCTGGCTGCATTCACTGCATTTGAATCCGTCCTCTGTGGTCATGTTTTGAATCGTGCTGGTGCAGTTCTGCAAGAAACAACAAGCGAAAGTAATCAGCCAAATCGGTCTTCCTGCTGCTTTATGTGCACGTCAGATTTAAGGATTTCCACAAAAGGTAATCTGCAATCTGGAAAAATTCATGCATCCAACAGAAAAACATAAATGTGACCCGCCCCACAAGGAAGGGTATTAAGTCGCGCTGTGCATTATCGTGTATTATACAACACCTGAATAAATCCCCGTCATCTGATTGGTGGATCATTGATCACATGTTATTGAATTATTCATCCCAACACACGGCGCGCAGCGTACAGTGCAATGGAGGTTCCATTGCACGGTGAATAGAACTTCCATTGCACGGTGTCATCGCTGCTGGCAGTGGCGCTGTTTTAAAATCGAGATTACTTGAATATGATGGTTCTCAACCTGTTGAACAGTTTGCATAAATTAAATATGATGAACTTCCTTGTCAAACTTTCAAACAGTTTTTAACCTGAATAAATTGGCTATTAAAAGTCAACCAATCAGATGACAAAGATTTATTCAGGTGTTATATAAAACAAATAATGAATGTTTCACGTTCGTGCAATGGAAAGAATAATTTCATTCGGTGACAGATGAAATGTTCCATTCCACTCGGCTTCGCCTCGTGGAATGGAACATTTCATCTGTCACCGAATGAAATTATTCTTACCATTGCACTCACAAACATTCATTATTTGTATAATGGCCCGCTCCATGTTGAGACGGCGAAAATTTCGGCAAAATGTGATTTTCATTTTTTGTCATGAATGACATCTTTATTAGCTAAAGTTTCAGGGTTCATTCACAGAACTGTTGATTTCGATGAATAAAGTTGGGAAAAAAGTACATTTTCGAGTGCATCTCGCCCAAATCTACAACAGAGCCAGCTCTTTCAAAATCCGTTTCCTCAGTTGTGTAATTCAAACTCGAAGGAAATATTATGCAAATACGTCATATTCGCCTGAACGGGAGGGGCTATGGAGCTCTATTATATACCAAATGAAAGCTTGAGTTGTGTGCTTTCTATCCATGTTTATAACACCTCACCCACAGATTCTGTGTCTTGATTGGCCGAGAGGGAGTCACATGTTACTTTCTAATTTTGCTATCTTTCTGTGCACGGCCAAAAGTACTATACCCGTAGCAACCAAAGTACTATACCATTAGCAACCAAAGTACTATTTCCACGGCGCGGTATTTGTGTGCAAATGGATGCTTGTGAGCGCATTGCGCGTAGCGCGTATTGTTTCAAAGAGAGCGCGCCGCAGTCTTGGGTTCAAACATTTCGTGAAGGGGTAGTTTGGAAGAGAGAAATACATTTTCCACCAATTTTGTATTGAAATTGAAGTTTATTTCAACTGTGTTCAGATTTAAATAATTTAAAATATTAAAATAAAGCAGAATCTGTGGGTGAAGTGTTATAAAACAAATATTGAATGCTTTATCTCGTGGTGAAGTAAAACTAGTCTCCCTCGGTGATCCATGGACCATTCTATTTTCCCTCGATCACCTCAGGAGGCTAGTTTTACTACACCACTCGAAGCATTCAGTATTTGTATTTATAACTCAATTTCACTTTTTGGCGACATTACACCCTTTCTTTTGTGGTGCGGGTCACAAATATAGCTTGCATTTTAGGTTGGAGCCTAAAAAATACTGTAACCGTAAAAATAATATAATACATTAAAAACATTTTTGGGAATTGTGCACTCACTTTATAAAAAGAACTTATCCAATGTCTACAAAAACATGTGTCCGGAATGCTGCATTTTTTGGAGCAAAATTTCTTGCAGTTAAAGGTAGAGTAGATCATTTGTCATTGCTGCATTTTTTTCGTTTGAAGCAACAAAAGTGCTCAAAATCTAAAGACGGGTTCTTAACAACTAACCTGATGAACTTTCAGCTCAGCGAATGCTGTATATTCCAACAAAAAACAATATTCTAGGATCTCGATTTCAATTCAAAAGTTTCCAAGTCAGCATCCAGCATCCAGCATCCAGGACACGTTCCCATTCAGCTGATTGCAGCTACGCGATGTCACGCACTGAACCAATGAATAATAGCAACTACGCGCGTGTGTGCGTTGTGTCAACGCCTGCGCACACCCATTCACGAATTCGCCAAATGACAAACCAACTACTGACGGAAATGTCCCAAAATCCATCACTTGACGTCTTTGGAAATGACCTTTTATTGTTTTCTTCAAAATGACAGCATGCCAGAAGGAATGATATCACAGGGAGTTTAGTGGCATTACTATATTAACCCTCCCGCTATTTGAGCAGTCACTGACAGTCAAAATTCACTTCCAATTCCCCTGCTAAAAAGGCTGGCCACCAGCAGTCAGGTCATATGTCAAGCAAGCACTGTGACTAGTCAAACTGGGTCAACAGACAAAGCAGGCAAGTTGTGGTCACAGCTGTTTTATCACGTACTCTCCTGGAGTCAAAGCATAGCTGGGTCAAGTTACTTAAGCAGTCCAAGGCGGTCAATCCTGCTTTATGTGGGCTGGGAATTCTTACGGGTTGAAAACAGTCAATGGATTGATTTTTACCGCAAGGACAACTTAGCACAGAATGTATGTTTGCATAGAAGGGTAAAAGTAAAGATTTCAACAATCATTTTGTCAGTTACTTTTTGGATAGCTGCAAATGATCTACTCTACCTTTAAAGCAACGTTTAAGAATCAGACCCCATCCTAACTGATTTCCAGATCCGCCCCTGCTAACTGGGTTGGGGGGGGGGGGGGGCCTGGGGGGGGGGGGGGGCATTGGGGCCTTACCCGACAGCTGAAGACGCCGTAGACGGTGTTGTAGATGGTCGGGGAGAACATCCCGGCAATGGAGATGAAGAGCAGCGTGGAGCTGACTGAGGCTGTCTTCATGTTGAAGTGTTGGACGCTGTGCTTGATCCCGCCCACAACCATGCTAATACCCTGGTGTGGGAGAAGGAAACAAAGACATCCGCAGTAGTTATGGAGCATCAAGCCCAATGACAACTAAGGCCAAGTCCAAATGACTTTGCTACAGCAGGCAGTCTATGGGAAGCGGCTGTAGCCGCTTCCATAGCCACGTGTGTAAAGCAAAGCCGTAGCCAAGTAATTGGGACGCAGCCTAACAATGGCTTAGTCTGAGTATCACCACGGAGCCCGGTCTCCTGTATAACGTCTAATATACACTCAACCAAAAGAGAAAGTCCCCCCTTAACACTGTTTTGTCTAACTCAAAAACTACTGGGCACATCTTGCTCAAATTACGACTGATCAGTACAGAAATTCCTTAGCAATCCAGCCATACTCTTTGTTTGGCCCAAAACAGTGATAATGTGCACAAAATTATGCAATTTATGACAAATTGTACCGGGAAAAAGTTTCACTTTTGTATACGTGCAAGGTGAGAGTGAACCACAACTTGCACGTATACAAAAGTACAACTGTTTTCGGTATCGTTTGTCATAAATTGCATAAATGTGTACACATTATCACTGTTTTGGGCCAAATAAAGAGTATGGCTGGATTGCTAAGGAATTTCTGTACTGATTAGTCGTTATTTGAGCGAGAGGAGCTCAGTAGTTTTTGAGTTAGACAAAAAAGTATTGGAAGGGGGGACACTCGTTTTTGGTTGAGTGTATCTAAGCATGCAGATTTATGCAATCCCGCGACTCAGCCAATCGGAGTCGACTTTACTAAATCGTGACGACATTTCATTCCTAAATCAGGACTAAATGTTTGATTGGTCAATCTGAATGCAGTGTTTTGTAATACAACAAAGGCCGGGCATAGATCTATAAAACCTAGACAAGCTTGGCGCGTATCACATAACATAATACATAGCGCGTGACCACAGCCTTTGTTTGCTGTGTCTAGTGTTTTATTTGTTTATGTCTATGACGCGACAACTTGTTAATGACCGAAGACCCGATACAGATAGCGCCCGCTGATTGGTCAAAATCTAGAGGTCAAGAGGTGGATGTCTTGCATATAATTAATCAGCGAATCTGCTCACATAGCATAGACCATGGCTCTTCGCCGTGGTCTATTACATAGACTAATAATGGCTTGGCTTTTTACAAAATGCTCGCTTTTGCAGAAATCCCCCACTGGATTTAGAAGGGCCTTGGAGGGTGCCAGTTCAAACTGGCTCTCACCGGAATAAACAGCATTGTAACCAGCAGTGTGCCGACGAGCGCCGACTTGACCAGGGTATTGTAACACGTAGATGACGTCTTGGCGTCCTTCATTTTGAGCAGCATGGAGACGTACAGGATCAGCTCAACGATGGAACCAAATGTTGCATTGAGAACGGCTCCAACGGCGTTGGTGCTCTGCGCTGATATACTACAGATAAAAAAAATAACAGCGTTGCTGTTGAAACCTCTCAGCCGAAGTTTGTCGAAAAGGGCAAACTGACATTCCAAACTCAAATATTATGTCTAACTGAAATCATCATGCAGAAACCATTAACTCACCACAGTGACCTTGACCTTTGACCTTTTGACCCCAAAACCAGTCCCAACTTGCCTGTACCCGAGGGCAACCCCCTAACTAAGTTAGATACCAAAATCTCATTTCCAACTCAAGTTATCATCCAGAAACCATTTACCTTTAACTCACCATGGTGACCTTGACCTTTGACCTTTTGACCTCAAAACCAATCCCAACTTGCCTACTCCCAAGGGCAACCCCCTACCAAAGTTACAACCCCAAACAACATTTCTAACTCAAGTTATCATCCGGAAACTAAGCTGCCCGGACGGACGCTCCAGCCAGACGGAATTGTGGGGTGATAGCATTGTGTTCCCATTATCCCTTTTTCTAAAGATTCCCTTCTGGGGTGATGTTTTTCCATTGTGTAAAAAGTGGGGTGATGTGTTCTGAAAGGAACATCACCCCACAAGGGTGGTCTGGTCAGAACGGACAGACATACGGATGGACGGACGCCGTAGGCGATGACAATACCCCTCGAGCCTCTCGGCTGAGGGGTAAAAAATGGCATTGGTTAAACCTTCAACGCCCTAGGCCCTTTTTGCTATGAACCATCCTCAATCTTCCAAAATCCTCCAAAATTTTGCACTTATGTTTAAGTAAAGGATTCCCAGCACCTCAATCCTTCAAAATCATCCGACAGTCCTGCCTCTCAAAATGCATTCATCCTCAATCCTCCAAAAAAAAAATAAGTTAAAAAGGAGGTTTTTGGGTTGGAATAAAACATACAAGTTGGAAATTTATTAATACGGAAAAAAAAATTGTTGAGTTTCGTTGTGATAGTGATATCAACAGATATTTTCCAAATGACACTTATTCAAATCTTGCAGGGTAAACTGTTGTCTACGAATTGACGAGATGAATTGATGATTTAGGGACCATGAAACATTGAGGGCGCTCTTTTAATACTTTAAAACAACGTTTCACTGGTTGTGTTGTATTCAATGCTGCAATTTCATATTAGAACTGACGTTTACCAGGGAAGTGTCACCATTTTAGCAGAGAGAGAATGATTTCAGTGCAAACAAAAAAACCAGGCTGATGATGAGTACCAGTCAAAATCTATGTGCATTACATGACATTTTCGCTGGTAACCAGTAGCAGATAACCTGCTTTTGTTGCACAAGCTGGTCCAACTTTTGGCATTTGGGGGCTATGGATTAGGCTCTTCACCACTAACACACTGTGGTGGGCTATCCATATCCATAGACGGTGAAACAATGCAATGCGAAGTGGTGTGCCAATAATATTAAAAAAATGGAAACTGGTGCCTTACCTTGTTATCCCCATTCCAATGTAGTAGGCAAGCGGGATGATGGCTACCAGACCCATCACAAATTTCTGATGATATGAAAAAAACAAAAAAAGTGACAAGATTTGAGCTGTGCAGCCGATACCAGCAAGATCGGTGGTTGAGTTGTGGGGACGTCCGCACTTGTAAACCAGGGGTTGTTGGTTCGAATCCAATTGTGGTTGTTATTAAACTTTTTCTCACAAACTCTTGGAAAACAACGGGGAAAAGAGGCCCAGTGGTTAGCATTTTTCTCTCGTGGCCAGAGAGTCAGGTAAAAAAATAAAAGAGTAAATTCTTTGACGAGCCAAAATGGCTTATCAGGCCAGCATTTATCTTCGGTTTCAGTAGCATGAAATGACTGAGAATATTTCTATTCTCCCTGGATGGGATGATAGTCCATCGCAGGTTACTCCCAGCTAAAACCTGCCGCACACGAGAGCTACGTGCTGAACAAAAAGTCATTCCAGGCCATTTGCTCAGCACGTAGCTCACAAAATATCCCCGTGTGCGGTGAATTTTTGCTGACTTTTCTGCCTCGCGAGGCCGCGAGGCAAATATCTATCCTGTTTGATTTATATCGCCTCGCGGGACGAACATTTACCGCGTGTGGTCAACCTGAGCTATGTGCTGAGCTAAAAAGATTAACAAGCCCATACATCACGTACTCTGTACACGTGATTTAAGATATTTTTGTGCAAATCTTCTAAAGCCTGTTGCCTTGAGTCCCGATTTCTTAAATCATGCGACCGACAAACGAATAATGTGCTTTAATTGGTTAGTTAATCTTTTTAGCTCAGCTACTGACACTGAAAGTAAAATGTTTCTATGTCTGGCACCATCAAAAGAGTAATTTTTTGGCCCAAAAATCCCACTTGATCAAAATTTCTCAAAAGTTCACACAAGGTACCTAGACGCCAGAAATCAATCCTCTTAAGATTTCAGCTTACTACTGACAGTATCCAGTGAGAAAACCAAGATTTATGTTTTTTACCAAGAGCCCCCAAAACAAAAAAGTTGTCCGCCTTTTTCGCACACGGAGCATGGATGTGTCATTATCATAACACCACTAAAGGCAAAAAAACAAAGCCAATGTTGCAATTCTTTACTTACAACAATCGGGTGAGCCACAACATTGTCTGTATCTGCGTAGCCTAGAACAATGGTGAACACAACGAAGATGAGCATATCTGTGCAAGACAACTGGTAAGGATCAATTTATATATTAAAGATTTGAAAACTACATTTTCAGGTATATTCCTGAGCTTGTTAAAAGTCTGTCAAAGACATAACATAATGCAATAATTTAACCAATGAGAATTCGGGCGATTCACAATGCATTGCGCCACCAAGAGTTTGCCACGGAGAGTTCATTTTTCCTAGTGTATTGTGGGAGATGGTCGACAAATTCGCAGTGCGGGACATTTGAAATTGTTAGTTTTTTTCCAGTCACTAGTTTCGTAAGCATATGATTCCAGTATATGTTTGCCCTTTTCTTTTCTTTTTATCAATATGGTGTTTTTGTAAGGCGGCAGAATGCTATGCCCCAAGTTATAACAAATTATCTCAAGTTGTCTACTGACACTCGTTCAAATGGGCCATGCTTTGTCGACCGTAAACTTGAAATATGGACTCTCCACGGCAAACTCTTGGTGGCGCACTGCATTGTGAATCGCCCGAATTGGTTGTAACTGAGCAAATTTTTTCCCCCGATTGTCTGAAAATGTTGTTTCCCCAGTATGGCCAAAGGATACTGACAAGAATGACGTTCATTCCATCCACCGTGTACTTGTAGTAGTAGACATTGACGGCTTGGTAGGAGCACATGATGACCTCAAGGGAATATGTGCGGTCATCACTCTGCAAAAACAACAGAAAAAAAGGGGGAAGGGCAAATAAACTCCAAGCAAATTCTTGTTCCTATTTCACATGAATACAAATTACGAAATCAAACAAATTACAAAGCAACTTGATGTCATGAGACCTTTCTGGCAAACTTTGACCGAGTTGAGATGTGCGCAGCTTTTTGTGAATTGGCTGCATGAATTTTTTTTTTTTGCATTTGAGTTCTTGACGTCACATATTTTGCATGGATTAAAAACTGGCCTGAAGGCCACCATTCAGCAGCATGTCATTCAAGAGTTACGATCGATCACTAGTCAGTCAAGTCACAAGTCAATCACAAGTCATCACAAATCAAAACACAAGTCGAATCACAATTCATCACACCTTCATGACAAGCCAATTGTGAGTCATATCATTAGTCAGTCACAAATCCTATCACACGTCAATCACAAGGAAATCATAAGTCGATCCCAAGTCAGTAACGAGCCAATCACACATCAATAACAAATCAAATCAAAAGTCAATCACATGTCCAATCACAAGTCAATCGAAAAGTAACCGCAAGTCAATCGCGAGTCAATTTACAAGGCGTTCCCAAACCATAATAAGTCAGTCACAAGCAAATCATAAGTCAATCACAAGCCCATCACAAGTCAATCACAAGCCAATCACAAGTCAATCACAAGCCAATCACAAGTCAATCACAAGTCAATCACAAGTCAATCACAAGTCAATCACAAGTCAATCACAAGTCAATCACAAGCCAATCACAAGTCAATCACAAGCCAATCACAAGCCAAACACAAGTCAATCACAAGTCAATCACAAGTCAATCACAAGTCAATCACAAATCAAATCACAAATCACATCACAAGTCAATTGCAAATCAATCACAAGTCCATCACAAGTCAAACACAAGTCAATCAAAAATTAATCACAATTCAATCACAAGTCAATCACAAGCCAACAAGTCAATCACAAATCAAATCACAAGAATATCACAAGTTGATCACAAGGCAATCACGAGGCAATCCCCAACCAATCTTAAAATCAATCACAAGTTAGATCACAAGTCAAATTACAAGACAAATCCCAAGAAAACTGACTTACCTTGAAGTCACTGGTCTTGTTTATTCTGAGCTTTTCTGGGGGCAGGAGAAGCACTTTTCTGACAGCAATGATGTTCAGCTGCAAGCAAGCAAAATGTTGTTAAAAATAATTTCCCTCAGACAATAGTCACTAATTCAATTCAAGTTCAAACATTCACCGTTTAAAGGGAAAATACAACATTTGCAAACATCAAAAAATAAAACTACCAAATCATTTGGAAATACCTTGCTGGACTGTAAGTGAATGACAATGTAAAGCATCCTGTAAAATCATGGCACCTGGTATACTGTCATTTTCAAGAAAAGTGGTATTTTTGTATCAATTTCCAACGCTGATCGGCCGACCAGCGTTGGAAAAACTGGCTTTTTTTCAAATACTGGCCCCAGTTGACCATCGCACTTGTTTGCAATCGATTACACACACCTATGAACGGGTACAAGCCAGCTAGACTGGTTCCCTGACCTTACAATTCCCCAATGTATGTAAACTGCTCTGTTTCTTCTTAAATGGAGTCAGGGAACCAGACTACAGGAAAACGATTGTTTTTCTTGGTTTTTATAGCATTTTCGAACCCAAAACCTAAAAAAAGTCAGTGTAACTATATTTACTATATATTTCCAACCCCCCAATTCCATCCATTTCTGAAAATTACTGCAAAAGCAAATGATGTATATTCCCTTTAAGAATAAATTGGGAAAAATAAAGTCTGTTATGGAATCAATTAGAACAGTACATTCACATTATCAGATAAGATATCTAAATAACTCCCTCACTTCTACCGGTATCTTGTAGAAATTTTTTTGTATGTACTATACAATACAACAAGCTAGAGCTGTCTATTTTTAAAGCTACAATCCATCATTTGCAGCTATCCAAAAAGTAACCGACGTAATTAGTGTTGAAAAACAAACTTAGTTAGTAAGGGGACTAAACTCCCTGTGAAATCATTCTTTCTAGCAAGCTGTTGAAGAAATCAACGAAAGAAGGCTTTTCCAGTCTTGAGACGCACCACTGGAAATTTCCGTTAGTAGTTGTTTTTGTTTATTTGGCGAAGCGCGCGCAACTGTTGACACGACGCACACGCGTGCGGTTGCCATAATTCATCGGATCAGTGCGCGACATCGCGTTGCTGCGATCGGCTCAGTGAGAACGTGTCTCAGACGCTGAATTCAGGCCCAATTGAAAACATGATTCAGCAACTTTTGATTTGGAATCGAGATCCTAGAATGCTGTTTTTCTCGAAATATACAGCTGAAGCTGAGCTGAAACTTCATCAGGTTTGTTCAGCACCCTTCTTTAGACTTTTGAGCACTTTTGTTGCTTCAAACGAACAAAATGCACAAATTACAAATGATGGACTTTGCCTTTAATGGTGAACGCGCGACCGGCCACTTCTCTATTTAACTGGCCTACTGACCAATAGAAAATGTGCCCACAGATATGCTATTCTTTGTGCACATGGTTGGCCTCTTTCATCCTCCAAAACATCATTGTGGATTACGAAGAATCAAAGTTAGAGCAAATAATTATTTATATAATCACCAAACTTCGACATTTTGGCCACATTTTGAGAGAGTCAGTTTTTTTTACCTTTGAGATTGGGATGAAGACAACCAAGAGGCCAGTCACAACGATGATGATGGTGTGCACTAGAAGCAGGATGGGGCATCCGAGGACCAACCAGACGTAGGTCGATGGTCTCCTCTGCAATATAAACCAAAACAAAATAAGTAAACAAACAACATATGGTGCAATTCGGGCGATTCACAATGCAGTGCACCACCAAGAGTTTGCCACGGAGAGTCCATTTTTCAAGTTTATGGTCGACAAAACATGGCCCATTTGAATGAGTGTCGGTAGACAACTTGAGCTAATATGGCGTAGATTGGGGCATAACGTTCTGCCGCCTTACCAAAAACACCATATTGATAACAAGAAAAGAAATGGGCAAACAAAGAGCCTCGAATCATACGCTTACGAAACTACTGACCGGAAAAACTAACGATTTCAAATGTCCCGCGCTGCGAATTTGTCGACCATCTCCCACAATGCACTGGGAAAAATGAACTCTCCATGGCAAACTCTTGGTGGCGCACTGCATTGTGAATCGCCCGAATTGCAGAGTACCCTGCTATGCCAATTACACCCCTTCAAACATATATATGGCTTTGCACTTTCAGAATGCAGTACTGAAGGAATGCTTCCGTGTCTAAAGGGACCGAAATTTGTGAGGCGTTCTGGCAGAATGAGACGGAACTGGGCAGAGGCCGTAGTGGAGAAAAATGCAACATACCAAATGGGGGTGATTTTATTACATGTCTAATACGCATATTTGTAAACAAACAGTATAAAAATCATGGAATAAAAGGGTTTTTAAGGAAAAACAATTGGCATCTTTCATATTCACGACTACACAACAGTCGAAACGGTATAAAGGCCTTCTTTTCTCAGCGTTTTACTTTTTTGACATGATGATAAATGCGACGTACCATACTCTCAATGGGGGCGCTGTTCAAATCTGACCATCATTAATACTATATTACAGATTAGTGTACAAATACAATACAACATTTTGGATGCAGTTGAGTCCGAAAGTGGTGCTTTTTAGCCAAAATGGCTACTTTTCCAGTTAAGGAAACAAACATCATTCGTTCTTTGGATGAAAATTTCTCGAAAAGTCAATGGTCAACCCACCAAAAATGGAAAAGAAAATGAAAGATGACATGTTGATCATCAGTTTTCTGTGCAGCCTGAACACCTGTGAGAGTTCTGAGTATTTGTAAAAGAATTTTGAAGTATGGGGATTTATCACTGGTGTCTATGGGAATTTGTGTACTGGGGTGCACCCCTCAAGCAACTTGCTCTTACTTCTGCATGGCGAGGTGACTAGGTGCAGATGAGGCTTCGTCCAAATTATCTGGCTATGGCTAGTAACACAGGTGACTATGGGAAGTGGCTTCAGCCGCTTCAATAGCCACATGTGTAATTACTAGCCATAGCCATAGTCATTTGGACGTGGCCATACATGGACCATGATGGTGAGTTACCAAGACCGGTGTGTATACCAATGATCTCTATATACTGACCGGCTAGTGTACAGAGAGTGTGTCAAACGTCACGGTTCACTTTTCAAATGTCGCAGTTAATTTTTTGCGACGTTTGAAAATGTAATCACAGCGGAAACTTGTCCTTTTTAGAACATCATAAAATGTAAGCGTGAACACAAAAATGTGTCAAATCTTGATATGTATGCGCACGTTTGTATATTGGTGGCAATATTTGGAAGACCAGGGTGAACTGGTCAAAAGCGACATAACTTAATGTACAGGGTGAGTACAAAAAAAAACGAAACCCAAATGGCAGGACCAATTTTTGAATGAAGTTTTGCCTGTAGCACTTTGAAAATCTAGGATATGAAAGCCCAATCAGTGAGCTTTCTTTTAGAACAAGAATCATTCAAATCACTCATGCACTTTTCAGGTTTTTAAACACAAAATTTTGAACACAAACACCGTTTTAAAGTTGAGTCCACGGATCACAAAAAAAGTGAGTGTTCTTTCAGCAGAACGAAAACAATTCACATACATCTCTATGTGAATTGTTCTTCGTTTCGCTGAAAGGACACTTACTTTTTTTGTGATCCGTGGACAGAACTTTAAAATGGTGTTTGTGTTCAAAATTCCGTAAGTTGAAAATTATGTGAGTGATTTGAATGATTCTTGTACTAAAAGAAAGCTTAGCGACCGGGCTTTCATATCCTAGATTTTGAAAGTGCAAAAATTGGTCCTGCCATTTGGGTTTTGTTTGTTTTTACCAAGGAAGACTTTTCATGCTAAGCAAACAACAGCTAAATACCAATCACAAGCAATATACATCACATGGACATTTGGTTGGTAATCCTGTTTTTACCAAGGAAAACTTTTCATGCTAAGCAAACGTCTGTGCTTAGCAGCTCCATGACATTGGCCCTGGTGCACGGCATAGCAGGTTTCCTAAGCAATGTTTTTTTTTTTTTTTCTGCTTACCCAATATCCCGAGTCACTCCGGACGCCCCTAAAGTTGACGATGGACAGAGTGACTGTACCCTCGGAGCTGTCTGTGTCCTACATGAACAGCACATGGGGGAAGATGGGATGACATGGAGAAAATATATGGTGAGGGTGACAAAGATGAGGCTGTGAGGTATGAAAGACACATTTAGAGGGTCCCTGCTAAAAAAAAAAATGCCGAAGGCTTAATACGAGTGAGCTTAGTTTGTTTTGAGAAGGATTTTGTCGACACGCCAAGCAGTTGGTGATAAACAAGTGCGAATGCACAAAAGCTCTGGCCGCCTTGCATGTACAAGCCCGGGCCGTGGTCCCACACAAAAAATCACGCGCTGAAAATTGACAAAAATAAGCCCTCTAAGTTTCCTACAAAAATAATGCGCTATATACCACGTGACTATTACTGTAAATTATCTTGCTTCCATTTACACAATTTTCATAAACAACTTTACGAACTGTTACAAACAAGTTTTGCTAAAGTATTTCATTTCTTTTGTTTGCTTTTTTTCATTAAATTTAAATTTGGTAGAATATTTTATGAGAAACTTAGAGGGCTCGTTTTTGGGAAAGACATATGCAAAATAGACGCGCATGCGCATCGATGGAGACAAATCCCTTAACTTTCGTCAAGAGTGCATTTACTGACAACGACATAACAGTTTAAATATTTGTAGTCAATTTTTGGGGAAAGACAGACAGACAGACCAACTGACAGACCGACCAACCACCAAGTGACATGTAGAAGCTCCTGCCAGAGCTTGAAAAACATGTGTGACTTCATAATTTTCGCTCACAGAACTTCAAACGGCCTCTGTGCCCTCCCCGAAAACCCTTTTATCATCACAAATCAACCTCGAATAATGCAAATAAAACATGAAAATATTTGAAAACAAGCATGTTCCGAATGACGCAGACATTTGAGGTGAAATTCACTTGCACCACAACAGTATGACAAAGCATGCAGATGTGTGAACACAATGGTGGATTGGTGCTGCAAGGCAGGGGAGCCTTCACCGATTTAATTCTCCAGTTCTGACTTGGATTCTGCTCAAAGACCAAACTGGTTTTGACCAAAGCAGAGCCGATCTGGATCAAATCATTCTGACATTAACTGGTTTTGCTCTTAACCTATGCTGATTCTGACCAGTATCACAACAGTTCTGGTCTGGCTCAAACCAGTTCTGACCTGGCTCAAACCAGTTCTGACCTGGCTCGAACCAATTCGGACCTGGCTCAAACCAGTTCTAGCCTGGCTCAAGCCAGTTCTGACCTGGCTCAAACCAGTTCAGACCGGATCAAACCATTTCTGACCTGGCTCAAACCGGTTCTGACCTAACTCAAACCAGTTGTGACTTGGCTCAAAGCAGTGTGACCTGGCTCAAACAAGTTCCGACTTTGCTTAAACCAGTTCTGACCTGGCTAAAGTCAATTCTGACCTGGTTAAACCATGACCTGGATAAAACCAGTTCAGACTGGATCAAACCATTTCTGACTTGGATCAAGCCAGTTCTGACCCTGGTCAAACCAGTTCTGGCCTGGCTCAAACCACTTCTGTTCTGGCTCAAACCCATTCTGGCCTGGCTCAACCTGTTCTGGCCTGGCTCAACCTGTTCTGGCCTGGCTCAAACCTGTTCTGGCCTGGCTCAAACCATTTCTGACCTGGCTCAAACCGGTTCTGGCTTGGCTCAAACCAGTTCTGACCCAGATCAACCCAGTTCCGGATTAAACTGAGTTTAAAACTGAATTGACCTGCCTGGCTGAAGCCAATTCTGGCTGAAGCCTAAATGAAACCAGCTCTGACCAGTATCAAATTACCTGTGACCTGGATCCAACCAGTTCTGATCTGGCTTGAACCAGTTCCGGCCCGGCGCAAACCACTACTCACCCAGATCAACCCAGTTCCAACCAGTTCCCACACAGACCAAACTGGTTCTACCCGACTGGACTCACCAAGTAATCGTTGCTGTGTTTCTTGACGTAAGCCGGCAGGGAGTTTGATAGCGACAGTGAGGCGGTTGAGTCTTGACTGGCGCTGATCCCGTTGCCGAGAAGCGGTTTCTCCTTGCCGAGAAGTGGTTTCTCCTCGCCGACTTGCTCCTGGCTTTCCTCCAGCTCATAGCAGGTCTTCTCCTTGACAAACTTGCCAAAGGGCCACAGGAAGTACTGGGCAAGAGCCAGGCAGAATGTGGCTGAACAATCAAGAATAGAAGTTATTACTAATGAAATTTCTGCATCCGGGAGATGTAAGTTTCAACACTGGGTTTTTCCTTCCACTGACCACATTCAACATGTACATGTCTCAGATCTATATATTCAGTCTCGGAGAGGTTGTGAGAGACAAAAAAAATTCACAAGCTTGCTCACAAACCTCACTAGTGCAGATGTCTAAACCACTCGACCAATTTAACAAGCTTGACACACATAGGCTTTGCGAGGCGGGGGGCGGGAGCATACTGGGGCGCTTCCCCCCCCCCCCCCCCCCCCCCCCCCCCCCCCCCCGGAAAAGCACCCAACAAAAAAAAGGAGACAAGAAAAAGAAAAGGAAGACGAGGTGCGAAGTCACACTGCTGTTAATTTAATGCACATTGAACAACAAATGGGGGTGGGGTGGGGTTTAGTCTAAAGTATAAAAGTAGACAATCAGGCAAACAATGGACTGATCCAGTAAGCACCGCCCCATGGTGTTCTGACCAATCACAGCCGTGATTTATGTCTGCCGTGCGTGCACAAAAGTCCGACATGCGTGCACGCGCATATGATGCGCGCGGCAGGAAAATGCAGTGTGGCATTGGACAGAGAGCACGTGTTAATTTTCCCAGTGCGCAGTGGGAGGGGCTTACTGGATCGGTCCATTACGGGCAAAGCAGTGCAAGGCTACGCTGCTGCCCCAGTTAAGGCCTCTGATTGTAGTGTAATGCTTGGTACAATGTAACTGTCAACTTACCATGATGTCTTCCGATGACGGTGATGAGCATCAGCAGAGCAACTAGCAGGTAGACGAGGGCCAGCCACCAGCCAATCAAGATGGCGTACAGGACGTTGCCAATGGATAACGTAGAGTCTGCATGAGAAATGGCGACAAATTCAGACACATATCAAAAGTCCCTGACCTAAACAGAAAAAAATCTAGTAAATAACCTTTAACCCTAACTCCCTAGGCCTTTTTGCTAGGATGTAGCCTCAATCCTGCAAAATCCTCCAATTGGCCTCATGGAAAAATAGCATATAGCCTCAATCCTGCAAATTTCTCCGTTATTTCTTGAATATGGTTCATGGAGGGATGACCACTGCCTGAATCCTGCAAAATCCTCCGGCTATGTCTGTCAATAGGCTGAGGCAGAGGCAGTGACATCCCGGAGCAGTGCGGAGGATGTCAAGTATAATCAAGGACTAAATTTATGCACGGCTGAGCATAAACAACACAAGGTCCGGCCCAAGACCTTGACACAGTGCGTACTCCAAAATCAGCAATGCACTTTTGCCATGTAAACTCAATCCTGCAAATTCCTCCAATTTGCAAAAAGGATTTTGGAGGATTCAGGGCGGTTAGGGTTAAATTACCTTTACATGTACCGGTACATAGGAAGTTCAAATCATGAAGAAACAGTAGTTTGTGAAAACAAGACCTGAGGAAAGTTTGTTGAAAGCAGAGCATATTTGAGGAATTGTAAGGTCGAGAATAAGTCTAGCGCAGGCTTGCACCCCTTCACAGGTGTGAAATCAATTGCAAACAAAAGTCAGAATAACTTAATATGAAAAAGTAGGAACAGTTTTTGAAAAAAGCCAGTTTTCTCCAATGCTGGTCGGCTGACCAGCGTTGGAAAAATACAGTTTTTCGTGAAAATGTCAGCACACCAGGAGCCACGATTTTAAAGGATGCTTTAGACTGTCATTCCCTAACAGTTCAGTAAGGTATTACGTGATAGTTTGATCATTTCGTTCTTTGATGTTTGCAAATGTTGTATCTTCCCTTTAAATGCAAAACCATGAAACGTGATGTCAAAGAATTTAAAGAAAAACAGACAAATAAATAGACTTGTACAAATGAACCATTTATTGAGCAAAAACGCAACTTAGCACAAAACAAGTATCTTTCAGCTGCGACCAAATGCGTCATAAAATGTGGGACAATTATTGACTTGAAGCAAATTTCACAGAATCAACTTTATAAATACTGAACCTTGGCCTAAATATCTTTCCCTCAAAATGTAATCTGCGATACCAAGTCCAGAGGTTATTGACATTTCGATAACCGGCATTTTATGAATGTGTGACGATCTGAAAGTTCGACCAGCCTGAATATTGGAAAAGGGCCAATGTGACATGGCTGCCAAGCATGTACTCATAATTCACCCATACAGTGTACGGTAGCAATACAAAAAGTTTTCACTCAGAACATTTTATACACCCAGAGTTCCGACACAAAATGCAACATAAGGCCCAAAAAAAAGTCTCCGGTTTCTGGTATGCACGCGCCTCGCCGTAGCCATGCGCGTCGGCAAAATGAAAAAGGTTTTTTTCCAATGAAAGATGATGTCTCAAAACCGCCAAACTCACTGGTTTGACTGGAATCCTGCTGCTGCACAATTTTAACATGTTTTTAGATGGGGTTATGATCGAGAATAAGCTTTATGTGGCCTCTCTGGACTCCCATATATTTGCACTAAGTTTAGTCAGGCACCATTTGCAGTCATCAGCCGACACTTGAAGCAAAAAAAACAGGTAAAAAAAACAAAAAAGCCACGTCGCCGCACAACTTTTTGGGCAAGCTCCATACCAGAAACCGGAGACTTTTTTTTTTTGGCCTAAGGCACAGTAATTTACCAGCTGTCATGAAGAAATTTGTTTTAGTCAGTATTAAAAACGACAACCATTATGCAAATTTTATCTTTCATATTTTTTGACAAAATTGCTATATTCAATACTTCGCATTTTTTTTCAACTAGAGTTCCAAGCCCCGAATTTTAGTGGTACATGCATTTACGGGTGGTACGGGAACCGGGTACCCTATTGAAGTAAAACACGGGTACCCGTACAAGTAAGCCAACCTGAATCACATGATACTACCAGCACCACTCTTGACTATTTTGGAAAGCCCTTAACAAAAAAAAGAGATTGACTATCGACAACAAAATGTAGTTATCAGTTTATATTGATAATGAAAGTAACAGGCACTGTATATATTGCTCCCATTTTCAATTCAATGGGCAAGAAAACGAACTGTAGTCGGAAAAGAAAGACAAATACATGTCATATGATTTTTGCAAAAGCAAACTTGCAGTTCACATGACGTAAATCAATTTACAGTTTATGGAACTTAATAAAAAAAAAAGGAGTTCTGAAATCTACAAAAAGTCACAGTGACAATAAAATGAAATAAACAATATTTCTAGGAATAGTTTCTAAAGTATCTGGTTTGTATACATATTACTGATAAAATATGCAACTGCATTCCGGCAGGAAACTTTTATTCAGAACATTCCCCGAAAAAGTTGGGTCGCCAGAAGTTCATGTTTTGGGGTGGGTTTTTTTTTTGGGGGGGGGTGGAAATTTCAGTTTGATCAAAAGATATATTGTATTGAAATATTGAGGGGGGGGGGGAGTCGGAGGGCCTGATGTTTTGATATAGAAAGAAAAAAAAAAGTAAGGAATCTAACTTGAGAAGATGAACACGTACACACACTCAACCCTTACACAGGCATAGAAGTGGGGAACTTCCTTTGTTCTCGTGTACTAAAATTTTGTAGTGTCGCACACTAATTTCAAAATGCTCTTATTTTAACAAGAATTAATTTCCTGAGCTGAAATTCAGACTTAATATCCCTTTTCTAAAACTCTTCCATTTGCGAGGGATCAACCCAACTTGGAAATTCCTAGCTTTTGAGTAAAATCCATAAATCTATTTCGTGAAAAACTTGTGGGGTACCAAAATGGTACCCCGCAAGTCGATGGGCATTCCTTGTAGGGTACCTCCCATTGTTCCGGTACCCCATAACTTAGGTAGTGCTTATACGTTCACCCAAACAGACATACACACAGAAGGAATACGCTATCGCAATATCCTCCTTCGGCTTACAGCCAGGGGGATAAAAAGGGCTGGATAGCTCAGTCGGTCGAGTTCTGCGCCAAACTGATTGGAGCACCTGCATGTAAAGCAGCAAATACTGCTTACCAAACTCATCTGCATCATGTGAGGAGCAAAAGTCTGCCTAAAACCAGTCACAAGCAATTCACATTGCATGACTTTTACCTGGTAACCTGTTTTTGATCAAAACAAAAAACAAAACAAAGAGACTTACGTATGAATGGTTTGACCTTCTTTGGCTGTTCATACAGTGTCTTGACGATTTCTGATCTCTCATCTAGAGGGCGCTTTGTCACGTGGCTCTTCCATTTCTTGAACCCAAACTGGAAAAAAGAAACGAACAATTTCTTAACTATTTAACTCTATGAACTAGCGGCATAACTGAGGTCCAATCTGCAAAAGGCACAAATTGTGGGGGCTCATTCTCTGGGGAGGTGGTGGGTGGGGGGCGGGGGAGAGAGTGGGAGAGAACAGGTCACTATATGGTTTTTTGACCAAAAAAATGTTGTTTTTGCTTTCCCAAATTCTGAGTCGGTATGTGGGGAGCGGAGGGGTAGGGTACTGCTAAATAATTATTTTTATAATAGGACTTTTTTGATTCATCAACCAGTTATTCTCCTTTTGTATATGTTTCATTTTTCAAATACCTTAGGTTTGGGAACTAAATTTTTCTGGACCAACGTACCATGTAGTTCTGCTCCATCTTATGAGCCTCAATCTCGTTGTCCGCAACGACGTCTAAGAAGACAAAGTCTTCCTCGGCCGGCTCCGACGGCTTGGCTCGTTTCCTGTGCCGAACGCCGCCCGACCCCTCGCTGGTCTCCGAGTAGGCACCTGATGCGGATAACGTTCTCTCTCTGTCTCGGAGCTGATCCACCACCAAGAGGGGGTGCGGGGAGGTTCCTCTACTTGGGCCATCTGGTTGAAATCAGAAAGCAAAAGTGTGTGATGAAAACACTGTAAACTATGGTCTAGTTCAGACCGGGTCCTCGAGTGCTGAAAAAAAATGCAATACAAAATCAGGCCAACTTTAATCACTCTTTTGGCCAACAAAACTCTCCCAATTTTTCATGAGGCATTTAAGACAAGGTCCTCAGTACTTTACCAGCCAAGTTCGAAGTCTCAATTCAATTTTTAAGGGAGACTTTTCTTTATAAACCCTATAACTCCCTAGCATGATTTACTACGTACCATACCCATCCTGGCAAGTCAAAATGTGAAAATCAAAATTTGACAAAGTTCTACATTTACGGGTACATGTTCCAAGTGTGGCCTTTATTTACGGAGGTAGTCCAGTAAATTGGCTGCATTTAGCTCTATTGGGTGGAGCGTTGAACTACAGTGCCCCTAAGAACTAACGCTCTACCGATTTGTCATACTTTGGTGACGGATACACGGTAGCAAATTGTACATACCCACGCGAGGACAGAAGGCCCCACAAAAAAAACCAGTAAAGAGAATACAAAAGAGATAGATGGATAGATCCACACATTTACCTGGATAGATCCACACATTCATGACATTCCATAAGACCCCTTAAATTGTTCCCAAACGGTGACAATTTTGAAAAAAAACAGCAAAATAGTCTGAAAACTCACTACTCAATGTGTTTGTCGTGTTGCTCAGTCCCTTGCACCGAGTTGACGAATGAGGGCGCTTGACGTGACGTGACCGTCGTCGTTCGATCGAAGAAAAAAAGTCGCGCTTTATCAACGACTGTTTCATGTAGTGATTACGTGCTCTAATCCACGGCGTATTCAAAGCCCAATACTGTAGTACGACGCGGATCAGAGCCATGTATTATTACATGAAACAGTCGTTGATAAAGCACAACTTGTTTTTCTTCGATCGAGCGATGATGGTCACGTCACGTCAAGCGCCCTCATCCGTCAACTCGGTGCAAGGGACACGGCAAACACATTGAGCGGTGAGTTTTATTTCAGACTATTTTACTGTTTTTTTTTTTAAATTGTCACTGTTTGGGAACAATATACGGGGTCTTATGGAATGTCATGAATGTGTAGATCTATCCAGGGTAGCTGTCTGTTTCTTTTGTATTCTCTTTATGGTTTTTTGGGGGGTCTTTTGTCCTCGCGTGGGTATGTACAATTTGCTACCGTGTATCCGTCACCAAAGTATGGCAAATCGTAGTCCGAGTAACTTGGACCCAACTTATCGCCTTTTTTAACATTTGGACATGGTCTGGCGATAGTAAGGTCCAAGCTAATACCGAGACCTAGACAACACAGTCCCAAAAACCAACATTGTCCAACAAAAAACATCAGATTTCACCTTCAAAACGGCCTCCAAAGTACTAGATATGTCACCTGAGGTACAAGTAGACATAGATGATTAAGATGGTTGTACTTAAGTTTACTTACGATCCGGAAAAAAGTGAAATTTTCCGATCAATTCTGAAGACCCCCTCTGCCTAGGTTGTCGTTGTTGTGCTCACGTTCAAAACTGCATGATAATGGCGTCTGACCTCGACCTCATGCAAATGTCGTGACGGCGCGCTTGCGCATAATGCACTGCATGCACGGCAGATTCCCCTGCGCCGCGCCGACGACTGTTTCCTGATGTAGAGCGCCAGCCATGCGCCTGGCTAGCCAGCGCGACTCCTAGGCGTACCGCGAACTTACACAGCACTCTACATCAGGAAACAGTCGTCGGCGCGGCGCAGGGGAATCTGCCGTTGCATTATGCGCAAGCGCGCCGTCACGACATTTGCTCCACTCAGTAGAGCTAGGCCGCATTTATGGGGCTAACAATCCATTATTTTAGCCAAAATATAAACAGCTTTTTTGGCGATCGTATAGTGTAGGGCCCGGTTCCTACAACGGAACAAAATCCACTTTAAAATTATATTAGACCATCCAAACTTGCTGGCGACATTCTCAATAAACAGGTATGTCATAGATAGAGGCCAGGGTTTTGATTTTTTTAGGAAAATTTGGGGGTAAAATGACAATGACAGCGCGGCGACAACACACAACCCCAAAATTAAAATGGCGATCACCGCCCGATGTACCGTGAGTACGCACGGCGTGCTGAATCGCAAGGCACAAACCACGCAGGAAAATCATGATTTCTACCGCAAGAAACTGTTCAAAATTGCAAAACGGGTGTCATTAGTACTGAGAAAAGTCTGCTTTTGATTGTAATGTGATTTTTGAGCAATTACAAAAACATTTTTTGACTCTAATTTGATCAAACAAAACAGGGGCCCTACACTACACGATCGCCAAAGTGATGGCCAGATATGGGAATCTTTCCTAATTGTCCATTTTTTAGCCATAATGCTATGGCATGTGCACTTTCTCATGGAAAGTGCATTTATCAAACAGTGCATTTATCCTCATAGGAAGGAAGGAAGGAAACTTTTTGGAATTGCCCTGAACAAAACTGCAGTGCTGAACTTGTGATTTTCATACCTACCTTCATTATTTTGAAATGAAGATTCACCTTCTTCCAGTGACAGTTTACCTGTCTGTGAAACATTCTTCTTCTCCTTGGCTTCAGAATCGGTCATTTTCATACAGAATTAAGGCACATTACTTTAGACAAATCGAAATGAACTTGACCCACACAAATGCGACGACGGGACCACGAACCGTACCATGTACCACTGACGTGAGAAGTGCAGCTTTTCAGTAGTTCAGTCTGCTCGAACAGCAGCTCAGGTCCAAAGTGCACAATTGTGATGGGTACCAGACATTAAGCTTATCACGTGCATTTTGTTTACATTTTGACTTTTGTAAACACCACCTATTTTGTTGGCTTCCTGTTTGTATTTCTACAGATTGATAAACTTTGGGGTCGATTATGTTTTTTCAAGAACACACTTTGACGTTGGTATCAAACTTTAAAGGTCATTAAATCGGAATTTTGCAGTACACTTATGCACATGCGTACAAACTGCCAAGCCTCTTGCTAAAAATAGTCTTGTCACATGACCAGCCACATGATCTCTTGGATTGTACACAACACAAAATACATCAATTTGTCACTAAATGCGTCAGTGACGATCAGCTGAAAATGTCGATTTTTTGCAAGAGATTAACAAACAGTATCGGTAATTTTCTCCACCAACGTTCCCCGTACCCCACTTGTGATGGTCCTGCCAACCTTGTTTGCCGGTTCTTTCGTCTAAGTGAATCTTTTTCCCAAAATACAACCGAGGAAAACCAAAATTCGGGAAGCAAGGGTCCTCCCATATGATGCAGCATTTGAGACCAGGTTCACAGACCGTACGTCATGTAGATACACTACACGCTACACACTTTTCACAGACCGCACGTCGTGTAGATACACTACACGCTACACACTACTGAGCATGCGAAACATCCCAATATAATATTAATTGGAACTAGTTTCCGCCACAGTGCCAGAGCTTTGATGTCTACAGCATCGACACAGTGCTAAGGAGGTCTACATCATCTACACAGTGGTTAAGAGGTCTACAGCATCTACACAGTGGTTAAGAGGTCTACAGCATCTACACAGTGGTTAAGAGATCTACACTATCTACACAGTGGTTAAGAGGTCTACAGCATCTACACAGTGCTAAAGAGGTCTACAGCATCTACACAGTGGTTAAGAGGTCTACAGCATCTACACAGTGGTTAAGAGGTCTACAGCATCTACACAGTGGTTAAGAGGTCTACAGCATCTACACAGTGGTTAAGAGATCTACACTATCTACACAGTGGTTAAGAGGTCTACAGCATCTACACAGTGGTTAAGAGGTCTACAGCATCTACACAGTGGTTAAGAGGTCTACAGCATCTACACAGTGGTTAAGAGGTCTACAGCATCTACACAGTGGTTAAGAGATCTACACCATCTACACAGTAATTAAGAGGTATACAGCATCTACACAGTAGTTAAGAGGTCTACACTATCTACACAGTGATAAAGAGGTCTACACTATCTACATAAATGCTAAAGGGGTCTTCAACATCTCTTTAGCACTGTGCACGTATCGGACCCAAGCCAACTCGGACCCATGCCAATTCGGACCCACTACCAAATCGGACCCACAACCAACTCGGACTCATTATGCACATTTTCAAACATTCCCCATTCAGTTCAAGTTACATGTGTTACAGTGATGCTGTTTAGTATAATTTTTCATTGTAATTGTAATGCGATAACTCTAGTAAAACTTTTACTAAAAGTGTAGTTTATTATTTATTAATTTTTTTAAAAATTAACACATGTTAAGTGATATCGTTCATGCCATTTTTCTCATGTTATTTCATTTTAATCCAAACTTTATACGTAACGAAATTAACGAATCTAGCACAGATCTTCTTAGAAAAATAAAATCGGAAAGCATGAACATTGAAATATAAACACTTTCAAACAAAACATTATTCATTTGTATATAATACTGGATAAAACTAAAGTCAATAAATAAAATATAAGATATAAACCATTCACTGATCTAAACGATAAGCAACTTCGCAACACCCACTTCGCAGCATATTTTGAATATGAAATTAACAGCCTAGATGGGTAAAAAATAATATAAATAACTATAAAACTACCTTACAGTTTGAATAAACAAAACGTGCCATTTCCAAGTGCCAACAAAATATGAAAAAAATAAAAAAAAAGTTTGATTTAAAAGATACGTACATCAACACCATTGCATACACTTTATAAGAAAAACGAAGGTTCCATATGAATCTATATAAAAAATTTAATCAAAAAAGTATAAAAAAGTTAAACAAATAAGTTAAAAGAACAAAAATCAAAGTAAGCATGTGAACTTAAAAAAAAATAATCAATTACTTTTTTGCCTAAATAGTAATTTCAAATGAAAAACATCCTCTGACCTCACTGAAACACGTTCACTGCCTCGTAGTACATAAAAAATACCGTTCGGTTACCATTTGTTTCACATCCTAAAATAACAACAAATGTGTAGGTTACCGTTCGTCGTAGTGATCGTATATCAAAGATATATGTAGGTCTACATTGTGCACATCTGTAATTGGATGCGAGCAGGTTACCGTTCATCACAGATCAAAAATATAAACAATTTGGTAAGGCCTCTTTCAAATGTGCTTATGCTGTGTCGAATAAAATTGATTTAGTGTTACGTTTGCATGGCATAAGCGCGACAGTGTCTTCAAACATCGAACTTAATTACAAACGCCTAGTCAAAATTAAATACCCTAACATGGCGGACCAACAGTCACAACAAAAAATATGATTTTGTGCTCTTAATCGATTACAGTTACATAATGTTTGCTTCAACAGGCCTAAGGTTACCATTTTGTAAGGAACCAGGCTTTAAAGGGATTTAAAGTTGGTGTACATGTATACATGTTTTGTTGGGTGTAGCACCTTGAACAAACATTTTCAAATTAAGTTGATAATTTTTAGTAATGAGCTTTCCAATGAATCATCACACAACAAAAACAGCCCATGACAAGTAATCAACTAATTAATTTCAACTTTGGCGGGACGGTCCTTAAAACATATATACCAACCTGTACAAAATGATATATGGTAGGCCTAATCTTTGGGCCTAACCTGCTTTACATGTACATGTACACATCTCTTGGTTTAGTTTCATATACAGATATTCCCGCCATGGTTAAGTCACGGTTTCGGAAAGCTAAGCACGTTGAGTTTCATGACGTTCCAAACGATAAGCGTTTAGCAACAACTTCCGTACACATCATAAAGTACCGCTCAATGACAGCAAAAGAAAACAATTAAAGCCGAATATAATACAGAATACATCCAACACTGTAAGATGACCTATAATCCCTGAAACTAATGATTGAATCATTGTTGGGTCATGCTTGGGTCCGAGATGGTAGTGGTTCCGAGTTGGTAGTGGTTCCGAGTTGGCCGTGGGTCCGAATTGGTAGTGGTCTGAATTGGTAGTGGGTCCGAGTTTGCGTGGGTCCGAGTTGGCGTGGGTCTGAGTTGGCATGAGTTAAGTTGATTTGGGTCCGAGTTGACCGGCCGGCCGGATACCATATGCTGTAGACCTCTTTAGCATTGTGTAGATAGTGTAGACCTCTTAACCACTGTGTAGATGCTGTAGACTTCTTAACCACTGTGTAGATAGTGTAGACTTCTTAACCACTGTGTAGATGCTGTAGACCTCTTAACCACTGTGTAGATGCTGTAGACTTCTTAACCACTGTGTAGATGCTGTAGACCTCTTAACCACTGTGTAGATAGTGTAGACCTCTTAACCACTGTGTAGATGCTGTAGACTTCTTAACCACTGTGTAGATAGTGTAGACTTCTTAACCACTGTGTAGATGCTGTAGACCTCTTAACCACTGTGTAGATGCTGTAGACTTCTTAACCACTGTGTAGATGCTGTAGACCTCTTTAGCACTGTGTAGATACTGTAGATCTCTTAACCACTGTGTAGATGCTGTAGACCTCTTAACCACTGTGTAGATAGTGTAGACCTCTTAACCACTGTGTAGATGCTGTAGACCTCTTTAGCACTGTGTAGATGCTGTAGATCTCTTAACCACTGTGTAGATGCTGTAGACCTCTTAACCACTGTGTAGATGTTGTAGACCTCTTAACCACTGTGTAGATGCTGTAGATCTCTTAACCACTGTGTAGATGCTGTAGACCTCTTAACCACTGTGTAGATGCTGTAGACTTCTTAACCACTGTGTAGATGCTGTAGACCTCTTTAGCACTGTGTAGATGCTGTAGACCTCTTAACCACTGTGTAGATAGTGTAGACCTCTTTAGCACTGTGTAGATGCTGTAGATCTCTTAACCACTGTGTAGATGCTGTAGACCTCTTAACCACTGTGTAGATGCTGTAGACTTCTTAACCACTGTGTAGATGCTGTAGACCTCTTTAGCACTGTGTAGATGCTGTAGACCTCTTTAGCACTGTGTAGATGCTGTAGACGTCTTTAGCACTGTGTAGATGATGTAGATCTCTTTAGCACTGTGTAGATGCTGTAGACCTCTTAACCACTGTGTAGATAGTGTAGACCTCTTTAGCACTGTGTAGATGCTGTAGACTTCTTAACCACTGTGTAGATGCTGTAGACCTCTTAACCACTGTGTAGATGCTGTAGACTTCTTAACCACTGTGTAGATGCTGTAGACCTCTTAACCACTGTGTAGATGCTGTAGACTTCTTAACCATGTGTAGATGCTGTAGACCTCTTTAGCACTGTGTAGATACTGTAGATCTCTTAACCACTGTGTAGATGCTGTAGACCTCTTAACCACTGTGTAGATAGTGTAGACCTCTTAACCACTGTGTAGATGCTGTAGACCTCTTTAGCACTGTGTAGATGCTGTAGATCTCTTAACCACTGTGTAGATGCTGTAGACCTCTTAACCACTGTGTAGATGTTGTAGACCTCTTAACCACTGTGTAGATGCTGTAGATCTCTTAACCACTGTGTAGATGCTGTAGACCTCTTAACCACTGTGTAGATGCTGTAGACCTCTTAACCACTGTGTAGATAGTGTAGACCTCTTTAGCACTGTGTAGATGCTGTAGATCTCTTAACCACTGTGCAGACAGTGTAGATCTTTTTGTGTGCATGTGACCGTAAGAGAGGGTACACGATTGGATATGCCAACTGTGTGTTCTGGAATTACATGACCGATGCGCATGCTTCCATATTAAAGTTTTGTCACGTCATGATAAGCAGGTTGTCCATGATCAATCTAGCTTCATCCCTGCTGCCTTGTGAGGGTGCTTTATTGGTGTAGGGTGTAGTGTATCTACACGCACATAGTGCAAAATTTTTTGGTCTCAAATCTTGCGGGGTATAGGTCCTCCTCCTCAACAACATGAACAGGTTGAACTTCCCGACTACAACACGAGTGTAAATGTGCATGAGCACAGACTGAAGCGGCCTGAAAAACCTCCTCCGTCAAGAAGGAAATGGGAGGGGCTGGACGAACTGAAAGCACGAACGAAGGCAAGAAAAGACGATCTAGTTCTGTAGTTCAAGTAGTACTAGTTAGTTGAAAAGTTATGAAAGTTAAACATTACTTCTAGAATTAAGAACACAAAAGGCACCCCTTGTGTGTTGCACAATGAAAGTTTGGATTATCTCAAGTGTGTTATGCATGTTTGTTGAGGAAATTATTTTAATGATGATGCTGCTGTCTGTTTGGGATGATGATGGCGACACTTGACAGTGATTGTTGATATAATTTTGATGTAGACACAATAAACTGGGGTACTAGAGTGGAACTCCTTTTTTGACATTTCGGATGTGGTCTGTCGTACTAGACAGACGACAGACCACATCCCAAATGTCAAATAAAGGAGTTCTAGTGCCCCAGTTAGTGAGTCTAATTTTAATGATGATGATGATTTTGATGGTGGTGATATTCATCTATAAATATTGTTAGGTTAATAGTATTAATACTACATGTCAACAAATAATGTCTTAGTTTTGATCCTAAATTACTTTGTTGTTCACCATTGGAATTAAGTGAAAATTTCAGATCATGTAAAGAAGGCATAAGAAGTTTTATGGAGCAAGTTTCATCAGGTTTGTGTGAGAGGGTGAGATTTAAACGCCGTACGAAAAAAATACTCACTTTCAAAATCGCCACTTTCGACTTTGCATTCTCCAATGTTCATACAGCACTGAAGAGGGTGGCGGAAGGTGCGTGCCGAGACTAAAAGTTTCTGAAGGAATGCAGGATCACCCCTGATGTCATTGCACACCTCCTGGATCGTGTGTTGCGCCAAACGATCGAGGAGGTGTACAATGACATCAGGGGTGATCCTGCATTTCTTCAGAAGCTTTCGGCCTTCTGCCACCGTCTCCAGCTCTGAATCGACATTGGAGGTCGTCAAGTCGAAAGTGGCAGATTCTGAAAGTGATAATTTTTTTTTGTATGGCACAAAGCTGATGAAACTCACTCCATAGATTTTATCATGCCTTGTTTACATGATCTGAAATTTTGGATTAATTCCATTGGTAAACAACAGAGTTATTTAGGATCAAAAGTGGATCATTTTTTTTTGACACGTAGTATAATTTTGTTGCAGATGATACTGTATTATTAAGATTATGATAATACTGATGATAGTGACAATGATGATGGTGATGAAGCTGACAATGATGATCTGATGATGAAAAAAATTGAAATAATTATTAAGGCCAAAAAAAAAAGTCTCCAGTTTCTGGTCTGCGCGCGTCGCCGTAGCCATGCATGTCAGCAAAATTAAAAAGTAATTTTTTCAATGTAGGATGATGTCTCCTGGAATCCTGCTTCTGCACAATGTTAACGTGTTTTTAGATGGGGTAACGATCGAGTATAAGCTTTATGTGGCCTCTCTGGGTTCCCATATATTTTGCACTAAATTTAGTCGGGCACCATTTGCAGATGGTGTTGTTGTTTTGTAATTGTGCATCTGTAAGCCAGACTCTGGGAGCGAAAGTCCAGTGTCTGGAACCTGTAAACGCTTTTTAATTAGCGCAATATGTAAGAAAGCAGACTAATGACCAGCCTGGCAGCTCATGCACGATGTCGATGTCGCTGTATGGTCAAATGTTACTATTTTCTCTGATTTTTCTCTTGACTATCCAAATTTCCCGAAGAATTTTCATGTCGGTTGAGATCGTAAGTGGATGCAGAATTCTCAAGCCTTATGGCCTTACTGAGGTCACCTCAAGCTCCACTCTGAAGGATATTTTTGAGAGTTTTAAGGGAATGGAAGCGTTTTCTGCAACATCAACTGACATTTGAAGTAAACAAAATTAGGGGGAAAAAAAACCTGTGTCGCTGCACAACTTTTGGAGCAAGCTCCATACCAGAAACTGGAGACCTTTTATTTGGGCCTTACGATGGTGAAGGTTGTTTAAAATGAAAACAACAAATATGAAGAATACAACAATGGTGATGGAAATTATTTCTGTGAAAAAAAAATTAAATTTTGTGGTGATGACATCAGCAAGAACAATTTTGACATTGATGGTGATGAGGCTGATGGAGATGATGATGTCAATGGCGACTCAATATTAAAATTTGGTTTTCAGCGAAAACTATTTTATCCTTGATACAGGGTTCCCTCATTCCAGAGACACTCAAAGAAATGGAGCAGAACGAAGATTTCCAGATCACGGCGGCCAACCTACGCAAAATGGGCCAGGCCAAACTCACCAGGGAGGAGCGCAAGAAACGACAGAGGGCGCTAGACAACCTAGGCATTCCCGACTTCTGGGAGTTTATCACAAAGTGGAGCAAGCAGCCTGGCCAAGGTGAAAACTTATAGGGGCAGAGATGCTTGTTATGCCCCAACTATACAGAGTGGTCAAAAAAAAAAACCCAGCATGGCATACTTTCACTACCCTGAGACTCGAACCACATATATCAATTAATTGGTTCTTGGTTGGTTCTTCTGCTAAATACTCCGCGTGGGAGTTTATATAGGCCAGAAACACCGGAGCAAACCCCCTCTTTAACAATAAGTGTTACTGGGTTGCATAGCACAACACACGGGACCTATGGCTTTACGTCCCATCCGAAGGACGAAGCAATAATGGTTAAGTGCCTTGCTCAAGGGCACAAGTGTCTAGCTGACAGGCTCGAACCCCTGCCACTGTTGCCTCTGAAACACCAGAGCATGAGTCCGGTGTTCTTAATCGCTAGGCCATGACACTCTCTATTAATGCATGAAGGATCCTTTTAGAAAAAAAATTAAACCAAGATCGCCCTATTCGGTCCAGTAGTTTTTGTTCTAGAACCTGTTTAATGTAAGACAAGTTGAAGGTCATTTTTGTCCCGATGATTTACTAAGCCGCATCCCGAAAATTGACTTAACATTGTTATTGAATACCCACATGAATGAATTGTGCCTCACAAAATGGGCTCTGCAGCAAAAACTACTAGACCGAATCGGGATATTTTGGTATCATAATTCTTCTCAAAGAATTTTCCATCAATTGGTACAGGTGGTTTGAGTCTCAATGTAGTGGAAGTATGCGGTTCCGGGGGTTTTTGGGGTTGTTTTTTTTACCGCCCTGTGTATGGCAATGGTCCCAACTATCCGCTCCGTTCACAAGTACCCCCTCACCGGCAAAGAAGGAACAGTTGGGGGTGACCGACCGACGCCATCTTGCCTGACTGTAATTCATTTGCCGCGAAGCGCGGCCACTGCGTGTTCAAATCCCCACATAGTTCAAATCCCCTGGTGTACGTGCGTCACACACAAGGAACGGTGCGCGTCAACCAGCGAAATGTCCCGCCCGTGGGACGTCATTGCTAGGTAAAAGGGCGCCCTCTTTTGTCGACGCACGGAGCCCATAGTTTGGACAGTTCCAACTATCAGCTAGAAATAGCCAGCTTACTAGGCTCATGACAATTTCCCCTTTTAAAATAGAGAACTTAAAGAAGCAACTCAAGAAGATTGAAATCGAGATCCTGCAGCTGAACATCGGGCTGTACTGCAACCAGGCCTGCAATCACTGTCATGTGGAGTCATCACCAAAGAGGACGGAGATGATGAACAGGGAGACGGCCGAAAGATGCCTGGAGATCTTGAGGAGCAGTCCGTCGGTCCACACCCTGGATCTTACAGGTATGGGGACAGAGAGAAATAGGGGAGGGGAGCGTATTGTTGCCCCTAACATGGCGCACTTTGATTTTTCGCTTCTAATGCCTTGCTAGAGCAAACTTTTTACCTCAAATTTCATGGTTAGTGAAATTTCAACAAGCTTATAAACATTCCCGTTCATATATCTGGAGTTTACATACCCACTACAAAGTTCAAGAGAAATTCCAGTTTGGGGTGATTTTCCATTTTATTTTGAAGTGCACAGTGAACCCTTCTAAAATGCGCCCCAAAATAAGAAAATAATTTTCTGACTAACTTGTAATTGGGTATGTGAGTGGAGATAATAATGAGTTGTCAGGATTTGTCAACTTCTTAAATTAAAATTCGTAAATGTTAATGTGGGATTTTCCGAGATTTGTTCAAGTGCGCCATGTTAGGAGCACTCTGCCGTATTTGTGCCCAATTTTCGGACCCCATAGTTTTTTAATTTCGGACTTAAATATCACGACACTGAAATTGTTCACAATGGTACAAGAGCAAGCATAATTAAGGTAATAGTACCAGTATTTAACTGAATGAATTTGAAGGTTTTCAACAAAGAGGTTTGGAAACACTGCATGAAGAAAGTCAAGGGAAATATCGAAGTGCGCCACATTAGGGAACACCACTATAGTAGAGGTAATGGATCACAAGATCATCACAAGTCCATCACAATTAGTCATTTAGTCCCAAGCCGACTCATAACAGTGTTGCAGTTGAGTCTGTCACAAGTCCATCACCAGTCCATTACAAGTCCCTGCAAGTCCATCACAAGTCCATCACAAGTCCATCACAAGTCCATCACAAGTCCATCACAAGTCCATCACAAGTCCATCACAAGTCCATCACAAGTCCACCACAAGTCCATCACAAGTCCATCACAAGTCCATCACAAGTCCATCCCAAGTCCATCCCAAGTCCATCACAAGTCCATCACAAGTCCATCACAAGTCCATCACAAGTCCATCACAAGTCCATCACAAGTCCATCCCAAGTCCATCCCAAGTCCATCCCAAGTCCATCACAAGTCCATCACAAGTCCATCACAAGTCCATCACAAGTCCATCACAAGTCCATCACAAGTCCATCCCAAGTCCATCCCAAGTCCATCCCAAGTCCATCACAAGTCCATCACAAGTCCATCCCAAGTCCATCCCAAGTCCATCCCAAGTCCATCCCAAGTCCATCCCAAGTCCATCACAAGTCCATCACAAGTCCATCCCAAGTCCGTCCCAAGTCCGTCCCAAGTCCATCCCAAGTCCATCACAAGTCCATCACAAGTCCATCACAAGTCCATCACAAGTCCATCACAAGTCCATCCCAAGTCCATCCCAAGTCCATCCCAAGTCCATCACAAGTCCATCACAAGTCCATCACAAGTCCATCACAAGTCCATCACAAGTCCATCACAAGTCCATCACAAGTCCATCACAAGTCCATCACAAGTCCATCATAAGTCCTTCAGTCTCAAATCAAGTCCCTAGCAATTCAAATGATAAGCAGACTTTGATCTTTGTTAAAAGTACTAGATTATAGTTCTTTCCGCTATAAACCATGGGTCCCTCAAACCAGGCTGTACTTTGTGTTTTGGAAGGCAACATGTATTGGAAAGGACTTTGTTGGATCAGTGACTTTAAGGAGATTCAGTCAATTTTCTTTTCACTACAGGTGGAGCACCAGAACTCTCCAAGGAGTTCAGGTTCCTGGCCCGGGGAGGTCGCGACCTCGGCCGCGAGGTCATCGACCGCTGTAACCTTACAGCGCTACTTGAGCCGGGTCAGGAGGACACAGCCGAGTTCCTGGCCGAGAACAAGATCATCGTCATAGCATCCTTGCCCTGCTACAGGTAGGTTCTGAGTCGGGTTTTTATCTTCAGTTAGGCATGGTGCAAGATATTTGCCTTAAGCAATACTGTCAAAGCTTCCTTGCCCTAGCTGCTACAGGTAGCTGTTCTGAGTTGGGTTTTTACCCCTCAGCCGAGAGGCTCGAGGGGTATTGTCATCGCCTAGGGCGTCCGTCCGTCCGGATGTATGTGTGTCTGTCCGTCCGTCCGTCCGTCCGTCCGTCCGGGCAGCTTAGTTTCCGGATGATAACTTGAGTTAGAAATGTTGTTTGGGGTTGTAACTTCGGTAGGGGGTTGCCCTTGGGAGTAGGCAAGTTGGGATTGGTTTTGAGGTCAAAAGGTCAAAGGTCAAGGTCACCGTGGTGAGTTAAATGTAAATGGTTTCCGGATGATAACTTGAGTTAGAAATGAGATTTTGGTGTCTAACTTTGGGAGAGGGTTGCCCTTGGGAGAAGGCAAGTTGGGATTGGTTTTGGGGTCAAAAGGTCAAAGGTCAAGGTCAGCATGGTGAGATAAAGGTAAATGGTTTCCGGATGATAACTTGAGTTAGAAATGAGATTTTGGTGTCTAACTTTGATGGGGGGTTGCCCTTGGGAGTAGGCAAGTTGGGATTGGTTTTGGGGTCAAAAGGTCAAAGGTCAAGGTCACCGTGGTGAGTTAAATGTAAATGGTTTCAGGATGATAACTTGAGTTAGAAATGAGATTTTGGTGTCTAACTTTGGTAGAGGGTTGCCCTTGGGAGTAGGCAAGTTGGGATTGGTTTTGGGGTCAAAAGGTCAAAGGTCAAGGTCACCATTGTGAGTTAAAGGTAAATGGTTTCCGGATGATAACTTGAGTTAGAAATGCGATTTTGGTGTCTAACTTTGGAAGAGGGTTCCCCTTGGGAGAAGGCAAGTTGGGATTGGTTTTGGGGTCAAAAGGTCAAAGGTCAAGGTCAGCATGGTGAGATAAAGGTAAATGGTTTCCGGATGATAACTTGAGTTAGAAATGAGATTTTGGTGTCTGACTGAGGTAGGGGTTTGCCCTTGGGTACAGGCAAGTTGGGATTGGTTTTGGGGTCAAAAGGTCAAAGGTCAAGGTCACCGTGGTGAGTTCAATGTAAATGGTTCCGAATGATAACTCGAGTTAGAAATGAAATGTTGGTGTCTAACTTCGGTAGGGGGTTTCCCATTGGTACAGGCATGTTGGGACTGGTTCTGGGGTCAAAGGCCAAAGGTCAAGGTCACCACGTTGAGTTAAAGGTTCATGGTTTCCGGATGATAACTTGACTCTGGCTGAGGGGTTTCAACAGCAACGCTGTTATTTTTTATCTTCAATTGGGCTTTGGTGCAAGATGGCCAAAAATGCCTACGTTCAATATGCCGTGGTATTCGTGCCCTGGCTAGCTGCTACAAGTAGGTTCGCAATTGGGTTTTTATCTTCATTTGGGTATTGGGTCAGTTTTGTTTTCACAGTGGAACGTTGCTATAACGAACATTGCAAGATCCACAGAAATTGTTTATAATAGCGATCATTTGGTAAAGTGATTGTAAGCTGCTGGTGCTCCTGTACTCACTTTTCAATAAATAGCGCCCTTCAGAATTTACGTTGCACACCCTGATAGTTATGAAAGATGACTTTGAACACATGCTGAATATTGAATTATGTAATAGCAGTTTTTTTAGTTTACTACCTACAGCAATGGGTGGCTTTCCCCTTCTATTCCTGGAGGAAATAATAGCCACTTGTTGTACTTCTGTTGACATTTTTCAACCAAAAAATTTTGGTACGTTTTGTACACAAAAATGGGGAGCCAAGGACGATGTTCGGTATTGCCAAATGTTCGGTATAGCGGTGTTTGGTATAGCGCCGTTCCACTGTACTTGTTTTTCGTTTTAAATACCTCGTCGCACCCACTGATAATCTGAAGGGGGCTTTTTTTATTGTTTTAAACCCATGGGCTGCCCCTTTCTAGAAGATGAAGTCCCTCCCCCTGCCCTCCTGCAAATTGAACCCAAGTTTAGCAATGGATTCCATGGAAAATGAAAACAACACTTCTGGCCATCATCCAGCAATAATCGTTTTTGATTTTTTTTTCCCACAGTGCCAAAAATGTGAACACCCAACGAGGCAGCGGAGTGTTTGACAAGAGCATCCAGGCGTTACTGCTGCTGAACCAACTCGGTTACGGGAGGCAGGACGGGGGGCTGAGACTGGACTTGGTGTACAACCCTTTAGGTACGTTACATGATGGATCACAAGATGGTATCACAAGCCATCACAAGTCCATCACAAGTCCTGCAGTCTCACGTCAACTCACAAACTATTCAAATGAATTGTGACAAAGGTATTCCATTTAACTGTTGTCGGTTCCTAGTTGTTACTCATGACCAAACTTGCAATGGACGTGTGATCCATCACAATATGCCATAGAAGTGGTTTCGCGTGGTCACGTGTTGCCTGGGTTGATGTTTCCACACAAACCTGGATTGCATAGGGATATGCAAAGTGCCTACTTTTCATAATTGTTTTATCCATTGGAAAAGGAAAACCATGGAATCCCCCTGAGTGATACCTACAGTCAGCTATGAAGCACTGTCCCATTTTCTAGTCTTATTTGTTATTAATATCTTTCACTCGCGAGGTAACACACTGAGTATACAGTGTTTATACGTCAGTGAACGGCAAAACCTCATTTTGATATCTGAGAAATTTCAACTGGAAAATGTTCACCTAAATCGCCCGTACATATCAAATGGGAAATATGGCGATTGTTTGGAACAGTCACTATTGGAGACAACCCCGCGTGACGTCACACTTCTAAGGCATATTTACCATAACTACAACACTGCAATTTGGGGAATTTCTGGATATGAGGGAAGGAATGAGTTTTGGTTCGAAAAGTACAAAGCTCATATTTTTGTTTTCCAAATATTAAGCATTACAACAAAGACAGCAGAGGCCTTGAGGTAGGGTCCCATTCCCCCTGAATTAGGTGTATTTTTAATTTTACAATTGAACAAAGAAATTGACTGGAGCAGGGTTTAAACCTGTGACCTCCGGATTACCGTTCCGGTGCTCTACCAACTGAGCTATCCAGCTCCGTGTTGGCAGTCCCCCATTTTGTCAATGTCTTTGTTCAAAGGGCGCTAGTCTACTGCAGCCATAAACCCATATATGCCATGTAGCCAGGTAGGTTTATTTTTAATCAATGTAAGATTGAATGAAGGAATTTGATGCAGTGGGATTCGTTACTGAGACCTATCAAACAGCATACTATTGCTCAACTTTTAATACTTTCAATCCTTTTCACAGGGATTGGGCGCTCATCGTAGTCGAAGGTTTTGACCGAAAAATAAATTCCCTGTCATATATTCTGCCCGTCAAATCTTTTTGGTCAGGAGGGTTTTTGCCCCCATCCCAGGCAGAGCTGGAGGCAAAGTACAAGGAGGAATTATGGGATACCTTCGGCATCGAGTTCAACAACTTGTACACCATCACCAACATGCCCATCAAGAGGTTTGCTGACTTTCTGTACCGACGGTGAGTCTGATTTCCCAATATGTAACATGTTTCTGCTAGTCTTGTTTCTTTCGGACTTGTCATTAAAACAAATGGCTCTGCGAAAACCGAGCATGTCCCTTTATGTAGTGGATTCCATTACTAGTTGTATGTCCATCACTTGTCAGTTCACAAGTTCATCACCAGTAAAATCGCAAGTCCAATCATCAGTCAGTCACAAGTCAAATCACAAGTCCATCACAAGTCCAATCATAAGCTCAACCACAAGTCCGTCATAAGTAAAATCACAAGTTCATCACAAGTCAGATCACAAGTCCGTCATAAGTAAAATTACACGTCCGTCATAAGTAAAATCACAAGTCAATTCACAAGTCTATCATAAGTCAAATAGCAAGTCCGTCATAAGTCAGATCACAAGTCCATCACAAGTCAAATCACAAATCCATCACAAGTCCATCACAAGTCAAATCACAAGTCTATTCACAAGTCAAATCACAAGTTTATCACAAGTCAAATAGTAAGTCCATCATAAGTCAAATCACAAGTCAGTCACAAGTCAATCACAAGACAATCACAAGTCAAATCACAAGTTTATCACAAGTCAAATCACAAGTCAGTCACAAGTCAATCACAAGTCAATTACAAGTCAAATCACAAGTCAAATCACAAGTTTATCACAAGTCAAATCACAAGTCAGTCACAAGTCAATCACAAGTCAATTACAAGTCAAATCACAAGTCAAATCACACAAGTCCATCACAAGTCTAATCACAACTTCATAACAAGTCAAATCACAAGTCCATCACAAGAAAGGTCACAAGTTTTTACTGAGCACCAACAATGACAAAGGAATGATTTTGTAACAGTTCTTTTGAATAGCTTGTGACTTGACTTGAGACTGAAGGACTTGTGATGGACTTGTGATGGACTTGTGATGGACTTGTGATGGACTTGTGATGGACCTGTGATGGACTTGTGGTGGACTTGTGATGGACTTGTGATGGACTTGCGATGGACTTGTGACGGACTTGTGATGGACTTGTAATGGACTTGTGATGGACTTGTGATGGACTTGTGATGGACTTGTGACGGACTTGTAATCGACTTGTTTCACAAAACTGCCCAACTTAGGCTTGTTAAAATCATATTGTAGCCATTATAAAGTATGTAATTATGACATCCATTGTAAGTTGCAATGGACTGTAGTGCTTCATGAAATTGACAACCAGACCTTTAAAATGATGGCCCAGTGATACTTTCTTTTTTTTCCGTCCAATCAGGAACGAGCTGGAAGACTACATGCAACTGTTGGTCAGGAACTTTAATCCGGCGTCGGTGGAGGGCCTGATGTGCCGCAATCACCTCAACGTGAACTGGGATGGACGACTCTTTGACTGCGATTTCAACCAACAACTGGACATGGGCATGAGCAGGGTGAACAGCACAATGGGTATACAACGGTTTTTCAGTAAATGATTTGATAAAGTTTACAAAATCAAGTGCTGTTCCCAAACACAAACTTTGCACACTAGGCTTGGGCGATTCCAGGTCAGAATCAAATAGAGTCGATTCCAAACTTGGAATAGAAGTCAGGATTCCACCTTTTTTGAGGAAAACCGATTCCCAGTAATCACAATTCAGTTCTTCCAAGGATAGGTTGCAGAATCTTCAAAGCAACTTTTGTCACATATTTGTGGCAAACGATCAGTTTGACAAGATTTTACATTTTACAATGTCATTCATTAGTGAAATTAAGGAGTTCTTTCCTCAATGCTTTTTTTAAATGGATAGAACTGGATTCAATTTGGAATGGAATCGTGACACCTGTATGGTATGTGTATGATACCACTGGAAACAACAAGACGATAATCAGTTCGCCATCAATTGCACATTGTTTTAAATACCATTCATAAATACCTAAACACTTTCTCCTGCGCCGCAGCATTCTGCGCCCCATCGGGTATTCAACAAGTACGTTTAAGAGCGGCTAGGGACCTGCTCGTGGATATTAAAAGGGCCCTCTTCAGCTGGGGCCATTATCACGTCCAGACCCCTAGCCAGTTTTAAACGTACTTGTTAAAAACCGGCAGGCACATATTTATTCCCATATTCATTAATGCAATAGGCTAGACTGATCCGTTCAGCCTTGATGTGGTACACGGTAACCTGTGGAGACATGTGCATAATAGGGAACAAAAGATTGTGTATAGATTTATATAAAGGATATTAAGTGCGAATTTCATGATTCTGGTTAAAATAGGAGCATTTGGAAAGTACAATTTCAAACTCTAAAATTTTAGTACATGAGAACAAAGAAAAGACTCCATAACGATACAAATTCCAGTAGCCTTGCCCTGTGATGTTTTGAACAATTTGCCAGAATTTTGGATATTTTGCTGTTGTAAATTTTCTTATCCGTGATTTGTTGTTGTGTCAGTACATGTCAGTAAGCCAATGAGCCAATTTTTTTCTCACAAATGTTTTCAATGAGCACATTTTGGGTTCACAATTTGAACAGAAAACCCCTAAACTGAGCAGTGTCTTCCTGAAATGACATCACAACAACAGTGCCCTGATTTGTCGGGAAAAGTTTGGGAAGTTTTGAAATGTTAATAAAGAAGTGCACTTTTCAATAAAATTCACCAAAATGGGATGTCAAATAGTTTTCATACATTTAAGAGGAGTAGAAAGTTGCACAAAATATGTTCAAAAGTAAAATTCTTGTCATGGGCCCTTTAAAAAAAAATGTTGTCCTTCATCACTGTCTTCTCAATACAGATCCAGCAAATGACATTTCAAAGCCTTCCACGGCCCCGTCTGTCTGGGACATCGAATCGACGGATGACCTCATCGACCTTCGCATCGTCACCGACAACCACTGCTTCGGCTGTACATCGGGAATGGGCTCAAGCTGCCAAGGGGTTACTGCTTAATCTGTATGCGCGTTATCCATTGAGGGCGCTATTTCAGTCTTTCATTGAATCAAGCTGAATGTTAATTGGGTATGCAGTGTTTCAGCTGCCAAAAAGACCAGTGCTTAATCTGTATGCGCATTACCCGTTGAGGGCGCTTTTTCAGTCATTCAGTGAATTAATTGAGCTGAATGTTGGGTATCATGGGCAGTGTTTCAGCTCAAAGGATCACTGCTTAATCTGTATGAGCATTATCCATTGAGGGCGCCATTTCAGTCATTCAGTGAATTAAGCTAAATGTAGGGTATATGCAGGGTTTCAGCTGCCAAAAGACCAGTGCTTAATCTGTATGCGCATTACCCGTTGAGGGAGCTCTTTTAGTCATTCAGTGAATTAATTGTGCTGAATGTTGGGTATCATGGGCAGTGTTTCAGCTCAAAGGATCACTGCTTAATCTGTATGCGCATTATCCATCGAGGGCGCCATTTCAGTCATTCGGTGATTTCAGATGTATGTTTGATGGGTTGCAATGCCAAGTGACTAGTGAATATTAATCTGAATATTCATCTGAATAAATATACAGCATTTTTTAAACTGCAATATCAGAAATTTTACAGTATCTTTTTCGTTTTGAGAACAGCATTTTGATGTTTAAAAAAATTGTTATATTCATGTATTTTGTTTGATATTACAATATTTTGGCAACTTATTAGTTGAGAGAGCCTCTTGGTAATTTATTTTTTTCAAATTTCTTCGGGAGCTGTTTGGCTTTTGTTGGGGTTATTGTTTCTATTTGTATTTAAGTTGCATGTCATTTCAATATATTTTTGCTCTATTTGTCTTTTATTGTTACATAGTAAGAAATATAGTAAATGTATCTGGTAATGTACTTAAAATTGTGTCCAAGCTTTATCATGCATTGCAGATTTTCCTTTTTGCCTTTTCATTTAAACATTTTAACTTTATTTGCAAATGAAAATAACAAAATATCTTAAAAATTCAGAATCATCCCGATGTTGAGAGTAGTCTTGATTATTACCAGTGCACGCGAAACAATTTTTTTAACTCGCGTGGCCGCCCACAGATGTTATTGGTTAAAAGGTCTCTCGGTGTCACAAAAGGCCATTACACTGAAAAATAGGGAAGGTGCTGAAATACGGAGGGGCTTTTTATTGCCAACATGTAACCAAATTGGGACAATTTTGTATGATTTATTACAAGGGTGTCGGGTCACGGTCACTGTGTCATAAATGGTACATCCCAAAAATATTTATGGGGAAGTAAAACGCTGTGATCTACCCACGACCTGTTGATTTTGTTACGAGTGTCGTACGCCACCCCTGGTGTAATAATGGTAGAGTCGGGATCGGACACGCGGAAAAACATGTTGGACTATCTCATACCGATTACAGAAAGTGAAAAATATGCACTTCCCGTTTATCTGGTGATATATGGCGATATATACCACACGGGCCCATAAACAGGAAGTGCGTACAGTAATTTTTGTCTTGTGAGAAAGTGCACTACAATGCACATGTACGTTTGCCCCGTGTGCAAGGGAATTTGCTAGTGCATGCTGCTGTATTCTGGTGTACTTTTTTGTTGTCGGTGTCCTAGCATGTCATATTTCCGCTATCGGTGAACAACCTGTTCGTGTGGTTTAGCCTCCAACAAGTCGTTAGTTGTGTTTTCACTTTCTTGCACAACACGTCCCGGTTTTGGTCATTTTTACGGTGAGTAATCCCTAACAGTTTTTACATTCAGTGTTCATGTTGTTGTTGTGTGTTCAGTGTCAGTCCACGACTGCACGTGGACTTCTCAAAACAGGCGATCAGTGTCTGCGTGAATTCAATTCGTCCTCGAATGTTGGTGTTGTTAATTGTAGAACCCTCCACGGTAGAACTAATGTATTACCGTTATTAGTAAAGAGCATAATTCGTATCACGTTCAATATTAATTACGGACCATGCCCGACTCGGAACCCCCCCCCCGCGTTGCTCCACCCCTGCTTTGAATTTGAAGTCACCCTAACTCTGAACTAAGTTATTGGTTTTTTTGTCATTTTGAATAGACAGCCTTGTGCCTACCTGTCTCCCCTTTATAATCATGTTTGTTTTTCAACCTTGTTGAGTTTTGTAGCTTCCCGTTCATTCGCGTTTTGGGTTGGGTCTAAACATGCTAAATGATCTAGCTGTAATATGAATATTAAATCTAATTATATCACAACACAATGTCGAGCTTGGAGCTCCATGCTACAGGACTGTTAAATGGTAGTTTCTCCTTAATGAATAAATCCCTAAATGGTCCAAGAAAGTGCACTAAAATGTAAAGGAAAGCATCTGCATTTCAAAATGTTTATGTGGGAGAATAATGCCCCGTATACCCTAGACCGAGCATAGCAGGTGTTTGCGCTTATGATTAATTGCCCCACAGCCACCTGTTCACAACACCCCCTCCCACCACCCTACTCCCCCTTCCCAAACATTGAACCGTATACATGTGAATCAGGAAGGATGGTTGTTGGCTTGAACTTGAGATATTAAACTGTCAGTTTTCTTTCATTCTTCCCACATCGTGTACTAGATTCCATGCGGGAACGGCCCATGTGTCTTCACCGACTATTGGAGCTTGGTCTTGTGAAGAAATTGTTTTTGCAAAAATAGTTCCCCAAATTCTTCGTCAAAATCAGCAAAGATTGCCTTTAACATATTTGCAAGTACATGCCTGTTGCCCTTTTGGTTGAAACCTCACTTTTATAGACCTTGGAAGAATGTTGTTAGAATCTTATTTTAGTAGAAATTTGTAAATCATTTACAAATCATTTAGCCTAAGTCTTAATAGCAAATGAAATAAACTGAAGTTCTTCAAAAGTGTCACCGATCGTAAAACATGGAAACATTTCTTTCCAAAAAGAGCCTTCATCTGTAATAAGACTTGATTCCCACATTTATAAGGAAAAAGCAAAACAAAACAAAACTGGACTTTAAGAAGAGAGATTTGAAGATCCCTTGGCGGCCATGACTTCCGGTGACAAGATGGACGCCACCGTGGGAGATCTGATGCGCGCGCATGCTGCCGTGGTAACCAGGGTGACGTCAAAGGATCACGAAGGGGGACAGCAGATTGACCCGAACGGGTAAGAAAAATAATCCTCCTGTTTTGATAATAATTTCAGTAAAAAAATTGTCTGCCATAGCTATGCATGTGTCGTGTACATGCACGTACGCCTATTGTGACTGTCAGCACTCGTGTAAGAAGTGTTTAAAATGAGCCGAAATCACCCAAATAACAGGTTGAATTCTCAACTAGTTTGGCATGTTAAGTCCACCGAGAGCTCAGCTCAGCGCATCTTTACGGAAAAAAAATCGTCATTTTCTCAAGAATGTTACTTGTTAGCGAAACTTCAACCAAACCCACTCGCCCAAAGACAGCGTAGAACTGCGTTTGTTATATTTTATGAAATATTTATATTCAACCGGAACAATGTAGCTACGCTTAGGTGGTTGTTTATCATGCTACAACCATTACCTGTCACAAGTATTTGCAGACCTTGGGATTTACATTGACTGATATGATTGATGTTGTCACGTGTCATGGGCTGCCTTTATTAACGAGGTCACCTGTTCTTCCTTTTTTTTCTTGGCATAATCCCAAATTGCACGACATTTTTCCCCAACAAGTATATTGGACGAAAATTTCATACTATAGTAGATTTTGTACACCACACTTTCTAAACTTGGGACAGTGATTCGGATAGTTTGTATTACCCAACGCCTGAATAATCCCCGTCACCTGATTGATAGATCAGTAATGATCACGTGTCATTGAATTATTCGTCCCAACCCACAACCTGCCCGCACCGCAAAAAAGTTCTATTCCACGGTGAATAGAAGTTCCCTTGCACGGTCACACTATTGGCGGCTCTGACCAATCAGATAACGAGAATTTATTCAGGTTTGGATAAAACTTATAATAAATGCTTCACATTCGTGCAATGGAAAGAATAATTTCACTCGGTGACAGATGGAATGTTCCATTCGCCTCGTGGAATGGAACATTCTATTTGCCACCTCATAAAATTATTCTTACCGTTGCACTCATAATCATTCATAAAAGCGCACCAAAGATCACGTGGCGGACATTCCCCTATCGATAACGCTCAGCCCTTTATTAGTGACGGTAACACCTATAGTTAACATCTGTATGATTCTAGCTCCATGGTATGGTTCTTATATGGTATTATTCATTATTCATTATTTGGTATGGTTCTTACAGAAATGCCTTATCCGTTATTTTAAAGTTAGTTATCGCTTTTTCACATTATGCTAGAACTGCCACAACTTATACCTTCCTCCATGCAGAATGCTATGCCCCATGCAAAGGTTCCGATCGCATTTCTGCATCTCGTGGTTTGTTAATGGCGTAGTACCATGGTAATATAATTCACAGCAACGAAACTAGAACGACATCTGTTGGAATCCCTCACGTAGAATTAGACATGAGTTTTGACCCTGACACAATTGTACAGATGTCCGTGTACTTCCGGCGAGAAAATAACAGACGTTTGATGACTCGCAACATAAACTTGGCTACGGCATGCTCTATGGATGAAGTAGCATGCTGCAACTGCAAGTAAATAACACTAGATAACCGTATTTTGTAGCCCTATCAGGAAAGTTAACTTATCAACAAAGTTTAACAAACGTCTTATCATGGGACATGTTTACTCGGTCACTGCCTCACTAGCTGAGTAGAAAGTCCACTTTCGTCTGCTTTTCCTTCCAAAAGCAACACTGATATTACGTGGTCTATCTATTTTTGGTTCTTCGCACTTAACGTCCCCAACAGCAGCATGCGGTATTTTTCTTGTAACGGATTACAACATGTGTGTCGCGCTGATAAACAGTGGAGACACTTGTCTTGCGCACGCGACAGCTTCAAGGCTAAACAAAAAAGAAGTAACGTTTCTCCGTGGGGACTTCCTGAAAAATGCAACTCTTGGTCTTCGGTTTTTTTGTTACTGATGGCGGCCGGTTTGTTCGTACACTGCCTGTGCGTGATCTCGGATTTTCTTTAAAGACAGAATCAAAATGCGCTCATAGAAAACCTTCTGTACACATTTTGTTGCAACTGCATGCCATAATGCTTTTTAGTGGAACGTCAGTGAGCCAAGTCCAGTTGAATGAGAAAAGACTCGCAGTACTTCCTTTCGAACATATATATACAACACAGTTGGCCTTTTTTTTGTATGTTAATTTTGAATGTAAAAATCACTGTTTTATGTGAAAATGGGAACTCAAAATGGTCTCGAAACGATGATCCTGACTCTGAAAAAAATACAGTTGCACCGGTTTGACTCAAGAATATCAGTAGGCACATTTCCCTTGTTTCCCTTAAAAATGTCATTTTATGGGTTTGGTGTTGGTTTGGAAATAATAAGGTCTCGAAAGTTCTCGAGTACAACACTATTAACCATGACGTCTGATATGACGTGGTCTAAAACCTCGTTTTTCATGTCCAGCCATCGTTTCTGGAATGCTCAGGCTGACCATGGAGGGACTGACCATGGCCCACTGGTCACTAGAATTTAGAAATAAACCACAAACATATCTGTCCTTTCTCTTATCAGGGACACGGTAGACGAAGTCCTAAACGTCCACCCATTGTTTCTGAATTGCCCAGGCTGATCCACTGATCACTAGACACAGACCCTAACATTTCCTAGTTTCATCCACCAGGGAGACTGTAGACGAAGTCCTGAACGTCCACCCGTCGTTTCCGGAACGTTCAGGCTGATCCACTGATCACACAACCCTAACTCTGCTTATTTTCTCTCATCAGGGAAACGGTAGACGAAGTCCTGAACGTTCACCCGTCGTTTCTGGAATGCTCAGGCTGCAGCGAGTCCATACGGGACCGCTATTTCCTGCGGGCCATGGACCGGTACTGGCATGAGGACTGCCTGACCTGTGAGCTGTGCCAGTGCCGGCTGGGAGAAGTGGACTGCTACATGTACACCAAGATGGGCCGGAAACTCTGCAAGAGGGACTACCTCAGGTATGGGTCTTCTCTTTCGAATCTCTAGCTTTTTCATTGAGGGAAAACATCCTGGCTGCCCTGGTGGTCTGTCGGTAGTTGGTGGTCACCCCACCCCAGTTCAATTAACTCGTTCTTAGAAATGTTTCCAAACTCAAAACATTTCAAACCTTCTTGTTGCTCCCAATGTGGAGTGTCATGGCCGAGCGGCGAAGAGCACCGGACTCGAGCTCTAACTGGGCACGTGTGGTTAGAGGTTGAGCACAGGATTCATGATTGTAAGGTTGTGGGTTCGAGCCCCACCGTTGTCATGCGTGTTGTGCCCTTGAGTGAGGCTCTTTACCTCAATTACTCCTCTCAACCCAGGTGTTAAATGGGTACCGGCATTATTCAATGCTGGGAAGGTAACAGACTCGCTGTGGAGGAGGTGTGGCGATCCCCACACAGCAGCATAAAGAGTCTGGCCCATTGTAATCGCTAAAGAAAGAGAGATGGGCACTCCGTTCCTGTGAACACAGGTTCGTCCCCTTTACTTACAAGCTCTTGTGTTTCTGATCAGCAGAGTGTGAGTTCGAGTCCCGGTCTTGACACTTGTGTCCTTAAGCAAGACACTTAACCATTATTGCTTCGTCCTTCGGATGGGACGTTAAGCCGTAGGTCCCGTGCGTTGTACAATGCACCTAACAGAACCCAGTGACACTCATCGCTAAGAGATGGGGTTCGCCCCGGTGTTTCTGACATGTGTTTATCCTCATACATTATGAGGCTGCACTTTCAAGGAAGGAATAAATTTACATTCTCTAAATCTCGCTGTTTCTCGCCCAGCACTAAAACGTATTGACTGTATGGAAGCTAAATATTTATACGCAGTTTTATTTCCTTATTATCTCGCTTTTTCTCGCGCATCACCAAGTGAAAATTGCTCTGACTGCTATTATAGAAGTGATGTATTATTCTGTGTCTCATTATCTCAGTTTTTTTCCGCCCAGCTTCCGAAAATGCAAAAGTTTACGGAAGCGGTATTATTCTCGCGATTGATCTTACCCAGCAATGAAAAAAACACTATCGTCCGTGTACCTGTTTTCGAGGCATCAGGTTTTCGAGGTTTGACCTTGTAGCGACGCACAAGCGCAGATTAGTACTACGCAACCAGTTGATTTGTTGTGTGTGCGGTACGTGTCCACCGCCAGCCCAAAAAATTGGAAACCGAAAGCTACGTCGGTGTTTTTCTTTTGCTTCAAATAAATCCTTACACCCACTTACACTCAAAAATTGGTACATCAAGGATATTTACGGAAGTCTTCCCTTCAAATTACGTTTCTGAAAAATGCTAAAAAGTAACTGCTTACGGAAGTTCTATTCTCACATTATCTCGCCTTTTCTCGCTCTTTTGCAGGTTGTTCGCGCCCAGCGGTGTCTGCTCCGCCTGTAACCGGTCCATACCGGCCTACGAAATGGTCATGACGGTGGCCCCCGGCCGAGTCTTCCACCTCGAGTGCTTCAAGTGCTCGCAGTGCGAGAAACACTTCTGCGTGGGAGACAAGTATTACCTGATGGGCGCCAACATCGTCTGCGAGGACCACTGATGGATGAACCAATCAGAAGACGGGTAGAACTAGATCAGCTTCTGTGATTGGAGGACGGTATCAACAATGAGGATTCTTGAGCAAAGTGAACCAATCGGGAGACGCATAGGACGGGCCGGTCTGCAGGACCACTGATGGATGAACCAATCAGAAGCCACGTAGAACTAGACGGGCTTCTGTTATTGGAGGACGGTTTCAATAATGTGGACTCTTGAACAAAGTGAACCAATCAGGAGACGCATGCCACGGGTGGACTGCTGTGATTGGAGGCTGTGATAATAATGAGGACGAACGAACTGAACCAATCGGGAGACGCTTTGATAGGACTTTTTTTGGAGGACTTTGGGTGAACTGCTTTGATTGGTGGACGGTGGCAATAACGTAGCGAACTGAACCAATCAGGAAAAGCCCTGGATTGGATGGACCACTGTGATTGGATGACGGTGGCAATAACGAGAACTACCTGTGAACTGAACCAATAAAATTGCACATTTAACCCTTGGTCGATCCTCCAGTGAACCAATCGGAAGCTTGCTACGTGGTGCAAACTTTAATGGCCTCCCATCTAGTTTGGCGGCACGATTTGCGCTCAGGAAAACATTCACTGATTGGTTACACACTGGCCATATAGAAGCTAAACAGTCATTGGTCAATCATTCAGAACGATTGCATTAACCAATCAACTCTTGCCATGAATAAGCTGTCGACCGCATGTGATACAAGGGCTCATCTTTTTGGTCAGAAGATCTTGCTACACTAGAGATAGGCCAATGAGGCTGTTGATCAATATATTTTTTAATACAACAGACTTTTCTTCGCGAAAAGAAACGTTCCCTTTCGGGGGACTGGAGTGGAAAAGCTTTATCACTAATAAGATTTGTTTTCCCTCAAAATTAGTTCGTGGATGAGGAGAGACAATAATCCAAATGGGCCATTGATTAATTAAAATTACAAACTAATGAACTTTTGATGAGCTTTGTTTGGTAAATGTCGATAAATCATCATGCGTCATTTTACGGAAATAAACTGAAAGTGCCTGCATCCTTGAGCCGAGACCAAGCGTCTCGGCAGTGAATTTGTAAAGATAAAACACCAATATATTTTCTCATCTACGTTATGTATATTTTATCTCTTCATCATTGTTGCTCCATTTCTAGCGTCTTTTACGCATTTCCTTTTAATTTTCATGGACGTGCAAAAATTAACACAGAAATTAGCATAATTCTGAACATATTTCTTATGGTTTTTATGGGCGTTTTTCGTCTTTTTGGGGGGAAAAACTCAGTTTTTCAGGCATTGGCTCATAGGTTACATAGTGCAGGATGAATTCTATCACGGAGGCCCCCTTTTGGCGAAAGCGTTGTGCTAGCTATTGTTCAGATAATCCCTCACGGGGCAGTGGCTTTGTACAATAGCATGCACAATGGTTTCTCCATTGATGGGGGCCTTGTGAATGTACAGTGATCACTTACCCCAACCTCGTCCCCATGGTGTCGAGCAGTACGCGCCCATCACTACCTGCTCTCTCACCCTGGTATTGGATCATTTGCATGTGCAAGATTTTTGAACACGTATGCAAATGAGGAATAGTCTGGTGCCTGCAAGTGCGTTACATTAGCGTTTGTTTTTGTATGCGGTGTCTGGGGTAAAAACAGAGTCAATTCGTAGCAGCGCGAGCATGGCGTGAGTTACGAAAACACGATTTTTATTCAATTAAACTGTTACGATCTTAACGAAACAATATGCAGTATCACATTTCACGTTAATATTAACACATTGGAAAGGAAATTAATATTTTCGAGAAGGCGTGGACGAATGATTGCGAAAACACGTACTGCACGTTGTGAATAACAACACCAAGTACACGATAAAAATCCATTACTAGCCAATTGCGATATCGAATCAGGATACAGGAAGAAAGTTTCCTATCCAGGGTTTACTATTGGAAACCGTGTTGGAAATAAAGTAAGCACTGGGGACAAGGTTGCCCTTACCCGGATTCGTCTTTATATCATGGCAACAGAAATGCATTCTGTCACTGACACAATAGACCTTTATCATGCTGCCACCATTTCAGTCATGTTCCCTGTGTCCAATAACAGTACTGAATGATAATGGTTTTTGTGCTAAAAGGAACCAGACTATTTTTTCCTTCCAGCCTCGATTTGGTTATGTTGATTTGAATGGGAAAAAAATCAAGATGGCCGCAACATGGTAATGATCTTTATCATCTATACTACAATCACGAAAATGATTCGGGGGCGCTGCCATTTTCCCGACCGGTCTCCCGTCCCCATCGCGCCTGTTGGCTGCGGGGGATGCGGAACGGGGCCCGGCTATTTTCGCCCCATATTTCCCAGAATTCCTTTCCCCATTGAGCCGGCCGCCATCTTGCGTACGGGCCGGTGTCACGTGAAAATTCGACTCCTATGAAAATCGGACCCCTATTTCCCTATTATTGGTTGATCCCTCGCACGTACGTGACAGGTCACTCTCCCAAAATGATCCTAAAAATAGCACAGTATCGTACTCACGCGTGCGCAGGACTACCAATGAGTCCACATTTCATGGAGTCGGATATTCACGCTACACCTGTCGTGCCACGTATACGTATACGTTCGTATAGAGGGGGTCCTACTAAAGCGCGTCAACAAGCGTCAACAAGCGTCAACAAGCGTCAACAAGTTTTAGTAGTCGTTAAGTGCGCGTCAACAAATTTTGTATAGGCCTTTGAACAATAAAAACAGCTTTATATGGTAGAAAAAGCAATAATGAACATCTTCTGCATATCAATTAAAGTTAAAATTACTTAAAAAGTGGTTTTCCAGCGCGAAATCTACGACGGGTTTTTCGGTTTAGTATTGGCCGCCATCTTGTTTGAGATCTACATACTACGCATGCGTGGAGTGTACCATTCACGCATAGGGGTTTCTTTATACGATACCATTTGCAATACCTCGTTTGGTTTTTGCATTGGGATTTTTTGGCAGACATTGTGATCAGTGTCAGTAGGCATATTTTTCAAATAATTAGCCAAGTACCGTGACCAGGTTTTGCATAATTTATAATTGAAAAAAAAAATAGTTTTCCGAATTTCTAGAATTGAATATTTTCGGCAACAGAGGGCGCTTTGATTGATCATACGAAGAAACCCCTATGCGTAAATGGTACACTCCACGCATGCGTAGTATGTAGATCTCAAACAAGATGGCGGCCAATACTAAACCGAAAAACCCGTCGTAGATTTCGCGCTGGAAAACCACTTTTTAAATAATTTTAACTTTAATTGATATGCAGAAGATGTTCATTATTGCGTTTTCTACCATATAAAGCTGTTTTTGTTGTTCAAAAGCCTATACATAATTTGTTGACGCGCACTTAACGACTACTAAAACTTGTTGACGCTTGTTGACGCTTGTTGACGCTTGTTGACGCGCTTTAGTAGGACCGTATAGAGGAGCATGCGCTGCAGCGCATGCAACGGTATTCCATGCAACATGCAAAGCTGAAGGCATGCTTGCCCCACATTTTCTCAGCACTACTAGCTTCGTTTGATGGTCGTTTGATGCATTGATTATGCTACAATTTTCTCTTTCAATGGTAAGTCCGGTTTGTGCTATGACACATTATAGATTATAGTTAGTAGTAATTCTTTCGAACACCTCTGGCAAAGGATTATAAGTATTCTTTCGAACACCACTGCTGGCAATGACAATTGTTGTTTGTGAAAAGTGTGACCCAATCGCGTGGGCCTCGGACATGGCGATCGTGTAGTATTTAGTAGAAGGGCCCGGTTCCTATAGGGAACAAAATCCACTTTAAAAAAGCCCGACCAAAATAGGTGGAGACATTCTCAATAAACAGGTATGTCATAGATAGAGGGCCGGGTTTTGATTTTTTTTTTAGAGAAATTTTTTTTGGGGGGGGGGAAATTACGATGACAGCACAGCGAAAACACGCAACCCGAAAATAAAGATGGCGATTTCTGCGCGATGTGCTGTGAGCACGAATGTCGGACACTTCGCCCCATTTCCACGTCGCCCCATGTCACTTCGCCCCTAACCACTTCGCCCCATCCCCACTTCGCCCCATCCCCACATCGCCCCATCCCCACTTCGCCCCATCCCCACTTCGCCCCATCCCCACTTCGCCCCATCCCCACTTCGCCCCAGCCGTTACATGTAAAAAAAAAAATCTCATCTATTTTTTTGGCTTAAAAAAAAACTATTTCAATAGATTCACTAATTGCTAACCAACGGAAAGAATTAGCCCATCACCAAATGAACAATTCATAACCAACCTCTCAAGCTAGGCTCTCCCCTACCGAGAAAAAAGCTTGAAGTAAAAGATCCAACTTTGTTCCCAACCCGGCTATACCAACCCGTCTCCCACTTATCTGAGAACGACAATACCTTTGACATCCTAATTTCACTCTTGGAGGAACCAATCTCATCAATGAAGTTGTAAGTCTCACATATCAGACAAATTTTGACGGAACATTTTCCTCAAGGCAGTGAGTTCCTTTGAACTCACTGACCCATACCTACGGGATTCTTTTGAATCCAGCGGCTGATGATTTTATTTAAGCCATCATTTCTCATCTGTGTCTCGAGCACCTCATCAGAGAGTTTGTATTTTTCCTGAGTTTCTAGAATTGGGAGCATTTATTATCTGGGGTCTTTGGCAGTTTATTTGGTCTGCACCCCTAGCCTTTCCTTTTTTATACTACATGGGGCGAAGTGGGGATGGGGCGAAGCGGGGATGGGGCGAAGCGGGGATGGGGCGAAGCGGGGATGGGGCGAAGTGGGGATGGGGCGAAGCGGAGATGGGGCGATGTGGGGATGGGGCGAAGTGGGGATGGGGCGAAGCGGGGATGGGGCGAAGTGGGGATGGGGCGAAGCGGAGATGGGGCGATGTGGGGATGGGGCGAAGTGGGGATGGGGCGAAGCGGAGATGGGGCGAAGCGGAGATGGGGCGAAGTGGGGATGGGGCGAAGTGGTTAGGGGCGAAGTGACATGGGGCGACGTGGAAATGGGGCGAAGCGTCCGACACCCGTGAGCACGCACGGCGCGCAGAATCGTAAGGCACAAACCGCGCAGGAACAATTTATTTGTAGCTATTGTTAGCCGATGTATTTTTTTACAAGTTTTCTTTGTTACTCCTTTACACAGGACTCCCGATGACACCCACATCACATGACCAGCTCCAACCATGCTCCAAGCATGCTCCAGTGCATGCTTCAACCAGTTCCCAAAGCAAGAATCTCGACTCAAGACGAAGACGTGACGTGCTTTTTCTCTTTACCCATTCAAAACACATTTTTCTTCTAGCCATAATTTTATTATTTAGAAGTCATGTAAATGAAATAGTGCAAAAATAATCACTCTTTTCTGCTGTTTTATGTCCATCCTTTTTTAAAGTTATATCCTTGGCTTAGTTGTATCCAAGAATAATTATGGAATGATTACCCGTCTCGCTTGAAAGTCTTTCATGGAATGTTTTTGCCTATGCTAAACAAGCCTGGACCGACGTCCCTTACGAAAATCGCTCCGAAAATTTGCTACAATTATATCCACTGAGTTTTGTCAAAGTACTACCCTGTATTGAATGCAAATACATTATTACTAAAAAATTTGTGTGTGCATTGTACCTGATTTCATTTTCACAGTTTTGTAATAAATACATTTAACATGTGGTGCTTGACATAATTATGCAAAACTCCAATATGTCCTTTCTTATAGTTTTACTCTCTTCTGCAAATAAACGTGTTACAATACTTTGCTCTACAACCCCATCACCACAATAAAAACACGAACTGTTATAATGACATTAACTACTACTTAATACATAAAAAACACCCCCTTCACCATAACGAATATAAATTGTTGCCCACTTCCCCGGAAATATAAGTGACCATTCACAGGTGTAACATAAGTAGGCATGGGCGTCGCAAGGGGGGGGGGGGGGCAAGGGGGGCACTTGCCCCCCCCCCCCCCCCAAAGCAAAAAAAAAAGAAAAAAGAAGGGGAAAAAATGAGTTCAATTTTAAATTTAATGAGTTGGGGGGCTAAATGTCCCTGCCCTTCTCTAAAACTGATAAATGGAGAATGTGTTGAGAAAAACAGGCATTTTTTTGGCAAAAATATGTTTTGCCCCCTCTAGAAAACAAATCCTGGCGACGCCCATGTAAATAGGCCACACAATATCCAACCCCCATCCCCACTGGCTTCCTCCTCCTCTCCTCTGTAGTGAGAACTATGAATACGACGTTGTAAAGGTCAAGATCAAACCGCGTTTCATCTAAACTACCTAATTGTACAGTTGGTGTATACGTCCTTTATGGTTTGGCACCTTGAAAAATCAATGTTCAATTTGACTGGACAATATTCCAGCACAACATTAGTTATGAGCTTTATATACATGTAATGAGACATTGCATGAGACAATCGGTCGGCAATAAATACTTAATTTCATTCAACTGTTGACAGCAAGACCTTCCTAATCGGTGCGCAATTTAAAACAACATTTAAACGGTATGAATCCCAGCACAAACATAAACCTCCACAATATCAGCGATTTCAATATCACCATCTCCCCTCTATAACAAAAACCATTTCTCCCCGTCCCAGGATATATTTCTCCCCATCCCCGGAAATATTTGTGACATGGTTGACGGGTTGTACGGAAATTGGGCGTTCCGACTAGCACCTTTCACCCTAACTAGCCCCTCCCCTATATTGACAATATGTCCTGGACCCTCGCACAATCTCCACAGGAAATGTTATGTGCGCGCACGTTGCTAAACGCAAATACAACTTAGGTGAGACTGATGGCGAGCCCAAATAGGCTCGCGTGCAGCAGAGCGTCTGATTCTTTATTTGACTTAACAGTTGTTTGGAGTTATTGGAGTTACTATCGAGATTTCACTGTATACAGTAATTATTACGAAACAGTCAACTCCACCCATCTAGCGGGTGCCGCGCGAAGCGCGGCATCCCGCTAGTGCATTATTAAACCGTTGTAGTGTGAAATTTCGACTCCATGAAATACGTACTGCTTGGTTGTATAACTGCATTGCGCATGCCTAAGCTCACGTCACGTGTAAGGGTTAGAATCCATATAAGGTAAAAGAGACCAGACTTAATTCATAGTTAATAAGAGTCCAAATTTCATACAACAACGAAATAAGGCAGTGGGAACGGGCGAATTTATTGGTTAGGCCGTGTCCGAAACGGGCTTCCAGATACGGCTCCGTCTATTGTCAGCCCGGCCCCCTCGTATTTTCAGTGGGCGCAGACCTTGACCTAGCTCTAGGCAGCTGATTTGGATGCAGCCTGGCCTTATTTGGGTCATCGCAAGATGCCGAGGAAACCGGTTTAGTTGCTTTTACTCGACTGACAAAAGGTAATAGCGCCCTCAGTGAATTTGTTTTGATGGCGGAGCGCCCTCTGTGTTTTTTGGGCTTCACGCGATCTTTTGGTCCCTGACTTGAACACTCAAATAGGAAAGTTTTCTGCTTCAGGGAAAATGAAATTGTATGGTAGGTCAAAAGTTGGATTATTTTATCTGTTCGGACAAAAGAGGCTTCAAATTTATTTGAAGATATAGATATGCACAATGTAGCCAAAAACGGAGCGAAGCCGATGTTTTGAAAACCGCACTTGCCTCTTTTAATCCAGACCTGCTAGAGGGCGCCCTGATTCAGTTACGGGCAAGATCAGCTGCTGGGCTGCAAAGAGGCCCTCGGCCTTCCAATCCTTGTCCAGAAGTACTCGTACATTGAGATTACAAGGTATTGAAGATACTTTCTTTTAAACAAAGTCTATGTTCTTTGTCAATAACTGACGTAGAATTAAGATGGGTGTTTCAACCGTAGACCCTAACAAAACAGACATTTTAACATGCAATGTATTGATCATGTCTTTCGGACGTAAGTAAGTGAACCATCAGCAACAGGCACAGCTTATGTTATGACTTGTTCTGACTAATGAATTGTGCTGACTTGTGACTTGTTCTGACTTGTGACTTGTTATGGCTTGTGATTTGTTATGACTCGGGAGACGGAATTTGTTAAAACTTATACGACTTGGGATTTGACTCGTGAACTGACGTGCATGATTGACGTGACTCACCTGAGCATCAGGCGCCATTTTGTTTTCGACGCCATTTTGTTTTGAAGACGAAACGATTGCAGTTGTGCAGCCTGCTCAGGGACATATGCATTACTATTGTAACCACCGGGTTGTGTACGAACCTTGGGAATGCCATCATGTCCAACGCCATTACCGAATCCTCGGCTTCGTCTCCGAATCGCCTTCAGGATATTGTCGGCTCTTGGGAGCCCTGCGTGGCACAATAAGGGTCAACGGTCTGCTGCGGGAAAATACAACACCTGGCCCAAAGCTAGAATATTTCAATGTGGCGTTGTCTTTAAAGACGTCATAATGATTCTGAAGTCAGATGTAAAACCGAAGCCGGAGACAAGCCCAGGTTTCACAAGCCGCCATCGCATTCAGGTCAATTATGTTGCTTGTCCATCAACGTGTATCGATTCCTGCTGTTGTTACATTCATGTCGTGTTTGTGATTGCATTTTCCTTTCTGCCCACAAAAAGACCTGAGTCCAAACGAAACAATGGGCACAGCCATTTAGGTCCCAGTCTCGAAGCTTCCGGTATTTAAACTCCTATTCTTCCACCGTCCATTAAAGAAAAACAATTTCTGGTTTCCATGTCGAAAATCCCCCACTTGAGACCTCATGAATAAGGTTCAAGTGTTTGTCCATTTTGGCCGCGTTCACAGGAGTCAATCATTCAGTCGTTAATACCTTGCCCAAACATCCACCCTCCACCCCAATGCTCCATCTTAATGTGAGTTAAATAAGTCCATTCTTAAAGGGCAAAACTTGGGTCCTTACATTTTCAACCTTGCTGAAGGCATGTACAGGGTGAGTCAAACAAAACGAAACCCAAATGTCGGGACCATTGTTTTAGTGACGTTCTGCATGTAGCACTTTCAAAATATAGAATATGAAAGCCCAATTCATAAGCTTTCTTTCAGTACAAGAATCATTCAAATCACTCGTGTACTTTTCAAGTTACGGAGTTTTAAACACAACCACCGTTTTAAAGTTCTGTCCACGGATCACAAAAAAAGGTGTGCGTTCTTTCAGCAACACGAAAACAATTCACACACATCCTTATGTGATTTGTTTTCGTTTTGCTGAAAGAACACTGAACTTTTTTTGTGATACGTGGAAAAAACCTTAAAACGGCGGTTGTGTTTAAAACTCCGTAACTTCAAAAGTACATGAGTGATTTGAATGATTCTTGTACTAAAAGATATAGCTTATGAATTGGGCTTTCATATCCTAGATTTTGAAAGTGCTACATGCAGAACTTCACTGAAACAGTGGTCCCGACATTTGGGTTTCGTTTTTTATTTTGACTCACCCTGTATAGGATCATTTATCCCAAAAGTAACCTCCCGAATTATTATCAAATAATTCAGGTTGGCGTAGCGGTACTTTCCTCGCCTTCCACCGCTGTAACCCGGGTTCGATTCCTGCCTGGGCCAATATGTGGATTGGGTTTTCAGCCCCTGCCTGATTCCGTTGGGTTTCCTCAGAATATTCTTCTGGGCTTTTCCTCCCACCTCTAAAACTGTTTCTTTACACTGTCTTCTCTTTACTGGGACCCATGGGAGACAAGTGGATTCCACTGAATGGGCTATAGAAATCAATCAATCAATCAATCAAAAAAACTTACTTGGATTCCAGATCGTACCGGTACTAAACACCCCGTGAAATTACTCCGTCTGGCTTGCTGTCATTTAGAAGAAATCAAGAAATGTAGGTGATTTCCAACGATCAGTCAGTTGACTGGTTTTTGGAATAAAGAGTGCTAGTGGCGAAATCGTGTTTCGTGATCAAACGATTGTACATGGTTTTTCACCGTTTTCCCGAAAACTTTTAGCCTATCCACTGAGCTGAAACTTCAACAGGTTAGGTTTTGAACATTCTTCTTTTGGATTTTGAGTGGTGTTAGTAATACTGGAAACGACCAAAATGCATGAATTGAAAATCATCCTGTGTGCCTTTAAAGATGTGTATGTTTAGCTAGAGTGACTTACGACAGAACTTAATCTCTAGTTTTCACTGATTCCACAGTACTCTCCATTCAACTCCCCAACGGAGTAGCGAAGTTTGCGTCCCCACTTAACACCCATTTAACA